TAAGTGCCCAAAACAAAAACCAAGAGTTGCAATCTTTTCTAGATCGATGCTATCTCATTACTAATGACTAGCTGACAAAATCAAATGTATAAGCTAGTGTACCTCTCTTTGTGACTGATAGTAAACAGCAGGAAGAGGACGAGAACAATAATTGCAATGGTTTTCAGATAAATGCTCCCTTATTCTGTCCTCCAAATCAGAAATATCAGCATTCTGAGCCGTCAACGATGAATAAATTTCGTCTGCTTTCAGTTTACACTTTGGCTTGTCAAATTTGATCAAACCGTCTATAGATTTTAAGGCATCTGATGGCACGCGAATCTCACCACTTCCCTCATCCTTCAAGTAAGACTCGTCATTCCAAGGCTCGTGACTTGGCACCGGAGCACAGTAGTTGATGATTCCCCAATGATCAAGGAACCGGAAAATTCGAGTTAAATCTTCATTATCAACCCCAACTAGCAATCCCTGGCAATCAGAAATTGTAATCCTCTTGCCCAGATCTTCCATGTATCTTGCAACTATATAATTTCTGCATTCCATGTACTTCTGTGGGGTATGATCCTGTGATTTTCCAGAGAAGAAACGTGGCACCACTTGTCTCTCAAGCCGATGCACTGTGGCTGGTGAAAACCATTCTGTTCGTTAAAAAAATAACAATTAAAAACAGGTTAACATGATTGTATCTTAGAATCTCAAACGACTCCAACCCACCAACCTGAAAATCATAAAAAAGCCAACGCATTGTTGGGTTCATCAAATCATGCAAGTTCCCATTAAAGAGTGAAGTGACTTCCTCGAGAATCTAAACTAGCTCAAAAAGGAGATGTCGTCCCGTTTAACCAACTTAAAAGAATAACTTCAAAAGATTTTAAAAAAAAAAAAAAGACTTGCACGTTAAAACTTCACGCGTGATTTTTAGTTTTCTATAACATATAGGTTTATATCATACTGAAAGCGGGAAGAAAGGAGACAAACTCTCACGGAGTCCTACTTATATCACATAATATACACTCTTTAAGGTCAGTCCTCTTTATGCTCTGGCTTGAAAAACAAAAGACAGGGAAAATTGCCCCGTGGACATACTATAATTAGATGTATGTGCACGCTTCAATCTTCGTTGAGTTGCTGTATCTTGTCAGTGCTCATACCTCCTAGAAAAGAGAGGATTACTCATAAAAGAAAACAGAGAATAGAGAAAACCGTGAAACTACGGGTGGAGTAACAGCACCGGTGGGATGAATTACTTGAATGGTATTTATAGTTGGGTGGAGGCAGTGGAGCTCAGAGATAGATAGCGTACTAATAAAGCAAACCAGCAGCAAAGTAAAGCAAATTAATAGAGGGAGCGGGGACCTGAATGCATTGGAACTACCAGAACCCTACTCCCAAACCGCTTGACAATGCCACGGCCTTCCAGTACGGGAGGCGGGGTGATCACGTAAGCCGAATTACTTCCCTCGTTACGGTCCTGATCCAAAGCTGAACTATCGGCGGGCACCGTGGAAAGCGCCTGAAGCTGCCCGTGCGACACATTCTCCAAAAATGGGGAATTCTGCAACTGAGCCTTATTGTCTCCAGACTCATTGGCACGCTCCAGAGCGACAATTGCCGTGACGGATGAGTGAGGGCGATTGACAGTGCGCTTGATCACTCTAGGGAACTGAGAAATTTGGACTCCATCGTCGGACAAGACCTCGATCTCAAGCTGCGCTTGAGAATTAGAACCGGTTTGGGGGTTAGGGTGTTGGGATTGGTCCTCGGAATCATCCTGTCGCTCGAGGTGGTCGTCGTCCCCATTGGGGTCGTCTTCTTCGTCGTCCTCGTCCTCTTGCTTCTGGTGCCGCCGGCTGATTTGGGGTTCTCTCTTGCGCTTTCGCCATTTGGTTCGGTTTTCTGGTTCAAAAATCACAAAATACCAAACATTAGCGGGAAATTGATAACAAAATATTCAAAATCAGATCAAAATACACCAAAAAAATCAAGCGGATGGCTTGCATCTCGCAGACGAAAAGAAAAGAAGCGAGGATTTAGAGAGGGAGAAAGAATTTAGGTTTGTGTAAGAGATACCTGAAGGGGAAGCTGGCATGGTAAGGAGGAGAGGTTTAAGAGAGGGAGAGAGAGAGGGAAATTTGATTGTGGGGTCGTTGATTGGCGCAAAGGGTGTGGAAATGGGAAGAGGGGGCAGAGAGAGAGAGAGAAGGGATCCCTCCCAGTGAGTGCTCTCTGGTCTCCGGTTTGGCCTTTGGTTTTGGCTCTTTGGCATACGGTGCAACATGTAAATATGTTGTCGTTTGCTTTTCTTCCCGGATGGATGTTAACAAGAATGTGAGGGTAAAATTCTGGCGAACCTGCCTTCGCCTCCTCGTCAAGCACACGCTGCATTCTTATTTGGTAGTGCTTTACACGCGCTGCTCATGTGTCTCTTTTAAGTTCATAGTAGTAGTATTTTTTCCCCCCAGATCCGCTCATATTTTAGGCGACTCAACGAGTGAGAAATCCCTTCTCTTTATGGAAAAAATATATACTGTTCATATAATCGTTTTCAAAGTCAGAGCACTGTTCCAACATATTCCTTCAATCCTTAATATAAGATCCATTTAACTAATTTGATTAGATTAAAAAAGTTAGATAAGTTATTTAATTATAAGAAATGTGACACATTTTTCCTAAAACACCATAATCATCTTTCTTAATACCCCACCTCTCTCTTTTACTTGATCATAGTTGATGGAATATCCATAAGGATAATTTAGAGAAAATTGATAAATATGAGAAATGGGTTTTATATTTAAGATCAAAACCAACTCAACAATTGGGTCCTATATTAGGGACCGAAGGAGTAATACTTTTATTTTTTAATATAAAACCTATTTAACTAATTTAATTAGATTAAGAAAATTAGGTAAATTAGTTAATTATAATAAATATGACATGTTTTTCTTAAAATATCATAATCATCTTTTTTAATATCATCCTTTCCTCATTTACTTGATTATGGTTGAGGAAATATCCATATAAGTAATTTAGAAAAAATTGATAAATATGAGAAATAGGTCTTATATTTAGAACCAAAATTAACTTAATAATTGGCTTTTATATTAAGTACTGAATGAGTATATATATAATCTGTTCATATTTTTCTCCTCCCATGCTCTTGTTGTCCATAAACTAAATTATCACCAAATTATCCATCATAAAAAATCAACATAATACATGAAAATACAACCTCCAATTCTTAATATAAGAGTTTATTTGACTTTTATTCATGTCTTAAATATAAGATTTTGATCCACTTTATCTCTCATAGTTATCTATTTTTTCCTAATAAAATCTTTATAATAATGGTATTTTTAGCCAATACACTTAATTAGTAAAGGTATTTTAGAAAAGGCAACACATATTTATTACAAATAACTAACTTAGCTAATTTTTTTTAATTTATTCAAATTAATCAACTAGCTATTTTGTTAAAGATAGGAGGTAGTAGTTTTTTTTTTCAACAGATTTAAATAATTTTAATTAATATTGTAAATCACTAAAACATGATTCAATTTTTTTAACACGAAATATGACCTCCTTTTAAAACATAGCTAGTAAGATGGATTATATTATTAATCGGCGTTGATTTTCTTGATATCTTTTACTTTTTTGGTCAATAAACGTCTGTTGTTTGCAATGCGCTTTCTCTGTTTGAAGCCGGAATGATTTGTGCCGATCTAAAATGCCTTTTTAAAAGTCAAAATCTAAAATGCTGTTTTAATATTTGACGTGTAAGAATGCGGTAGCATGCACAGCCTTATTTTAAGGGGTTGGTACTTGGTGCAATAACATCTTCGCGATTCGTTCACTGAAAATAATAATAACATCGTTAGCCTTTAAGCTTTGTTCTGGGCGAGATCGATGATGAAATTGTGTTCCGGCGGAAAAGGGAGGAACATCGAGTTACGTGGTTAATGGAGAGTGGTACTACATCGTGATAATAACCCAATGATAGGCACGTCGTGTGATGGTAATTGCAGTTCAACCCCTATTGGATTTCATACTTTGACCATATGGGGCGCGCGTTTGAGATCAGCCAGTCCTGACGTCCAGTTGGAAGGCACTTGTAATTTGGAAAGTCCAATTCGTAGCCCCTTGGTGAGAATGATAATCCCACAACAGACCACATACTACCCCTTTCAGTCCTTAATTAAAAAATTAACTAACTAATTTGAGTAAAATAAAAAATTTGTTAGGTTAATTATTTATAATAATTAATTTATTATTTTTACTAAAATATTCTTATTAATTATATACTCTATTAGCTAAAACTACTATTTGATTGAATATTTGACATGTGTAATTATTATAAGAACTATTTTTAAAAAAAAAGATAAATATAAAAGATAAAATGAGTTGAAATCTTATATTTAAGACTAAAGTAAACTTCAAAATAACTTTTATTTTAAGAACAGGAGGTAGTATAACAAAATGTCAGCCCCCAAACCATTTGAAGAACAGTGACGAATCATGTCGGTTGACTTTCTTCTCATCCTTTTGAAGCAGACGATTAGTGAATTTGAAAATATCTATTCTTCTTTGAATGCAAATAATGAGCTTTAAAAGGTCAGTTACGAGGCGGCCGCTACAACCACTGGGGAGTAATAAAATAGAAGTCAGCTGCATTATTTGGCCATGAATTTAAATTGCCGATTTTTGAGACCTAGGAGTGTACATTGACATAATAGCAGGGGCTATGAATCTCTGAATTTCTCATTTTTATGGAAAGATGATTGTGGGGGAAGAGCTTATTCCTCCCATTACCATGAAATAAAGCCATCCAAACAAGAAAAATTAGCTTGAGAATGGAAGGGTCACCCCAAGCAGAGCCAATAGAAACGGTTTTAGGGCCTAGTTGGTTTTTGAATTCGACGATCTTGTACAATTTTTTATTTTCCAAGGCTTGGGGCCCTTTGGCTTAAGAGGCCAGGGGCCCAAGACGCCAGTGACCCGACCCACCATGAGACGTCAACCCCTCCGTTTTCAGCCCACAACTCCATCCGGAGAGCTGCGACGCCGACGAGGCTGACGTTGCTCGTTGAAGTGGCATCATCCTCCGGCGATGCACTCACTGAGTCTGGCTACTGTAATGAAAAGAACAAGGTCCGCCTCATGCAAATCGCCCTCACTTCCTTCGACGCCTCTAAGCCCCCAGACGCGGCACAAAACTTGCTGCTCAAAGCCCACCTCCGTCTCCATATGCTATCGCTCCAGAAAACCAAAACCGATCCTCGGTTCTCTCAATGAGTCTTCAAAATCCGACCACGCGAAGTGGGTCCCGCTCAATCTTGCTCCGCAAGAGCTCTGTTTGCCTCTCACTTTTCCCACCGGCCAAACCTTCCGATGGAGGAAGACCGGACCTTCACAGTACACAGGCGTTGTCGGGTCTCACCTTATATCTCTCAAGCACATCGAAAACGGCGACGTTTGTTATTACCTTCACCACACTGACTCTGAGATTGATGCGAGGACGGCTTTGCTTGACTTTCTCAATGCCCGTGTTTCTCTCACTGACGTATGGAAGGAGTTTTCGGCTTCGGATGCCAGGTTTGCCGAGTTAGCGTGCTATCTGGGGGGTGCGCGAGTGCTGAGGCAGGACCCACTTGAGTGTCTGATTCAGTTTCTGTGTTCTTCTAATAACAATATTCAAAGGATTACCAAAATGGTGGATTATATCTCTTCTTTGGGAAATTATTTGGGGACCGTTGGAGACTTTAAATTCCATACTTTCCCCAGTGTGGAGAAGCTTTCTTTGATTTCAGAGGAGGAACTTAGAAATGCCGGCTTTGGTTACAGGTTGGACGCCATATGCCCTGCTATTTTAAATCAAAGTCTGATATTTCACATTTGTTATGTTTGTGGTCTTGCGCTTCCACTTTTTTTATTGAAGTTCGAATTGTGCACGTTTTGTGTCCTCCTGGGGCTATTGTTTTTGTACGTTGTGTTGCAACATCTGTCATTGCGCCTATGATTACCATGCGTTGGGTATGAGAGATACTGGCTCCGGAAATCATTTCTAGCACTCCACACATGAAAGCCAAATGAGCCAGGCCTGAGATACCAAAATACCTGCATGTCTTCTTCTAAGCTCCATGTTCATTTGAAGTTTATCTTTCAAAAAGAAAAGCATTTTGCTTCTTGCTCTCATAAGAGGGCACAGTATGTGCTGATCCTTCCCCCTTAGCAAATTTGTAAATGGGAATATTTCTGACCTATATAGTATTGATAGGAAGGAAAAATCAGTGTAATGTGGGCTGAAGCTAACTTCTTTGCAGTTTTACAGTCACACAATTCAAATACTGCCTGATAATGTCAACAATGGACCCTGTTTTTCTTTACAACTTTGAAGCTAAAGCCTTCTGGTTGATGCTCATGAAATAATGCCTATTGCCAAAACTTACCATGTTGGGGTTTCGACTTGCAAGTGATTATTAGATTTAAATTTGGATGTTAAAATCTGAAAAGGGAGATTGCTGGTTAAGTTATGTAAATTCCTCACGTGACATGAAGCATCCCGATCTTAAAACTGAACTCTTTGTATGACAACAAAAACCTCTATCTCAATATCAAACTGAACTACCATTCTTAAAATATTTTCTTTTCTTCTTGAACTGCATCAGTGTCCTGATGTATCCATGCTGATAGCTGATTCCCAGTGTAAGAGAGAGAGCGGAAGGGGGGAATCTGCATGATGATATGTGGAGTTGTGGACCAGACTATAACCCTTATGTGTGTCATTGTTACACCTGTGTTGTCTTTTTACTTAATGTGAATTTAGCATGTTCAGTCTATATCACGCACATACCTTCCTCAGGTATCATGTTGCTGACATATTACCTTAGTTGCTACAAGATATGAACACTTTATTTGATTATACATGGCTACATGGCACAGGGCCAAATATATAACTGGCACAGTAAATTTTCTGCGAGCGAAACCTGATGGGGAGGAATGGCTTAAATCTCTTCGTATGTTGGATCTTCAAGAAGCTATAGATGCCCTTTGTACATTACCTGGAGTGGGTCCTAAGGTGGCTGCTTGCATAGCTCTCTTTTCACTTGATCAGCATCATGCCATCCCTGTTGACACACATGTTTGGCGGGTACAATCTTATTGTTTTGTGCTTCCTTCTTGTATCAATTCTGATCTTTCATTCTTCTTTTGAGTGTATCAATGAGTAATAATCTGCATGTATCATTTTGGAATTTGGGTAAGATTGCAACGAAGTACCTCTTACCCGAGCTTGCAGGTTCCCGATTGACTCCAAAGCTTAGCAGTCGTGTTGCAGAGGCATTTGTAAGCAAATATGGTAAATATGCTGGATGGGCTCAAACTCTGCTCTTCATAGCTGAATTACCTTCACAAAAGGCCCTCCTACCTCCTCAATTGCGGACTGTTGAGCAGAGCAAGCACACAGTAGAAGAAGACAGTGAAACCGAAATAGGTGGAAGAGAAACAACTTCAGTCTTCCAATCTTGATCTCATACATTGGGCATTCAGCATTCAGTCATCCGGCTTTTCTAGAGTTAATCTTCTAAAACCCCATTGACTAGTGCGTGCAACGTATGACCTTGAGAATATACACTCAAGTGAGTGCGGACTTCACATGGGGAGAGTTGTGGTGCAACCTCATGGACACGATTGACAATAAGCTCATGTGCTGCTCTTGTTCATATTGAGTGATTCTGTTATTGTTTACCTGAAAGTGTACCATATAGAATTATACTTAAAGAGGATCCATTCAAAGATTCCATTGTTCTGTTAAGCTGCGTCGTGTGTTTTCCTTCATCTACTTTTGAACAATCATTTGCATGCCCGGAGACAAGCAAGGGACACTGATATGAAGTGATCATTCCACGTCATAGTTGATGAAATAGCTTCAGCATCTTGTGATGAAGGGGGAAATAATTAATGTATGCGATCTTAAGCTGAAGTTTCGGGTTTGAGAAAAGGATAAGAAGCCTTCAGAGAAGGTTAAATGCATCTGATTTGCTAGCCAATTGCAGGGCTTTAGTAAATTCGGATGATAATAATTATTGTTGAAATAAAAGTTTTGATGGCTTTATATTTTCTCCGAGCGAGCGATATCGTCGGCTCATGAGATCCCGATTAGTAATTGGACCCTTATGGTCTGTTTGGTTCAACGGAGTAGAGCAGGAAAGGAACTTCGAGCGGAGAGTTGGCCTAAATAACTACGAATATTTTTTTCTTTAAAAAAAAGAAAAGAAAAGGAATTAACAAAATGAACAGTTTAACTGGACATCGTGTTCATGGATTTTTTTAGCTCTCCAGCTGATTTCCTTTGTGGGAAATCCGGGTATGACCAACGTATATTTTATCACAACATGCAGCCTCGCACGAGTATATCTATACTGTGATAAGTGGAGGAGCCCAACCGTGCGTGATTTTTGTAGTTTGAAGCTAAATACGCGCTACCAAGTCAGTTTGCGATGTTCATTTACCTATCATATAAGAACTAGCCATAACTGCACGCGTCGGGTCGGGGGACCATTTGATCATATGTACTCATCCAATTCTTAATATAAAATCTAATTAGAAAGTTGATATTGGTTTGATACGTAAGACCTATTTCGTATGTTTATTAATTTTTTTCCTAAATTAAATATTTTCCTGATAATAATTAAGTAGAAGAAGGGAAAAAAATTAAGAAAGATGCTTAGGATATTTTAGAAAAAAATATCATATTAACAAATTAATTAATATCTTTAATCTACTCAAATTAATTAATTAGGTCTTACATTAAGGGATGAAGAAGTATATGGACACATGCTGCTCTTGTTGGTTCCACCTTTAATTTGGGGGCATTCTTGCTCTTTCTTGTGTGTTAAGTCACGCTACTTCAAACGGAGAAGAAGAGTCACGGAAAGCGAGAGGTTTTACAGTACAGGTGAGTGAGATTACAGTGGCAAAAACCGTTCATGTGATCATCCTTTGGGACCAGTACAGTGAACGGATCATTCTCGTGCTCTTAAGAAGCTCCTGAAGGCCTAGAAATAAATATATCATCACGCTGCCCGACTTAAATTCATTGAAGATGTTAGCTTAATATGAGACAAGGAATCGCATTGGCGAGTAGAGTCTCGATGAAAGGAGTATTACAGCACAGTTTATGGCCTCTGAAAAGGTTGTTCGGACACCTAAGTTCGTGAACAAAGGCCTCAAAACTAAGAGGAGAGGAACTCAGAGGCGCAGCAGGTATCTAATAAAGATTTGTAATCTGTCAACTATATGAGCCAATAATCTCGGGGATATATGCTCTTTAAAGAACAGAATCTCGATCAAATCCGACAGCACTGTTAAGATATCACTCTTGTAATTTGGGTCCATATCATATAACTAAGCTCCAAATCGGCCTGACCCACATTTTGTCACTTTGCAACTTGCAAAAGGCCGCCTCCTATGTTAAGCCAGTGGCCCATAAATGCTTGGTCGATGTTCCTTCGGAGGCTGTCCCGACGCAACTTGCATGCAAAAGCCTACATTCTGAGTTGTAGTGTCAGCACTCTGCTCTCCAAAATAGGAAAAGTGAGACTTCATGCGTACAGTGAATTATCAATATTCAACATCAATCACTGTACAATATACACAGCAGATAGATCCAAACGGTCGACCCACATGGCCAACGGGAAAAAGGAAAAAAAAAAAAAAAAAAAGCCATATAGAGTTTAGTCACTGCTCGGTCCGTAGATTTAAACACCTCTGATATTAAAAGGGTGGGATACTGATCAATCGTTGTCAAAGGAATTGTTGGAGTCGTTTGAGCAAGTGCGTCTGACGTGTCTGATCTTCTTCTCATTCGGCCTTATCATATTGTGCAAGATGTTGCATTATGTGATGTGAATACTGATTCATTAATTGATATATATATCCCACGCAGCATTGGTTTGTGTAATCCCTCCCTTTGCATTGCCTTCCATGTGGATTATAGCTACATGTTGGCTGACAAAAACAAGGGTCTTCCGTACGTATTTTCTTGTCAACCCCTGTGAGTGAGTTGAAGAAGATGGTCTAATTTTGACATTGCAATGATCAATAGTAAGAGATATATATATATATATAATCTCATTTTTCGATTTCTTGACAGAAGAAGCAAACAAAACAAGTCAGCAATGAAGATAAGGTTGTGGATTATTGAAAGCCTCAACCTTATCCTCAAGTCTGTAGGTAAACATAGAATTCAATGGGTTACCTTAATGTGAAAGTCATATGGCATCATCAACTGAATAAAAGATGTTCCTGTGTGTGTAGTGTGAACGGAGGAATGTTGGCTTTATTTTAATGAACAGCCAAAAGGGTTCAACTCAGAACGAGACAAAAACAGGTCACATTAATTTATTCGATTCGCTTGAATGAAGGAGTTAGGCGCGCGGGCAATCCATATTATTTATATATACAAATTTGTACAGACGGCTGATAATCATCAACACATTCAAAAGTCGCCACCATTTGTATAATTATTTATGAAATGATTAATATTATTCATCACTGTGGATTATCTATAGGACTGATCACCAACGTTGAATTAGGTGAACTAAAAAAGCAGACTAATGTGGAATTGAATGAAAATAATGGAGGCTTTTTCGGCGGCTACCTATAGGTAGCATCTTTTGCTGGCCTTTTGATTTATGAAACTCCCCGAAGAAATTACGGCGAGCTATAAAAAAGTTGAATTTCCTTCTTTTTGATATTAGAAGAAGAGAAATTAGAACGTGTTCATTTCACTTGGACAAGTTTATATTATTTGCAGCCTGAGAAGGTTAAAATAAGGATTAATTTGGACCAATAAACTTTCATTTGAAAGGTCAAGCCAACCCACTTGCCTGCCTTTAAGGGTAAGATTAATAATCATAATAATCTGTGTTTCGTTCGCTCATGCAATGATAGTGAATTCAACTTATTTTAGGACCATCAAATCAATTCAACGTATATGCTTACGAGGTGCATAAACTAGAAGTACCGTGTGATGAAACTTTGTGCAATTTTTTATAAAGACTACTTTAAAAATAATAGATAAATATAAGAGATAAAATATACTAGTGTCTTATATTTATAACCAAATTAAAAGTCAAACTAATTCTTATATCAAGGACCAGAAATTGTATTTAATTGATGTCCAACTATATATACACTCTACATAGTTTCATTATTCTTGATTTGCGTAAACAGTATCCCTGCACGTAGCATTGGGGGCTTTGAAATGTATGCGTATGACACGGTAAGAAGAGAATAAAAGTAAAATCAATAGTAAATCCGTGGTAATTTTACAGTGTAAATCTATTCATGTCACTGCAATATGTTGATTTGCATGATTTAAACTTTTTCTTATCATGGTATAATCTTAAAATGAAACACAATGAATATCCAATACAATATTCTTAATTATAAATAAAAAGAGAAAAACGTTTAAAATAAATTTTAAGCAGTATTGATCTCATAGACATTATGTGTTCTACTACCCGCAGCAGATAAATTAGGACCAACTAGTTAATAACAGTTATAACTAGTTGTTGAGAGAACATGCTGCTACAGGCTTGGTGCTGAATGGCCTGATTGCCGACCATCACTTAGTATAGGAATTAATAGACTTAATTAAAAATTTGTTGGAAATATCATCTTAAGAAAATAAATAAAAGGGCGGTTCTTGCCCATGTGCATAGGCCTACTTGATTAGAACTAGCCAGGCTGATGGCCACCACATGCATGCTTAAATTCCTTCCACCATCTTTGATTTTACATTTGGCGATAGCATCATCATATCTTAGATTTTCTCTCTCTCTTTTTTTTTTAATTTTGTTTTTTCCGGACCCCATCTCTGTCACTTTCTCTGTGTATGAGATAGGGAGGGAGAGAATACGTATTAGTGTTTTATATTATGATTAAGCAAATCCTAACGAAAGTGAGTAATCAACGGAGGTAACTCAGCTTCAAGTGGGTCCAAAAGGGATGACCATCACTTTTCTCCGGGCTTGAGCGCCACGTCATCCCACTGTCATCCGTGTCAGCATGTCCCCTTTTTTCAAAGAGGAAGAGGAGGCGAACATTTCCCCCTCGGTTTAATTCCAGGCCTTCAGAAAATCATATGCAATCTGTTAAAAAAATTCACTATTTTTTAATTAAAATATTATAATGACATGAAGATTTGTAATTTTGTCCACGCTTATGCACCCTTAACCTATTCGTATCGATAGGGTCCAATAATGTGATACGGAAAATGACGTCGAATTGAATTTATTAGTAATTAAATGAACACCTCTCTCGAACCCGTTCTTTGAAAAAACGTACTTTCAAAAGTCCTTGTTGATTTTCCCCCCGTTATAACTTTTGATAATTTTAATTGCTTGCGTTATAACTTTGCTAAAAACAGTAATTAAGCATTGGTCCCATGATTTTGCTAAAATGAAGAAAAGAAAAGCCATCTTTCGGATATGTTTAAAGATATTATTAACTAAATCAACCAAATGCATATATACGACATGTTGGAAGACCAAGATCGAAGCTCATGTCAAACTTATACTCCTCCGGTCCTTAATATAAAACCCATTTAACTAATTTGATTAGATTAAGAAAGCTAGGTAAGTTAGTTAATTATAAAAAAATGACACATTTTTCCTAAAACGCCATAATCATCTTTTTTAATACCCCATCTCCTTCTTCTACTTGATTATGATTGAGGGAGTATCCATATGGGTAATTTAGACAAAATTGATAAATATGAGAAATGGGTCTTATATTTAGGACCAAAACCAATTGAAGAATTGGGTCTTATATTAAGGATCGGAAGAGTACGTATTTTCATTTAGTGAAAAATCCGAGTCGCAGGAAGAGTCTTTGTAATTATACTCCTCCGGTCCTAATTATAAGACCCAGTTGACTTATTTGAGGAGATTAAGGAAGTAAGTTAAGTTGGTTATTTATAATAAATAAGTGTTGTCATTCCTAAAATATCCTTGCTAATTAAGTATATTGGCTAAAACTATCATTATTAGAAGGATTATCTTGGAAAAAATGTATAAATATAAGAGATATATTTAGGACCAAAACCAATTGAAGAATTGGGTCTTATATTAAGGATCGGAAGAGTACGTTATTTTCATTTATGTAAAAAAAATGAAAAATCATTTTTGATCCGAGTCGCAGGAAGAGTCTTTGTAATTATACTCCTCCGGTCCTAATTATAAGACCCAGTTGACTTATTTGAGGAGATTAAGGAAGTAAGTTAAGTTGGTTATTTAAATAAATAAGTGTTGTCATTCCTAAAATATCCTGCTAATTAAGTATATTGGCTAAAACTATCATTATTAGAAGGATTATCTTGGAAAAAAATGTATAAATATAAGAGATAAAATGGATTGGGTCTTATAATTAGGACCAAATAAAAAGTCAAATTGGGTCTTATAATAAGGACCGGAGGAGTATGAGCTGGAACGTGCAAACATCGAGGATCCTACTATTAGGCAGAAAATATCCGATTATCACGTTTATTGCCACTTGTGGTTCGTACGTTTAATTACCAAGGGAAGGAATCTTTAGGGGAAGTTATGCTCCAAAGGAGTGAAGACGGAAGAAAAGTTCGAGAAATGTCTATACCGCGGGTGACGTGGGGGGATTTCACCGCATGGTCCCGAACTGCTGGCCACGTGGTGGATAATGAGCGGACTGTGAGGCTAGTGGGTAGACTCAAGTAGAACGGGCACCCACAATGCTGCCACCGATCACCGAAAGTGAGCGGGTGCAACAGGATAGACTCACCGGTCGCCACCGTACGGCCCGACGCTTGTCTTCTTTTTCTCTCTTCTCGCTATGATGACTAAGCATTTTTTGTCTCACCCCGACCCGAAAAGAAAAAGAAAAGGTGGCCGATCGTGCTGACCAAAAATTAATTTAATTAAATAATGCGGGGGAAGTTGGGGTAGGAGCTTACCTGGTAACTTCCTAAGTCATGTCCGATTGACATTTGCACACGTGTATGTCAATTTCTAGCATCCCCCCAACCCCCTACATTGAATCCAGTCATTTCTGGAGGCTGCTCGGTAACCCTACGATTTAATACACCCCTCCCCTTCCCGTAATCACCGGCAATTCCAATTCTTTTTTTTTTTCCTTCCCCCTTTTCAAATTTTAAATACCATCGTTATCATTCTCAATTATACTTATCTCATTTTTATTCTTTTCTGCAAACTAGCAGGGCAAATGAAATTAACAGTTACAAGTGCTTTCAAAGATATATTCTCTCAGCAATAACTAGATTTTGGTGAGATAACAAAGAAAAAAAAAAATAAAAAGTCCATTGAATCCAGTCATTTCTGGAGGCTGCTCGGTAACCCTACGATTTAATACACCCCTCCCCTTCCCGTAATCACCGGCAATTCCAATTCTTTTTTTTTTTCCTTCCCCCTTTTCAAATTTTAAATACCATCGTTATCATTCTCAATTATACTTATCTCATTTTTATCTCTTTTCTGCAAACTAGCAGGGCAAATGAAATTAACAGTTACAAGTGCTTTCAAAGATATATCTCTCAGCAATAACTAGATTTTGGTGAGATAACAAAGAAAAAAAAAAAAAAGTCCATAAAGAGAAAAACTATTTGGTGGCACTACGTATTAGGCTACTACTAGAGCGCTCCCAAAAGCGAGCGCGTGCCAGAGCTCACCGAGGTCAGGTGGGACGGGGGGCTTTAGAAGCAACAAATCATAAATCACGCGAATGATGATGATCCAACGCAGTGGATCTCTCACTGACGTGTCGATCTGATCTGCCGTGGGATTTCTGCAGATGATGCGCCTGACAGACCGAATCTACGGGCCGACTGCATGCGAATCCCGAGGGCACCGGTCTGAACCGCCGGACACCCCAGTCCAAAACCAGTGTCGTAAGCAGTGACCGAATCACTTCCTGTGGGTTATCAACACGCACGCACCGCACTTCCATGCTCGCACGCGTGTCCAGACACGTAAGCACACAAAGCTTACCGCTTTCTTCCACACCCCACCACCACACCCAGAAAAATGTTATCGCCCACGTGTCTTCTAGAAACCGCTGGCTCCTCCCTCCACGTGTCCCCCTCTGTGGTCTATAAATACTGGCCTCTCCCTTGCGTTTGAAGTTTCAAGCGCCGCCATTGTTCTCCTGCTCTGGAGAGGAAGTGAGTGAGCAACAAGACGTTCGCAGCTAGCTGCAACAGTTACTTTTTTATTATATATTGAGGTGAAATCTGCAAAACAGGATCTTAGAAGGCCAATATTGTAAAATGGCATCAGCAGATCTACAGCTGCCACCCGGCTTCAGATTCCATCCGACGGATGAGGAGCTCGTGATGCACTATCTCTGTCGTAGATGTGCATCGCAGCAAATAGTTGTTCCGATTATTGCAGAGATCGATCTTTACAAGTATGATCCTTGGGATCTTCCTGGTAATAAATCTTTTGCCTTTTTTGTTTTTCCCAATGTCCTGCTGGTTTAGTTTTGTCAAATTCTGGTTTGCGAGTATTTATTTTTTTCATCCTATTACAGGCTTGGCTCTTTATGGGGAGAAGGAGTGGTATTTCTTCTCGCCGAGAGAACGCAAATATCCTAACGGTTCAAGGCCGAACCGGGCAGCAGGGAGCGGCTACTGGAAGGCTACCGGAGCAGATAAGCCCATCGGTCATCCGAAACCGGTTGGGATCAAGAAAGCTTTGGTATTTTATGCCGGAAAAGCGCCCAAAGGCGAGAAAACAAATTGGATCATGCATGAATACCGTCTCGCAGATGTCGATCGCTCCGCTCGCAAAAAGAATAGCTTAAGGGTATATCCTCGATAACACCCCCCGCTGCCCTGTCCATTAATTTTTTTTCCCTAACTCGAATTAATTGGGTGTAGAAAACACATTTCGATTGTGATGCATGAGATTTTTGTTAATGCGGCGTGCTTGGGATGAAATGACCGTTGGCTCCGGAAAAAATTTGTCTTGGACATTTGCGTCCCTTAGAAAATTTTGGTGGCCACACATTTATCTATTTAATGACAACGATATGAAATGGACGGTGCAGATGTCCTCTCACCGTAGAATATCGGACCGTTACTTGTCCAGGTCACTCATCGCATTTAACCTTGTGGGGGCCTGATGATTTACCGCACACCTCTCATGCATCCAATCAAAGCCCTCTAAGGATATGAACAATAATGAAGTGGAAGGTTCAGCCCTTCAATTATTGGTTTCTACTTATAGAAAAGATTCCTTCTTATCTTCCGATGATAATGAAAATATGAGACTTTGTGAACGCTATGATTGATCCGTATAATTACGTGGATGCCACTCTGGGCACAACAATGGCTTCGGATCGCAGTTTCAGGGCGGCGGTCAGATGTCACCGTGAAGGACATGTTCATGTACCTGCAGAAGCCCTTCTGAAGTGGTGTGGCTGGGAATAGTAGCATCGGAGGACACGTGGCGAATGGCTGGATCGCACGGCAGCACGAGACAGAAGGTCTATGAGTGTGCCTGTGCGTGAGCGCAGACGAACAATTTTAATCAGGGCGGAGAAAATAATTGGTGGTGGGAATGCCGTTGTAGGCATATAGCAAATTATATTGTGCACCTTCCGATTTTGGACGTCCGATCGATTAGTGTGGACGATCCAAAGGTGCAATTTGCACTTGTCTCTGCTTTAGCGTCCGATCGATTAGTGTGGACGATCCAAAGGTGCAATTTGCACTTGTCTCTGCTTTAGGATTTATTAGTGTGTGTACACAGCTTGTGGATGAGTACGCGTTGTCATCATATGATGAAAGGAAGGTCGTTAATTTGAGCCTCCTAGTATTGTAGTTCATGTTTCATCATTCAATGGGCAGTGGTTATTTGTTTCAGAAATCTTCTTTTTGAGAGATCGGTAGTGATTTATTCTCAGTTATGCTATTTTTCCCCCTCCATTGATTGCAACATGAATGCGGGGAAAGAAGGAAACGTGAAGCTAAGCTGGACAGAACATCATTAACATATATATTTTTCTTTCCAAAAGAAGTCTCCGAGCACAGAGAGTTGGTGAAACAATGAAGTTGACCACGTAAAATCCATTTAAAAAAAAAAAACAATTAACTATAGCCAATTTTTTTTAGCCATTTGCTAAACGGAAGAAGATGTTAAATAAAAGTCAAAACAATTTTTAAGAAAATTCAAGCACCTGAAAGTTGAAATCGGACAATTTATTTTTATTCAATATATTTAATTATGCATGTCCATTATGAGACGGGTAAGCCAATGCTTTTATTTTTGTCATAATTTTATTCTAAATAAATGTTTTGTTCGGGATGTTATCTAAAAAGCCCATGTCATCTTATATGTTATATTTCCTCAAAAAATGGTGAAGGAGCCATGGACTCTCCAGATGATGCGGGCCAAAAACCCTAATAGTCATCATGCAGATAAAAGTTATATCTCTGGACTCATCTCGCTTGTAATTTAACAGGAACAGGTGAACAGTCTATGTGAATAACAAAGTACTCATATTAGGTCTTTTTAATTAATTTGATTAAGAAGACCTTGTATGACATGTTTTTCCTAAAACACCATAATTATCTTCTTTAATATCCTCTCTATTTCTTCTACTTGATTATGGTTGAGAGAGTATCTATACGGGTAATTTAGAAAAAATTGATAAATATTTATATTTAGAATTAAAATCAATTAATAATTAAGTCCTATATTAAGGACCGGAAGAGGATACTGTGTAAATTGTAAATAATGAGTAATTATACGGGTCAATTTCCAATTGAATTAAAATTTTGCGCTTTAGGACTTGACGTCTCCTCCTGATAAGATTCTTTTTTCATTCACGATCTTTGCGAGTTCAACTTCTATCAAGGGGTCATAAAGTGTCGGTAATTGAGTGTAACTTTGTATAATTAAATAGATTGTTCTATTTTTTTGCTGGCTGGTCGATAGTGTTAGGTAAACTTTATCTAAATTAAATTAGCAAATGGAATTGTCCATATGATTACATGGTTGAAGGCAAAAGTGTGCGTGCGTGGTGGTTTTACACCAAGAATTCATGAGAATTTAAAAATATGATATTTCACACGCCCAGGCTAGTGGGGGGCTGCCCGGTAATTAACACTTCACACAATTCTAATAAATAAAAGCAAATGATGCTTCTCCAGATGATTACGCTAATGAAGTTAAATAGCAACGAGGATTATTTTCAATAACACAATCATGATCTTACACTTACACCGTTACCCGTAGCCCCAAAAAGGGGTCATGAAAGCATTTCCCAGATTCAGCCGCTCCTGTCATTATAATGTTTTAGAAAAACAGGCGAACACGCATAATTCATTCATCTGTAGTGGTTTAGTTAACTTCAACCAGTTTGATTAGTGCAAGCAATCCTTTTTCATCCACACACAATCGTTTGCCCTTTCAAATACTACTCATCAGAACGTTAGACTTTCACTTTGCACGATAACTACGAAATGAATCACACCCCCAAGAATGCAGAAAAAGGTGCAGGAAATTTAACAACCCATTGAAAAGCTGATTAATCAAGAAATCTAGTTAAACTTGTGATCCAAAGCAAAACCTTAATTTTGTGTGATTATGGAATGAAGAAATAGAGAGAGAGGAGGGAGGGAGGGATGGGGCAGGGAATAATAAAGAGTGAGAGGACTAGACTGAGAGCACATGGGGCAGAGAGAGAAATGACGTGTGGGTCATAGATCACAGCTCAGTGAGAGTTATTTTAAGCAAAGCTCTCAATTTCTTTTCTGTCTTTTTCTGTCATTGCCTTCCAAATCCATTCAATTCAATCCCTCCCAACTTCCCTCTCCTTTGTATCTTTCCCTTCCTTGTCTCCTCCATGGCCACCTTCTTCTCTCTCTTTCCTTTTTTTTTTTTTGGGCCCTTTAGGCTCTCTTTCCTCACCTTTGGTTAGATCTACTACTCTGTGTCAGACCTATGTATGAAAAAACATACGATAGTTAGTTATCATCTAAGTCTGGAAGTCAATCATCATTTTCTCCTTTATGTTTGGATTAGTTTGACTTTGCGATATAGTATGAGTATGTGATAGAAGTTTTGTTTTACAGAACATAAAGAAAAAGTTTTGTTAAATGATTGTGAGAATTTGCCAAATAAACAGTAATTATTTTGGAATGGTAGTAAAATTCTTCAAAGCAATTTTTGAATCGTGATCTATAAGAATATGAGGTAAGTATATAACATAACTTTTGTTTTGGTTTACTGAGATGTTTTGGATTAACTTTTTAGATGTGATTTTATGATTAACCATCTAAAATGGGTTTTGTTTCATGTAAAAGTTTTTATTTCTTAGTGATTTTTTTTTTAAAACTGTAAAAATGATCACATCCTTTGCTACTCTGACTTTAATAAAGTAACTATACCCGATACATTTGGATAGAGATCAAAGAAAAAAAAAAGTGTGATTATATGAGTATACACATCAAACCTTCCTTGTGTCTCCCTCACTCCTTCGAAGCCATGACGATATGATTGCTGAGGATCTTTTCTTGTCCCCTTGAAGTTCAATAACAAAATGATGCGGATATTTTTAATTTAAATATAAAAATAATTACAAATAAGGACATTATCGGATCCATATTCATGAGCTTTGTATTTATGTCCCGCGTCGATCTTGACCGCCGAGAAGGAGGATGACAGAGGGGGTGTTTGGATGGAAACCAAACCATGATTTCAAAAGTACTTTTATGATTTACGAAGTAAATTATATGGAGGAATTTATCTCGTTTTGCTGAAAAATAATTCTGATAAGTAATTTTTTAATGTTACCAAATACCCCCTAACCCCCATAAATAAGAACGATATATAGCTTTGGCTAATACTTTCCCGTATGTTACATAAAATTTTAAAATATGAAATTAGCATTATGGTTCATAAAAAATACGTTTTATATCTGTTATTAATCAATTTTATGTTAAATTAATAATAAGTGCATTTTGATCGTCCTCGGATCCCAGCGACTATGGCGGGGCATGGTTCTCTGTTCAATCCCACGCAAAAGTGTCGTAACTATGATTGAAAATAGGCTTTAAATTTCCGAAACTTTTCTGGCCAGTAAATTTTGGCATCTACTGGCTCCTAACTACCATACCTATCCTCCGGTCCTAATTATAAAACCAATTACTAATTTGAGGAGATTAAAGAAGTAAGTTGAGTTAGTTACTTGTCCTAAATAGGTATTGTCTTTCCTAAAATATCTGTTAATCAAGTGTGTTAACTAGAACTATAATTATTAGAAGGATTATCTGGGAAAAATTGAGTAAATATGAGAGACAAAGTGAATTGAGATCTTATATTTAGAATTAAATAAAAATCAAACAGAGTCTTATATGAAGGACCGGAGGTAGTAGTAATTAATTAATTTTTTCAACGAAAAATAGTAATGAAAACTACTGGTATTAGTTGTCAAGTATGGTCAATTGGTCGCTATGTATGCTACTCCTTGTTCCACGTACGCGGAATTTAGATACACACAACGTGTAAAATATATACTGAATAATAACAATAATAATAATTTCAGCAAAAAAAAAAAAACAACAACAATAATAATAGTGATAGATAAAGGGCAAATATGCACTATATTGAATCAGTGTTGAAGGAGAAGGATGGGCGGCTTGCTCAACATGATCGGTATGGGCGTTCCCCACCACATGCATCTCGATTTTTCAGATCCCATCCTCAATAAGGAGGTTTGGTGGGGGTGGGTGGGGGGGGAGGGGGGGACATAAAACTCAATTCAGTTGAACCGCTCAAGACTCTGTTAACAATAAGACTAGTCGAAGACTAATTCACTAATTTATTAGTTTGTGTGATTGATTTGAGTTGGATTTTTATCCTCAACGTATACCAATATCTTAAGAAGAATATCCAGTCATAAAAAAAACATGAAGAATATCAGATATATCTTGGAATGTGTTTTGAGAGAAAACTCATTTAGCAGCGGAAGAGTTAATGCTCTTTTGGAATGTTTAATTGTTTATGAGCAAATTTTAATCAGGATCTACAGGATAAGAGGCAAATATATGTGAAAAGATTTATTCTAACTGACATGAAACATGCTTATAAGTACTTTTGAACATGATTCCAAACAAGCATTTTGTATTTGCTAGCTGTTGGGAGAAAAAAATTGGAATAAAGAAGTGAATGAGGGGAAGACAATTCAAATTAGTAATTAGTAATGTAATGATATTATTAACAAACTGTTAGTTGAGATAATAAATAGTCCTATTCCTGTAGAGAAGATAATACAATTTTGAATGCCAAGAAATATACTTATTAAAAGCGTTTTAACCTTAACGTTTCCGGTAAGGATTAATGTTAAGCTTAAAATAACTTGAAAATACTTTAATTTATGGGGAAAAAATAATGCGTGACATTTGATTTGACCAATAATAATATGGAAGCAGCGTACATAGTCTGCAGGATGAGGACATGGCTTCTGATGGATTCAACTCAGGCATCATAGTCTCCTGCCACTTTCAAGTTGTAACGAGTGATCGTGTAATTTATATAGAAGAAAGTAAATATCGTATCATTTTTCAATAAAATAAAATAAAAGATAAGAAAGGGTTACGCCTCGTACGCATGGCTGACTGCCGACACTGAAAACAACCAATAAATTATGATTTTATACTCCCGTGGTATTTTGGCACAAAAAAAAAAAAAAACCCGTGGTAATTTTTTCACCTGCAGAATTTGCATTCTTAATTCACTACGGATAAAAAGTATTACCTACTGTTCTAATCTTCTTTTAAGTTGTAACGAGTGATCGTGTAATTTATATAGAAGAAAGTAAATATCGTATCATTTTTCAATAAAATAAAATAAAAGATAAGAAAGGGTTACGCCTCGTACGCATGGCTGACTGCCGACACTGAAAACAACCAATAAATTATGATTTTATACTCCCGTGGTATTTTGGCAAAAAAAAAAAAAAACCCGTGGTAATTTTTTCACCTGCAGAATTTGCATTCTTAATTCTGATTACGGATAAAAAGTATTACCTACGGTTCTAATCATAAGAATTAGTTGATTAATTTAAGAAGATTAAGCAAATAAGTTAAATTAGTTATTTATAATAAATAGGTATTATCTTTTCTAAAATATCCTTGTTAATCAAGTGTGTTGGCTATAACTACCATTATTAGACGACTATCTTGAAAAAAATAAAAAATATAAAAACAAAGTCGATAGGGGTTTTATATTTAGAATCAAAATAAAAATCAAACAAGATTTTATATTAAAAATCGGAGATAGTATTTTTCTTATCAAGTTTCTATTATTTTCTAGCTGCTGGTATATACCAAATGATTTGGACTTGACAGGACTTGAGTATAGCAGTTGTCTGGTTGAGATTTTCCACCCTTCAAACTCGCGTAGTAAAAAACAGTGTTTTTGAGGGTATTTTTTGCTACAAAATACTATTTTGATCTTTAATATAAGACTTAATTATTAAGTTAATTTTAATTCTAAATATAAGGCTTATTTGTCATATTTATTAATTTTTCTTAAAATTACCCTTATAGATACTCTATCAACCATAATTAAGTAAATGAGAGAGAAAGAATATTGAGAAAAATGATTATGGTGTTTTAAGAAAAACATATCATATTTTTTTATAATTAATCAATTTACTTAACTTCTTTAGTCTAATCAAATTATTTAAATAGGTTTTATATTAAAGATCGGAAGAATATATATGTTTATTTCTATGGGTATCGCGTAAGCTTTATCACCAACGCAACAGTGTTGATACAGAAACGTATTTAAAGGCTTAAAGTCATTGAATTAAAATATTATATGAAAGTCGAATCTGTGATTTGACGATAATATATACTTGTTAATTTAGATGCGCACTATTATTTTAATATTCGAATATGACATTAATCATGTTTGTAAGGAGGGTTGTCCCCCTGCCCATATGAGCAGCCGTGGACGTACCATAATAAGGTGAAAAATGTAAAATTATTGGAACAAGACATGGAAGTATGCAGAAAAAAATACTTTATCCAGTTTTTAATATAAGATTTAATTGATTTTTTATTTTTATTCTAAATATAAGATTCAAATCTATTTCTCTTTCATATTTATCTTTTTTTCCCTCAAGATAATCCTTCTAATAATGATAGTTCTAGCTAATATAACTTGATTAGTAAGGGTATTTTATGAAAGATAATACCTATTTATTATAAAAACTAATTTAACTTATTTTCTTAGTCTATTCATATTAGTTAACTAGTTGTTACCAGAGGTAATATATAGAAAGGAAGAGATTTCTTTTTAGCGACCCAGAAAAAATAGTCAATCTCCTTCACAAAACGTGGGGGAAATGGTAATAATGATTTAGTTGTTGGGGCCTGCCCCACACATTTGGTGTTGTCATCGCAAATTTCGTGCCCTTTTAGATTAGTTGTAAGGGAGTGATTTATAATATGAGAAATAAATAGAAAAAATCACAAAAAAAAAAGATTTTGAAATTTGAAAAACACAGATAAAACCCGTAATAACTTCACTATGGGTTTTGACAACTCCATGACATATTATTATTGTCAAAAACATAATGAAATTATTACGGGTTTCTACCTGCATCTTTCAAATTTTAGGGTTTTTAATTGTGATTTTTCCAAATAAATATACCAGGAAAATTTTATTTCGCACAAACTGCATTAATTAATTTTTTAGAACCCGCAGACGGGACGCCTACCTTTCAAGCTCCCCAAAATAAATTTTTATGTATTTGAATAAGAATGCAAATTAACTTTATAAAGAAAGAAAATACAACAATAACACTAGCTTAACCACGAGTCTTGAATTCAAGGTATGAAAATATAACATCTTAGAAGCTAGGGGTATCAATCTTAATAGTTTTTGTTATGTCTTGATTTGAATTAGTGTAAGTTTATTATTATTCCTGAAAGATAGCCGACTCAATAGATCAGGTGTTTACCCATAAAAACAAAAAATACAACAATAACGAGCCAACACAAAATCTTGGGCGTGACTGCCAATTCCAACTCGTGAATTTAGAAGTACATGCTCCCTCCTAATATGTAGTGTATTGTTTTAATTTTCATAAATAAAAGAATAAAATTGAGGTAAGTACTGTATCATCTTGAGGATGCACAATTACCAAGGGAATATAGAGGTTGACCAGTGAGGAGTGAATAGAAAGCCATTGAAACCGGAGGAGTGCAATAAAATCCATTTTTTTCCCCCTGAACAAGGAATGCCACTGTTCTGTTATCCATCGCAAACAGCTCGCCCTGTCCCTCCGGAAAAGCAAAAGACTCGCAGGTGATAAAGTAAACTGGCATATTTACAGTTATACCTGGGAACAGCCAAAATTGGTCAAAATCCCCAGAAGATAATCTCAATGGTAGTAGTAGTACAGTAAAAAAAACAGAACGAAATATTTTGCTCCCCGTCTTCACGTACCCCTCCTGGCGGCAAAATCCTGATCAGAAAAAAATTCAATTTTTTTAAATTAATTTTTAAAAGAGACGGGATCAGGAGAAAATTACCCCAGAAAGGAAAAACTAATTTTTTTTAAATCAAAATTTTTAAAAGAGAGGGAAGCAGAGAACGGAAAAAAACAAAATAACGCACACATGACATGAAAAGGAACAAAAGGCCCCAACTCTCTCTCCCCCCCCCCCCTTCCCTCCCATTTCACTCTGTCTCCATGTCTCGTACCTCCGTTTCTTCCTCCATTGACGTTGCTGTCATTCAGGTCCTTCTCAGGTAGTGAATTCCTATGTCTCACTTCCTTGTTCTTATGATTTCCTCTCTTCAATTCTTCTGCCCCCACTTTCCTCACTGTTTCAACTCCAAATTGGCCTTTCTCCACCCCTAGTCCACTCACTTCTATTTTGATCTGTTTTTGCTGCCTTACTTCTCTCACTTCTCACCTTGTTCTTTTGGTGATTCTCTCTTACTTACTTCTCCCGTTCCTTTCTCTCTTCTCCTATTGAGCTTGCGTAAAGATCTGAGTTCGATTCCATATTTGATCCGTTGGTTTCCCTTTTTTTTTTTTTGTTCCTCACAGTGGCGGGAGCTCGCTCTAGCTTTGCAGCTTAAAAAAATTCGGACGGGAAATGGCGCTGAATTGAGGTGTTTTGCTGAAGAATGAGGCTTCGGCGCTAGTCAGAAGGAGGCAATTCTTCGGCATTTGCATTTTTGCGAGGTAGCGTCTCTGGCAGGACTTTCAATTTTGGTTTTCCTTAATTTTATACATTCCGTTTTTGCGTGGTTTGCGGTGTCGCATGTGATACAAGGCCTTTTACTGTTATGTCTGATTTTCCAGTCCAATATTTACTCATCATGGTTTTAATTTGACACGAGCATCTCCAGTTAATGTGACCTCTGGATTGTAGTGTTGTAGCATGCACCACCCGTCACATTTACTATTGAATCAGTCATCAAATCGGAGATCTGAGTTGTACAATTCGACTACCTTCCCTATGTTGTGGGGTGTTTTTGTTAGGACTCACTGATAATGTTGCAATTTGTAGAGTAGCATTGGGTTACCCCAGTAGCTCCCTCTCTTTATCTAACGTGGATGCGACAAATTTCTGATCTTGTTGGTTCTGCTTGAAAAATGGTCCTGGTGAATTGTTATATAACGAAAACAAGGAGAAGTAAACGCATGTCTTTTGACATCTCTCTCTCTCTGGGAAAGACGTTGGCTTGGGATTTGAATGTTTCAGAATTTCATTTCAATTTTCCGGCACCCTAGAAGGAGGGTTTAAGTGGCTTATCAGAGCAAATGTCAAAGTCTACATCTCCGGAACCGCCACTGTCCATTCATTCGTCATCTTGGACTGTCAATATTTATGTTCATAATCCCTAGCAGCTATTTATTTGATTGAAGTTATGCATGAGCTTTGAACTTTTATTACCTGGAAATTTTTTTTATGACGTGTTCGGATTTCTTTTTAATGTTTAATTGATGATCGAGAAGGCTGAGATAAGTTAGACATGGCATCCATAATTTCTGGATGTGAAAGTACTAACAAGTGATGTAATTACCGTTTTCATCCAGGGAAACTAAACCGGCCGAAGAAATGGATGATCCAGAATCTACAATGACTACAGTTGCTAATTTTGTTGAGCAACTGCATGCCAACTTGTCATCACCACTTGAGAAGGAATTTATCACAGCACGTTTGCTAGGCATTGCCAGGGCAAGAAAGGATGCAAGAACACTTATTGGTTCTCACGCCCAAGCAATGCCATTGTTCATAAGCATTCTCAGAAATGGAACCTCTCTGGCAAAAGTTAATGTTGCTGCCACTCTCAGTATCCTGTGCAAAGATGAGGATTTGAGGTTAAAAGTGCTTCTTGGTGGTTGTATCCCACCTTTACTGTCACTTTTGAAGTCTGAAACCACAGAGGCAAGGAAGGCTGCAGCTGAAGCAATATATGAAGTTTCCTCTGGTGGTCTTTCAGATGATCATGTTGGCATGAAAATTTTTGTCACAGAGGGTGTAGTTCCAACTTTATGGGATCAACTAAATCCAAAAAGCAAGCAAGACAAAGTTGTGGAGGGTTTCATCACTGGGGCATTGAGAAATCTGTGTGGTGACAAAGACAGATACTGGAAAGCAACATTGGAAGCTGGGAGTGTGGATATTATTGTGGGTCTTTTGTCTTCAAGCAATGCTGTTGCTCAGTCAAATGCAGCTTCTCTGCTAGCACGACTGGTGCTGGTTTTCAGTGATAGCATCCCCAAAGTAATAGAATCTGGCGCAGTCAATGCTTTACTTCGGCTTGTTGGTCAGGAAAATGATATTTCTGTCCGTGCAAGTGCTGCTGATGCTCTAGAGGCCCTTTCATCAAAGTCAACTATGGCAAAGAAAGCCATTATCAGTGCAGATGGTGTTCCAATTCTTATTGGGGCTATAATTGCTCCTTCTAAAGAGTGTATGCAGGGAAACGGCCAGGAACTGCAGGAGCATGCAACGCAAGCTTTGGCAAATATTTGTGGTGGCATGTCATCTTTAATACTATATCTTGGAGAACTCTCCCAATCTCCTCGCCTAGCTGCACCAGTTGGTGATATAATTGGAGCTCTTGCTTATACACTGATGGTGTTTGAGGATAAACATGATGTTGATGGGAAGCCTTTTGATGCAACTCAAATAGAGGATATTCTAGTGGGACTATTAAAGCCTCGAGATAACAAGCTGATTCAAGAGCGAGTATTAGAGGCCATGGCTAGTCTATATGGAAACATCTATCTCTCGAAATGGCTCGAGCATGCAGATTCAAAAAAGTTTCTTATTGGACTCATTACTATGGCTGCTGCTGATGTGCAGGACTATCTTATACTCTCCTTGACAAGCTTATGTTGTGACAAGGTAGGAATATGGGAGGCCATAAACAGAAGAGAAGGCATCCAGTTACTTATCGCAATGCTGGGACTGTCCGGTGAGCAGCATCAAGAGTATGCAGTTCAGTTGCTATCAACTTTAATTCACCAGATTGATGACAGCAAATGGGCAATCACTGCGGCCGGAGGAATTCCTCAATTGGTTCAGTTATTAGAGACAGGATCGCAGAAGGCTAGAGAGGATGCTGCTCATATTCTGTGGAACCTGTGCAGTCACAGTGAAGATATTCGTGCATGTGTTGAAAGTGCAGGGGCCATACCGTCATTCTTATGGCTTTTAAAGATTGGTGGACCTAGAGGACAAGAGGCTTCTGCCAAAGCACTTATTAAGCTTGTGCGAATAGCTGATTCTGCTACCATTAATCAATTGTTGGCATTGCTTCTTGGGGACACTCCAGGCTCAAAGGTCCATATAATTCTTGTCTTAGGTCATGTACTTACTATGGCTTCACAGATGGACCTCCTTCAGAAGAGTTCTGCAGCTAATAAGGGGTTGAGAACTCTTGTTCAGGTTCTCAACTTATCAGATGAGGAAACCCAGCAACATGTGGCTTCTGTCCTAGCTGATTTGTTCAGTGCAAGACAAGACATTTGTGATAGCCTCCTTGCCACTGATGAAATTGTGCGTCCTTGCATGAAGCTTTTGACCAGCAAAAATCAAGTAGTTGCAACTCAATCAGCTCGAGCATTGGGTGCTCTGTCTCGTCCAACACACAGTGGATCTGCCAATAAGATGCCTTATATTGGAGAGGAGGATGTCAAGCCACTAATTAAATTGGCTAAAACTTCCTCCATTGATGCTGCTGAAACTGCAGTTGCTGCACTGGCCAATCTTCTCTTTGATACATCTATTGCTGCTGAAGCTTTGGCAGGAGATCTTGTTTCATCTTTAACAAGAGTTCTGGCAGAAGGATCTTTGGAAGGCAAACAAAATGTATCACGCGCACTTCATCAGTTACTGAAACATTTTCCTGTTGGTGATGTTCTGAAGGGAGATGCTCAGTACCGTTTCACTATTCTTGCACTTCTTGGTTCCTTGAGTGCTATGGATATGAATGGAACTGATGCTGCTGAGGCTTTGGAAGTAGTTGCACTGCTTTCCCGGAAAAAACAGGACGACAATTTCACTTGCACTCTGTGGTCTGCATTTGCAGAAACACCATCCAATTTAGAACCTCTTGTACGCTGCCTGGCTGAGGGGCCTCCCCAAGTGCAGGATAAAGCAATTGAAATTCTGTCTAGACTGTGTGGTGATCAATTAGTTGTTCTTGGGGATTTGTTGGCTGCCATGTCTAGATCCATTATTTCATTAGCTGATAGAATGATGAACTCCTCCAGTTTAGAAGTTAAAGTTGGAGGAGCTTCCTTACTCATTTGTGCTGCAAAGGAGCATAAAGAGCTGTCAATGGATGTACTTGACACTTCTGGGGACCTAAAACCATTAATATATGCTTTAGTAGATATGCTGAAACAGAACTCTAGCTGTTCATTAGAGGTTGAAGGGAAAACTTCTAGAAATTTTATGGTGAAGAGTGCATTTCAGGAAGTTGATCTCGATATTCCTGATCTGGCCAAAGTCTCAGGTGTTACTGTTGCCTTGTGGTTACTCTCAATCATTGCTTCTTCCAATACAAAGAACAAACTCACAATTGTGGAAGCTAGTGGACTTGAGTCTCTCTCTGAAAAGCTTGCAAACCATACTTCCAATCCGCAGGTATGCAAATTTGAGCTTTCAAAATTCAAGTTCCATTCAATATTAATGCAATTATTTGTTCCGTTCTGTTTATTTCTTCTGGGATATCTTTTTGGTGTCCTACTGTTTCACGGACATCAAGCCTTACTGCTTCAATGCTGATATGCCAAACACACAAGTTTCTACCTACGCATTTGCTGCATTATGTATGCTTGAAAGGGTCTATTTGCCATAGAACAAACTACAGTAACTTGAAGGATGTAGGACTGTTCATTTTTGTGGAAAATGTTGCTACAGGGGACAAGCAAATATTGGGTAGTGGGAAACAGAAATAAAATTTGGGAAAGAAGAGCAAAAGAGAAAAGTATATGGATGTCCATTAATCATATTAGGATTATGTCTATACTGATTAAAAACTTATGGTTTATTATGTCACTCTTAACATGTTAGTTAAAAGAAATAGATTTGTCAAAACAGTGAAGTAAAATGAAAGGTGCTTGACAACGACTGTTGTTTATGAGGAGCTGAAGCATGATCAGTGAAGAGTCAACACTCTAATGGCTTAAGTAATGCAACATTTTTCCTTCAAAAAATTAATTGAATTCCTATGTTTGATTATTCTTGCAGCTCCACACACTTATGGTATACGTATTTATGCATGCAAAAAGTTTTGGGGGCTAAATAATATAACGTGTTTTATTGACAGGCTGAAATTGAGGATGCAGAAGGAATATGGATAAGCGCCTTGCTCCTGGCCATTTTGTTTCAAGATGGAAATGTTGTTCTATCTCCAGTAACAATGCATATTTTACCTTCTCTCTCTCATTTACTGCAGTCTGAAGAAATGGCATATAAATATTTTTCTGCCCAGGCTATGGCTAGTCTTGTTTGTAATGGTAATAAGGGAATAGCTCTTGCTGTTGCAAACTCTGGTGCCGTTGCCAGATTGATTTCTGTGATTGGCTATTTAGAGTCAGATATACTAAACACTGTTGCTTTATCAGATGATTTTTCACTGGTGAGAAATCCTGATCAAGTAGTTTTGAATCACCTTTTTGAAATTGAAGATATAAGATTGGGGTCTACTGCACGGAAATCTATACCTCTCTTGGTGGATCTATTGAGACCAATTCCAGAAAGGCCTAGTGCTCCACCAGTTGCTGTTAAAATCTTGACATGCATTGCAGATGGAAGTGATACAAACAAAACAATTATGGCTGAAGCAGGCGCTTTGGAAGCTTTAACAAAATACCTGTCTTTGAGCCCTCAGGACTCAACTGAGGCCAGCATTTCGGAGCTATTAAGAATACTATTTTGCAATTCTGACCTTATTAAACATGAAGCATCAGCAAGTTCCCTGAACCAACTCATTGCTGTTTTGCGTCTTGGATCAAGAAATGCTAGATATAGTGCAGCAAGAGCACTTTATGAACTTTTTGATGCCGAGAGTATTAGAAACTCAGAATTAGCTAAACAGGCCATTCAGCCTTTGGTTGACATGCTTAATACAGCATCAGGTAGCGAGCAGGAGGCTGCTCTAACTGCATTAATCAAATTAACATCTGGGAATTCTCCAAAAGCATCTATTTTTGCTGATGTAGAAGGGAACCCACTTCAGAGTTTATACCAGATATTGTCCTCCGCTTCATCCTTGGAACTGAAGAGCAATGCCGCACAACTCTGCTTTGTCCTTTTTGCTAGCAGGAAGATTAGATCTGATCCGCTTGCCTCAGAATTCATAGAACCCCTTGTTTCACTGATGCAGTCTGGTTCTGATCTGGCAATAGAAGCTGGGGTTTTTGCTTTTGAGAGATTATTGGAAGATGAACAACATGCGGAGCTTGCAGTAGCCTACAATGTTGTGAATCTCCTTGTTAGTTTGGTTGTGGGTTCCAACTATCAGCTGATTGAGGCCACCATATCTGCTCTCATCAAACTTGGCAAAGATAGGACGCCATGCAAACTAGACATGGTTAAAGCTGGCATTCTTGACAATTGTCTGAAGTTACTTGAATTTGCACCTAGCTCACTGTGCTCCACAATCGCTGAACTATTCCGCATTTTAACAAATAGTAGTGCAATTGCTAGAAGTTCAGCAGCTGCAGAAATTGTAGAACCCCTTTTTCAAGTTCTGCTCCGTCTAGATTTTGACTTGTGGGGACAGCATAGTGCCTTACAAGCACTTGTAAATATATTGGAGAAGCCACAAAGTCTTGCAACCTTAAAACTAACTCCTAGCCAAGTTATTGAGCCCTTAATCTCTTTCCTGGAATCCCCATCCCAGGCCATTCAGCAACTTGGCACTGAACTGTTGTCTCATCTTCTTGCACAGGAACATTTTCAGAAAGATATTAAAACAAAGAATGCTGTAGTTCCTCTTGTTCAACTTGCAGGAATTGGAATACTGAACTTACAGCAAACAGCAATAAAAGCATTGGAGAAAATATCCAAAAGATGGCCAAAAGCAGTTGCTGATGCAGGAGGCATTTTTGAGCTTGCAAAAGTTATTATTCAAGATGATCCTCAGCCACCACATGCACTCTGGGAATCAGCTGCTTTGGTTCTTTCTAATGTGCTATGCTCCAATGCTGATTATTATTTTAAAGTTCCTGTGGTAGTTCTTGTGAAACTTCTGCACTCAACAGTTGAGAATACCATTAGTGTAGCACTGAATGGCCTAATGATTCATGAAAGAAGCGATGCTTCAAGCGCTGAACAGATGATGGAAGCTGAAGCTATAGATGTTCTGTTAGACCTTTTAAGATCTCATCAATGTGAAGAAGCATCTGGGAAATTACTTGAAGCTTTATTCAACAATGTGAAAATAAGAGAGATGAAGGCATCTAAGTATGCAATAGCACCGTTATCTCAGTTTCTGTTGGATCCGCAGACCAGATCACCGTCTAGCAAGCTTCTTGTTGCTTTAGCTTTGGGAAATATTTCCCAGCATGAAGGACATGCTAGAGCTAGTGGTTCTGTTTCTGCTTGTCGTGCATTGGTAAGTTTACTTGAGGACCAGCCAACGGAAGAAATGGTGATGGTTGCTATTTGTGTGCTGCAAAACTTCGTCATGAACAGCAGGACTAATAGGCGAGCTGTTGCAGAAGCTGGTGGTATACTGGTCATTCAGGAATTACTGCTGTCTCCAAACCTAGAAATTGCAGGACAAGCAGCTGCTGATCCGTTTTTTATTTTCTACTCACACACTACAAGAATATGTGTCAAATGAGCTGATCAGATCTCTGACAGGTAGGTTAATCTTGTCATGCTTGTCAATACTATAGGCAATCAATTGTGTGCTTATGTTGTCAAATTTTCTTTATCTAACTTCCGAATGTTAGGAATTCATTTAAGGACTCTGTTTTTAAAAGGATGGAGTTCCTAGCAAATTACTATTACCTCGTTTTACTATCTTTTCATGTTTAAGGAGGAATGATGCCTAGTAACGAACATTTTATCCTGCTCACCAAAAATAAATATGGAAAGAAACGATTTTGAAAACCCTAATTATATAGCATTGATCTGTGAAAATATGCACACGCACGCAAGTGCACACACCCTAGTGAGAAACGTCTACGAGGTGTATCCAAAGTCTTGATTCCAGATTGACTCTAGCAAAATGATGATAGGCCAAGATTTTCTGGCGCATAGCATCAAATCAATTACTTTTTCTTACTCTTCCCATTTTTTTTCAATATAAATCCTTGATCTGTATGCATAGTGAGAAATATGATTTCTCACTTATGATGAAGTGATGTTTTTCTTATTTTGTTTTATTATTGAGGAACTATTTTTTTTTTCCTGGTTTAGTGAAAGGAAAAATGTGCATAGTATTCTGTTGTTCCTTCTCTGCGCAGAATATGTAATAGCTTGACATATTGGTTTGTGATGCAGCTGCACTGGAAAGAGAGTTGTGGTCAACAGCCACAATCAATGAAGAGGTTTTGAAAACTCTGCATGTCATATTCACAAACTTCCCTAAGCTCCATGTGTCTGAAGCAGCAACTCTATGCATTCCTCATTTGGTAGGAGCTCTCAAATCTGGTAGTGAAGTGGCTCAAGACTCTGTACTAGACACCTTGTGCTTGCTAAGACATTCTTGGTCAACCATGTCAATAGATGTAGCAAAGTCTCAGGCTATGATCGCTGCTGAAGCCATTCCCATCCTGCAAATGCTCATGAAAACCTGCCCCCCAAATTTCCACGAGAGAGCAGATAGTCTTCTGCATTGCTTACCAGGTTGTTTGACAGTCACCATTAAACGTGGAAACAACCTCAAGCAAGCTATGGGAAGTACAAATGCATATTGCCAGTTAACAATAGGCAATGGTCCTCCCAAACAAACCAAGGTAATGATCCTTCTAGATAATAAAGTAGATGGCTGCAGAAGTGCAACTGCAAAGGCTCCAGCTAGTATTTTTCCGTCATGTGTGTTTGGTTGAAGTTCCTTAATTTTTGTAGGAAGCTGAAAATATAAATAATTGGTTCTTTGCTATCTATTATTCTCTCGTTTTAAAATATCACAAACCTTACTTTTTGCTCCAGGTCAATCAACAATATACCTGAAGTTTCAAAACATTTTATTTGAAGTCATCAATCATCTTTAGGCGCAAGGCACAGTTTAGCATTTCTTTCACACGCATAGAATTTGCTAGTTTTCATATCCCAAAATTCCAATGGCCCTAGTTAGTTTCAATTTTCTGGTTATCTTTAAAGATTGTACAGCTACCACTCGTAATGTGTTTCTGTTAGGTTGTAAGTCACAGTATTTCGCCAGAATGGAAGGAAGGATTCACATGGGCGTTTGATGTGCCTCCAAAGGGCCAGAAGTTGTACATCATATGCAAAAGCAAAAATACTTTTGGCAAGGTAACTTCTTATTTCTTCTTCAAGCAACGTCTCACGCTCTGCATGTCCACGTAATATGAATGACTACCTGTTTTTCTGAAAGAATGAATTACTTTTCTCTCAATAGTTTATGCAATTCTTACTTTGCTGGTTGTGGGACCTCCTCTTTTTTTTGCCGTAAATGACCATACTTATTAATTCTCTGTTGGTTGCCTTTGAGGGAGGCAAGCTAAAATGAGTAATTGGCCCCTGTTGCCATATTGATGTAAACGGATCCCTGCTCTTTCTTTGAGGTGACTGACGGCAACTCTGCTTAATTTGCTACAGGCAACACTTGGAAGAGTTACCATACAAATTGATAAAGTAGTAAACGAGGGAGTTTACAGTGGAATATTCAGTCTTAATCACGACAGAAACAAAGATGGTTCTTCCCGAACTCTTGAAATTGAGATTATATGGTCCAACAGGATCTCTGATGATGACCTTTGAATCTTGACTCAGGCTGCAGCTCTGAAGGGATTAGTGAAATTTGTTTTTTGCTGGTAATATGTTGTCATATGTTGGAGGTCCAGTTTTGCAGTCTGGCAGATCAGGTTGCTTAAGTTGCAAGTGTAAATTAGTCTTGACAGTTTTTCAGAGGCGAAAGTTTGGAAAGGAGGCTATCCCACGAAGTGGGAATATAAAGATGGTTAAATTGTACAGGTCCCTCAGTCAATAGGAATTAGCTGCATAAAGCAGAGGAAGAAATCTCATTATAAGTTAAAAATGATATCAAAGGCGTTACTTTTTTTCCCCCAAAACCATCAGGTGGCTACTTTTTATGCTTGGAGCCAGGGTATGGTAAAACGCTATGATCAGATATGCCATTTTCCCTGTATCACGAACAAGCTCTCTTTTGACATGTTTACTCATTCACATTCTCAACACGCTAAGGTACAGGCTGATCTATCTTTTCGTACTATATAAGGTCTTGTGTTTACATTCGTACGACAAAAACTTGAACCGACCGACCTGATTGATTCTTCCTATATGAGTTCTTATGGTTTCTTTCCAATTTCCATGCATTAAAGCCGTGCCCATGTAATGCACTGCTGGTCTTGGAAATAAGTGCACAGCTTCTTGATAAGGATTTGTTAATGTGTTCCCCTCTATGGTCCGGATAGTCAACTTCAACCGCATATTATAGTCACTGTCAAAATTTTCTGCTGCTTTACCTGCTCTTTAAACTACTTCTGAAAGACTTTAGTGTGAATCGTTTTCCTCTTAATAGACAGGTCATAGTCGTGATGATTCCATCGCATACCAACACGCATTACCGTAGAAATTTAAGCTTCTGAGGTTTCTTATGTCTAGCGCATAAAACTCGCGTGGGCGTTATTTTTCTTCCCGCTTATAATTTTTATTTTGGAATAATTTTATTTTTTTGGTACTTCTATAATAATTATAATTAAATGTAACATGCCACCAGTATAAATATTCAGTATAAACATTGATATTAGGATTATCAATACGAGACAGTTGAAGTTTTTTAATCCATTCATCTAATTAAATAGTACGTCTAATTAAAAATTGGAAGTTTGAAACTTGCAATATGCATGTAACGCTGGGTGTGATACCTACCAAAGAATATTTTTAACACAAAATATTCGATGTTTATTATATTTTATTATTGGTACCCAGCAGTAATCGTTTTTATTTAAAAGCACGATGGATATTTTTGAAATAAAACTAATATTTTATTTTATTTTCTTGGTAAAAGATTATACTATCAATAATCACCCAGCCAGGCAGCCAGCCTCCAGTTTTCACATGGGCATTCTCTGTTTAAAAGTTATTCACAATACGCAATGTCACAAGTCTCAGTAGGGGGTGAGATGCTCAGGTTAAAAAAAAAAAAAGGTATGGGCTAAGATGCCAAAAATCCACTAACAAGTCTTGACCCACACTGTAGATTCAACAAAGCCCTATGCACAACAGCACAACAAGGATGATCTAGGCTTACGACTTTGAAAGCTTATCACACTTTGCGGGAATCCATCCGATCTGCTTCTTCTCGTTGTCATAAATCACCATCTTATCTTGCAAGAAAATGTCTGTTCAAATTCAAACCCATGAAGGAAAAAAGGCAATATAAGCATCACACATGATTAAATTAGAACCAAAGAAAAAGGGGGTTTTGTTCCTTACCTCCAATGATGTTAAGATTTCCCAGTCCAGCTTCAGAGCCGTTGAGAATTCCCAAGCAGACGTTGCCTTGTTTCTGAAAAAGAACGGATCCCTCTAAGAAATTTGATTTGGTTTCATTTGTTAATCTCATGGGGGGAGGAGAATTGAGTAGCTCACAGTAAGAATGAGATAAGATGATGGTGGCAATTGCAGCTGCACATTCTTCATCCTTGTGAAGCTTAGTGTTAAAGGCTTAAAAAGGTTGGCGACATCTCCTACAGATTTGAATGGCTTTGAACCCTTCCAGCAAACAGGAAGGGACCGATCGGCCGTTGCTCTGCTCAATGGCTTCCCCTTCAAATCATCAACCATCTGAACAACACTTAAAAGCATCACTACCTGATGACGCTGTATAGATTATTATCTGAACAAAATCAATAAAATGTGGCCCTTGATCTCACCGTATTGACAATGGCTTGATAAGCTTTGGAGTTGAAGTATGCGTAGGAGCTCCCACTGTCAAAGATAACCTGAAGACCCTTCACAGAGGTTGTCTTCGCATTGAAAAGCAGATCCGCTGGCCCAGAGACGTAGTGTTTTCTGAAACCAAGATAGCACGTAATTTCTCATTAATTATTACTTTGCAACCGAAACTCTGTTTTTTTTACAGAGATGGCTTCATTATCATCAGTTCAATGATCAAGATAACTATTCTTGTCTTATTTCAGAACTTACACGGAGGAACCAGGTGAGATTGGGGTCCAAGAAACTCCAGAGGAGGGAACGAGATGATCTCCGAAAAACAGAAAACCTCCCCCACGCCCACTTAGGCAGTGGCCCACAACATTGCGAATCACACCCAGAGAAGTGAGCTGCGACAAAAGGCTCGACTTGCCATTTCCAAGACCCAACACTCCAGCTGTAGATGGCGGTGACGTTGGACCAGAATAGGTTTGATCATACCCACACCTATACACACACAAGTTCGTGAGGATGAAAAATGGAAGGAGGCAGTGTGACCGTGAGAATTACAGAGACAGCTGAGTCATGAATAACACTGACCCGAAAGCCAGCCTGGGACCAACAACCGACCCATTGGTGAGCCGAAGGGGGATATAGTCTCGGACAAGCACGCCCATTGATGAGCCGTGGTCTGCATACTCAATCTCATAGTCGCATTGCTCATTGGGGGATTGGCAGTGGCGCCTCGCTGATGACTGGACTACGCCACACAACTGGTCCCCACAAGGAACAAGGTTCTTGTGCGGCTTATACTGCTGACTCCGAGGCTGCACAAACACACATATCCCATTCATGAATTCATAGGGTCCAAATGTATAGTATCTTTGATTTGGCTTTAAGGTTTTGATGGTAGTGATCGGGGAGTTTACCTTGGTGCAACCTTTACACGGTGCGTCGCACTGTACCCAAGTGAGGTCGCTCCCGGAGTCAATGTCAAGGTCGTAAGCTTTTGGGGGATTGCCAATGTTAAGGGAAACCGAGTAGTACCTGCACACACAGAAACATGCTCATGTTTTGATCTATCTATATTATGATTCAAATTTCACGAAACAAATGAATTTATTCTTGAAGATTCGACTACTATAAGGAACATTGTTGTTTGAAATTGACCGGCCGGTCAACCTGGAATAAAACAGAAAAGTTCCATATAAACTAACATAACTCTGAAATGTCCTCAGACAGTAGGCAAAATTGACGTTAAAGACTCGGAAAACTCTGATTAATTCATACATATACAAGAGCTAGCGGAAATAAAGCTCAGAGGCCCTTAAGAAAAACAAAGAGAGAAAAGGGAGAATGATGAGGCAAGGAATTGAAGGATCGAGAAATTTGAAGCAGACATACCCAAGGGGGTACACGTTCCCTTGAACCCGAAAAACAACGGAGGAGCCAATGCGATTATTAGAAGTTAATGGTGGTGACTTTTTGGCGAGACTGGGTTGAACGACGTCCGAGAAACAGAGAGGGAAAATAGCAGAGAATCCCAGAAAGAAAAAGAGGGTCATCGCGATTGCCCTGTATTTCACTTCCATCGCCCTCGTTAAAGGGATAGTGCTGCTTCTGGAGGAGGTAGTATGGACGATGAAATGAAGCAAGGAGAGAGGGAATTAGGGGGGAGAGTGAAGCAGAGCGGGTAGAATATAGCAGCGTCCCCAGGCCGTGTGTTTGAGGAGGTGGACCCAGCTTGGACTTTTCAAGGATTCCCAAACCCGGATTTCTGTGTTCCCACTGGGCACGGTGGGGGGCACTTTTTAGGGCAACCCGTCATATTCACCAGAATCCTTAGAAAATGAAGTGAAAAGGACAACGTTGAAAATTGGAAGTTTCCTACGAGCCCAGTGAACGCGTCCCAGGAATGGCGAGTTTCCGAGAAAATAAGTGCAATGACCGAGTCGGCCTTCTAGAACTCACCCATCTATCCTCAGCCCCCAACGAATCGAGTTTCCAGCAAGCCCGGTGCTTCCCATTCAATTCATACTTTAGGCTTATCGCTCCACTCGGGACTCTTGTTACATTCACTTGGTTTTTGTTTTGTTTTGTTTTGTTTTTTTTTCCTTTTCCCTTTTTCTTTTTTTCCCCTTACGAAAAGACATAGATTCGCCGCAGTCAATACTGATATTTAAACACTTTAATTGTATAGAATTGAACGTTAAAAAAAAAAAGAACTGAAATTATTTTTAAAGAAGAATTGAACGACTTTCAATCTTGATTTGCATCGCCAATAATGTTCCTATTTTAGCACTGAGAATATCCTGCTAATGGCTAATACTGTTGTATCAATCAATTCAATTCTACACTTGTTAAAACTTGTTTGAAATAACTTATAAGTAACTTTTCAAACGTAAATTACAAAATACAAACTAAATATATGAGAAGAGTTTTGTCTCGACTTACATGAAAATATTTATAAACACTTTTACAACATTGATCCAAACAAGCCCTTAAACGAAGAACTTGCACTGCTTTTTTTCTTACACACGCACACTCTTGTATGAAAAGTTGGACATTTTGCCCTGTTTCAGCTGAATTTTCAGTTGTCTTTCCATTGTCAGATTTTTCATTACGCGCCTTATATTTTATACCTGTTTAGGTTAATCCAATTATCCAATACTCATAGTTTAATTTGTATTGAGGGCGAAATGAATACAGGCCATGGCCTTCTAAGAGTCAGCTTATTTTTCAGAAGACCCCACAGAAAGCCTATTCCACATTTCCATTAAAAAATGACGGAACAAGGGAAGATAATGTTAAAGGCCTGTGGAATATTCTACATGTAATAGTTTGGACGCTGACGAGGTAAGACCCACAAAAAGAAAAAAGCAAGCACGTCGTCGCTTGGAAGTATAAAAGTAATTATCTATCCGCGTTGTGTGACGTAGAATAAGAATCTTTTTATTACTATCGGAAAACAAATTTTTTGTTTGAAGTATAATATTAAAACATCATTTTAGATATCTATCCATAATATAAAATTTATGAAAATCATTATTTTTTAAGTGATGAACAATGCAACCCAATGCCACGCGAAATGTAGATAATAAAATTAGCAATCTAGCTAGCTTCTTCCACCCCGCAGGACAAAATTGCACAGCATGGAATAGCTAGTGGGCTAGAGCCAGGCCCAAATGGGTAATAAACTATTGGGCCTAAATCAAGCTCGCACCATGGACTAATTTTGACCCCCTCTTTTTTTCAAACCAGGACCACCAGTTTTGAGTTATGACACATGTTCACAGCCACTGCATTAACAACAAATTGGATCTAGTAAAAGTGACTAATCCCTTACAAAATGGCTAATTAAGATTTAAATATTCATTAAAAGAGATATTCATATTTAGTGTTCGATACTGTTTCAAATAGAATTGCTTTCCATGGGTAGCAACAAAAAAAATGCCACATCACATTTATTAAGGTGATAGCGAGGCAACAGTTTTTATTTAAGTTATAATACTACCTCCGGTCCTTAATATAAGATCTTGTTTAACTTTTATTTTGATCCTAAATATAAGACCCCAATCTATTTTGTCTCTCATATTTATACATTTTTTTTTCTAAAATAGTCTTTCTAACAATAATAGTTCTAGTTAATACACTTGATTAGCAAGGATATTTTAGAAAAGACGACACCTATTTAGGATAAATAACTAACTCAACTTATTTTTTTAATCTCCTCAGATTAGTCAACTGGCTTTTATAATTAGTACCGGAGATAGTATGAAAATACATCACCCTACTACTCTGTCCCTTCTCTAACCCGGAAGAGAATATGCGCGCGGTGCGCCTATGCAAATTTCCCAACTCGTGCTAATCGTAAATATATTTTCTAGTTGCTGTTGTCGTTGTTTTTAAAGGAAAATGTGCATGCAATGGAAGTTTGCATGAATGATGGCATGTAAGGGGCTGGCTTATCCTAAATAATTGATGTTGCTAATAATAAAAGGCATGCTGTTTGGTTGTTGATGACGCATTGCGGTTCAGATTATTCAGTCTTTCCGTCTCCCTCCGCCTGAGATCCATCCCTCTGTCTCTCGTCTCATGGTGGACGTCTCTCCCGTAACCTCCATTCGCGACCTCAACAGAACCAAATCCTACAAATCCCTCTTCAGAAAATGGTTTAGCTGTAAGCAGCCATCGTCCCCTCCTGGCTCTCCCCTTCCCGTTCTTGATCCCAAACACGACCTCCGACGGCGAACCCCATCTCCTGATCACCGGGTATTCAAAATCTGTTCTGATTAATTTGCTTGTATTATCAACACCTGCGTTCTCATAATTATGATTCCGGACTCAGGTCTCTGTTGAAGGAGGAAACCCAGAGGAGACGAGTACCGCGAATGTTGTGATTCAAAGTTTCAGATCTTGCGATGCCAGTTTGTTGAGAGGCCTTAATGACGATGCGAGCCCTACAGGTAATTTATGCAGACATAAAAGCCTTGACAAGTGCTTTCCTTCTATCTCTGCTCTCTCTAAGAACGTGAGCAGAAAGAGTCGCACCCCAGCGACGTCGCCGATTGCTCGGATTAACGTCAAGAGCAGGGAGAGGGAGAGGGAGAAGGAGAAAGAGAGCAATGATTCAGTGCATAACAACCCTTGTACGCCCAAAAGCGCTCGTCGCATTATGTATTCCAACTCATCGGGTATGCTTAAACCCCCACCAATCGAGCAAGACCTCGAATGCACCCTCGAAGATTTGTGCTTTGGATGCAAGAAAAAGGTCAACCTCACCAGACATGTCCCCACACATTCTGGGTTCGTGTTTTCACCGCTTGTTTTATCTATATAGCTCCCATCATTTTTACTTTAATGTCTCGGCTTTCAAGAATTCTTTCAACAATGTGCTGGAAAATTTTGAGTCTAGTTACAATGCTCGCTAATTGTGAACAGGGAGGATGTGGAGGAGGAGGAAGTGTTAACGATAAATGTAAAGCCAGGATGGAGGAAAGGGACAAAAATAAAATTTGAAGGAAAAGCGAATGATGGGCTTGGAGCATACGAAGAAGACGTGATCTATTGCGTCTCAGAGAAAAGGCACGACTTGTTTACAAGAGAAGGAGATGATTTGGAGCTGGGTCTGGAGATTCCTTTGGTCAAGGCTCTCACTGGCTCTACAATTTCAGTCCCACTGTTGGGGGGAAAACGCATGGATTTGACAATGGATGATCAAATCGTGTACCCTGGCTTTCGGACGATAGTCAGAGGCTTAGGCATGCCAATGTCAAATGATCCTCAAAAGAGAGGGGACCTGAGAATTACTTTCCTTGTACAGTTTCCCACACAGCTCACTCACGATCAACGATCCCAGGTTGTTAATATTTTACAAGATTCCGGTCGATTTACGACTTTCTGATATTTATTTCTCTTCCATGTTTGAGATGCTTCTCTCTTAAAAGTAGAGTAGAATTTCGGATGGAGATTCATAGTGCAAAGCGAGATATTCCATGTGAAGTTCCATTTCATAGTGCAAATAGTATAAAGGGTAAATTGAAGGACGGCTTTAATCCCGAGAGAATTGCAATCAAAATCAAAATACGTCACGCATCGTTAGTACCTCAGTGATTTGCAGAGCCGCTCTGTAGCTTGGTTACATTTTCTTGAGCAAGAATGACTAGCTGCACAATTTCCATGCTACTCAATTGATTACCTTTGTTTTTTTGTTGTCCTTACAATAATTATGATGAAACGCATGTTGATAAATGATAGTAATATACTTCAATAAAAAAAAAAGATAAATGATAGTAATATGCTACTTTTGGTCTTAAATATAAAAATAAGTTGGCTCCCAAGTTTATAATATATTTCAAAAAAACATTTTATTGATTGTAAAGTATTTTTATCCAAGTGTAGTTCCAAAACATGCGATTAAATAAGGATAATTCAAGAAAGTTAACACATATTTGTTACAAATAACTAACTTAAATGATTTTTTAAACATTTTTAAACTAGTTATCTAATTTTTATACTACTTCTGGTCCTTAATATAAGATTTTGTTTGACTTTTATTTTGGTCATAAATATAAGACCACAATCCACTTTGTTTCTAATATTTATGTATTTTTTTAAAAAATAATCATTGTAACAATAATAATTCTAGCCAATACACTTTATTAGTAAAGATCTTTTAGGAAAGACAACACATATTTATTACAAATAACTAACTTAACTTATTTTCTTAATCTCTTTAAATTAATCAATTAACTCTTATAATTAGGACCGGAGATAGTATTAAGCAATTGGACATTACTGCAGATTCAGCAATTTTATTTTAGTTTATTTCACTTTCTTGTGTCAAGAGTAAATGATGTTATCTGATCTGACGAATGAATTTTTGTTTTGGCCATCGGGATGCACAAACCTAATTACGCCAGATGTTATTTTTTTAGTAATATCTTACATTGGGGTTCCTCCTCCGAAAATAAATAAAGGTGGTAAACAACCATGACGGCTTTTAAAAAAGAGACACCATGGCATTGCTTGGAGCCAAAGAAAGTAACAGGGAAATCTATGACTTTGGTTCTGTAGTAACAGGGAAATCTGTGACTAGCCTGGGAAGTTTCTAGCCCAGAAAGCAAGCTTTTGGTTCTGTTTTCAGTGGAATTGGTAAATTTCTCAAAGCTAAGTTTGACCATGACGTAAGTGATAGTCGCGTATCACACTGGCGCTTCTCCTACGACCCCTTCTGTTCGCTCTAAGATTCCTTTCCTTTAGTGCTTCACACTCGCATGCTTTTTTAAAACTCTCTCGACTGATGATTTTATAAAATTAATTAATTAACAGAGCATTTCCGAAATTCAATGCAAATAAAATAAAGGGGTGCACGCTGTGGCCCTATCAATTGAATAAAATAGTCAAGCATATGACGAAGACGGGGACAGAAGGCCAGAATCAGGTGGTGGCGGGTAGGTTGATTGAAGCATCCCGGAAATGGGTCTGTATATATTCATGTGTGTGAGCAAGCATGGTTCAGAGCTCGTAGTTCATATTTCATAGAGGCATCGAGAGAAGCATAGTTGAGTTGTGCAAATTCCAAACTCAACGTTTTGGGGTATAGGGACTGCGTGGTATTGCTGCGAACCGTATATAAAGCCCCTCCCACCGAAATGGCCGAGCGTGTGTCACTCACACTTTCACTGCCTTTACCATCTCCCCAGTCGCCCCCAAGAATGGCCGCTTTTTGTGGTGGCACCGCCGCTTCCTCTCGCTTTCTCTCCTCCGTATCCAGAGCCTCCCTCTCCCTCGCTGCTTCTTCTCCTTCACCTTCCCTCTTTTCTTCCTCATCCTCCCTCAATTGCCTCAGATCCTCACCTCGCATTTCCCATCTCTTCCTCCATCAGGTTTCACTTCTCTCCATTCAATGTGCTTCTCCGAGATTTTTTCGTTCTCTTTCTCAAGCATGAGTTTTCGTTTCTTTTTTCAATTGAAATAATCACTCTCGATTTCCAGCGAAGAGCTGAGGTTCGTGTATCGAGCGGACGATACACCACAGCCTCTGCGCCCAAGTCGTTTGCATCTGATCCCGATCAACTGAAGAGCGCTAGAGAGGATATTAAGCAGATTCTCAGGACTAAGTTCTGCCATCCATTACTGGTAATATTTGTTCACTTTCGACAGTTCTCTGTTACCAACGCTTTGTGGAAGGCTATAACTATTAGTCCCATTATACCTGCACTAATTCATCATCCTCTCTTCTATACCTGTTATTAGGCTTTTGAACTTGTATTGTCTGCGATAGTGAGAAGGAGATGGCTGTTGAAATCTCAGAGATATAACTTTCGTCCTAGAGGCTTCTTTTTAATATATAAATTAATAATCATAGCCATTCATCTTTAATTTACAAGTTTGGTGTATAGAATTTCTGAAGGCATTTAGAACTGACTTATCATTTAAATGCTTACGTTACAACATTTAACACCATAGATGCCTTTCCTGCGAAGCGGGATAATTTATTTTTACTTTGTATTCAAGGTCTGAAACTACGATGCTACAGTTGGATTTCTGGCTTTTGCAGTTTACGATCTGTCCTCAGTACTTTTTGCATACTATAGAAGTTTACTTCAAATCTACATTAATTCATTGTTAAATTAGTACTCTTATACTTGAAGTTTCAGTTTATGCCTTATGGACAGACTGACGTAATTTTTAGTATAGTCCATGCATCAAAATCACAATTTATGATCTGTGTTGCTTGATGCGATATAGATTCGCTTGGGATGGCATGATGCTGGTACTTACAATAAGGATATTGAGGAGTGGCCTCAGAGAGGTGGAGCTAATGGTAGCCTGAGATTTGACGTTGAGCTGAAACATGCAGCCAATGCTGGTAATGTTATATTATATGCTGATTATTTCTGTGTTTGGTTGATGGTAACGTTGCCTGATGACTTTTCACTTTAGGACTTGTAAATGCATTGAATCTTCTCAAGCCAGTCAAAGACAAGTACTCTGGTGTGACATATGCAGATTTATTTCAGTTGGCTAGTGCTACTGCTGTAGAGGTTCTACTTGTTGTTTTACTTCAAGTTTCGCTTTGGACATTTAAATTGGTTGAAAAAAATATATTGATCAATTCCTTGTATGTTTAGGAGGCTGGAGGCCCAAAAATCCCTATGAAGTATGGAAGAGTGGATGTCTCCGGTCCTCATGAATGTCCTGAAGAAGGGAGACTTCCTGGTAGGTGGAACATATTTCTGTTGGGCATTGGGCGTCGTACGGTGAAAGAATATTTTCTCCTTTACATCACTATCGGTTGAAAGACTTGGATTGAATGTGCTGAGATTAATTTGAATATAAGAAAGACCAGGACAATTTTTTTTTTTTTTGGGTGATTCAAATTGCTAGTAATTGCTAAGCTATCAGACTTTCAAAGAGCTAGCCTGGCCATCCCAAGAAAAAGGTGGCCATATGTGGGTTGGTGCCCTTTTTTTTTTTTTTGTGGTATGTGTAGGAAACATGATTGAATACAAAGGCTTCTGTGAATCAATCATCTGTTATATCTTGCGTGTTCTTGTATAGGTATGAACTTTGACTTTATAAGGGGTATTATTATGATGACAAATCACCAAATAAGTTTTCGTTGGTGATTTTGTTTCCTAGAGTTTGACTAGGGTTTACTATATCTTAGTTTCACCTTTATTTAATCTCTTTTCCTTTTTCCCACTTTTTGGTCTGGGGACCTACTTATCATCGGAAATTTTCTTTGTTTAGATGCTGGTCCCCCTTCACCTGCTGACCATTTACGCCAAGTGTTCTACAGGATGGGGTTAAATGACAAGGTAGTTTCTATAATTTCAGTTAAATTGGTATTTTAGGTGTTCATAATATGCCTCTGTTGTTGATGATCAAGTTTCTGCATCTGAAGGAAATAGTTGCATTATCTGGTGCGCACACACTGGGGAGGTCTCGACCAGAACGTAGTGGGTGGGGCAAGCCTGAGACTAAGTATACGGTACATTATCAGCCTTTTTATTCCCCAAGTTGATGCTTGTGTCTGTGGAACTGTAGAAATATATGCCTTTGGACATATGCTACATATTCTAACACTGGGCCATTAATATATGAAGGCCACATATTCTTGTGAAGTTTGATGTCCCTATATTGGCTTTTCCCCGCCCCAAACATTCAGTTTATTTATGATTAAAGTTGCTCGCATATTCCATAATCCTCACAATTAGGCTTTTTATATGAGCTTGTAAATACTAATCAGGGGAGTGAACAAGTGGTTTCTACTGAGCACCAAGTAACAAAGTCTGGACTCCTCGATGATCATTATTTTTGAAAAAATGGTCAGGTTTTGGACTCACTCTATGAATCTTTATCGCCATGGAATTGCATTCTTAGTGAGTGTTGTGGGATTGAAAGTTCTTTTACGTACGCACTTCATAATATAAATCACTTACAACTAAAAAACGAAATTACCTTGTGAAGGTTCTTTCCAAGGATTCTTGAACTTCATAACAATTCCTGTTTGAAATAAGCATGGCCATTGAATATAAGTGCACTGTCTTTAGTCTGAATTTGAGCCACTATGTCCTTCTTGCATAAACGACATGCATCTCACTATTTGAGTATATCAAATATGATCAGTGATTTTAGTTGATTTTTATCCGAGTCTCCTCTGCTTGAAGTTCATAAAATGAAATCATATATGCTGCAAACCTTTTTTTCACTGTCCTTATTTTATTGCTGTCTATGTCAACTGATTGAAAATTTCATGTGCACTATCTTTGTCAACAGAAAGATGGACCGGGAGCCCCTGGTGGGCAATCTTGGACAGTGCAATGGTTGAAGTTTGATAACTCTTACTTCAAGGTCAGCAATCATTATGCTGTTGTTTTCATAACAATATCAGGAGCAGGAGGGGAAGGGGCTTAGGGGCTCATGATTCGCTTTGTAACTTTTTTTGGTTTTTTTAGGAACAAGATTTTGTAACTGTTGTTTATATTTATAGGATATCAAAGAAAAAAAGGACGAGGATCTATTGGTCTTGCCGACCGATGCTGCTCTCTTTGAGGATCCGTCTTTCAAGGTAAAGTGGTTTTACATTCATGGCTCACGTATGGCTACAATCCGACATTGAACTTTGATAAATATGCAGGTCTATGCTGAAAAGTATGCTGCAGATCAGGAAGCATTCTTTAAAGATTATGCTGAAGCCCATGCCAAACTCAGTAACCTCGGAGCCAAATTTGATCCTCCGGAGGTCTGTTCATGCTGTTACTGTTTTGTGATTATTGCCTGAAATAAAAGATGGATATGCTTAGATAACCAAGCAACATGCCCTATTATAGTGGCTTACATAACTTCTGTTGCCTTTATGCTACTTATGCTGTGTGCGCGCGCCTGCCTAGAGCAAATAACTGGACATTAGACCAAATGATCTAACAAAAGCTTAATCTGCATTTTTTCCCCAGGGCATTGTCATTGATGATGTATCTTCGAAGGCTTAACAAGCTTGAAGCAGTCAAGTACTCGCCTGGGAAGGTTGCAATATTGCATCACATATCAATTATTAGTACTCATTTTTTATGATGATTGTCGAGGATTTTTAAGTATGCCTCTGTGAAAGACTTCAGACTGGAAATCACAAGTTGTCATATTCACTGCCTCTCTTTTACTGATTCGTTGCAGGAGGAAAAGCAAGAGTCATGTTTTCTTGCGCTGACGTGGGGTATAATAATACAAGTAATGAAGCCATCTTCAAATCATGTGATCAAGTAGGAGTTGGTAGTCTCTTCGGGAAACGAATAAAAATCTGTAGTGTGCTTGTTTGAATTGCAGAGAAACTGTCTGAGGTCATGAAGCAGAAGATTTAGGCTGAGCATGTAGCAATTAGTGGAAATCCAGATAAGCAATTATCGGCAAACTAATTTCCGAATATTTATGGTGGTCATTGTTGTTTTGGCATTTTTTTCATCCTCAATTTTTTCCCGGCTTCTCTACAATTGCTTTGGCATATGTCCTTGGTGGTTTTAATCGGGCAGTCCAGCAGGTCTATTCTGATCCTATAAAATTCTGAACTTTGACCATAGTTGGACATGGAGAAATAGAACACGGGGAAAATAAGACGTGGCCATGCTAACATCCAGAACCTATTGAGTGGTGGCGTTATCCTGTATTCAAAAAATTTTCAATATGTGGCTCTAAACAAGTATTATCTTATTTTCTTAATATAAAATTTAGATAATTAATTTATGAATATTAAGAAAATTAGGTTAATCATGTGCAATAGTGTAACCTGTTTAATTAACATGTGAATTATTTTGAAAAAAAATAAATAAATATAAAAGATAAAGTTAATCGTAATGTTATAGTTAGAAGTAAATTGAATCTTTAATTAATTTTTATATTCAAGGTTGGAAGTAGTGTTTTTTTTTTCCCCAGCAAGATAACCTAGCCAAGGATGCATAATAATATGCTGAGAGCTAATCAGAAAATTGAAATTAACAAACTCGTTATCTGCTGTCTCTTGTTGGGGATGGATGACCCGTCTGTCTGCACGATCACAGGAGTGTAATATATGATGTTTCATGTACCTATCTTCTCCTTTATGGCCGAGTCAATTCGGGAAACTTGATCGTTATATGCAATTTATGAAGGCACTAGTAGGCTAGCAGCTGAAGAAAATATTAGTGGGGTAGGGAGCCGCCCGGAGAGACTGCCTATGAGCAAATTGGGGGTTATGTGAAAATGATAGCGATCAAAAGGAAAATGGACTTAGTTTTTGGATCATTTGAATGCTGAACTGGTCCACTTGAGTGAGTTAGAATTGGGAATGCGTAAAAAAAAGTTGCAGTCTATTTCTAGCTCCGAATTTTCTGTTGGCTTGTTCTGTGTCTAACTCCGCCCTGATTTAAATGACGTGCGGGGGCGTTTGCTTGCGTTTTTTGAGCCATATCTTCCTTTTTTTTAATGTAAATTCTTTTATGAAGGTGGGACAGAAGAACAGTAGAAGTGATGACTACATAAAAAATGAGTTATTTTCGGAAAATATATTTATAGAAATCTAAATGTCTATAAATACTGGCTTATAACTTCGTAAAACATGGCACTTGATGAGCTCACTTTCAGGTTTTAATGACTTGCGATAGCTGTTAGAGATTAGTTTTTGTGAACAAATTCTGAAGCTTATTAACTCGAAAGGGGCAACAACACGTCAACAAGACGAGTTATGGACTTTTTTTTTTGTTACATACTCGTTATATATTTTGGATACTATTCCTTATTTTTGGGTTATTTTCCCTTCAAAATCGTTAAATATTAAGAAAAATCTTAAGAGTATCTGTAACATAGAATTTCTCCTTTTCCCTTCTGTTTTTCCCCCTTGACCCGTCAGAAGACAGAATGGCTGGAGGGACAACATGGTGTTATTTCTTTGAAAAGTCTGAATTGGACTTTCGGCTATGGGCAAAAAGTTGGGGTTAAGAATGGGATTAAAAAAGGTGAATCGTTCTGGCCAACTACTTCGTTCTCTTATTTTATTTTAGAACCCATTAGTATATTCAATGAGCCGTTGAACTGCCTGTAGGTTACTAGAATTATTTAATGTTACTATTATTCCCGTCAGCTCATGTGAATGGTTTTGGTTAGTGGGAGAGATATTCCACTAGAAAAACCCTTTTCTTTCCTTCGTTGTGCGGGCATGCAGAAACCAGTGTACTTGTATTTGGTAAACTTATAATTGATGTAGAAATGAAATTGGGAAGCTAAGTAATGGTTGTACTATATCTCGCAAACATCATAATTTAAAACTGATTTATTCTATGAACCTGAGTGGCAGTCTTATTCTGTGTGATATCGTGACGACACAGGAATCGTACCCGTCTTAGACATATCTTTGGGGCCTTGATCATTTTAGTTGCGTGATATTCATATAATACTAATAAAAATCGAGGCGAAGGGTCCGTATGGACAAAGAAGACATGGGAAAGCAACGCATAACACTTGAATCCATGTGTTGAAAACCAGCGAATAAGTTGGGAAACGCAACATTCATTCACCAAAACACGCATTTTGCTAGGGGAAAAAATTTAATTGTTGTTGTCTGTGATATTGGGCTGCATTTTCCTAGAAATACAGATACCCTTCTCAATTTGACACATTTGCATTTCAAACCCATCTTTTCCCTGTTCGAGACATTATCATGTAATAAACGTGAACACTCCAGATTTGAACCTAGGAAATTAACTTTAGTCAACCCAGATTTGTTTTGAATGAACCGCATCTTTCTTTTGTATTACCCGGAAGTGCGAAAGTTGGGGAAAATCAGGGTTTGGTCCCCATAATTGGAAACATGTAGAAGGCTGTGGTCTTATCTTTTACATTTGTAAATGCATCACGTTTGACAAGCTTTTTGCTGTTGACGAATGATGAAGATTCTCACTTTTACCATATTTCTTTTTATCCTGAGCTTTCCTATGATAAAAGCGAGTGCAAATCTTCTTACCCTTTCTACCACTCACTGCTGTACATAACTCTTTTTATCTGGCAGGCCATTTGCTCTTTCTGCTTTCTTCACAACTAATTATGCAGCATTTAAGCCTCGCCAAAACCACGTTTGCCTTTCTGGCCAGACCACGTTTACACAGTACCCCCAGTTGTATTTATAAATTTCAAATTTAAACAGGGATGCCATTCATTTTATAAATGTTAATTGAGCTTGTTTTATTTTTTTCAATAATCCTTAATTATTTCTCTCTTATTATATTTTTCACACATTCTCTTTCATCTTTTTTTCTCATTTATTATAAAAGTATATCTTAAAAAAAATATTTTTAATATATTTATTATTTTTAGCTAATTAACTGTTATTCGTAAATTAATTATCTAAAATTTATAATAAAGACAAGGGATTATAACGTTGGCGGGTTTGCTTGAGAATGCGTTTATTTTATTGCAACTGCTCTTCTTTTGTGTCAGTAGCCTCACTGCTCTCCCCAATAATTTATTTGGGTAAAAAAAAGGGTCCCTTGAATTAAAACACGCCCATATGTGAGTACGCAGATCGCACTTCAATTATTATCTTGGAATCATCGTTCAACTCTTAAATATTTTATGAGACTATATTTCGTACATAGATCTCTTCATTATTTACTTTTGGACAATAAATCTGTTTGTCCAGATGAGGTTGTAATTTATTCTCAATGTGATAATAAATTAATAAGATTAATTAAAATATATCAACCGTCAGAAGAGTCTAATGATGGTTTTGAAGCAACGGAAATAATTTCTTCAGCCATCCAGAAGCAATAAAAATATTAAATGAACGTGATGTTGCCAGTGGGCAACCGACCAGATAGAACATTGTTAGCTGGTAAAGTTAGTCAAAATTAGTTTTTTTCCTATGAAACCCCAAAATTAACCTTAATAAAGGTTTTCCATTAGAGGAGTTGAATGAATTTGATTAGATAAAAAATTTTATATATAAGTAATTAGAATAGTCAATGAAAAGTATTAGTGCTTTAAACAGTACATGTTATACTGTGAAATATGCGGGAGGTTTTTATAATAAAAAGCACGAGAGAATATCATCATCATGATTACTTAACCATTGGAATAAAATAATAGTGCTCACACAGAAGAAGGAATTTATCACTTTTTCTTCTGCATCGGATGAATAACGCTATTTTTTTTTTGGGGGGGGAGGAAAGGAGGGAATATTTACAGAGGCGGGAGATATGATCAGCTACAATACGAAGGCATGGCAACAAGCTAAGCAATAACCAATAAAATTCATAATTTGGAGGTTCATGACCCCTCCAGAATCATCATGCCGTAATGTTTATTCTTCCACGCTATGATCAAAGTTAAACCCATTGATTAAAGAAGCTTTGAGAGGGATAGAGAGTAAATATGATGAACATAGCAAAATATGGGGTGTAAAAAATAATAAAGTGAACTTTCGTAAATGATGATATTTGTTTTGATTTGATCCCCATTGATTAGCCAGCGATGATTCTCTCTTAGTAGGCTCCCGACTCCTCTCTCATAAATTTGGATTCTCCGCTGCAAGCCAACCAACGTGAGACCATCTTCTGACCTAAACCCTACCCGTTTCCACACCTCGGAGAAAGGGAAGCTCACTTTTCAATTGCTTTAGGCTATATTTGGATTGGTGTTGGATAAAATTAATTTCAAATCTAATTAATTTTTATAACTGAAATTAGAGTAAAAATCAGTTAGTATAATACGTTTTATGTTTGGATAGGTGCTTATAAAAAATCAGTTGGAAAGTTAAAAGTTGTTTGGATGATTAAATAGAAAAGCGAGTTCAGTTGTAAAATGACTGAAAATAACAGTTGAAAAAGTCACTTTTTCCCTATAAATCAGTTAGAAAGGAAGCTCATCCAAACAACTAATTAAGCCACAATAAGCCACAAAGTCAGTTGCACACTTTCCCATATGTTTTTTTTCATCTCCAATAGAGATCCAAACGTGGCCTTAATTGCGTGCCTTTCATAGGGTGTGTATAATGTTTGAGCAATCTTACATTACCTGATAAATTTAAAAAAATAGTTTAATTAGTTATTTATAATATTTATGTATTAATTTGCTTAAAACGTTATCTCTAATTATGTGTATTGTAATTATTTATTGGTTTGAACTTCTTATAATTAATAAGAATATTTCAGAAAAAATATAAATTTAAGAGACAAAATAAATTAATTACTTATATTTAAGATAAATCCAACACTCTCAATTGGTTCTAACATTTAATTACATTTAAAAACTGGAGATGGTAACTTAACAAGGTGAAAATCTTTCAATCCCCCGTACAATCAATATCTACTATTTGAAATTAAAAAAATTCTTAAGAAAGGTCTAGACGGCTTTCCGCGTGGCAATGCGTCTGGTGCATACTTGCACGGACTTTTCATAAGTAACTTCTTTTTAATGGATGGGTAAGCTAACTTATTTTGCTTGGATTTAATTAATGCAAACTGAAAATCACAATTTCAACGAAAAAGTACAGAAGCCGCAAAAGTGCAACGACAGATGTTGTGGCATTAGTTGAAAAAACGACACAACAACAAGGAAAGACGACAGGGCACGCTTTCGGCATAGCTCGCGGCGGGGCCCTCAAAAGTCAAAACGCTGCAGTTTTTTCAGCCCTCACCGATGAGAATTGGGTTCTATTCCCGCGTTAAGTTGTTGACAATGGAGGCTCGAAATCGCGGTCACGATCGAATTTGAACTCCAACTTTGGACATTTGCTTTTCGTGTTTCCCCCGAATTAAAGGACCCTTTATTTTGAAACCTTCAGAACTTTAAACTTTCGAATTTGAGATGCTCAATTTTCTTCATCCAACCAACTAAATATCTCAATATTCTCAACCACAAATGTTATTTGTGTTTGATTTAACTTATTTTGAAGAATTTTATCCCATGCAGAAAAAATCTGCGATAATAATTTGTTTATAAGGCAAAAATATCCTTCTATTGGAGATAATCCTATTCGAGACACTGTCGAGTACTATATATGGACATTTTAAATAGCAAGAATTTGAACCCTAGTTCGTCATGTTATGAGGGACTAATTCCTTTCACTAGACTTAAACTCTGTTAGTTAATATGTTACTACTTCCGGTGCTAATTATAAGAGATAATTAACTAATTTAAGGAGATTAAAGAAAGAAGTTAAATTAGTTATTTGTAATAAATATAAAGTTAAGTTAGTTATTTGTAACAAATATATATACTGTCTTTCCTAAAATATCATTGTTAATCAGGTGTATTGGTTATAACTGCCATTGTTAAAATTTAAAAGGACTACTTTGAAAAAAAATACATAAATATGAGAGATAAAATGGATTGAGGTTTTATATTTAGAATTAAAATAAAAATTAAACAAGATCTTATATTAAGAACCGGAGTAGTATATTAATTTTGTTTCACATGACGTAAAGAAACTTATTTTAAGCTCTCCTAAACATGCACTAACTACAGTCTTGTAATATGCAGAGATGTCTGAGAGGGGAAAAAAACTGTACAAGATTACACCAAAAAAAAAAAAAGAACTGTACAAGAGTTGGTTGGGGAAAAAGAATAATAATAAGAAGACGAAGCATCTCTGTCGTGTTAGTTAAAATGATGCTAGATGAGCGAATATAATAGAGAAGCGGTTAATTAAAGTGATCGTCTTTTTGTTTTTCCTGATGGAGAGAAATTAATTAGGTGGTTAATTAGATTAGATGTGAAAATTTAACCCCAATAACGAAACACTTTGGGGTGATGGTAACTAATTGTCCGCTTCTGCTTCAGGTCTCCTTAAAGATTTTGATTTGGAAAGGACAAGCTCTCCATACATTAACCCCAAATGCATCGTCCCCAGGCCTAAAGTGAGATTGCGCTTTCCATTTAAGTATGGCTGTTCCATCATCATCATTAAACGATGGCGTTTTGTGGCCCACCTTGTTTCCCTTCCCGTCCCGGGTCCTCATTCCTTTGTCAACCTGTCATAGTTTACCCCCTCCCCTTCTGTTTTTTTGGCCCCGTCAAATTGATTGTGCTGCCAGCTATTTAATAAATAAATAAATAGCCATTTCAATTGGCAGCCATGTGGATAACAAAAACATTAAATTTGGTACTGATGGTGTCGGCTCTTCGATGACCTGAAATAACTTAATTTATTTCTTAAGAAAAATTATTGAAACTTGCAGTATTTCCAAATGTTGAGTATAGGTAGATTCTTCTATATAACCCATGAAAGGCTCCTTCACTTTTTATGATTTTGATTTTGTAAATCTAACGTTATTTCACACGCTTGACTGCTGGAAATTGTTAATCAAACTAGTTATCCCGTGGTTCTCGGGCCACCAGTCAACTTTTTTCTTTTTCGAGTTCTTTTGTCGCCAAAGCCTTTTTTTTTAAAAAAAAAAATGTATGTCATTATCGACGTCAAATGTAAAAAAGTGTGCATAGGTCCATTTAATTTAATTACAAATATTTGAAGGTCATCAATCCAATACTATACCAATAATCATATGTGTCTTCCCCACCTGATCTATCAAATCCGTAACATTTATTTGTATTTAACACTTTAGTACAATGATTAATGTAAGGATAAGGCTGATCCAAAAATACGCAAATGCCTGGAAGACATTTCTGCCACCATTTTCAGCAAGCAAGCTAATTTATGGGGTAACCCCTCCTTTAATTTTATGATAATGACATCGAACAATAAATTTTTATTCTCTCCGGTTCTAAATCCGAGGTCTCTTTATTTAATTTGTAAAACCTTAAAAATAGTTAAAATGATTCATTGTCATTAATATGTAAAAAAATTGTGATATTTTAAAAATATATTTATGCAGTATGATTATTAAAATTGAGGCGTAAAATTAATAATGCGTGAATAGACACAAGAAAGAAACAATCCATTTCCTCAACCAAGCTCCTCCTAGTCGAGCTGGTTGTGGCTCTTGAGACATTTTATAAAATAGATTACTTTGGAGTGAAAATTATTATGAGTAATTGGAGAGCCACTTTTTCTTCCTCTTCTTCTCCTTCTTTTTTTTAAATTTTTGGCCACCGATTTTTCCCTTTTTTCCACAGCATGTAAGACACGATTCGTGTGCGGTCAGCGCTATGGTGGTACTTTCCCCCTCCTTAATTTTATGATAATGACATCGAACAATAAATTTTTATTCTCTCCGGTTCTAAATCCGAGGTCTCTTTATTTAATTTGTAAAACCTTAAAAATAGTTAAATGATTCATTGTCATTAATATGTAAAAAATTGTGATATTTTAAAAATATATTTATGCAGTATGATTATTAAAATTGAGGCGTAAAATTAATAATGCGTGAATAGACACAAGAAAAAGAAACAATCCATTTCCTCAACCAAGCTCCTCCTAGTCGAGCTGGTTGTGGCTCTTGAGACATTTTATAAATAGATTACTTTGGAGTGAAAATTATTATGAGTAATTGGAGAGCCACTTTTTCTTTCTTCTTCTTCTTTTTTTTAAATTTTTTGGCCACCGATTTTTCCCTTTTTTTCCACAGCATGTAAGACACGATTCGTGTGCGGTCAGCGCTATGGTGGTACTTTCCTCTCGTTCAATTTCACGTTCCGTCAATTCTACACATCAAATTCACCACAATATATTATTAATGGATAATAAATAATAAATAATAAATACGAGACTCACTGTTCAACAAATATAACCAGGAAAAAAAAAACTCTTATATAATAATTATATACACACTATACACACTTTAAAAAAGGAGTATTTTAATTTAGCCGACTAGCGCGTGTCCCACTCAATAACCTCAGCAACGCAGCCTAATGGTAGGGATTGGAGGTTCGTGGGAGCAATGATGAAATCCCTTGTGTTTTGTTGTCCCTGTTTTCCCTAGCACGTTTAAAACACTATACGCAGTTATATCCTTTGGTATTAAATTTATAAATCTTATCATCAAAATCTAAAATAAGTCAGTCTCGTATAATACTACTTCTACTCTTTAATATAAGAGTTAATTAACTAATTTGAGTAGATTAAAAAAACTAATTAAATTAATTATTTACAATAATATGTTATTATTTCCTAAAATATCTTCATTAAATCAAGTGTATTGGCTAAAACTACTATTATTACAATGACTACTTTAAAAAAACTATAAAAAAAATTAGATTAGAATTTATATTTAAACTAAAATGAAAATCAAATAATTCTTCAGTTAAAGATGGACGGTAATATCAATAATAACCTTCAGTTAGGACTTAAATAATAATTACCGTCAATTTTACTTCCCCTTCAATTTATTCATGTGGTCTTCCCTCTCCCTCCAGACGCATGCAGGTACAGCACTTGTTTTGCATGACACATCCCAATTTTGCTATTACAGTTTCAGCGCGAGAAGTTTATTTTTTACTTGTGTATTTTTCACCTCATTTTTAGCTTATCACTAGCACGACACAAATTTAGAAATAAAATATTTACGAATCGAATATCTAAACATAATTTCTTCTTTTTCTTTTTTCTCCCACTAAGAATATTACATTGGATTCCAAGCATGCATTTATTATTATAAGGAAATTCCAATTAAAAAGGGTGTACTCCCAAGAAAATGCCAAGGGTTATCATACAGCAAAACCTTAATAGAATATCGCATCATGGTTTGAAAATGCAAACCGAGTGGGACCCCGTTTCATGGAGGGGTGTTCGGCGTCATTTTGCTGTGGCGAATAACCACGTGGAGTGAGACTAGCGGGGCTTATTGGAGTTAGTGTAGGCGTGAACGCACCTAAGCGAAGGGAATTTCAAAAGGGGAGGAAGAGAGAAAAGGCTGAGAATGGTAATTATGAAAGGGTCCGTTACCCATGGCGGGTTCCGCGAGCCTTCTGCTTCCTCTGCAACCCTGCGACTCTGAGATCTAAAACCCCACCCAAACACAAGAACAAAGCAAAAAGTTACAGATCCCCAGCCTCACCGATCTCCATGCCAATTTCTTCTGTTTTTTATTTCATAACATCTTCTCCACCCTCTTGAAACTTAGTAACTTGCTTCTCTGTCTCTGTCTCTCTCGTAACTTGACTTACTGAATTGGAAATGATTCTCCCTCTCTGATTATCTCCTCCCCCCTTCCCGTGGACGGTGATCATTCAACTCTGTTCATCTCAACGGTCTGATTTCTCTCAACTATTTTACTCATTTCCGTGCCTATACCATTCGATAATTAATATACACCCAGAGGTTGAGGAACGTACAGGGGAGTGTATACATATAGTAAGATACTGTAAGTGACCCCAACCCAAGCATGTATTCATATGCTGCGCAGCGCTTGCTTCGCCTGTGTTTCTTTCCATTATTACCCGCTTCCCATCCCTGTCAATATCACTTTTTCCGGCAGACGGGATCAGTTTTGGACGTGGGTTTTCTCATGATGCTTCGTCGGCCTCTGCATTTGTACGGGTGGTTATGGAGACAATGAGTGAGCGTGAAGCTTTCTTCCACAACCCAGGTCGTCGTTTTGGGTCTCTTGGGTGGTTGTTGCTTCTGACATGGGCTGCGGAGCCTCCAAGGTTGATGACTTGCCGGTGGTGAGCCTCTGCAGAGAACGGAGGGAGTTCATCAAAGCCGCATCGGAGCAACGATATGCTCTTGCTGCAGCCCACGTCGCATATTTTCAGTCCCTTAAAGACATTGGAGGCGCCTTCGCAAATTTGTTGATGAAGAGCTTTGATTGGTACCGGGTCTTCATCCCCTAGCTCTCCGGTTCTGACATTGCCCTCTGATGAAGGTAAAGCAAACAGGACCAAATTGAAGGGAAAGAACCCCAATTCATCTTCTTCAACTTCGATTTCGCATTCGGCTCACGAAAATTCACCTGGGCAAGAAGAGGTGGAGGATTCTCACCTGAATTTGTCATCTGGTTCTGATACTGATTCCGACTTAGATTCTTCCTCTGGTCACATTCACATTGAGGAGGATAGCCACGTTCACATTCAGGAAAGCCCCGAGTATGAAGGGGCAGGACCTTCTTACGCGGCTTATTCTCCTCCCCAGAATTGGAGCTATTCTGGGGTAAATACCTACGCTTACTACATGAAAAGGTCTGCGTCTCCTGGGGAGTCATTAGTTTATGAAGAGCCAGAGAGATATGTAGCGACATCTGGGCAATGGCCTGATCCATCTTATGGGCACCAAGGTCTGTACGGAAATGCTGGTTTTTTCGGTTGGTGGAGGATTCTCACCTGAATTTGTCATCTGGTTTGATACTGATTCCGACTTAGATTCTTCCTCTGGTCACATTCACATTGAGGAGGATAGCCACGTTCACATTCAGGAAAGCCCCGAGTATGAAGGGGCAGGACCTTCTTACGCGGCTTATTCTCCCTCCCAGAATTGGAGCTATTCTGGGGTAAATACCTACGCTTACTACATGAAAAGGTCTGCGTCTCCTGGGGAGTCATTAGTTTATGAAGAGCCAGAGAGATATGTAGCGACATCATGGGCAATGGCCTGATCCATCTTGGGCACCAAGGTCCGTACGGAAATGCTGGTTTTTTTCGGTTTTCCTATGGGTTCACCGCCTGGAGGAGATTACCCATACAATAATCGGCCCAGGTCCCTCTCCTCCCGCTCCTGCTCCTCCGGCGCCACCTTCACCCCCTGCAGTGTCCTCTTGGGATTTTCTCAACGTGTTTGATACTTATGATAATGGTTACCCGGGTTACTATTCGCAGAGCAGATATGGGTTTGGTTCATCTGCAAGTAGTCCTGATTCCAAGGAAGTGAGGGAGAGGGAGGGAATTCCAGAGTTGGAAGATGAAACCGAGCAAGAAGTGGTGAAGGATGTTGTCAAAGAGAAGAAAAAAATTAGCAAGACAGAGAACAGTTAGAGATAAAGATTTCGATGAAGGCACTTCAAAGGCTGTGCCATTGCAAAGCAGTAGTGAGGGAAGTTCCAAGACAGTGCCATTCCATGGCAGTGATAGTTCCTTGTCAGCTCATGAAAGAGAAATTAAGCGCAGTCCTGATAGTGATACAATTGTTTCTAAAAGCTCTCCAGAAGAGCAGGTGAGGAAAAAGGGGGTGAGTTTTGAGGTAGATGATGCACCTGTGACAGTGGCGGATGGCGAGTCTTCCAAGCTGAGTAGCTTAACCACTTTGTCTGCTCATGGGACGAGGGATCTTCGAGAGGTTGTTGAGGAAATCAAACATGAATTTGAGACCGCCTCTGGTTATGGAAAAGAGGTTGCATTGCTGCTTGAGGTTGGTAAATCGCCATATCGGTCTAGAGGTGCTGGATTTAAAGGTATGAATAAGATTTATATCTTTTCTGGAGGCGACTTCTTGTCCCTTTCACCTCTCATTTTGGAATGTCTTACCTCTCAGACATATAATGTTTTATGCTTTCTGCGGCTGAGACATGAACTAGCATACGAGACACTTCCACATTTTACTTGCATTTTGGGCGTGATTTTTCCTGGCTTCATCAACATGCTTATGCCTTTACTAGAATTAACAAGAACATTGCAATGCAATAAATAGGCGATTGATATAGTTTTTGCGTGTTAGCTTACACAGACTACCATGTCTTGAATGAAATCTCATTGTAAACTTATAAATCTATAGAAAGTTGCACTATTCATATTTCATTCCTTAAACTTTATGCGATGTATGGGCTCACATTTAGTCAAATGGAAGTGAGGAGAAGACATATACTTAATGTTATGGATCAAGTTTTTGTGGAAATGTATTGTAGGAAAACGTCCTGAGGCAGATTGTGATTAAGCATGAGTTTTGCCGACAGGTTTATTTTAATTTGCCTTATTGTATGGGTTAAGATCTGATTTAGCATCCGTTGTATTCAATTAGTTCCTTTTGCAATAACCACTTTCTTCTTTCTCCTGAAACACATTATCCAGGACTAGAAAGTACTGATGGACTGCAGTAACCAAGTTGAATGGTTATAGCACGAATGTTTTTCCCATTGGTATCTTGAGTGTTTATAATCCATTGGCCCAGTCTCCCAAGTTTTGTTTTGTTTGTTTTTCCCCCCTTATTTTCCTCGGGAAGGGTGAGGGTATCATTTATCTTCTCTACTTTTGAAACTTCATAATGTGAGTTAGAAATATTAGCCACAAATCATGACAATGGTGCATGATGTATTTACTAATATAATGTTTTTTGTGGTTTCGCGCAGTTATCTTTTCCAGGATCTTATATATGATAGCACCTTCCAAGTTACGCTCATATCCTCCATCCAGACCATCAATACACTTATCTTCTAAGGCAATGAAATTGGCAAAAGATTATTGCGAGGAACCTGGGAAAGATTTCAAAACAGCTCCTGGAAACCTTTCATCTACATTGGAGAGACTTTACGCATGGGAGAAGAAATTATATAAAGAAGTTAAGGTATGATATAGTATTGAAATTATTTTGAACATTTTTATTCTTTAACTGTTTCAAAAAGTTCTGCTTTCTTGGAGTTAATGATGTCTATCTGAATTAATTTGCTATAATCCCAATATATCAGAATTAAGGACAAAAGCTTTTAATATATTCCTATGCTATAATTGCCTCTTTGTACTCGTGTGGTATTGGGAAGACTGTCAAAAGATGTGATCTAATTCCAATTGACCTAAAGGTGAAATTGTACTTTGTCAATCTCAATTTGTCCTTGAATGTTCCATATTTTTCACCTGGTCCCAGGAGGAGGAGAGGCTACGAGTTGATTATGAAAAACAGTGCAAGAGATTGAAAATATTGACGATCGAGGAGCTGAATCCAGTAAAATTGATGCCGCTGAGGCATCAATTAGAAAATTGGACACAAAAATCAATATTTGTATCAGAAGTGTTGATGCTATATCGAGTAGGATACATAAATTGAGGGATGAAGAATTGCAGCCTCAACTTTCAGAGTTGATTCAAGGGTATCAAATTACTTCATTTTTTGGCCATGCCCATGTTTATCTATAAGTGCTTGGTAATATTTTTCTATTTCCAATAACAAAAGAAGATTCCGAGGTCAATTTATGCCATCGTATCATGCTTTTTGACATTAGATTGAAATGGAAAATATGTTTTGAAATTTTCTTAGAGCGTCAAATTTTAGTTTAACATCATAGTTGTCATTCATTTAAATTTGAGGTCTAACAATTTGGATGAGATTGCATGTTATAAATGCTGCTGAAGAGTTACTTGCAATTATGATGTATACGTCTTGTGATCAATTAATTAGAATTCGATTTGATGGCTATATCTCATCAACTGGGAGGTGATTGAGTTCTTATGGACTGAATCTACATTATAGTCATTGTCCTTTATGAATTGGTAGGAAAAATATTACTAGTTTCCCGCTTTCAAATATTTGCAATGTTTTTTGCTTAGGTTGGTCGTCAGGTTAAGTGTTTTTACTATAATCAAAAGCCTGTGATTGAAATGTTTTTCTCTCTTGTTAATCTCTATATGATGAATATTCTATTTGGTGGGCAGATTGATTAGAATGTGGAAATTCATGCTCAAGTGCCACCAAAAACAGTTCCAAGCGATCATGGAGAGTAAAACTCGGTCTATTAAGATGAATACTGCTTTGCAAAGAGATGCAAGTCTGAAGGCCACCATAGAACTTGAAATGGAGCTCCTTAATTGGTGCAGTCAATTCAACAATTGGGTTAAGACTCAAAATCCTATGTTCAAAACTTAAATGAATGGCTCATGAGGTGCCTTCTTCGGGAACCTGAAGAAACTGCTGATGGTATTGCTCCTTTCTCACCTAGTCGAATTGGCGCTCCACCAGTTTTCATTATTTGCAATGATTGGTGTCAAGCAATGACTAGAATTTCAGAAAAAGGTGTGGCGGATGCGATGAGTGAATTTGCTCAGAAACTGCATGAACTTTGGGAAAGGCAAGATGAGGAGCAACGCCAAAGGATCAAAGCAGAGTATCTCACAAAAGACTTTGAGAAGCGGCTTAGAACTTTGCGCATGAATATGGGAGGATCAGTGCATGGACGTGAAAAAATTCCAGACAAAACTGCATTGTCACAGGTTCCCTCTGACAGTGGTGTTTCACCACTAGATGATCTAAAAGTTGATTTAGATTCTATAAGAAAGAGATTACATGAAGAGCGGGCTAGACATAAAGAAGCTATTAAGCTGGTTCATCATGCAGCTTCTAATAGTCTAGTAACAGGTTTGGTTCCTATTTTCATTAGACGTTAGAAAATTCACTTCGGAAGTGGTAGCAGTTCACGAGCAAGTCAGGCTTCAAATACTGATATATACTCTTAGAAAACCTTGTAAGTTGATGGGTTTATTGTGGGAGGTTTAGAGAGGAAGGGGATGATGCACGGGCGTTTTATGCCTTATGAGAAGTTTTGCAGCTAGGTCTATTTTCCTTAGAAAGTCCTTGAAAGGCCTTCAGGAGGTTCTGCTTGGAACAAGTTTCTGCAGTGAGGGTTTCGTATTTAATCATGTTGAATTCTTTTCTCCTGTGGCACCCGTTCTATAGTTAGGGGGGAAATCTGTACAGGAAAATTCATTTATTTATTGTTGATTGGTTGTAGTGAGACTGTATATAGATGTCTGCATATGGGTAGGAATAGGATCAGAACAGAGATCTTACAAAAGTTTTAATGATTATAGCGAGTTGAACTATGCTCTAATCCCATGGCAAATGGAAGTTATTATATTTTCCTGCCTGCCTTGTTTTTTCTCAGTAACGTGGTTCTGCTGTATTGAAGTTAATTGGGTGAGCACGGATTTGCGGTGCCCCGGGGGGGGGGGGGTTTGGTTGGCATTGATTTTCACCTCCGCCACGTATATGCATATTTATCGGTGTAATATGTCTCATCACTTTCGGGAGAATACAAATAAAAATAACCGCTTTCCTGTACTCATTTAAAGAGAAGGCACCAGAAAGAATAATTCTTGCTCTGGAAGGCAACCCTTGTCTTTTGTCGGGATAAGTCGCTCTAACAATCAGTCTCTGAAGATTGAAATTGATCGACATGGTTCATTATACTGATGGGCTCGGCTTCCGCATTTCCGATGGGGAGTGAACAAAAGGATTCGGGGGACGGGTTATGAATCTGTGATTCAAAATGGTTGGTTGTATAATTGTGCGTGTGTGAGGAAGCCTGTCGGTCCCTCAAATTTTCTGAATTCAGTTTGGCCCATTTTACAGCCTCCCACTGATTCAGTATGGAACAAAAGGAACACACTGTCACCAACATGATTAGATCTAATTTGGGCCAACGATACCTTGAAAAGTGATACACATCTATCATGTCGCTGGGTCTGCCTAGCGCCCTAACCTACTGAATTACGTACTCATCGGCAAGTCGCGGGCCAACCCGTCAGGTTGGAGAAGTCTGTTATGATTACTGTTTCGCGCACGCTCCCTGTTCCTCTGTTTTTTTTTTTTTCTTTTTTTTTTTCCATTTTTTCAATCAGACAACCTGATTCGGAACCTCTCATCTTTACTTCTCTTTTTTTTTTTTTAACTGTTAGATTAATATTTTAACGGTTTAGATTTAAATCTTTTTAAAACTATTATTAAAATATTAAATTATAAAAATAAATAAATAATAAATTACAAACTATATTAAAATTTAATTTTAATGGTTCGAAAATCCATTAAATGTTTTTTAAAATTTTTTATAAATGGTTTTTTAAAAATTAAAATGTAAACTGTTAAAAATATATTAATCTAACGGTTAAAAAAAAGAGAACATAATAGAAAAGGAAGAGGAGAGGTTCCGACCGGCCTAACCACTCTCTCCGTTCCTCAACTCTTCTTTTTCGGTTCTTTTTTACTACTTTTTGGATTGTTTTTGGCTGGATTTTATAAATGTGAGGTTATAAAGTCATGCGGGAAATAGATTATATGATAACTGATAAGGATGGAAGCAATGCCCCAAAAAAAAAACAGAGAGAGAGATGGAAGGAAAACTGGTAGAAATTAAATGAGAGTAATTTTATATATTTTTAAAAAAATGATAGGTGTATTTTATTTTAATGAAATCAGAACTGCAAGAAAGGGTGAGAAAACTGTCATTTTGTTTATTTTGACTAGAAGGCGGCTGCTTGTTGCAGGTGGCGTTGCGTCAATAATCTCACCAACTTCATCTTTATCGCCCAGAATAAATATTGAACGAATTGTGTCATTTTCATACGCTACTTCAAAAATTAAAATACATGAATTTAGTACTTTTTGTTCTTAATATAAAATTTTATTTGAGTTTATTTTGATCCTAGATATAAGATCCCAACCTATTTTATCTCTCATGTTTATCTATTTTTTTAAGATAATTCTTTTAATAATAATAGTTCTAAATAACAAATTTAGTTAGCAAAAATATTTTACGAAAAATAACATCTATTCATTACAAATAACTAATTTAACTAAGTTTTTTAATCTCACCAAATTAGTCAATTGGGTCTTATAATTAGGACTAGAAGTAGTACTTCTTTGATCCTATTTATAAGGCACTAGGAAAACTTTAAATTTGATTAACTCTCAATTAAAATTTAATGACTTTCCAACTTTATTCCCATTTAATATACATTATACTTTATACAAACAAAGTCACACACAATAATAATGAGGGGTAAAATTGTACATCTATATAAAAATTTCTTTCAGTGTTATATAAATAAGATTAAAAAATATCATCATCTTTTTATTCTGTAAATAAGATCAGAAGAATAATAAATATAACTAAATTACCATACCGCACAAAATGTCGCGGCCCAATTACGTGCACAACTCACAGTTCGCGGGGCGAAATGGAAACGGAATTATAGCTAGCCAGAGTTTATCTGTCGTCAGAAGCCTCGATCTGATCTATGGACACGAACAGCTATCATAGTCATTGATCTCGGCTGCATGAATCGGGACACATACGGCAGTATATTAATTTTCATGTGATTAATTAAAAATGATCATAATTTATTTAAAAATGACACGTCTTTACTATAAAATGAAAGTCTAAAATTGATATTAACAAGGCAACTTTTCCTTATACATAACAAGAAATAGCATCTGTTAATTAAAAATGACCATAATTATTTGAAAAAAACACGTCTTTACTGGAAAATGACAAGTCTAAATTTGATATTAACAAAGCAACTTTTCGTTATACATAACAAGAAATACCGAATAAAATTGTTGTTATTTTTTCAACAAAGACGTGTCATTTTTAAATAATTATGATCATTTTAAAAATGATCATAATTTATTTAAAAATGACACGTCTTTGTTGAAAATAACAACAATTTATTCGGTATTTCTTGTTATGTATAACGAAAAGTTGCTTTGTTAATATCAAATTTAGACTTGTTATTTCTCAATTAAGACTTGTCATCCTCAGATAAATTGTTGTCACGAGCTGGAGTCACAGTAAAAGAGTTAACTTATATTTTTGTTTGCATTATAAGGTTAAGAAATCTTTGATGGCCCAATGGCCATCCTTTTGTTGGTCCAAGTGGCCAAGGGGTTGTGGGATCAAATCCCACCCCCGCCACTTTGAACCAATATTATCCTATTCCCAAAAAAAAAAATCTTGTCACAAAAATCCTTCACCGGCAGCCACCACACCGGTGGCCGGAGGCGGTCGCGCCGTCGGAGGCCAGTCGCCGCGGTGGTCGCCGGTCGCCGGCCACCGGTGAGGGGCTGGGTTTTTTTTTAAAAAAAAAAAAACAAAGGGCATTTTTGTCATTTCACTGAATTTCAAAATCCCAATTTGGGAAGGACTTCCCTATGGGTAATTACATTTCCTTAGCTTCCCAAATTGGCATTTCACATTTTGGAGCTTCTTTATCTGTCATTTTTCCCTAAGTAAAATCTTATAAAGGAACATAAATGAAAAGGGAAGACTTTCCTAATACAAAAATGCGGCGAAATTTTCAGTTCCACGGCGAGAAAATGGTACGAGAACGGAAAAACCCCAAAAAAAAAACAGAGAGAGAGAGAAGGGAAAAACCACAAGTGTGACGAGACTCCTCGAATCACGACGTGCCACGTAAGAAAGAGGGCCAATGTGGTGTAAGTGCATTCGCCCTCCACTGTACACTATACGAACCATCAGACAGCCCACGGGTCTAAAATATCTCAAATATGCTCACGTGTCCCTGCCCTGTTTGTCTCGTTCTCTTCCCCCAACCTACTATACTGCGATGCTTTGTCCTTAAAACCCAATAGTATCTCTTCCTCCACAATCGCAAAGTCAGCGTTTCAACCAGAGTGCTGTAACAATGGCGGATAGGGTTTCTTCTTGTTTCCTCTTTGCATTCGTTTTTTCCTTCCTCGTGTCTTTGCCCCTTCAGATCTCTGCCGACGAGCCTGAAGGCAAGGAGTTCGTGCTTACCTTGGATCACTCCAACTTCTCTGATATTGTCAGCAAGCACAATTTCATCGTGGTCGAGTTCTATGCACCCTGGTATGGATAGATGTTGTTCCTTCACTTTTTCGTTTGATCTGTAATGCTCTTAAGATCTGTCTCGATGATTCTATTTTGCATCCTATATTTGAGAGTTTTATGGTTATGTCTGATTTTCGTACGTTAACTGATTTACGGTTTTTTCTGGTTTTCTTTCATTTTGATTCTCAAATTAGCGAAATTCTGGTTCGATTTGTCTACTAGCTGACGATTTGACTACTTCTTTCTTCGGAGTATGAGTATGATATAACTCTGCAGCGGGAAAGAGAAGTGTCCTAATCTCGAAATACATTATCTTAGAGAGCACAGAAAATTTAATACCTACTATATAGAAGTGTGATGCCCTGCTTCCTGAGAGAAGTCGGATCCGACTTATTGCTCGTCACGATTCTCTTTCTTTTAAATTAGCATGCATTTTCATTCTTTTCTGATTCTCTTTTTAGGTGTGGCCACTGTAAGAAGCTTGCTCCAGAGGTAATATTGATCTACTGTTCTTCAGATATTACCTCAATTTTGATCATCCTAATACTTACCTCCTTTCATTTTTTGTTTATGCAGTATGAGAAAGCTGCTTCCATCCTAAGTAGTCATGATCCTCCGGTTGTATTGGCTAAAGTCGATGCCAATGAAGAAAAAAACAGAGATCTCGCAACACAATTTGATGTTAAGGGATTCCCAACAATTAAGATTCTGAGGAATGGGGGAAAGGATGTTCAAGAATACAAAGGTCCTCGGGAATCAGACGGCATTGTTGAGTATGTGAAGAAACAAAGTGGTCCCGCATCAAGCGAAATTAAGTCTGTTGATGATGCAACTTCTGTTATCGGGGAAAATAAAGTTGTTATTGTAAGTGGTATATCACTATGTTTGATGCTTTTGTTTCATTATTGATTTTAAGCTGACATGCAAAATTGCTTCCCTATGATTACAGGTTGGATTTTCCCAAAATTTTCTGGGGAGGAGTTTGATAATTTCACAGCCTTAGCAGAGAAATTGCGGGCTGACTATGACTTTGCTCACACCTCGGATGCTAAATACCTTCCTCGTGGAGAATCATCTGTAAATGGGCCCGTAGTTAGATTATTCAAGCCTTTTGACGAGCTTTTTTCTGATTTCCAGGTATTGATCTTAACTTACAGATTTTTTCAACTATATCTAATGTGGTATCTTATGTTGACTGATCGTGAATAATTGACGTGGTTTTTTCATGACTGTAGGATTTCCATGTGGAAGCTCTTGAGAAGTTTGTTGAAGAAACCAGCATCCCTATTGTGACGGTCTTTAACAATGACCCAAGCAACCACCCTTACGTCATAAAATTCTTTAACAGTCCCAATGCTAAGGTAATATACTACCCTTTAATATAAGAGCTAGTTGTTGATTAATTTAAATAGATTAAGAAAATTAGTGAGGTTAGCTATTTGTAATAAATATGTGTTATTTTTCCTAAAATTAAGTGTATTGGCTAAAACCACTATTATTATAATGACTATTGAGAAAAAATAAACAAATATGAGAGTCAAAGTGGATTGGGATTTTATATTTAGGACTAAAATGAAAGTCGAATGAGTTCTTATATTAAAGAACGGAGGTCATACTATCTAATGTGGTCTTTGCATTTTCAATGATGTCAGAGGATGCGTCGTATTTTAGCGGTGAATTGATTAATCTGTCACCTTAGTTTTATCTGCTGCTAATTCACCCTCCATCATTTTGCAAAATCGGAGTATTATGTTCTATTATTCATACTTATTCACTGCACTCTATTTTATTTTTCTTTTTTCTTTTTTTCTTGGTTTATCTTCCCCATCTTTTTAACCCCCCGAGTGCCTCGTAATTTGAGTTAAGATTATAAAATTGTAGGCTATGCTCTTTGTCAACTTCACTTCTGAAGCTGCTGATTCTCTCAAATCAAAATACCGTGAAGCTGCTGAGCAATTCAGACAAGATGGACTAAGCTTTTTGGTGGGAGATGTTGAGGCTAGTCAAGGTGCCTTCCAGGTTGGTATCCGATTATTTACGTTCTATGTTATTGTTTGCACAATATCAATTTCTGACACAATAAATTTGGCTGGTCATGGCAGTATTTCGGACTTAAGGAAGACCAAGTGCCTCTGATTATCATACAGCACAATGATGGAAAGAAGTTTTTGAAACCAAATGTGGGGCCTGACCAAGTTTCAGCTTGGTTGAAGGATTACAAGGTTATTAGTTTATTTACTTCATGGGTGTTGGAATATATAGCTTTAGTTAACATTTCATTGAGCTCATCTTTCTCTGGACTTTTAATTTCAGGATGGTAAGGTCCAACCATATAAAAAGTCTGAACCTATTCCCGAGGTTAACAATGAGCCTGTTAAAGTGGTTGTTGCTGACAGTCTTGATGATATCGTTTTCAACTCACAGAAGAACGGTATGTTTTGTTGCTTCTATTTATTATTTTTCCTTCTGTCTTTAATATAAGACCTAATTTATAGTGTAATTCACACGACAAAATGAGTCTTATATTTAGAATTGAAGGGAGTATTATTCCCAATGATCTAATAGAGTTCTTTTCTTCTCTTTAATTGAAGACATCCTTACCGAAGAAAAATATTAAATAACCTATCTCACATTCCTTGTGCTTTGAATTCCAGCATGTCAACATTTAGCCTAGCCTTTTTCCCCTTGGGTTGAGATGCTTGTTTTCCAGTATATGCTTCTGATTTTACTGCTGAAATCCTTCACTACGTGTAGCTGGAATCTTGTAACCAGCCATTGCCCCTGTATATTTATTTATTTTGTTTATCTTCTTGATTTATGTGGCCGACTTGATTAAGCCTCCCCCTTGGTGCACAAAATGCAATATTTTTTATGCTAACAATGCGGGAAATTCGAACACCAGCAAGTAAATAGAGCACTGTCAGGTTTCTTTTCCAAAGAGGCCAAGCCAGAGCATGCTTTTCACCTATGACGTGCCAGAATTTTGGCTGTCCTATTATTATGCTGCCGATTGGTGTAAAGATCATGCTTCATATTTTCTTTGGGACTCATTCGGGAAAGATGTCTTAAATTTATGTCATGGCAGTTAACTTTTGATAATGATTAGTTTGCAATGTTTTGCATTTATGATTAATCCAAACTGTCATTTCTCAGACTTTCAGCTTATTAGTTATCGGATCTCATTGATTCATTGATGAGACTAATTTTGACGACTACTTTGCAGTTTTGCTGGAATTTTATGCACCTTGGTGTGGACATTGCAAAAAGCTGGCTCCCATATTAGATGAAGTTGCAGTCTCATTTCAAAATGATGCTGATGTTATTATTGCAAAACTGGTAAGATAGTTGCCTTTTTCAGGCCTTGGCCTCCTCTAACATTGATTGTTTTTAGGGTGAAAAGCAGGTTTTTTTTTAAAATATTAATATATTAATTTAATATGTGAAAGATTTCTGTGTGGAAAAAACTGTGGACCCAAACTCGCATTCTCTTTCATCCCAAAAAAAAAAAGGATCCCGATGGGACTCCCATTGACCATTGTCAATTAACATGGGAGTGCCTTGTGTTTATCAAAAAAAAAAAAAAAAACAACAAGGGGTTGGTTGTTGCGTTCTGGAATCTAGGTTCTTCAAGTTGTAACTAGACCTTAATTCAGGGAGGTAAAATGTATTTCTCCCTCGTTTCTATCAGCGTTAACAAATTGATTTGAGCAGCATAATAATAGCAGCTAATCTGAACACAATTGCTAATAAGATAACAGCAACGATGACTATCTGCAGAATTCAAAGAAACGCACTTATATGCATTTATCAGTGTTATTTATTTTTTTTGTTTAACTTTCTGTCAATCCCAGGATGCAACTGCAAATGATATACCAAGTGAGACCTTTGATGTGCAAGGCTATCCAACTTTGTACTTCAGGTCAGCCAGTGGAAAAATATCACAGTATGATGGCAATAGGACCAAAGAGGACATCATAGATTTCATTGAGAAGAACCGCGATAAATCTGATAAGCCCGATAAGCCCGCTCCACAAGCAGCACAAACAAAAGATGAGCAAGCAAAAGATGAGCTCTAAAATGGTAAGATATCCGTATCGATCTGTGTGCATAGTTTACTCTGATAATGCTTATGGCTGGCTGAACGCGTGAGAGTGCCTGTGCACTCCTACAAGAAAGATAAATTATTTGAAAGCATTCTTCCAGAGTTCCCCATTCATGATATAATGTAACTGTCTCCGCTTTTTTGCAGGATAGCAGCTGTTATTGCTCCAGTGAGGATGGAGACCATGTCAGTCACATTTAGGGCCTTTCATGTAGCTTTGCATTAAACATGTTAGTGAAACCTGGTGCCAATCTCCATATGCCTGCCGTAAATGTTGTCGGTTTTCTGTGATCATATATGTTCTAGTGAAAAGCGGGAGATTTTTTTGGTATGGATGGGAGTATCTCTGGGTAGTGTAGTTTAAACTTAATAAAATTTATGGCTGCGGTAATTTTGACTCGAATTAAGTTATGTCAATTATATCGGTTGTGTTTGCTGGATCTTTGGATATCCTAAAGAATGTACTCGTTACGATATCATCAGTCATCAATAACTGGACCATTGAATTTCCAGAGCTAGGTAAATTTTCAATTCACCAAATATGAACCCGGGGTAAACTCATATGTGCCGTGGTTCATTTACGTGGACTGTGTCTTTCGTGGAAGTGAAGGGACTCCTCAGCTCAAGTTAAATCCTTAACGTTACATTCAGAGAGTTATTTAAAGTGCGCCCTGTCGCCCCGGGAATTATACTCTAGACAGAACTATTCAAAAGTCAAACCGAGAATTAAAAATGGAGGCAGTAAATTGTCTGAAGTAGTGGAGAGGCCACTGCAATTCCACACTGTTGAATTGAGTTTGATAATTTGGAGTCGATTGTTTTTCTAGCCACGTGTGCGCTGTGGGATTGTGGTTACCAGCCATTGAGAATTAAGGCTAACAAAATTTGTAAGAAGTCGAATTTAGGACGTGTAAACTGTAAGAAGGCGTCAGCCTAATCAAGTAGATGTGGTGGAGCCGAGGGGGTTTGATCATGTGTGCCTCACTTCACGCCGGACCAGATCTATGAATTGTTTCAACTCAGGTCAGGTTGATATTATATGACATGTCCCTGTCTGAGATAACTGAGAAAATAATGAAATTCCGCGAGGTTACTTTCGACTTCACAATAATAGTAGTTACTTTCGAGTTTGGCAATAATATTTTGTGTTTTTGGACCGAAGTTCGGCAGTGAAATCACCAGTTTGGTGGAGTGGGACTGGGACAATGGCCTAAATGTGTCCACATTTGTCTGGGACCCATGGAATTAGTTTCTGATACGGAGATTGGAGACCATAAAGATAAAGTGATTTGTCCGGCTTAACGTTGGTTGTAGTCCCTGCCAACGTATAAAACAAGTCTATACGTGCTCCTACACCATTGAAATGGACAGAACATGAACATCAAAACGACGGCTTTCTGAGAATTGGGAAATGTTAACTTCTTAAGAATATTTAGTATGAGTAATAAGATTATGCAAACTCATACAAGTGGGATTGTAGAATATCACATCTCTCATGATATTTTCTAGTCCTGCATATATGGGTTTATCTAATCTCAAGTAACAAGTAATTTTCTACTCTGTAATGGAGAAAAATAGGCATGGTAAATTCTTCAAACGCGCAAGCTACAACTAAAACTTATCAGTCTGTTATTTTTTTGTTGGACTTTTGACCAGAATTTTTCGTTCGATTTAAGACTATGAATGCTAATTGAATCATTTCATTAAATCAAATAGGGACGATGAATTTTTGTTTCATTGCATGTCAAATTAAAACCACTTTTTATAACTTATTTTTAATCGTTTAATTGAATTTAAAAATGAGTTGTTACCTAAATTGTCATGTTGACTGGAATATCAACTGAAACGAGCATTTTGCACTTTTGGAAATGCCCCTCGGAAACTAGAACATTTTGTGTTTACAGATTGAAAAAAGGAAGATAACAGTTTTATTATCAAAGACTAAAGAAAGTATTTTAGAAAAATCAACATCCATTTTGCAATGCAAATGATGATTAAACATAGTATATTGAAAAAAAAACACACATTTTTTTAACAAATAACTAGATTTAACTAATTTTTTAATCTTTGTAAATTAATGTCTATTTTTTTTATATTAAATTAATATCTGGTGGGTGTTGATTTTTCTAAAATACAGTCTTTAAATATATGTACAGAAAAAATTATAAACTTTAAGAGATGTTTCGAACGGGATGTAGTATTGCTTAAGAAGACCTTCTCTTTCTTTCTTGGGTAAGGATTCCACGTTTTAGATTGTGAAGAGTGGGGATAAGAACGTCGTCGCGAGATATCACTAGGGAGGCACCGGGAAAATGAATGAAGCTCTCCGAGTAAAACCATTAGGATCAATATCTCATAATCATGAACTAAACATATATATATAGTTATTATATTACACCACGGCCAAGCCTTTGAATTTGGGTCTGGATCTGTCAGAAGATTGAGGAGACATGGCCTTCCTTTTGGCGATACAAGTGTTGTTATTACTGTTGGGATTGCAGCAGTCACTGTCGGTTGCTACCTCACTGTTAACAGATTCTTGTTCGCCTGATGAATTATTGTTGTTATTATTATTGTTATCCGGGGATTTCACCAGGTACGGCTGAAGCTTCTCCAGGTCTGATAACTTCAGTGGCTTCAGTAGAAACTCCTCCGCTCCTCCCTCCAAGCACCTATATATATATATCCACACAAATCCCCTTTTTTTCTTAGTTAAAATTCAACATCTTCTTACCCAGAGAATCTTTTTTAGCGGGTTTGTTTTCTTCTTCTTTCTGATTTCGGAAGCGAAAAGAAAAAGGAAAAAGAAAACTCACATGCTGATTCTGGATGGTACATTCTCTGATGACATGATAACCACTGGTACGTGTTTCCAAGAAGATCCCTGCAGCTACATACAAGCAGTGTCAATTTTCCTTTTTTGAAAAAAACAAAGGAGAAGAAAAGAAGCCACAATGAAAAACAGAAAAGCAAGAAATATAATATAGAATTTATTTTGATTTTCCTTGATATTTGCCTCTCCTAGCGTAAGAGTTCACTGAACCTGCAGCATAGGAACAAACCCTTGAGGAAGGGCATGCTGAGCATGTTTTCAGCGTGGTTGTTCATAAGATTTGCAGGATTATAATTATAATAATTGTACAGATTTGTTTTTAGAAAAAGAGGGTGGAGAAAAAAGACGGAATTTAGGGGGAGGTGTCGGGAAATAATGAGGATTTTGACCTTGACTCGCTTAAGTAAATCATAGCCACTCATCCCTGGCATGCAGTAGTCTGTCATGATCAAATTCACTTTCACTGCCTGCATTTCAACACAATTCTCAACAGTTATTTTTACTATTTCGGGTTATTTTATATATTATCCGCAACAAAAAGTTACGTACTGAAAAGCAAAGAACAAATCAAACCACGATTGATGGGAGGGCTAGCCAGCTTGCTAGCAAAAGAGACGATCCATTCCATTGCGAATTTATCGCTATCGAATGCTGAATCAAAATATTTCGGACTGAAGAAATTAAAACCCACCCACAGTGCCGTGTAGAATCCTCAAAAAGCATTTTGTGGCAAATGGTTTTTCTACGATCAAGTAATTATACTCCACGTTTCTCCATTCATCATGAAGCTATCGCTTGCGTAGAGTACGAATGCATAGCATGGATCTCTTTGTTATCAGGGTTAGGATTTTCATTTAGATGCACTTAGTTCGACTTTTTTGGATGTATAGCGTGAATAATTCTAGTTCTGGTATATGATTCATAATTTGAATTCAGGAATACTGTTAAGAAATTAGTTATTGTATTCTCATAGTACTATTATATTTTGAAAAGCAACTAATTCTCATTTAAAAATGAATCAGGTATAGGATATCCCCGATTCCCAGCCCCCTCTCTACAACCCTGCTAACTTTGTTTATATATGTTTTGTTTATGCATCTGACGGCAATTTTCTTTTAAAGAAGAAAAAGAAGAGGCACGCGGCAATAATATTTCTGTGATTTGTTATTAAAGAGTGGGAAAATAAAGGAAAATGGTGGACGAAAATGGACTTTCTTAAAAAAATATACATAAAATCAAAACATTATTTGAACAGCAGAAGATGCGGAGGCTGAAATCCAACACATCAACTGAAAAATAATGCAGTAAACAAACTCAAGCACACAAGAGAAGAGGAAGAGCTGGGAGGCTATGAGAAAGATGATGATTAATTACCTCCTGTTGGGGTGACTGAGGAGGAGAAGGTGATGATTCTGAAGAAGATGAAGAAGCATTGCCAAGATTATCAAGAAGGCCAAGGTATTTCAAAGCCTTGTCCCCGGAGTCCACACTCGTCACTGGGGAATTTTTGAAAACATGCAATTAAAATCCCCAGAAACCTCATAAATTTAAAAACACCTTCAAATTATTCCGCAAGGAGAAATCGAGGGAAAATGAAAGAGGAAGTGATATACAGGGAGAAGGTAAGGTACCTTTGCAAGAAGAGACCTGAAGGAGCTTCTCGAGAAGTTTCCGGTCGATGAGACTGTCATCGACTGCCAAGACATGGAAGTGGTGCAGATCTTCTTCCCTCTGCAGCTTAACATCATCCTCAACATCCGATTTCGCCCCCACCTTCATTGTCAACGTCAGGGAGTTCTCCGTTATAGTCGCTGCCACTCTCTGCGTCGACTCCATGTGTGTGTGTGTGTGATCAGCAGAGAACTGTGTGTATGTATATATATGAATTGTGAAGCAGAGAGAGAGAGAGAGAGGGAGAGTGAAGGTATGCGGTTGTGAAGTAGCTTTTTAATAAGTAGGGAGGAAGGAAGGAAGGTGGGGTGCATGAAATGAGAGAAAGAAACTGTGAGGGCACAGTGAGTGGTGTGTGCGCCTCTTCATGCCTTCAAATCTCTCCCTAGATTCTCTCTACCGCGTTGGTACAACCACCCCCTCACCCTCACTCCTTTCCTTTCCTTTCTTCCCATTTTGACCCTCCTTCCTCCTCATGTTCCCCAAAAAAATCCGTATTATTGTATTCCATTCCTCAGCCTTAATTTTCCGTCACAGAGCCAAGTGTGTTCTCTAATTTCCGTATATACGTCTATTGTCTATGATATTATTGTATAATTCGACGTTGCTTTTATACCTTGCCCCACTGCAATTCGCATTTACACGGTACGCACGCACAGCTTTAATGTCTTTTAATAAATAAACATAAAATCGTGAGACTTTGCTGCAACTACAAAAGATAGATGGCCTCACCTCATCCCCCTGTATCCTAATGAGTCGCCCAGGAATATTGTAGGATCGATGTGACCCTCCCTCCGTATCACTGGTTAATTATGATTATTTATAATCTCATAACGCAGACCCTACTAATTATTGATTGATTGTGCGTGCGTGTGTGTGTGTGTGTGTGGGTGGGTGTGGGTTCACATGTTCAAGCCTGCCCAGCTATATATATACCCTACGCATATCAATCAGAGAAGGCGTGTTTTACAAGAACAAAATCAGTCTTATCCCACTACTAATGCAGCGATCTGTCGATTATATATATATTGGCTCTTTTCTCTTACATTATTACTTCGTTGCCCAAAAAGCCCATTTGATCGAGGGGACACACACACACACACACATGTTAAGACTGTGAAACGCAGCAGCGAGCTGCATAAAATAATTAGACCAGGTAAACCGAATTAAGTATGAATTATTTGATTTGGTGGGTTCGATAGGGCCAAAGAAAAAGAAAATGGCACGTACGTCAACACTGCGTATGAGGCGTGACTATAAATGAGGACATTAATGAGAAAGGAGGAGGAAGGTGGTTAAGGTGATAATTCATGAACCGGCGGGGTTATTTCAATGTGAACCCAAAATTACGCAAACAACATTCACAAAATCTGAATGAGATCTCACCGAATATATATATGACATTAAAGGACGTGCTTGCCTGAATTTGGACGCAACGTTGACAATGCCCGATCAACAAGTGAACGAACAACATTACTATTAAACTAAACACCAAAACTTTCAATTCCCACTCAATGTACGTACGTATAAACTATGTTCATCATTAACAACAGGATTATCCATCAATACCCATAATTAATCATTCCTTTGTTTGGGTGAACACCTCGCAAAACGCTAGCTCCATGATTAGGGTTTAAGAGAAGTGAAAAGGAGAAGAACCAAACAGGGAACGAACGGGTTAATCAGGCATTGATTCAGAACAGGGCTGGACCACAGGGTAAGAATGTCACGTAGCAATAATAACATATCCAGATGAATGGATGGATGAAGAAGATATGGGTGGGAGTAAAGTTCCTGCTGAACTAATAACAGTGAATAGGAGACAAGAAAGAAAATGAATGAAGGTTGCTGCTGATGGGGACCAAGGAGGAGGGCCCCGCGGGGCGAACACTAGTGTGCATGAAATCTTGAGTGGGTCCGGGGAAATATAATCTTTGGTGGGGTCCCCTTCCCGCTCTGCTCTCAGATCTCCCCAATTTCGAATCTGTTCCCATCGAGGGTGTCCAAAGCAGAAAGTTTTGCCCTTAGTGGTCAGAATTCGGATTGTTCAAAATCCTTTTGTTCATCCATTTTTTTCACACTCGAGTGGGGGGCCCAATTGTTGTCTGCCACGTGGTTCTCTTTCCTGTGTGTAGACTCCATCATGCGCCTGACAGCGAGGACTGTCTTGTAACGTGGTCGCACATGAACCGTCAGATCACATCGCTATCATGGACAATGATATTTAGTATTTACCTCGTCTTTTTTTCCTCTTTCATTCCCCTCTTCATATTTCCTTGCTTTTAACACGCCCCCCTTTTTTTGTGTGGCGCTAGTTCCATTAAATTCTCCCCCTCACCTTCCTTTTCCTTTTGGTTGTGTTCTCTTCGGTTGGGACAACTCATCGGTGTGTTTTGTGTATGAAACACTGCATGCAACGCGGCACACAAAAGAGAAGGGGAAATAATAAAATATATGTGTTTGAGAAAGTAACCTAACGACTCGTACGTTATCCGTCTGGTTGAGGAGCAAATTACTTGAAAAATAAGGTTATAACTGTTTCGGACAGCTTAGCTCGGTTTTCATTCCATGCCAGTGACACTCGATTCTTCTCATTTAATCGAGTATGGAGAACTTGCCATGCAATATGCCCCTTGAATTAAATATGATTCTCTTATTTTAAGAGCTTATGCACTAGATTAATCGGTAGTGTCAATTAATTAGGAGAAATAAAAAATATACTTATATTCTTTTACACTTCTCTTTTATATATCCTTCTAATATATATAGTGTTCTCACTAGCTAACGGATATATGTTGGTGACAAAACAGCCATGCAAACTTATTTGGTTTCTTTGCTGTTGGTGATCATCATAGGTACACATAGATGTTAATCATTCCCTTAAAATTAAATTAATTTGATATGGAAAGGTGGAAAAGCTCGAGGCTATAACCTGCTTGGTCAAAGAATTGATGAGAGTAATTAAGGCAAAAGGAGAGGAAAGAAAGAGAGGTGATCAATGATGGTGCATCCAGATCATGTCTTATCTAACAATATAATTTACCCATCCCATCTTAAATGTAATGCCCATTTTATAGTGTAAACTATAAAATAAGTCTTATGTTCAGAACTAGAGGAGTAATTTATAAGAACATAAATACAAACCAAAAGAAGAGCGGCCTGCAAGGAGACAAGAACAATAATTAAATAAACACCTTATTATGATTTCTTTCGTGATATCAATCTATTCACGCTTCCAACAAAACACTATTGTTAAATGCGTTTTGCTTTTGCCTCTACTTTATTAGTTTTTTCTCCAGATTTGTTGTGCACGAGTTCTTTTACATATAGCTTTGCATGATTAGATTCCTGGACTATATCCTAAGTTCTTGGAATAGTACAGTCTCTATCTTTGTGTCACAAAGCTCGTTATCTTGACCATGTTTATATATGATTCTGCCCCTCTGAGATCCTATATATCTACATATATATATATAATGTAACCCAACCTCATGCTTCCAGGTGTCCTCGTCGTTAATCATTAATTAATAAACTGTTTGTATACCAAATGACTGCGTAATTATCAAACCGGCCTGTTTCAGACTTTCTAGACGTTTTAAATCGGTGCATATATAGCCGATTTGATTGGTTAAAGCATACCAGACTCAGTCCCTTCGCAACTTGACGCTGTTTTTCATGGCTGCCCGTGACTAGCTAGCTCTAAATTATATATTTACACTATAAATTTTGATCATTCGTCACTCCGAAAACGGTGGATATTGAGCTGTAAATGAGTTATAGCGAGCAAATTATTAATCGAACGTACGAAGAAGAAATATATCATTTATCTGTTAATGAGTTCAGCATGCTGGCGTATATCGCTATTCTTTATAACCTTTTCTTTTTTTTTTTAAATTTTACAATCTAGGAGTAGGAGATCAATGAAAGAGATGCAGAAGAAGAAAGGAAATATTAGCAACTAATTTTATGGCCAAACAAATATATCTGAATTATGAGTGATCAAATTATGCAATATAATATAGATGCATGCAAGTTGCGACGTGCGTCAGGGTTCTTTAGTCAAAATGACATTTTCATCTTTGGCAGGTACGTACGCTTCTTCCAAAGCGATTAATCAGTTAATTACTATTTTGATAATAATGCTGACTTAATCGCATCAAATTAATAATGGGGCAGCCAGATTCAAAATAAAAGAAAATAAGTAGGGGTGAGAATAAGTTAGACTTCTCTTTGGGGGGGGGGGGTCCAACTATTGATCTGGATTTAGACTTATCATACGCAACCCCAATCACTCGTATCTCTAAAAACTTTAAGTGCCCGTTTGGTATTTGATAAGCTCAATTTAAAAAATTGGAGAAGTGAAATTAAAAGTTTTTAATTATTTTTTCTTATTCTTTTATTTTATATGTTCTCTTTATCAAATTTTTATAACCTCATTTTTCTAATTTTTTAAAATTCAAGTCACTAAAATTTTTCCTCACCTCTTTTTCGTCCAATTCCCTCTCACATCAAACATTGGGGAAACAATTTATCATGCTTCTTCAATAAACCATAATCACCCATACTTGTGCCTTTGGTCTTCCATTTTGTGGCTTGTGGCTTTCTGGACCATGAAGTCACCTGACGTCTTTAGCCGGAGCTCGGGATCGGCAAAGATAGGGGATGAAAACTGCAAAGCCGGTGTGCGCCTGTGATGGAAGTTGTGGGATCAGAAATTAAAGGCTAAAGATTAAATTTTCCATTTTAACATATATATATCATGGCTTTGTTTAGGCAGGTTTTTTTTTTCTTAAGCCGATGAAATTTTTTTGAAAAATACTTTTAAAATTTCAAAATCTCAAATTAAGAATGATTACAAAAATATGTTGTCATTTAATTTTCAAATGTTGTCAATGTGAACAATGATTTAAAATTTTAAAATTTGAAAATATTTTTTTTCGAGATTCTACCTTAAGTTTCTGCCACAAATATCTATTTAGGGAACAAAGATGACGTGACTTCTCATAATTGCAGAATTAGCCAAGACAATGAAATATAGGCATGCCATCACTAGACCACTGCGAGTGTGTGTGTGTGTGTGATTTTTCAAAAGAGATGGCCCAACGAACCCTTTAATTTAATATTGATAGCGTTGCAATACACTAGTTTTGAAGGAAATTGATTGATGAACAAAAAGAGACGTGCATTTTGGGTTGATAACAAGATTTGTGTTATTTTTGCCGTGTAAAATATTCAAAATTAAGATGCAGAGCTCATTGACTAATTTGAATATATTAAGAAAATTAATTAGTTAAGATAGTTATGTGTAATAAATAAGTATTGTTTTTTTTAAAATATTTTTACCAATCATATGTATTAGCTAGACTTATCACTTGATGAAACATTTAATATGTGCAATTACTACAATGGCTACATTAAAAAAAAAAAGACAAATATAAAAAACAAAATAGATTAGGATCTTATATCTAAAACCAAATTAAATATCAAATTAATTCTTATATTAAGAATAAGAGATAATATTTATGTATAATTCCTTCTTTTTTAAAGATTAATAATGTTACTAAAGAACAGACAATACACTGTCTCCAGACTTGCATCATCACTGTCGCGACTGATTGCATCAAAAAAAAGTAATCAATAGTCAATCATGAGTCTCTCTCACACATTTATATATACATACACTAGCCAAAGGAAATTAACATGGAAAAGGGAAAATAATGTGATTACCAAGAGATATATATATATATATATAGTGTGTTTAATTAATCAAAACTTCAACTGAAAAGCCCATGAATTTGAAGCACACAGTCATATACTTAGAGGAAATATTATTAAAGAGGCTTGGCTTTAGTAAAGGGCGCTGCTTGGTGATGGTGTGACAGGTCGATCATAAAGTAAAAGATGAAAAGCAAAATAACAAGATAAAATAAACATTTGCAAGTATGGATCGACCATATCAATGGGGTCCCATTTCATCAATTCATCTCATGAGCTCGAGATTTGTCAACATTTGGACATCCACACGCATGCCCCCTCTGTTCTATCTTTGAGACTTTGACCGAAAATAACTAAAGCACCTATGTAATTCACCATGTGGACCTCACCAGTTTATATATATATATATATATATATATATATATAGCTGGTGATTATATGTATGTTTGGAGATTGGGAAAAAAAGTAAAAACGCATGCTTGACTTGCTCCATGCATATCGGATCAATATCGAACTATTGTATGGGCAAGTCAAAGCAGCTAGCTGGATAAGGATGTTTAGTCCGTGATTAACGGGGCGCGTATGGTTGATAGTGGAATTAGCATCGGAATGCATTCTTGATGGTCGCGTTAGTTTATCAGAAAAATAAAAACATAATCTAATAAGAGAATAAACCAGGCATTGATTTTTATGAGAGAATCATGGTACGAGAAAGCTGACTAAATAAAAAATTAATCAGCATTAATTTCCTAATCGCTGATTGAGACATAACACCTTCTTATATAAATAGTGGTCATGATGCATCTTGACATTAACATCTCTCGTTCTTTTCGATTTTTTTTTTTTGGTAGGGTGTATCTGGATCTGCTTGCTTTCTCCCCTATTCTCCTTGCTTATTTATTTATTTTCTGTGAGTTCAGTACAGACTACAGAGTAGCAGAACGATGATGAAATTGGAAAGCCGATCTCTCTTGTGACTGTGGCTGCTTTGCAAGCAGAAAAGTGGACCTTCTGATTACTGAAACTGCCTAATTGTATAGTACGCGTTATTATGTCACTCGTATTATTTTGCATACGCATCTTCAGGACACGGACTGATAAAGCATGCATGCGCAGCCCTTTTCTTTTACTAAAAAGCTGCGGTTCTCATCACAAAATTGATGCGTACAGCCAGACGCAAATCCAGAAGAATATATCGTCATCAAACTGAACAAACAAATTAAAGTCGTTTTTAGTCGTTTGAATCCAACTTGGGAAGAAAGTTTTGCGAAAATCATGCAGGCAATCGTGATTATATCAAAAAGAAAGAAAGTACGAAAAATTTAGGCGTTTCCCTATTAATATGAATTGTTGAATGAAACGTAGTGAGATCTGAAAAATGATATTCCTCCGTCCTAAATATAATACACTTATATACAATATAAAAGTTTTATATTTAGAAATGGAAGAGTATCGTCTATTCTTTTCTAATAAAAAAGATTTAATAATAGATGCTTTAAGAATTGTGATCAGAACAGATTGAATAAAAGGGGGAAACGAGGAGAAGGAAGTTCAGAGTTGAAATGTTATCGCATGGGAAAATAATGTCGGCAAGTAGTAACTTGTAGATCGCTTTTCTCAAAGACTTGGATGAAATGGGACCAAATATAAGAAAGAATATAGCAGTAGGAGATGAGTCAAAATTTCAAACCACACGATAAAGAAAAGCGATTGGGGATAGACAGGAAGAATCAGAAAAAGGTGTAAAGAAACTTGCTTTTATTGGCAATTAGGATCTTCTTCGAATCCGTGATTGGCTTCAACCTATCATCACAGTATGCTTAGATCCCAGTGATGGTCATAAGCATCTGCCATTTTCAAGCGTGAAAATCCACGAGTTTTACACTGACCCCTTCCATCTTCTCTCAAATCCTTTGACTAATTCCAAACACCATCATTACTGAATTAATGAATTCACATTTCTCTTTTTTCCGGACCATAGTACCGAATTCATATTAGTTCTGAAGGGTCTTTTTATTCCCCCCCCCCCCACTCCTCATGTGACAGGGAGGGGAAAAATCTAAATGCTATGAGAAAAAGAAGTATTTACCAACATACTGTACTGATAATCATTCTCATTCTGAAAAAGTGCGGATTCAAATGGAAGTTATTTACGTTAAGAACAATTTTACATTTTCACTTATTGCAAGATGTACTATATATTGTTTTTAATTAAAAAGTGAAATCTTTCGGTGTTTCATTCTCTTATGTGCAATATATTCCCACAAGTTCTGGCGAAAAAAATATAAAATCATCATAACAATATAAATAATAATTAATTCAGTAATTTACATTTTTTCCGGGACAATATATATTTATTTTATCTGTAAAATTTTACAAATTTCTCAATTTGACATCCAATCTTCACTTTTCTAGACAAGCAGGGAAAATCTTACAAAATTATCAAAAGCTTTGAATGGTTGCTCAATTTGGAAGCACGAGCAGACCGCTCCTCGGTTGCCTAATGAGAAAGATTGAAACTAATTTTATCTTTTTCTGTAGTATTTAAAAACACACAGATATAGTCCAAAAAATTTGTCAAAGAAACCCTCTTTTTTACTTTGTCATGTTGAGAGAAGTTGGGCTAAGCCCAGAAGAATTATTGGGTGAGCTACATCTCACTTGGGCTAAACCAGGATTTTGAGCCCGGCCCAACTCATCTTGTCATGAGTCCAACGCAGTGCCTTGGTTGTTGCGGAGGCGGGACGTTGGGTAGCTGGACCCAACTCGTCAATCCTCTGCCTTCGTCCTCGATCATCTTGTTCCTGCAGCTCTTTTCTTATTGGTCAACTATATTCCTCCATCTGATAAGGCTCTCTTCATTAATTTGCTCCTCCCTCTTTCCCATCCTCCTTTGCTCTATACAGCACCTCGGCTTCAAGGTAGGAATCTGGCTCGAAATACCCCCGTTACGCTGCATTTTCTTCGCATCCATGGAGTCGTGAAACCATCCTTAATTTCTGAAAACGACTCCCGCTTGTTAATTAGTCAATCAAGCACTGTGTGATTGGAATCTCCTTTTCCGTTCCTACTTTTTTCTTTTGGTTATAACAACTGAACGAACTGTGCAAGTTACGGGAGCTGATATGGATGTGTATAATACAGAATTTCTGGGCTCTTAACTGTTCGCAAGCAATTCAATGGCTTCGACCGTGGCTAATGCGCCCATTACTGTCAGAACGGTAAAGCGTTTGGATTGCCAGAATTACGTTGGTCTTAAAGCACCCACAAGTTTTAAGCTCAACAACGCCCGCACTGCAGCGAAGCCTCAACCTTCACGCCTTTTTGTCGCAAGATCAAGCGAGCACCAAAACGTTCCGGGGTCGATAAAGAAGCTGGGGCTGAGCGATGCTGAATGCGAAGCTGCAGTTGTGGCAGGAAACATCCCGGAGGCGCCTCCGGTGCCCCCTAAACCGGCACCCCCAGCTGGAACTCCGGTGGTCCCTTCGCTTGTAAGTGCAGAGTTCAACTGAATTGTCATTGGAGTACTAATAAAGATACAAGCTTTGACTATATTTTCCGTAAACGAAATAAGGCTTATGAAATTGTTTTTGCTTCTGCACTATTATCGGTTATTTGTACACCTTGCTCAGAAATAATTGTTTTGTATCAGCCACTTCAAAGGCGTCCTCGTCGTAATCGTAAGTCCGCATCACTCAGAGCTTCTTTTCAGGAAACAAATATATCACCTGCGAATTTGGTGTACCCGCTCTTCATTCATGAAGGTTGTTTTTTTTACTTGGACGCTTTCAACGTATTTGTATTCTAATTATGCACATTCGTATTTTGTTGTGACCATTATACTTTGCCCATGCTGTTTTGATTTGGACTAAGAACATGTGAACTTGCAGGTCAGGAGGACACACCAATAGGGGCTATGCCTGGATGCTATAGGCTTGGTTGGAGACATGGACTTGTCGAAGAGGTCTTTATCTGCTACTGATTCTGTTCATGCACAGCTATGTGTCTATTATCAAAAGCATTATCACTTCAAGCACTTCACCCTAGAAACTTAATGGGTTAGGATTTTGAAATTGTAGTAGAACCATTCTCATGTTTATCTGCGCCAAAACCATTCAACTGGCAGTAGTAAAGGAGGAGGCAGGGGGGTTGCGTTCCGTATTTGATTAAATGAAAAAAAAAAAAAAAAAGTATTGTGGAGATGCTGTGTGATCTTTGAGCTGTGGATTGTTGACACGCTTTGTCATAAGTATATTTGCAAGAACCTTTGCCCTGGCGGCTGGGCTATATTTCTACCTTCTTTCTTTCATGGCATGTCTTTGATAAATAGGATACCTGTAGCTTCTTCTGGCTTTGTTCTTTTGCTCATAAAATTGTCTTTATCTCTCAAGAATTGACTGACCGATATTATCTGTAGACGTTCGTTTATAATTGGTATATTTGATTATTGTATTTGGTTACAATATAGGAGGCGTACATTGGAAATCATTTTCCCCCTATGTTCCCAATCTTCATGGCTGATAGTCAGGTCGCCTTAGTTATTTCTTGTATTAGGTTTAGTATTTCTCAGGAAGCATTTTGTGTTCCAGGTGGCTAAGGCAAGGGATGTTGGTGTTAATAGTATTGTGCTCTTCCCCAAAATTCCTGATGCTTTGAAGGTTCTACTCTCACTGCTTGTCACCATAGCCTTTCTATCGTATTGCCTTTTTTAGAATAACACTTTTCATCCTTTAGTCTCCAACAGGAGATGAGGCATACAATGACAACGGTTTAGTTCCTCGAGCAATACGTCTGCTGAAGGATAAATTCCCTGATCTTGTGAGTAAACATACTTTCTTCTCTCTGAGGACAATCTATTGCACTGCCTGTAGTATGGTAAGTCACCATCCTTTTTGGCACGGGCTTTGTTCAGGTTATCTATACGGATGTTGCGTTAGATCCTTATTCTTCCGATGGGCATGATGGTATAGTCAGAGAAGATGGTAAGTTGTCAAATCTGTCTACATTTCTCAGTGGTCTGAATTCATGTTAGAAGGTGCAGAAATAATGTCGTCTAAGATTCTGTGAGTCAACTTCGACAAAACTTTAATAGGTAGAAGGCTATTAGCCATTTGCAAAATTTGAAGTCTTATAGAAGGAAATGGCTTTTCTTGGTTACTGTTATTAAAGCGCAATTGTAATTTATAACCTTAATATCTCGTAGGAGTTATTATGAATGACGAGACAGTTCATCAATTATGTAAACAAGCTGTAGCCCAGGTAATCTGATTCCATGTACTAAATTTAACTTTCAGCTGCAGCCATGTGATATATACATACATATATATGTGTAGAGAGAGAGAGAGAGAGCCTTTTATATCATATTTTGGTGACCTCCACTCATTTACTAGCTTCATTTATTATTTTTAATTTCCATTTTTTTTATTTTGTTGCTTATACAAAAGGCCCGTGCTGGAGCCGATGTAGTCAGTCCTAGTGATATGATGGATGGACGTGTAGGAGCACTGCGGGCAGCTCTTGATGCTGAAGGATTTCAGCATGTTTCTATAATGTCTTATACAGCAAAGTAAATTTTGTAACATGCTTTTTTTTCTTTTGCCAGAAAACATGATTGTTTGCTTTATTTCCTCTCATTTTATGTTTATGCTGGGATGCATTGGAAGATTGCCAAGGTTATTGTCAATAGTGAAGATGTAGGCGTAAATGTAAATTTTGCAAAGGAGAAGAAGCTATTGGATATAATAAACATTTTGAAATTGGGATGAGTATGAGAATGTGCCTATGAAGGATCTAGTTTTGGTCTCTACCAAACTACTAGTTGTGGCTTGGGGCATGACAAGTTGGCATTGATTAATTTCATGTGTAGCTATTCCATTGTACACAAGTTCGTTTCCTTCTTTGACATGCACATGTAAACTATGTAAGCACTTTTAGCAGTCTTGGTACTGTAGCACATAGCATTTCTAAGTCGAGATGTACAGTTTCTCTGTGACATCACCCCACACCACTCTTGCTTGCCAATAGTCCATGGCTACCAAGTTTCCTCTTTAAGAATTCAGTTGTTTGTGAATAACATCTTATCTGGCAAAAAAAAGAAAAGAAAGAAAGAAAGAAAGAAGGAAGGAAATTAAAAGTTGGCTTTAGGAGATTTTGTTCTTGACTCATTTCTTATCCGCTGTATAACTCATCATGCTGAAGCTCTTTTGTACTGGTGCAACAGGTATGCTAGCTCATTTTATGGTCCCTTCAGAGAAGCGCTGGACTCTAACCCTCGGTTTGGGGATAAAAAGACGTATGTGCATGTGTTCTGTTTAACTAAAACTTTCGATCATATACCTTATCACATTGCTGATGCTGACTTTGCTCATGAACTCGGCTGGCCGACATGAAGTTACCAGATGAATCCCGCAAATTACAGAGAGGCTTTAACTGAGATGCGGGAAGATGAATCTGAAGGAGCAGATATCCTCTTGGTTGGTTGATCTGTCTGTCTGTCTGTACAACATGTCACATATTCTTTTTGCAATTTTATCCCTCAAACTTGAAAAACAAAATGGATCTGCAGGTGAAGCCTGGTCTTCCTTATTTGGATATCATAAGGTTGCTGAGGGATAATTCTCCTTTGCCAATTGCAGCTTATCAGGTTGTTCCCTAACTCATTCTAGATCCAAATAAGAAAATTTCTGATTAAAACATTGATCGGATATTTAATTAACTTTAACCAATGCTGCAGTAAGTTGCCTAAAGGTGACTGAAATCTTTGTTAAAGAATGGGAAAGCAGGGGGGCAATTTACACGGTTGCTTTAATGGCTATTGTTATTGTGCTCAGAATCAGTTTTTCTATTTTTTGCCAAAAAAAGAATTAGATTTTCTATCTCATTAAAAAAGGAGACGTTAGATGGAAAATTTTCTCTGTAACAACCCATTATCTTTTCATGGCATTGTGGTTGGTTCTTTGACCCGGTTCGGGAGTATGAACTCCATGTTGGGTGTCAATGAATTTTCATTAGAAAAGGTAAGGATGTTCTTTGACCCAATTCGGGAGTATGAACTCCATGTTGGGTGTCAATGAATTTTCATTAGAAAAGGTAAAGGATGGAGAGATTTATTTGATATGCAAATTTATTTAAAAAATTTCTTTATAGCTATAAACTATCACATTCTAGGTGTTTTACTGTTGATTACACTCCTTGCCTTCCTCATTTCCTATGTCCTTTGTGAAACAAGGGTCTGGTGAATGAATAAAAGAACATGAATAACAAGTATATCAGTTACAATAGAATGGATGCATGTACAGGCTAAGAATGTTGTTACAACAGCGATTTTCTGATGCAGCAAAGTTTCTGCTATATATAATAATGCTGTGTATCATTAACACGTTATGATGTTTGTTCTTAGACATGAAAGAACCTCCTCATAACTTTATGCCAAAAAAAAAAAAGAAGAAGAAGATATAATTAGATAACAAAGCATGTTTGACTTTCTCCTCCTCGAATTTCACACGCTGTTTGAATTTATTTATTTCATGGCAAAGGTTTCCGGTGAGTACTCAATGATAAAAGCTGGTGGTGCTCTTAAAATGATTGATGAAGAAAGAGTTATGATGGAATCGTTGCTATGCTTCCGGCGGGCCGGTGCTGATATCATCCTTACATATTTTGCTCTACAAGCTGCTAGATGCTTGTGTGGAGAGAAGAGGTAGAAGTCTTTAAATGTTTTGGACATTGTCCATTGTAGAAGACTGAAAAGCTTGAAGCATTTAAATTGGATGGCGTTTCAAATCGGGTTGTATTTGGTCAACAATGAAGTGCATCTTTGGAATTAGGGGGGTGTTTGGATAGAAACCAAACCATGGTTTCAGAAGTGCTTTTACGGATTACGAAGTAAATATGTGGAGGAGATTACCCGTTTTGCCTTCTGAAACCATGGTTTTGGGTTTCCCAAACACCCCCAAGTAGAGAATGCAGTGTGCGTTTGTGATGTTAAACAAATGTAAAATAGAGCTGGGGGCTCAAAGTCTTCCGGATTTAAAGTTTTGTAGCCAACTGCCTCCAATATAGACAGAACCAGGTTTTGTGAAAGTGGACTTTGCATGATTTTTTTTTTATAATTCTGCTAGCTGTTATGATTATTACCTTTTTAACATTTAGGATGTGTTTGGTAAATACAAGAAGCACTTTTAAAATTCGTATACCATGAAATCACTTTTCAAAATTAAGGTTTCATTTCCTTTCACACATCTCTTTAGTTTGACTTTACTCAAGTAGCCAGCATTCGCAGTAGTATGTTATGGGAGGGAAGCTGACCACTTTCTCATGATCTTGTATGTGGAGATTATTTTTTCCGTGTATAAGCTGGTCATTTGTAAATTGCATTCGCAGGAATATGCATAATGGCCTTTCCAACATTAGAATTCTCTTGTTCAAATGATTTGAGAAGAATGAAGGTCAATCACCATTATGAGGATATAATAAAATGAACCTGTTTATTACTCTATATTTATAGACATCTGTCTCCGAAACTAAGATAAGGAGGGGAGATACTAAACAACCGCTGACGTTATAACGCAGACTTTGGTGCCCCATGGGCATACCTACCCTCCACACGGGAAAAGAATGGCTTCACAACCTTAACCGATAACTAAAGCCACAAGAAAGAGGGGATGAAGTTTTGCGCTTCGGTTTTGTACAAGTTGAGAAACACATTGCTGCTTTGGACATCAACCTTGTTCGAGGAGGTACCTCTCTGCAATGACGGCATGAGTGGCAGCGCCTATGGGAAGAACATCCTCATCGATCATGAAATATGGGGAGTGTCCCGTGTGAGTAGATCCCAACGTCTCATTCCTAACCCCGATGTAGAAGAAGGCTGCCGGAACCACCTCTGAATAAAACGAGAAATCTTCGGCACCCATCATCGGAGGAACTTCCCTGAAATTCGATCGACCCAGCAAATCCACGGACACCTTCTTCACATGTTCGTACATTCGGTCATCATTTACTGTGGGTGGATAAATGGTATATTCCTTCTCAAAGAAGTCCACTTCTGCCGAGCATCTGTATACACTGGCCTGCTCCACGATGACCTGCCAGACCCAATGCATTTTCACTTACTGATTTGCTGCTGTCTTGTCCGAAAAATAAAATTTGACCCCAAAAAAAAAAAAGGCACTCCTCTAGGCATGTTCATATTTCTTTCACAGTTAGCTTGGTTCCTTTTTTTCAGCATGAGAAACACAAACTTATTCATACTGGGGTGGCTAACCTGCTCTATCCTCCCAAGAAGCTGGTAAAAGCTAGCGTTGGAGAAAGCTCTGAAGGTTCCACCTAGGACCACCGTGTCCGGTATCATGTCGAGACTGTCGCCTCCATTGAATGAAGTAACCGACACGACCTGGATTATTCATTGAAACGACGAAATTGTTCAAGAGGAACAAGCGCGCGCACACCCAAAGGATTAAATAGACACAAAAGGTGAGACCTGTGAGTCCAATGGATTGGCTTCCCGAGAGATAATACCCTGTAAGCTGGTCACTATAGCAGAAGCGGCCAAAACAGGATCAACAGAGTGGTGTGGGTTGTCGGCACGAGCCTTCTTCCCACTAATCACTGCTCTGAAAAATCCACACCCAGCGAGCAGAGGTCCAGACCTCGATCCAATTATAGCGGTTGGATGTTCATGGGACACATGAACCGCAAATATAGCCTCCACATCCTCTAGGGCACCGTCTTGCATCATTCTCTTTGCTCCATTACCTGCTTCCTCCGCTGGCTGGAATATCAGAATGACGGTTCCCTATGATGGACAATACAAAGATCACAATTACATCAAGTACGTGAATAAACCTCCATGTATCAAGAACCAAATAGCATACACCTAAAATCTGCCGTATGCCAATTACGGTAAAGGTCTCCCCAGGATCAGCCGAGATGAGATTATTTTAGACTAGTATATAGACCAAAAAAACATTAGAGATGGCATTAGCGTTTTGCTAGTAACAAGTCTGTTGAAAGACTTGAAAAAGATTTTACCGTCGCTGTTAACTTTATGGTAAGTATTAAACCTAAAAGGATAAGATTCTGATTCTGATAAAAGACAACATAATGCAAAAATTAAAATAATCATATGATTTTGCTTTTGTAATAATTCCACCTTCCGATGCACCGGCGCTGGCTAGGGGCATCTAAAAAACTGAATTTGTTCCCTAGCAGTGGCTTTCAATGGACAGAAAACGTGGGCGCTCGTTGTCCAGTTTTTTGGTGGTCCCATTCTCCGAGATGCCTTTCTCTTTAATGAGGAAGAAAAAGCTCCTGAGCAGTATTGAATGACGTGTTGTGTCCAATACAAGACAAAGTGAGCATTATTACAGGCTTCTACCACCATTAGTTTTTAAGCTATAATATTTCAGAACAAGTTCTCGCACAGTAAAGCGGCAGATGCCATTCCTTCCCGCGAAATTAGGGCTTTCAAAGTTGAAACTAAAAGCAATGAAAAATATTTAAGGCCGGTTTGGAGCTCCCTTTAAAATAGATTTTTAACTAAATTTACGTAAATCAAAATAAAATTTTTCTTACATACTTATCTTGTATTTCAAATAAATCAATACAAACAAGCCTTTAATATGTGAGCAGAATGGCTATGGCATCTACCATGGCATTCATTCACTCGAGCTGCAGATAATGCCCGCCCATATTTTTAGTTTAGGCACAACAAATATTTAATTGCAAAAATTATCTACAAAAAGTATATTATGTTCAAGTATCAGTGACTCTGACGATATCACATTCTCTTTATTAGGACAAGACAGCCGTATGGTATTAATGTGTTAAAGCATTTGATATTTCTCTAACACAGACGCATTGAGTATTTTTTTGGGAAAAAAGTTAAATCAATTATTAAAAAAATTATGATAGCAAATACATGGATTTAATGCCTGAACTAAAATGTGGGTATAATCTGCACTGTATGAAATGTAAGACAAGCCATTTTTTTATATTAATGATTAATAGTGTGGGGCATTTTTTAACATTCTATAATGAATAGAAATTAGATATAGCTTCTTCTTTTTTTTTCTATTTATCATTAACTAGATTTTGTTGGCTCATTTGCACACCTGCAGTACTTGAAAGTCAATTTTCAAACCAACAAATGGCAAAGAACATAATGTACCTTACTGTACTTTCGTTAATTCGTAATAATAAACAGGGTAATATATGGGTCATCAAAACTCCTTATCGTACTCGTCATGATGAATATGCACTGCATGCATGCGAGATATATAATGGGAGTTTTCAGCCACGTTATTAGAAAGAAGACGTGGCCCTAAGTATGTATGTTATCTGTATGCATGCATGCATGATATCTGGGTGTCGTGTGTGAGGTTTTGTGTTTTTTTTTTTTTTTTTTTGCGGGGGCTTTTATCATGAGATGACCGACAAAGATGCGACATATGTGGCCCTATAGTGGGCTGTCAGGCTCAAAACAGGCTAGAGAATCCACCGTGTATTCTATATATAATTGTGTTCGCACAAATCAATGCGCACATACATGAACCACTTAACAGGAAGTCTTGAAAGGAGATGCCCTACGGTTTTCATTCATGTAATACGGTTGAAAGATCTATTTTAAAAATGAATATGCCAAATGGCATGGTGATATTTCTCACGCGCACACATTTATGTGGGACGAAATAGATGAATAAATGTGAAGTTTGAAAACGGGACTCTTTGAAAATTTACACCATAAGTTGCAAGAAGGTTTGAATTTGGGAAATTATTTTTTTAAAAAAAATACATATAAAATTCATTTAAAATGAATATGGCTCAACATGCCGTTGGTAGAAGGTATCCGTCGTGATATTAGCTCGGTGGAAAGAAGCAGATACAGAGAAGGGAGACTTTGCAAAGTTGTTGATATAAATCAGTTGACCAAATACCCAAGATTCATGCATATATATATATATATATTGAAGGCCCAAAAATATGCATATATATATGTATATGTATTTATATGTATATTAGTAAATAAATAAACAGATGATCAATGGGAAAAATAAAAAAGAAAATTCAAAATCAAAAGCAGCATGGTCCATCATATCAAAATATATTTTAAATCCACAAGTAAGGCTGTATAATAAATTTGGATGAGTAGAAAAGAGGGTGATAACTTGGCTTTTAAACCAAACGAAGGGTCTCGTATGACTGCGTAGTTCCCCATATTCCGGGACAAAAGGGCTATTTGTATTACTGTTACGCGTGAGGCTTTCCTGTACCTTTAAATCCCACGACTTCTCAGTCCAAAAAAAAAAAAATCCCACTACTTCTGCCGTTTTCAAAGTCAAAATTTTGGTGGAAAAACGCTGGGCACTGGCAGTTCTAAAATTCACACTCAACGTGAAAAGAAACGGTCTTTTTCCCTTGCCTTCTGAAAAACAAGAAGAGGAAATTACCCCCACGAAACCTAGGACAAAATATCCGATAATCCACAGTAATATGGTCCACAATTACGAAGGCAAGCCTATGGAGCTACACATTTATCCTGGGTGCTTTCGGTGAACCAGTGAGCCATACATCTAGCCCACCCGATCTAACAGTCTGGCTCAAAGAAATGGAGGCCTGCCCATGTGATCCTCGCCGTACAGGGAAAAAAATAGAATACTCTGCTCTCTTGCGTTCCACCTTGTCAAAACGATTTTTATATGTAATTGAGTAACTCCACTTAATTAGTGTCGGTTTATAAGTCTAAAAATAAGTAACCCGGCATTTGGGTTTAGAATTTTTATAATTATTTATAAACTTATAAATATTAATTATATATTTTTTTCGCTAATTATATCTATATTTTACTAATATGTAATTTACCTTAAAATTTCGGATTGCGAAGAACTTGTCTTTATGTTCTTATAACTAAGAAAAAGATGATTTAACTAGGTGAGTGGTTCTTTTTGGGCCGGCGGAAACCAATGGAGACGCTGAATGAAGTGATGAGAATGAATGTAGCAAATGGCAATTGTACCCAAAAAAAAGAGAAGAAGCAGATGACAAGAGGTGAGAAGTAAGTGCGCGTGTGCAGGGGGAGGATGAAAGATGTACGTATGCAACAGAGAGGAAAGATGATATGGAAAGAACAAGACCTTTAATAGATGCTCACGAGTCTTCAAGATCTTGGCAGCACCAATCAGCATGGCCACATGGGCGTCGTGCCCACAAGCATGCATTTTGCCGGCAACTTTGGATTTGTACTCCCATTCCACGGCTTCCTGCCACCCCCATAAAATTCACACACTTTCAATTTCATATCCACCCAAAATATATATACCCCACCAAATTTTACCATTCATTGTAACAAACACCACACTTCTTTATTTATATGGTATCAGTAATTCTATTATCATGATTTGTGATAATACAATCTCACCTTTATATTGATATTGCACATCTTGCTTCACATTTAAATATAGCCTCATTTTAAAGAAAAAAAAATCTATTAGTGTAATAAATAATCCATTTTCTGTAATCTTTTTTCAGGTGATATAAAGTACACAGTCAAGTACATCGTTTTATAAGATATCTGACGCAGATCTGACAAGATATCAGACAAATAATATCTGTGTCAGAAGATTGACAGACAAATCAGAACTAACTAAGAATGAATATTCCATGTCGCCATTAAAAAAAGATAAGTTTAGATATAAAAGATTAAACATGTAAAATGCTGTTATTAAAACGCATCAAACACCTTGAAAATCATGTCTAATTACTCAATGTGATTATTTTTAAAATTAAATTTAAAAAATCATAATTATGTAATTTATAAATTACACTGTAAAAAGAGGGGTGGGAGAAAATCATTTGAACATCACAACGAGACAACGAGCAGAAGCCCAAAATGCACAGGAAATAAGCTAATCAAAATCAAAGTACGGCAGTGCGTTTGCCCAGATAAAAAAAGTACAGGCGGAACGAACCTGAATAGGAAGCGCATCCATGTCAGCTCTGATCGCAACAAACGGTGGTCCCCCGGTGCCGATCGAGGCTCGAATTCCGGTCTTGGCGAGAGGATATCGATAACTAACTTGCATCAGATCTAGCTCCTCCCTTATCAAACGGCTCGTCTCGTACTCCTCAAAAGCCAGCTCCGGATTCTCGTGGATCCTCCTTCTCACACCTTTCAACCACTCTCCCATCTCCGGCAACCGAGCTATGCTCAGCACCGTCTCCGAACACTCCTTGCTCCACACCAAACAGTCCTCCGCCGCCGCCGTCCCTCGGTGAGTCTGGTTCTTGCAAGCTGCCGAAGACATGGCAGTCGTCGACTCGTCGTCTTCCGGATCGTAACATCTCCGGTCGGCGATGAAGGCGCCATCGTAAGATAAGGAACTAAGAGTTAAGGGCTGGGCGAGCGAGGCTGCCGAGTCTCTGGGGATCAAAGCGCATAATAAAAATAAAATCGCCATGGAAAACGAATATTTGTGAGTATTCATCTGGCCGGGAAGCGGAGCGTGAGAGGGCACAACCATAGCAGAGAAGGGGAGCACAAGAGGAGTGGGGAGCGGATGAAGGATCATATGAAGACCTTGGAATTGAAACACGTGGGGATAAAAAAATGACAAGATTGCAGGTCTTTTATTATTTTATTATTGTGAATATTGTTTTTGTAAGAAAATAAAAAAGTACATTTGTTGGTTTGTGACTTTGTGCAGACAGTAGAGACGAGAGAAGGGAATCGATTCGAGCACGTGGGTATAACTACAGCCAGTAAGTGCAGGAGCAGTCTGAATCGGGACGGGTGGGAGCCCACCCATCACGGCTCAGAACAATATTCAATGAAACGAACGTCTTTGACGCTGTGCTTTGAGGATGGACCCACCCTCCTCTAATCCATTTTTTAATCTTACTGTTTCTTGTGGTCTGCGTAGCATAGCCTTTAGGGATTGGGGCTTCCAAAGGCATCTTTTTCCGATTTTTACAGCCCAGATGGAAAATGTGTGATGTTATTGGATTATAAATGTCAGTTAAACCAATTAGAATTGAGTTTAATAAAAAAAAGTTAGTTTCCTGTAATATAATATGATGAATCAAAATTTAAATTTTAACTAGGATAAATGTCCACATTTAGTGTCTGATAATACTTCACATAGGACTATCTCTGATAAGAGAATACATATACTTAGCAAAAAATAAAATAAATAAACATCCATTAAATTTCTACGTAAAAAAAAAATCCGTTAAATTTGGAGAAATTTTAACTACACTTTGAAACATGTGAGTGTCTTTAATTATATAAATTCAATGATATGGTTATTGACATCAATGTAGGCAGAAACTAGAGGCGAGTGCACAGGCGGAGCAACTTTACCATTGCAAGTACAAGTGTGCAAGAGTTATGTGTTTTGGGATTTAAATTTGCAATTAATTTACGAGGACTACTATGCATTCACGGTGATACATATTTTCCAGTTCTTATTGCTTAAGCTCGATTGGTCTACTTTGACTACATATATAAAATGTGTCTATATATATATATATATAATGTATGCGGAGGGTCTTGTTTTCAGCACTAAAACCTTTTTATCTATGGTATATAAGAAAATTATTTATGGCTGGCAACAACAAAAATTACTGTTATCACATATTATTAATTCAAAGCTCATAAAAAATATCTTTTATTATTGCTTATTTCTGTATTTAATTGCAGTGTTGTATTACTATAATTAAAAATATTTTCTGAAGTGATGGGTTGCTAAACGCGGCCTAAATTTATGGCGAGATTGCCTTGAAAGAAGGGAATCAGTCACATTAAATAAAGATTTTACAAGGACGAAAACTGACATGCAGGTCAATAAATTATTATAAGGGTGTGTTTGGGTGACACCCCAAACCATGGTTTGGGGTCAACCCAAATACCCTCTCTAAAACCAAAACCATGGTTTGGGTCAAAACCTTTTGACCAAAACCATGGTTTTGAAAAAGCAAATTTTTTTTGTTTTAGAGAAAAAAGGAGAGTGTGAGAGCCTATATGATATGTATCTTGTTTTTTTTTATAAAATATTTTTTGATAAACATATTTAATCTTATATTTTATAAATATATATACACATTAATTATTTATTAATTATATTATCTTATGTATTATTAATTATGTTGGTAAAAAATATATTATTAACAATTTTATTCCTTCAAATTAAAATATATCATAAAATCTATTTTTTCTGTAATTATCATATTAACTTATGTCTTTTTTTTTAGTAATTTGTATATATAAAAAGTGCTTCTGATAACAACTATCCAAACACTCTCACTTCTCAGAATCACTTTTTTACAAATCTATCTTCACATAATCTCTCACAGAATCTATTTCCAGAATCACTTTTCCAAACCACGGATTGGTTTCATCCAAACACACCCTAAATTGAGGGTGATTAGAATGGCTTTACCGTCCAGAAAATTTGTAAGGTTTGTATCATATATGAGTGGAAATCAGTCATCAACTATTAATTATTTATTTATTAGTTTATAAACAGTAATAGTTTGATAAATATATCTTCTTGTTTTTTTTTGAGACAGCACATTTCATCTGCATTAATCATTTAAAATGCTTATTTTATTATTAATCACAATTTGCCGTGTTAATGCCTTCACGGCTTCGACGCTTCCAGAATCATATAATCCGGCGTTCATGTAAACACTGGCCGCCTCACACACAAGTCGGTGATCTGAAGTGAAATCCTAGTATAAAGTATGGATATAAATTTATATGATTCATTTGGCTTACGTATAGAGTATAATATTAATTTTTTGGTCCAGAGAGTTCCATTATATAAATTGATTTTCCTATTCATTATTGTTATTTTTCTTCTGGATTATTAGATTGTTAGATGCTGAAATCTTTTCACGCCAACCTGCCACGTCAATCACTGCCGGTGGATGGCCGCGTTTTTCTCTATACAAAAATGAATGGTTCCTACGTAACATAAATTGGATTTTTTAAACACAGTACTGGTGAGAAGATATAATAGAACAGAACTCGTTTCAATATATATATATATATATATATATATATATAGATGATTATCATTTCATTTTAAGAACAATGGACAAAAACATACAATTTGTCTCTTCCATCAGTAATCCTCTCTATTACATGTGGGATTATAGCTCCTGCTTAAGGGAAACTATTCAAACCAACTACCGCTTGACCCAAAAAAAAAAAAAAGATGCAATATCACATTCAATAATACAAATCTAATTAGGAAAAACTAAGTAATTTCATAAAATTATTAAAATTAGAAAGTTTAAAAATCTTTTAAATTTAATTACGGGCATAAATGTTTTATATAGACAATCCTGATGATGGTGAGAAAATAACTACAGTTACGACTTACGTGTGTATTTTAATTTAGTGGAGAAAAATCATATATACTGGACGGCCAACAAATGTGCGATCGTTGTGCTAGGTGTGACGACGTCCATTGACAGTTGGGTTTGAAGTGAGGTTAATTAACGTTAATGGTCAAGTCACAGGATGGGATGGGATCATTCGTGGTTATCCAAATTACGTGGGGACAATTGCTTGTGGAGGATGTTTAATGATTAAGTAGTAGTGATAACATACGTTGACTAGGCTCCAAATTAAAGGCTAAACAAATTAAATGGGGTACATCAACATTATGGAGTTTTAATTTATTAAACCAAACAATAACAATGTCACAGAGCAGGAGGAATAATCAACCAATGAGTTGTGGGTTTGGTGCTTGGGAATCGAGAGCCCCATCAGACTTCAAAACCATTTATACACGTCTCTTATCCTCCGCATTTAAATAATATATCATGAGTTTGAGTTTGTTTGCATCTGCTCTTTATAAATACTTTCATATATTGTTGAGATAAAACTCCTTCATATTTTTATTATTTCGTAAATTATGATTGAAGAGTTACTTTGAAGGCTTAAATCTAATCGCCATTTCAAACAAGTCCTATGACTTATAATAAAAGTCCATATGAAGTGTCATTTTTTTTAGTAAGCAAGAGTATATTCTTATTAGAGGTAATCGTGTCAAAGTAATGTAAGGAACTAAATGTGGGTATTTTTTTAAAATAAGAATTTAAATATTGATTCACCGTACTATAAGGGACTAACACCTTCTACTCGACCGAACTCTTATCAGTTGAAGTGCCATTTAACTAAGAGGTTAGGCTAAAAGGCGTATTTGATGAGTTGTGAAATATCCTCTTCGATTCTACACATAAATTAGGTTGGTTATTTGTCATTATTATGCAAAAATTGTACGACACTTTTCTTCTCCCCTCCACCAGTGAAAATATTAAGCGTGGGAGAAAAGGGAATGAGAAATTAAAAACTATGAAATTAATGAGATAAAAATAATGTAAAAAAAGAGATGAGAAAAATCAGCGAATCGAAATTTAATATCAAGACCAAACTATAAATTTATCAACTAGTGTAATATTTAAGACCAAAAAGAGGATACTTAATTATCGGGTTCTTAATGGATAATGCCATCGTCACAAGAAAGATCAGTATCATTCGTCTCAGTCGATTATTTCGCATACAAGATATGAGAGGGAGGTCAGATCCAGAACATGTGATTGAAGCTGTAAAAGAATAAAGCTGACAAAGAGCATACTGTCATGGGCAAAATCACAGCTCCTCAGCCAGTGAAATAATAGAGTAACGGGTGATATTAAATGGTCTTCCAAAATTAAACTTGAGGATAAGACGAAGTTTTGGAGGTAGCAAAATGATTGGCAGATCATATCACAACTAGTGATCAAGTGAAAAAGAGCTGTAAACGAGCGCAGAGACAGTGAAGAGAGAGCAATAATTGGCAGAGGAGGAGGAGGGGGATGGTGGGCCTAACCAAATAAATAAATGATTGGGTTAAGGGATATTTGATGGAGAGATGAAGAGGAAAGGCAGATGGCAATTGGTAATGGTGTACATATGCTATGGCATGGTATGGGTTTCCTAAACTTAAGACTAAGACGCGTCACAACAAACAAATAATAATGCAAATTATTAAAAGCTAGCCAGGCTTCTTAATCTTCTCGGCTTCACGGGGACCATTACCAAACCAAAATCTGAATGATTCTTGCTATTTATTACTATACTTCTATATATATATATGCCATGGATGGATAATGCTCAGATAACTCCGCCATCTGATTGAACTTGGCACGCCTTGAAAATGACTCCAAACTAAACTCCCACTCTTCCCCTTCCATCTGTTTGGGCGCCTCATTCACCCCTCTTACTCACTATTCAACTCATATCACTGCAAATTAGATTTTAATTGTTTTTGAAATTACAAAAGACATGGTACCTCCGTACTAAATATAAGAACTAATTAACTAATTTAAGAAGATTAAAAAAATAAATTGAGTTAATTATTCGTAATAAATAGATTTTAATTAGATTTTAATTGTTTTTGAAATTACAAAAGACATGATACCTCCGTCCTAAATATAAGAACTAATTAACTAATTTAAGAAGATTAAAAAAATAAATTAAATTAATTATTTGTAATAAATAGGTGTTATATTTCCTAAAATATCCTCGCTAATCAAGTGTATTGGCTAGAACTACTATTATTATAAGGACTATTTTTAAAAAAATGCATAAATATGAAAGACAAAATGAATTTAGGTCTTATATTTATGACCGAAATAAAAGTCAAACGAGATCTTATATTAAGGATTAGAGGTAATATTATTTAGTTTTTATTGATGCTTCATTCGAATAATAATTAACATAATGTTTTTCTTTGCTTTGAGTTGTTAATTATATTACCTTTAGTCTTAATTATAAGACTTTATTTATAATTTATAAATGAGGTCTTATAATTAGGACTGAATGTAATATTTTTCTCCATAAATATCGTCGTTATGTAACAATCCCATGTTGAGCCTATGGCATCTTCCTCTCTGACTCTTATAGTTATACCCTCACTCAAGGTTTGCTCTACAGGGTCTCTTTCAATGACCAGCTCTCTCCTGATCTAATTTAAATAATAAGCTCAATAAGGAAGCTGGAACAAAAAAGAATTACATAAAAACGCCGAATTTATAATAAATATTCATATTATTCACAAATCGTGATTTAATTTAGAGGACATGTATGTGTGAGAAGATGAGGGATAATGAAGGGTGAAGGGCGCAGGATTGACAGGGGAAAGGCAATATTGTCAACGTCAGACTGGTTGAATGTTTTTGTTGAGAACTAGTTCTAATGTTTTTGGTGTGAAGGAAATGTCACTCTCGTCCTTCCACCCTGCCACGGACGAAAGGGTGCTTTTAAAGCATAAATTCATAAGCGATTATGACTCATCAACCCTAATAATGCCCCCACCTCCTTTTTCTGGTAACAAAATAATGCCCTTTAATGCTCACTTAGCAACCCCCCACGTACTTTCATTTTTCCAATTTCATGTAATCAAACCGCCAGTGTTTCAATCTTTTTATTTTCTTGGATTCCTTCTCATTTTTCCCACGAAAATGACCACTTCTGGCGCGCCTTAATTTCTCCCCCCCCCCCCTTTTTTTCCCCATAAAATCAATTTATTGCACTTAACTTTTCCCTGACAGTAGTCCGTTTTCTCCTTTCCCGCGACGCCCAGAAGTTTTCTGAAAGTGAGAGCTCCAACTGACACAAGCAATGGCTCAAACACAATACACAATCAAGACGCAAAAGCAATGTTCCCCTCGTTTCTTCGTAAATAGGCGTTCAGAGGCAAAGAAGAAAAGCAGGTCACAATCTGCTGGAAGGAGGTCTGTTGTTAGAGAAGCTCCTTAAGAGTAAGACGCTGTTTTCTTGTCAGGTTAATTATCATGAGATTTAAACCCGGGCAAATAAGCATGCAACAAAAGTTTATTAAGGATTTAAGGTGGTTTGGATTATTCAGCAGGCAAAGGGAAAAAAAAAATGCATGAACAGAAATCCAAGAGTAGCCTAATTGTTAAGCCAGTTTAGGAGTGGTCCACATATATAATTAACAGCCCCACAGTTGATCACAATGACATTATTATTGCTAATAGATTAACGTTAATCATACAGAAGAGACATTCAGAGCTAACAGCGTGCCGCCAAAATGACTAGTGTTCAAGCTAGAGACAATGGATATACCCGCCAAATCAATCCAATAACCTGTTGGTATATATAAGAACTACTATGATTTTTCATAAATAAAGAAGATGGATGCATATGTCTTATCGATTATTTAATATTGCAAATCAACCAACCTATTGTTCTATGAACAATAAGGATTTTCTTTTTCACTTTAAATTTTGTCTTTCAATTGGCAATATTTTTTGGGAAAACTGCACTAAATTCTCACCCAAAAGAATTAAATATAAAAAATAGGAAAAATGACAAATAAAGACCCCCCGAATTACCAAAATCACGCAGAGGTCACCTGAATAAGTTAAATTACCATGATGGACCCAATTTCATACTGCAAATATGAAATTTTGGCAAAATGTCTGAAATGCCCATCAGCCAAGTTGTGATTTGGTCTACTGAAGTTGTCATTCGTTAAAGTAAATTTATTATTTTCCATAGTCAACTTGTTATTTGGTATACCTTTAACCAAGTTGTAATTTGATCTATTGAAGTTGTCATTCGCTAAAGTAAACTTGTCATTTCCTATAATCAACTTTTCATTTGAATGAGGGGCATTTCAGATATTTCATCAATATTTTATATTTGCAATATGAAACTGGGTCTCTTATGATAATTTTACTTATTCAGGAAACCTCTGCATAATTTTGATAATTTGGGGGATCTTTATTTGTGATTTTTTCAAAAAAAATCTTAAAAGCATCAAACCAATCTGAAGCCCTTAAAAACTTTATTGTAAGAAATTTCACGTGTTCAATTACTAAATTGTCCTTATTTTTTTTAAGCACACATTGTAATGGTTACTAACAATTAATAATTATTGTGATGGTTACTAATAACTCTTACATTACATTTTTTCGATATGATGAGAAAATGTGTCATTCATGCAAAGTAAACCTCGCGTGTTCATACACTTCTTTTTTCCTATGTGATGACACTAATGGGCTCATTTTCCGTTTCTTATTGGGTCAAGCATGGGCCCATTCTTAAGATGGTTCACATTTGGTTTCATTTTCACCTTTTTTTTGCCAACATTTCCACTTGGTCTTAGAAAATGAGACGATACGTAAAAACTAATGCAGAATAATGTTGTGACTTGAGGCATATAATAAACTGAAAAGTGAAAACCCAAACTGAGTCATTATTTAATACTTCTTCTAATCATATTTATAAGATTATATAATAAATTTATCTTTTTAGAATTTAAATTTTGTATTTGTTAAAATGAAAATTATTTAAAATATATAAATTAAATTAAATTCAAGCTTAATAGTCCACAATCATTCCAAAACAATTCATATTGATGGTGAGCACCCTATGCTCATCCTTTTTGGAGCTTGAAATGTGCTCCGCACACAGCAAATGTGAAAGCCTCCTCAAACGTATGAAGATCGGTAGACCAGAACTAACCACGAAGGGCAAACCAATTAAGTCAAAACGGATTACGCACCCAGCACCCTGTTCACTCTGCGATATTTGATTTCTTTCCTTCTTTTTTGTTGGCCGGAAATCTTTCGCATTTTGTGATTCCGCAAAAGTCACAGCTTCCGAAAACTTAGTAGGCATGGCCGATTCAAGGGTGGAGACCATATCAAGACTAGCACAATGGAAAATTGACAACTTCGGACCTTGCTCCTACAAGAAATCCGATCCTTTCAAGGTCGGAATCTGGAACTGGTATTCCTCTCTCCTCCCCACCACCTACCCGCCCCCAATATCTAAGATTATGCGTAATTGAGCTCGAAACATGTTCAATTGGCATCTCCAGGTATTTATCTATAGAAAGGAATAGGTACCTGTACATACATCTATTTCCTGAGCCTTCCCGGGTCTCTAAGGAACACCCACCAATTGCTCGATTCATTCTCCGAGTTTCTAACACTGGCGCTTCCCGCAGATTCTACATTTCTCCTGGTATCTATCGACGCTTGATTCTACTGCTTATAGAAGATATCTGGTATTTCTGAATCGGAGTGTTGTGTGTCTAAAATTGGGGAACTGTTTGACTTTTAGAAGCAGCATGGAAAACAATATTTTTCCCCGTGTCTTGGGAGGTTGTGAGAATGGGGTGCGATGTTGATCCTTTTCTTCTTATCCTTCTTTTTCAGACTGAGGGATTTTGACAAATTTTGGCCTTACCCAAGGGAAAGTATGTTCTGTTTTACTTTCGTTTTGGCGGTTACCGTACAAGTTTGATCTCCCATACAACTGTTTTGAAGTTAAACCTACTATAGCTCTAGGAAACAAGACATGAGTTCTTGACTAATGGTCAAGCCACTAGTTTGACCGGCACATAAAGTCGTACATCTTTATCTGTAGTCATGGTAGCTGGAGGTTACCAACTTCACCCTGAAATCTTTTGAAGGGCTTAAATGAACGGAAGCCATAGATCATAACATTGGTCTAATTTAATGACTAAGGACTGAAGCCAACTCTACTTTCTTACAGCTCCTTAATTCTATTATCTTTCTCTTGCTTGCTGGAATTTGTCTTGTAGTTGTTGGCCTAACGTTTGGCTCTTGATCTTTTGTTCCCAGTCGTTAAGACAAAATATCAGGTATTGAGGTTTGTAATTTCAAATAATCCAAGTGGGGTGCCATAGCACAATTATAGTGCCTTTTATCTAAAACAAAATGAGGCTTCATTTCGTTTATAGTTTCCACAAAAGAACAATGCATTAAGACCTTTGCTTTGCCTATTTTTGACCTATCAAGCCATTGCAATTGGCATTCATCAATGTTGAAAATGCAGTTAAATGTAGCATTTCTGGATTATATTGTCTAATGCTGACAGAGTTTGTGTCTTCACTTGTATGTGCTTGCAATGCCACAGTTCATGAACGACTGCTTAGAACATGTGATGACTTTGTCTGGCCTGTTGATACCACATTTGTTGGTCGTTTCATTATTGATGTTGAATTCCTTGACCTGAAGATCTGTCCTCTGAATGTAAGTTCTTGTGCTTATAAATTTATCAATATGAAATTGATGTAAGCGAAATAGTTTTTAGAGAAATGTGACATTCTAATTATCTTCTTATTTGGCCAAGATGCATAAAACGTAAATTACGGCTAATCTTCTGAAACCCGAACCAGTTTTAAATCTTTCTTCTTAACTATTTATAATCCTTGCAATTCAGGGCGGAGAAGCTAGTTCTATTTGGCCGTCTGATGGAAAATTGCAATCTGTTGCCGCGCAAAGTACCCTCCAATGCCTCTCTCGCATGCTTGATGAGGGCATACATGCTGATCTGACCATTAATACTGCAGATGGTACATTGAGAGCTCACAAGGCAGTTTTATCTGCAAGTTCTCCTGTGTTTCAGAGCATGTTTCATCACAACCTGAAGGAAAAAGAATCATCTACGATCCACATCGAAGACATGTCACTAGAATCTTGCATGGCTCTTCTAAGTTACTTATATGGCACAATAAAGCAAGAAGATTTCTGGAAGCACCGGCTTGCATTGCTTGGAGCGGCCAATAAATATGACATCGGTGGTCTTAAGGATACCTGTGAGGAAAGCTTATTGGAAGATCTTAACTCAGGAAATGTCCTTGAGAGGCTACACGAGGCATGGCTTTATCAGCTGCACAAGTTGAAGAAAGGGTGCCTGACCTTCCTCTTTGATTTCGGCAAGATATATGACGTACGAGAAGAAATTAAAAACTTCTTCAGGCATGCAGATAGGGAGTTGATGATTGAGATGTTTCAGGAGGTGCTTACAATTTGGAAACCAGTATAGAACCTACAGGTTACCAAAATAATTGTGTAATCTTCATACATACCTATGTACAACTATGTTGAGGATCTATCGATCGCTGTATTACACTATAGATAATGCCCAACTCTCGCCTGATTTACCAGTTCTTTGGATGGCAAACGAAGTGCATTGCAGAAGACTTGCTACATGATAATGCGAGGGAACAGCCGGTAGCTTGCTATACTATTCTCTAATTATGAGGTTGATTGTAAATCTCGCTTGTCACTTTCAACACTTCCAACTGAATCAATTTAGGAGTGACATGTTGAATCGGCAATTGGAAGTTCCACAAAGTTCCCGTCTGTCTGTATCATATACCCGATCTTTTATATGAAGAAAAAAAAAATCTGAATTTCTAATTCCAAATGAATGTTAAAATATTATTGAATAACATTTTACATCATACAAGAGCCGACTCTGTCACCGGATGTGGTCAAGCCACCAGCTGAGACAGTGGAGATATCAAAATGCAAAAATATGCAGAAAAAAACAATCGATTTGATATTGTACGCTCAATTGTTTTTTGAAAAAAAAAAGTATACAGTTGCTATTAATTGACAAAGGACATTCTGATCATTTCAGCAGCTCCCCCATGGCCTCTAAGATGTGCCTTATGGAACCAAGGCAAGGTGAACTGCCCGTTGGCACGTTTAATTGCAAGAAACTTGAGAGGCAAAGCATAAATCTCAGGTAGTTCCCAAAAAGCAACATTAACTCTAACTGTGCAGTTGTCATGAATAAATTCTACCTGCTGAAAGGTAGCTGCCTAGCTCCTCGCTCCAAGGCATCTCTCCATAGCCTGTACCTTACCCCAAGCTTGCATATGATACCGGATAACCGGAAAGTTCCAGACGTTAGCACCTTTGTTCATCCGTTTGCTGCCCTTCCACTAGGCGCAGATCCTCATTTAAAACCTTTAATATGCCAACAACGCCAACTAAATGAGCAAGATCGGATATGAAATTGACGAGCCCCTTCATGCTGAATGAAATAGACTACAATGCTACATAATAGCAGAAATTCACATCAAGGTTCCTTATGGCTTGAAAACTAACGAGTTTAAAATGCAATAAACTCGTTTTTGGCCATAGATATCTCCTGTTCATTATAGCAGGTCAAAGATTTTTTTTTAAAAAAAAAAATTATTGTCATTGCTTTTTGCATCCTCTTCAAGCTTAAATATTTTTAGATATAAAAGGATGTCCATTTTAATAATCACTTAATCCTTCTTCCTTTTTCCTTCCTCCCTAGTTCGAATATGAATAATTATTCGTTTGAAAAGCACCCTACCTGCTGTGCAAAATGCGTCCATAGATATTGCATAAAAGGTACGTACTTAAGCAGAGGAGCGAAATCCAGGGACATTCTGTACAGCAATCTAGTTTTTTGTTTTGACGATGGTAAACAGACATGAATTTGGTGCAGGTGTGAGGCACACTTCTTGGTGGTCTGTCCCTCCAGTTTCCCAGGTTTTGAAATGCCAATGGTTGATAGGACCATGCAAGGTGGTCGAAATTCCATGTCAATTGGATATGGGTCCCAGTACCCTTGTAGGCCAGACGCAGGTGTAAAGAATTCTACCAAGCTGCGATGCCAAATACAAAAAAGGGGCCGTATTATTTCGAATTCGTTTCGCAAGCTAAAGCTTAGACTGGTTTATTCATTCATAATACTAGACAAGTGCGGCAATATGGCATACTGACTAGTTTTGGATTAGGGAATAAAAGAGTAAGCAAATCAATTGCCATCAAACATAAAATTGTCCGAAGCAAGGTAGTAATTGCATACTAAACAGTTGGTCATATGAAGAGTAAAAATCAATTCACCTGCTTGATTACGGGACGGCATTTCCTCTTTTTTTTTTTTAACTACAAACTAGAATATCTGTATAAAATAGGGATCAAAAGGTTTATAGTCAATTCCAAAATGAATAAAACTGCCACTTCCTAAAGGTTTTCGGGTTACTTCATCACATGGATTCTGCACCTTCTTACAATTTTTAAATAAAAAATTACTTCTAGATTTAACCGTGTGATCCAAAACACACCGGGGAATGCTCCAACCCTTTGCAAAAGTTGAAGTGTGAGTAAAAAGAGCATGTGCAAGGTCCAACAGGTTGTCCAAAAGTAACCCACGTTAGATAGGAAGTTCCATGACAATCCGTCACATCCAAAGAGGCATCTAAGTACTTCTCTTCAAAAATAATGTGATGAAAACTATTGCTTCCTGCATTTCTTGCACAACAGCAGATAAAAGGAGAATGATTATATTCACAAGGTACCTCAGCTTGTACTTCAAACCCTGATGGAGGTTGTAATGATGGGGGTTTGGATTTTGGAGGGTCACTGCCAGGCCAAATCCAGATCATACCCTCTTGCTCAAAACATGGCAATGACTTGATCTTGACATTTAACTGTCGAGTTGATGGCATCTTTTCACATTTTCCATCATTCCAATACTCCCAGCCTGATATTCAGCCATATGGTAACTTTAGATTTTATATGCATGTGCATGTGCAAGTCTGGTGATGTGATACATTCATACTTGAATAAGTGGATATGTGAGGAAGATTGTTAGTAATTAATTGTGCTACCAAAGGACACATAGCCAGAAGAAAGAGAAAATCGTGTGTTAATTCGTTTCAGTCATTGCATGCCATGGTGGGGGCATTGGATGCGGCGCTCACTCACAGAACCAAGGTGCAGAGGACATGCTCTATGGGCACAGCTATTCTGGACGTATCCAGTTTTCCCATCTTTCCCTCTAAAGATAACCCGTGGTTCATCAAAATATTCAATTGGGATCTGAAACAGAAAAGTAGTAACACATCCCTTAATCATGAGAATTCCCATTCATTTTCATATACTAGATTTACTAGCGTAAAACCAGGGCTGTATAAGAAATGATTAAAAAGGGCAAATTAAAAATATGTGGTGAAATACCTCAGTTGCATTCGGTCCAATTTGCCAACAAAAACAAAAAGGCATTATAGATGCCTCACAAAATCGCAAAAAATCAAACCGAGAAACTTACATGGAATCGTATTAGGGTAGAGATCGTTCAATTACGAGCTATGGCAAACATTTATCCTTTTTATGCTGTTATTTACTCAAAGACGATGTTCCACTATCCTGTCATGATAGCTTCCAGTCAATCTGAATTGATAGAAGAAGATAAGACATATACTATAAGTAATTGATATAAAAGCATAGATGATGCAAATCCAATAAATGACTTATTAGCTTACCATTGTTTCATCTTTAGGGTCATTGGAGAAAGCAACTGGGTACCAGAAATTTTTCAAGTGGGGATGGTAGGATTGAACTGGACCAGATACATTTAACCTTCTTCAAGGCAGTTTTCCATTGTCAGTATTTACAGATTGTGTAGAAGTACTGGGAGATAAGTATGTTTGGTCAACGCCAGTTGTACTTTTGCCTTGCAACAGCCCATCATTCACCAATGCTTCCATGTGAACTAGTTATCTAAAACAGCGAAAACCCTTGCTTCAGATATATGAACCTGTTTTTTGCAATAGGTTACTTAAATATGGCCACAGCTTAAAAATTCACAAGCAATTTCACAGCAGATAAGTTGAAAGATAGACATCTCAGTTTCGAGTTGTGCTAGTTAGCCTACAGCTGCTAACGATCTATACCTGTCTATGTGCTTGCGCTAATTCCTCCTGCAAATCTGCTAACTCTTTTTTCATGTTGCTGATTGACTTATAATCATGAGCTAGAGGATTAAGGATATGTAAAAACTACATCCACTTTTTTCAGAATAAACCGATCACGTGATATGGAATAAGTATGTTTACGCAATGAATATAGTATTCTGACATCCAACGGCTAAGTTCATAAAGATTCACCTTCAAGTGGTTAAACCTCAATCAATAGATAGCAGAAATTGTTCAAATGTCAAAGATTTTCTTCCCCCAAAAAAATAACCAATCAAAATCAGATAATACCTTTTCATGGAGGAGCATAATGGTGAGCACGTCTTGACGAGCTCGCCAATCACAGTACTGAACATCATATCTAGCCACTTCAAGGGCTAGATATATATCCAAAAACTTTCCTTTACACCGAGGGACTTTGGTTCTTGGATCCGCCACATCAAAGAGCGCGCCCCATGCATTCTTCTTAATTAGACCCTATACAGCAAATACTCTAAATCTTCCTTTCAAACCCTGAAATTAATCATGCCCGCCAAAATTTAAGCCGTAAGGACTATATTCCTCGTGGTCTAGAAGAACCAGAAGACGTAACCAACAAAATAGATATTATGGGCTTTCGAGCTATACTAACTGATGATATCTAAAGTTCTAATCAACCTCAGGTAAGTTAGGTGCTAAAACCCCCGACTATGATGCTGAGCATTATATTCCCTGCCGCAGCTAATCTCAAATAGCAACCATATACCAAGCCTCAAGAAGAGAAGAAGCCAATTTAAACTCACTTAAATTACTTTAGGATCAGACAAGCTTCCCTCAGAATTTAGCAGGAAACCAATAGCTTCAGCACTAAAACAAATAGCAACGTGAATCCGTAAGCCCCCAGAAAATGGAAATCCAGCTTCGTGTTAGTTAACTTGGTTTACGCTTAAAAACAGCCCAGCGCCTCAGTGGCGAGCAAAGAGATGAAGCTCGCACCCTTTTAGCATCAAGCTTGCTTGACCTACGAAGAGAAATGGACAAAGGGAGAGCTGCCGCAGACGCTACGGCATTCATGGCGGGCCGAAGCAGACAGCATTGAAAGAGCGAGGAGGAAGTTGAGTCGAGTGTACCCGTAAGGGCATAGAGGGAATTCTGTAGATTCAAGGTTTGCGTGGCGCGCGATCACGGCTGACCTTCTAAGGGGCGCCACGTGGTCTCCTCGCTTTCGCACGTGGCAGATTCATCTTCCGCATGTTCTTCAGGGTTCTGGCAGACACTAGCAGCAGAGGCCAGTGGGGCCCCTGCAACTTGCCAGCTCGGATTGGAGAAGACATCTTCCCCATGCTCTGTGGGTTCGAGCTTTAGTTATGTTATTGTTATGTGTCCACGGATGACTGTCTTTGGGGGGTGGAGGTGGGTAGGCTTTGTTTGAGTTTGTTTTTAATTTTTGAGAAAACTATGTTCTAAGTCCTTGTAGTTTTAGTCAAATTTGGTCAAGGTCCCTATAATCTATTTTTTTAGGTTATGGGTCCTTGTAATTTCAGTTAGACTTGGTTAAAGTCTTTGTTAACTGATATAAATTGGTAATGTTAAAAACAATTATGCTGTAGATGGTTTAATGAATTGGCAATTTTTTTAATGATGACTGGACATGAAAAAAAAAGAAAAAGAAAAAAACTGGTGCCAGCTCACGATTTTGAGGAATGCCCACTACCTACAGATCCTCTTCTTCTTGCGTTCTTCATCTTGCCTTCCTTCTAGATCTGAGCTATTCAAACATTAGACCTTCCTTTTCGGTGATCATGACTTCGAATTTGGCATCCACTACGATGAACTTCAGAATCCTCGTCGATCCCATTTTGGCACCAACGCTGCCTTGTTGCAAAAGAAGGAGCAGGGAGGCTAAGCAATTGTCGTGGTTCTTCACCATCAATTTCTTCAACTGCTCAGTTTACCAAAAAAAATTTTCTTAACTGCTCATAATCTTTGATTTTATCTAGAGTCGTATCCAAAGCATCAACGACTCTCTTGAGCATTTTAACGATGCCATTGACATTATCGAGTAAATCAACGAGTAAAGGCACGAATCCATCTAATATCATGAGGAACTCACGATTCTCTTCAGATTCTTTGGCGAAATATACAATTCTTGTTAAGGAATTGAGACGGTGCTCCCCTTGGCCATCCAAGTATTTCATAGAGTCGACGACATGATTGGGGGAGGGGACAGTTCTGGTGGCTAGAGAATTGGTCGATTCTACTCGGTTGCTTACTGAGTCAGACAAGATCTGGATAAGCCCCTGTATAGTTAGGAACAAATTCTTTTGTTTGCAAAACCTGCATGGTGGCTGGGCAGGTGTTGTTGTCGTTGTCGAGCTAGAGTTGGATGCTGTGACAGTCTTAGGTAAGATTGGTGCAGAGACTCACTAGAGATTTCTTAATACCGAGAGATATAGGACACCAGAAGAAGCTCGAAATCGTGATGTATAGATCATCCCTAACCATGGTGACTGTTGTTTGGCCTCTGCAAAAGCGAGAGAAGGCAACAAAAACAAAGAGAGAGAAAGAGAGGTAGGAAGCGGAACGGAGAAGAGAGGGAGAGGGAGAAGATTCGAAGTTATACTCACACACAAGCTGTTGAAACAATGTTTTGAATAGCAAAAGATGAAACACGATTAACAAAAGAGCGCCAACACATGCCCATGGTAGCGACAGATGATCAATGGCAACTAGAAGTAGGAGAGAAGGAACAACAATTGGACAATGAACGAAACCCACAATGACTGCAGAACATGGTAGAACGAGGAGGAACAGGGCACGAAAATGGCCCTGTTTTGGACCCTCATCATGGAATGGTCCGCTTTAATTAGGCACGGGCATCCTATTTTGATGATTGATTTGATAGACTGAAACTCAGATCTAAAAGAAAGGAAAGATGAAGAGCGCAAGAAGAAAAGCATCAGTAGGCGGTGGGTATTTCCCAAAATTGTAAATTGGCATCGGTTTTTTTTTCTTTTCTTTTTTTTTAAATGTCTAGTCATCATAAAAAATTGCCAACTCATTAAACCATTTGCCACATAATTGTGTTTAATGCTGTCAAGTAATATCAGTTAACAGAAGGACTTTGACCAAGTTTGACTAAAATTCTAAGGACCCATATCCTAAAAAATAAATTACAGGGACCTTGACCAAATTTGACTGAAACTATAAGGACTTAGAACATAGTTTTCCTTTAATTTTTTCAAAATAGTTTTGTGAAATTATTTTTTAGAATAAATTTTAAGAAGAAAAAACTTATTGGGACAATTGTTCCAAAAAAAATTTGAGAAAAGAAAGCATGAAATATATTCTGATTGACTATATTTAAGGCAAAACTTTTCCGCCAAATAACTTATATTTAGGTGCCGAGTATCGCTGAAACAATGAAAATAAGAACTAAAAATTTAGAATTTATCGTTAAAAAAAAAGAAATTGAAATAATTTTTCCCTTAAAAACGTTTTTCTGGTCTTCAACGGCCCTCGTTCTGGCGCCTATGACGTCATTCGCTCGTTTCTCTATCCTTCTCTTCCCCATCCCTTTTCTCTTTCTCCTAAATCTTCCCGGGAAAGTCGCGAACTAAGCTTATTCTGCTGGTCGTCATGGCGTCAGGTATGATGACACCTGAAGTTGAACGTCCTCACTTCGATCATGGTGTTCATTTTTCGGGCCTTTCCTGCTTCGATGTTTTAGATTCTAAATCTTGGTTATATTCTTACACGACTGATAATGCATATTATCATAATTTTCTAATTTCTTATGTTCTCTCTTGGAGCCATTCATTACTTATAACTTGCGCGATTTATAGAAATTGAATTTCACGAAAATCAAGATCAATTCTCGAGCTGAATACCCGTATAGGGTAATTTGTTTGCGTTGAGTGGGCACTCTAAATTTCGTTTGCTGTGTTGAAGTGTTATCCATGAATTTTAATTAGTTGGTTCTAATTGGACGCATTATTAACATTCGGGCTATCCAATTGGCGTTATTGTATTCTGAATCGCAAGAATTTCACAACGACTGCCTTGCCCATTGAAGTTTATCTTCATTTTTTTCCCCACAAGATTTGTTGTCGATGCCGTGATGAGATATCAGTTGGCAAGGATTGGGATAATTTTAAATAGTAAAAAGACCCAATGGGATGGGGTATCGCGCCTTGATGTATAAGATCACTTTTTGTCTAGCCTTTTTTTTTTTTGCAACAAAAAAATTAGTAGCTGCGCTTAATTAATACTAGTATTATAGGGTGCGCTACTTACCAGCAACTTATAACAATGGTTGTAATGGACTCATAATGATAAGAAAACACGCAACTTCATGGCGAAGACCAATTACTCAGAAGACTTGGTCTAGATTAAGTGATGATCGACATAGGCATCACGCGTATAATCACAAATTCAATTTTAATCACCCAAATATTAAGGCTTGTGAAATTCCTCAATTTTTTTCGTTATCATTGATTCATCTCTAATAGCTCTGTCATGCAGATTTTGCTCCGACAGTTCCCCCAGAGCTCGAATCTGTTTTAAGGTTTAAGACTGTTGAATACTTTGTTACAAGAAGGCCCTGGCTTGGTATGTGTCATGTACTCTTTCTGATGCGGCAGTGGTTCTGATTCTTGTGTTGCCTCTTGCTGCATTTGTCTAGTTCAAGTTCATTCTTATTTTTTCCATGCATTCTGTTTCAGATCTTTATGGGGTTAATGTGAGGCCTGTTGCACCAGTTGGAAGTGCAAGCAGAAAGCCTTGTGTGGATTCTGCACTTATACATCGTTGCTTACCTGAGGAAATGCTCTCTGAGGTATTTCATAGGAAGAAAACAAGTTCTAGTTTACATCATTATTGATGCCTCTGCCATCTGTTGCTAGAATGGAACGAAACAATCTGCTTTTTCTCTTTTGTTTGATTTCGTTTCATTTTATCTTTACTTGAACTTGTGTGGTAATGTTATGCTCTTGACTCTGATAGAGTGGCGGGAAGGGGTACCATGCTTGGTGTGGGACTCTCTAAATTTACTGATAGGCCATGTTTTTAGAATTATGTGGAACTGCTTTAAACAAAAGCCAACAACTTTTGGGAATAAGCTGTGTAAATTTGTTGAACTGTTCATCTCTCTAATGTGGGAAATGAATTTTTTTTCCACTTCTATGTTCTTGAATTTGTGTACTTTTTTTCCCCCCCAAACAAGTGTCATGAAAATACTTTTGATAACTAACTTGGTAGTGCTTCTTGCATTGTCTTTGGTCTTTGTGCTTTTGTTAGAAGAAACTCTTCTTAAAACAGACCCTTGAACTTTCAATTTGGTTGAAACACATATCTATGACTCCTTGGGCTTTTCCAGTGATTTTTGGACAAATTAGAGTGAGACTTTATTGATAGAAAGCTATGTAGCTGTGCACAAGTAAAGAACTCTGATGCAACTATATATGTGTGTGTGTGTGTAATCTTTCAAGGTCTTTGCCCGAATGAGTCCGTATGACTTGGGAAGAGCATCTTGTGTCTGTCGAAAATGGTGGTACACAATTCGTAACCCTGTATACTGGCGCAATGCATGCTTGAAGGCTTGGCAGGTAAACTCAGTATAGGGGTTACCTTTTACGTCTCACTGCATAAAAATTGGTAGTTTCTGAACTTGGATCCACTTATATGAAGATCTCTGGAGTAGTAGAAAACTACAAGATCTTGCATTCAAAGTATGAGAGTTCATGGCGGAAAATGTGGCTCCTGAGACCGAGGTTACGAACTGATGGTAAAATCAGCTATCTTTCATATCATAATCTTATTTTGTGCTTCTTACATTAGCCAATGGTATGAGTTGGCTCAATTTAATTCCGTGTAATTCCAAGGAAAAAGTAGATTCATGCTTTTACCCCCCTTTGCCCCCTTTTTTCCCTTTCTTGTTGGTAACTTCTTATTAAACCCTCATCTCAGGTCTTTATGTTAGTAGGAATACTTACATTCGAGTTGGAGTTGCAGAGTGGAGGACCACTAATCCAGTCCATGTGGTATGGATTTTTATACTGATTTCACTTATATGTATTGATTTCCTTCTACTTCTGCGGACATCCTTTTCCCATTTGCCATTGACTATTTTGACTGTTTATAGATTTAAGAGCATGGTCCTGGATTAGCATGCATGTGGCACTGTCCATAATCTCAAACAATTGGAGAATATAGGGTTGCTTATGAGAAACCTTTCTATACGAGGTTTACAATGTGCCTTTCTCAGAACAACTACTGCTGTGACTCTCTTAAGTTCACTGCATAGCTTCTGGGCATTATAGTAGCTCTGGTGTTATTCACTTTTAAAGTTTTATAGTTTTCTGATAAGAATCCTAGAAGGATAGTTCGTTGGTCCTCCGACTTTAAACAAAAATTATATGATATTTAACTTGCCTATGGTTAATTATCAGTGATGGTTCTAAAAGTATGGTTGTAGTGTAAAGGAAAAATTTATTAATGCACTATGTACCAAATTGTTCCGTGTAGTTGTGAGTGCTATTTCTTTTGGCCCTATGTACATGCTGGTGTCGGATTAATAGGAAGAAATGAATCTGCAAAATTTCTATCGACCCTTTTGAAGTTTTTCTTTTCAGAATATGACACTAATGAGTATGTGCAATAATTTATAATTATACAGAATATTAATATAGCTTTGCATTAGCTATCTCTAAGTGCTTCTTGTTTAGTATTCTCATTTCTTTTCCATATGAAAAGTAACTTTCCCCTTTATTCTTGTGTAGGTCTGCTATTTTCGGTACATGAGATTTTTTCCTTCTGGGCGATTTCTTTACAAGGTTGTACTTCTGTGCTTGCTTGATGTGTTTTTAAATACATATATTATTCTTGTACCTGATTCTGTAATTCTATGCTGTGCAGAATTCTTCTCAAAAAATTAAGAATGTTGTGAAGTGCATGAACTTTCGATCTTCTAAAGCAGACTGTGTCTTTGGTGGCCACTACACATTGTCAGATGATAAGGTTAGGTTAAAACATTTGTCAAGTTCTGTAATTGAACCTTTTTCCTTATTTCTCCTGTAAACTTCATCATCAACATATTCTTTTAAACTGAAATTTTCTGTCAACGAATCATATGCATATCGATTATGTTTCTTTATGTGGCTGTTGAGGTATTTCCAATTAAACTACCATTGCAGGTTGAAGCGGCTGTCTTGTATCCAGGCATGCGGCCTACTGTGTTGAGGATTCGCTTAAGGTAATCCAATATCTTTACTCATAAATTATGCCTCCTTGAACGTTATTCTCATGAACTGGAGAAAATAGTTCTTTTCTTTGGTGAGGCTGTCAATACTCATTAGCTAGTGTTATTATGCAGTCCAAAATAAAGTTTATGTTGTTACACTCATTCTTAGTAAGAGACTAAATAAAATTTTCTTGGTATTGAGATTTCGTCTTGAACTGGAAGGGAAAGAGAATGATAGTCCAAAATTTTTCCAATTTGAAATTCACTGTTCACAAATCGATGGGATAATTGTGAGACAGCCGAAGTATGAGTAAACTTTTTTGTATGGAATTAGAAATGGTTTTTATTTAGGCTTGTGAAGAAAGCAGAATAGGATGCAACAATTGTGATTGGAATCTGGAATTTCAGTTGTGGACAGCAGTGTGTTATAATCATAACATTGTGGTTTAACTTTATGAAGAAAGCAGAAAAATAATGGGGTAAGTGTTGATAGAAATTTACCTGAACAGAGGGCAGTCTATCATATCATAATGAAAAATTTAATGGAAAATGCAAATGAAAGAATGACGATTTACTGATTTGGGCCTGTTTTGTTACAGAAGAGTAGGAATGGGAAGAAATTGAAAAGAATGTAATGACTATTAATTTTGTTTGATCTGTTGTATAAAGGAAGATAAATATTTTTATTTTCATATATCTAAGTAAATTACCAGAATAACCTTAGAAGAGTTTCTACTCCCTTCTGCCTTTTCTTCTTCCCTAGGTTTAATCTGCCTCTCTACCCACCACCGTCATGACTTTCTCCTTTTCCTAGTTCCATTCATCTGAAGCAAAAATTCAAAGATCTGAAATATCAATCTAAATCCTCAAGCGATGATAAAGTGAAAATGACAATCTGTGATTGCGATTTCTGAAAATGAAAATGAAGATAGGACAATCCACATGGATCATCTTGTAATTCCACTGGTGACGGCAACTACTGCTCTGGTAGGCCCTTTGCTAGCCATCACCAGCGTGTCACCATCGTCCACGGACGTTTTTCCGCTACCCACACAATGCTTGCTGTTGCAAATGGGGACAAGCATGTGAGGAAACATAGAACTTGGGTCTGGATGGTGAAGACAACAGACGAGTGTCACAAATGATTCTGGTGAACATGTTATGTTGGGCATGATAAACTGAAGTCTGGTGAGGGTCGACCAATGGAGGAGAGCGTCTGGAGATCAGGAGTGGTGTGGGGGAGGATGTTGGAGAATACTTTTTGTTGTTGTAACATCTCATTCCATGATCAAAACCCTTATTTCTCACATTTTTGGGAGTCATTCTTTCATTTATGGAAATGGCTTTTTTTTTTTTTTTTGGGGGGGGGGGGGGTTTGGTCCTGTGAATGGCACTGACCAAGTGTAGAAACCAATGGAATGGAGATACTTTTCCCATACTTCAGATGGCCTGTTTCCAAGAACCAAACTAAGCCTTGAGTTCATGTCCATCCATTGCTTGTGGAGCTTTTATCAATGCTTTGAATCACTACTGAACTTCCAAAACTAGCATCTCTGGATGTCTGTGCCTGGCCAAAAAATAAAAGAAGTGATTTATATATAGTTTGTTAGACTTGATATCATGTTTTAAGTTACTTTTTTAATTTGAATTTCCTGAGTACTCTGTTAAGCTTTTTCTCTGGATCTGCTTGTTGTATAGGTTGAGAGGGACAACTGCTGGGGCTAATAATAGGATGGACTTGATCTCGCTTGTCACTAGTGGTGTGAATGATAGTGAGGCTAGTAGACCTGAGGAAGACATTCTTGGAGTTGTTGAGGGATGGCAGGATGATGAAACGCACAACCCAGATGTGCCAGCAGTCTCACATAAGAGGGGCACGACACCCTTTGTCTTTGTTCCATTTGATGAGGTCTGTCATCGAAACCCTCCCCCCCCCCCCCCCGGGGGGGCCCAAAAGGAAAAAAAAACAGAAACAAAAGCAATAAAACACACACACACACACAAGAAAGAAAAATTAATAAATTATTCGGCAACTTATTTTGAGCGATACAAAATTAATGAGCCGCGGGTGTCAACAAGCACGACACTTCGTTTTCTGTTGGCTGATTCCCATCTCCTTTAGTTACCTACATACGAGCATCTGACGTGGATGACAAATCAATGTTAGATAACAGATATTTTTTCCCTAAATGGTTTAAATATGAAAATGATACGAGTAAATACTTAATGAAAGGCGAAAGAATGTCTAAAGATGTTTTTGATTAAATTTTGCTTTTTCGGTGTATAGGTGGAGACGTCAGATTTCAATCTGCCCGTGGAGAAGATGGATTATTTTGTACCTGGTTGACTATTGCCCGGGAGCAGTTCTGGGTTATTTGTAAATAAATCTGTTGATTCCAATATAAGTTCATCCGACTTTGTGCATTCATACCTATGGATGACAGTGGGATGACGATATCGATGCCTGCGTTAAAGCTGCGGAGTTATTTTCATTTTCGCTTTGATTGCGTTTATATGCACGACGCTGCTATCTTGTGAATTTAATTACCGGATAGACTCGCCTAGCTGCAGCTGAGAGCAAGACCTGAAGGGATACGTTACTGTAGTGATTTTTTTTTTAATGTTGGGCATGATGGCAGCACAGGGAACCTGTTATTAATGCTTAATCATGTATCTTATCCCCTTGATATCAAAATGGTTTGTTTGAATTAGACAAGTTTTTTTGACAAATCTAGTTTAAATGCCTGTAAAGATTAAGCAACCTCTGATTCTCTCATGCACATGTTATGATTGGGTTCAAACTGTTCTACTACATGATTTGAATTATTATATTTTTTTGACGATTCGCCAGAAATTAAAGTTCGTAATATACAATCATTGACTAAGCAGAAGCATCTTGAGGCTGATAGGAGAGGCCCGACCTGTAGGTGTTTTGTAAGATAAAAGCATCATGCAACACAAATACTACCTCTAGTTGTTAATATAAAATCTTGTTTAATTTTTATTTTGATTCTAAATATAAGATCTGAATTGATTTTGTCTCTCATATTTATACATTTCTTCTTAAAATAACCATTCTAACAATTATAGTTTTAACCAATACATTTAATTAATAAAGATATTTTAAGAAAAACACTACATATTTATTACAAATAACACAATTAATTTTTTTCCTTAATCTCTTCAAATTAGTCAACTAGCTCTTATAATTAGAACCGGTAGAACCGGAGATGTGTGTGTGTATTTACCTGAATGACCTGAATGAAACATAAATACTTATGCCATGGAATTTCCAAACATATCAAGAAATTTGTGAATTCACACGACAGCATAAACAGGTACATCAACGACTGTTTTGGTCGTTTAAAGGAATATTTTGGATGTTCAACAAAACTAGCGTGACTTCAATATCAATCCATCCAAATAAACGATTCCGCAAGAAAATACAAGATAAAACTGACCGAATTCAGATTTCGGAAAGGGGAGTTGGCAGCTAAAATAAATGAAATCACCGGAAAAAGCTTCGCTCAAACAACTCCAAATACATAAAATTTGGACCACGATCTAAACAAACTTAACCTCCCAACTAATCAGCACGAGATTGGCCTGCTCGGGATGAGAGAATGATACCCACGATAAGGCCATAGAGGGCAAGAGCTTCAGCAAAGATCAATATAAGAATCATACCCACAAACAGCTTTGGTTGCTGGGCGTTCGCCCTGAAAAACAAAGCAAGCCAAAAAAAAATATTGAAACAGGGAACTAACATGCAAGGTATAAGAAGTTGAAAACAACCAAAGACATCATAGATAATAATGGCACAAGAAGGTAAGAACATGATACAAAAATACGTAAATACGTAAAATTTAGCCCAAACATATGCATCTCCAGAAAAAGAGCACTTGCAACATCACGTCATATATGTGAAGTGACAAAAGATGTAGAATCTTCTCTCATAAAAGTAATTAATAAAATCTCATCCTTTCTGCCAGGGAAAAATTTGCACATAAGAAATATAATCACCACATTTCCTTGAAGCTCAATCTCCACACCATATTCAAATTTCCAGTCATTACTGATATCAAATTAAACACCTTAAGATTGAGAGGTACTATTCACAACCTATGAATCAAACGACTTGCTATTAGTTTTATATTTTTTATATTTTACGTTGACTCCTCGAAGAATAATCGTTATATATGAACATATACAACAGAACCAGGAAAAACATAGCAATAGTTAAGTGGATGAACATAGTGACAATCTTCGAGAACACAACATTTTGAGGGTTAAATATGCTTGCTAAATCATTATTAGTAATCTTCATTTCCCGCACAATTTGGATGTACAATTGATCCCATCCATTACCACGAGGAATGCCAAAGTAGGCATATAAGAAAACGACTTTTCCGAGACAAGAACATTCAAAGATGACCCATTCATACACAGCTAACTTAGTGTTCAATTTCAAAAAGCACACAAGCTTTACTTGACTCGAGTTATTAATATGCATTTAATTTTATTATTGCTTAACCCCGCTTTATTCCCAGGGACTGTCCCTAAGCTTGCACTAGGAGTAATATAACATTAAGGATCGAGGCAGTAAAATATATAGAAAAACATGAATGGATAAATAAAACATACCGAACTCCAGCATCACCAACAATTCCAATTGCCATTCCAGCAGAGAGTCCAGCAAGGCCACAAGCAAGGCCAGATGACAAGTGGGCATAGCCATCAAAGAGATAGTATGATTTAGCCTTGGGGTTTATTCCAGTACTAATAATAACAGCGATAATTAGACCATAAATACCCAGCACTCCAGCCATAACTACTGGAACAATGGATTTCATGACCAGCTCAGGTCGCATGACTCCCATGGAAGCCACGCCTACTCCACTCTTTGCAGTTCCATAAGCAGCTCCCATACCTGAGATTAACAAAGGAAATTGTCGCGATGACACTTTTCATCAAACTAGCAAGAAAATGCAGCAAAAAAAAAAAAAAACACATATTCAATAGAAAGATCAATAGGAATCTCTTATTTGAATTCTAAGTAGACTTATTGGGGAAAAAATGAGGAAGACTAAAAGAAAATGAACAAAGACATAGAAGAAACCGGGGAATTACAGGAGAAGACGAGGGCAGCAGCGGCTCCGAGGAAGCCAAAGAAAGGAGCAGTTTCGTCACCGCTGAAACCTGCCATCTCACACAGACTTCTCTTTCTTCTCCTTGTCTTGGAGATGGAAGAGATCGGATCAGAGTAAATGATTTAATGCCCAATGGTAGATTTGTCCGTTTTGATCAAGGCCATTGATCCGAGCTGCAGTCGCGGATTTGCAATAGCATCCTTTCGCTGCCCTTCTGGAATATCGTAACAAAATAATGTAGCATTGTATCATCCCAGGCTTGGTTGAATGGGTTTGGTCCAAAAACTCATTGTTTGTGAATGACTGGGCTCATTTTCTTTTGCTTTTCGTGGGGGAGCATGGGCCCTTTTTCAAGAAGGTTTTCAAGTTCGGGTCCATTTTCACTGGGCATTAAAAAACAAAAAGTGCTCCGCCAGTACTTTTTATAAGATCCAAAAATTTAAATTAATTTGGATAAAAAAATGAATTAATTTAATATTTTTTATAAGATCTTTTTTAGGGATGTTTCGACATTAAATTATTTTTTACTAATTTTGTCCCTCATTAATTATTTATTCTCTCATCTTTTTCTTACACTACATTCTCTTTCATTTTTTATTTTATTACTAGTATTTTTTTCTCTTATTTGCTCCCTGTAAAATAATGGCATACTTAAAAAAATGTTCAACTTCTATAAATTTATTGCTTTTAATTAATTTTAATTTTTTTAAAATCTCACAGTTAAAGAGATCTTATAAAAGAAATAAAGGGAGTAAATACATCTCACCCCTTAAAAAAGGAACAAGTTTATGAAGCTAGTTAACCGCGAGCCCAGACTAGGTGTGCAACGGACAAGATTCTCTTCCCTTATTGGTTTACCGCTGTTATTTAATTACCATCACCAAGACTGTGGAGACTTGCTCCATAGTAACGCGGGGGAACAGCTAGCTGCTCTGTTCTCTAACCACGAAGATGATTTTAACCGCCACTCCTCATATCACCAATTATTAAGTAAATCAATTTAAAAGTGACATATATAATCGATGATTGGAAGTTCGATAGCCGATGCATGATTTTTCAAATGAAAGTAATAATCTAAAATCGTAATTCCAAAGGAATAATAAACTTCGAAATATTATTGAACACCAGTTACATCATACAAGAGCCGCCATTGATACAAGATGGGGTTAAGCCACCAGTTGAGATGGTGGAGATATCAAAATGAGAGGAAAAAAAAATACACAGAAAACAATGGAGTTGACACTGTACACAAAAATAATAAAAGTGCACAGCTTCTGTTGGTTGACAAAGAAGATTCCGATCATTTCGACAGCTCTCCCATGGCCTATCAGGTGTGGCTTTAGGAACCGACGCAAGGTTAATTGCAAGAAAGTCTGGGGCAAAGTATAAATCCTGGTTGTCCCCAAAAAGCATCATTAACTCTTAACTGTGCAGTTGTCACGTATAAATTCTACTTGCTGAATGGTAGTTGCTTAGCTCCTCGCTCCAAGGCATCTCTCCATAGCCTGTACCTTACCCCGAGCTTGTCATATGACACCGGAAAGTTCCAGACGTTAGCACCTTTGTTCATCCGTTCCTGCTGCCCTTCAACTAGGCGCAGATCCTCATTTAAAACCTTTAATATGCCAACAACAACAACTCAATGAGCAAGATCGAATATGAAAGTGAAGATCCCCTTTATGTTGAAGGACATAGACTGCTATGCTACACGATAGCAGAAATTCACATCAAGGATCCTTAAGACTTGAAACTAACAAGTATAAACTGCAATAAACTCGTTTTTGGACATAGATATCTCCTGTTCATTATAGCATGTTACATTTTCCCCCCTATAATTCTCAGTGATTTTTGCATCCTCTTCAAGCTCAAAAGGATATCCATTTTAATCATCACTAAATACTTCTTCCTTTTATCAGCCTCCCTGGTTCAAACATGAGTAATTATGCATTAAACACTACCTGTTGTGCAAAATGTCTCCATAGATACTGCATAAAAGGCACGTGCTTAAGCAGAGGAGCAAAATCAAGAGACATTCTGTATAGTAATCTTGTTTTTTGCTTTGACGATGGTAAGCAGACATGAAGTTGGTGCAGGTGTGTGGCACACTGCTGCGTGTTCTGTCCCTCCAGCCTCCCAGGTTTTGAAATTCCAATTGTTGATAGAACCATGCAAGGCGGTCGAAATTCCATATCAATTGGATAAGGGTCCCAGGACCCTTTTAAGCCAGACGCAGGTGTGAAAAATTTTACCAAGCTGCAAGTCCAATTACACAAAAGGGGGCTGAGTTACTCCGAATTCATTCCTTAAGATAAAGCTTCGACTCATACCGGTTTAGTTATTCATAATACAAGGTGATATATGGAATACTGAATAATTTTGGATTAGGGACTAAAAAAAAAAAAGAGAATCAATTGCATTCAAACATGACATGGTTCAAAGCACAGAAGTAATCGCATAATGAACTGGTCCATGTGAAGAATAAAAATTAACTAACTTGCTGAATTGCTGAATGATGATAACCCTTTTGTTTACTGGAAACCATAATATTTGTATAAAATAGGGATCGAAAGTTTTACAATCTATTCATAATGAATTTGTCACTTTCCTAGAAGGTACTTGGGCCACTTCACCTGGATTCTACACCTCACCATTTTTACATTGCAAATTACTTTTAGATTTAACAGTATGAACCAAAACAAACCTGGGAACGCTCCATCCCTTAGCAAAAGTTGAAGTGTGAGTAAAAGGAGCATGTGCAAGGTCCAAAAGGTTGTCCAAAAGTAGCCCATGTTCTATAGGAAGTTCCATGACAATCTGTCACATCCAAAGAGGTACCATCTAAGTAATACTCAAAAATCATGTGATGAAAATTATTGCTTCCTGCATTTCTTGCACAACAGTATATAAAAGAGAATGATTTTATTCATAAGGTACCTCAGCATGTATTTCAAACCCTGATGGAGGTAGTAATGACGGAAGCGATGATCTTGGAGGGTCACTGCCAGGCCAAATCCAGATCATCCCCTCTTGCTCAAAACATGGCAATGATTTGATCTTTACATTTAACTGCCGAGTTGATGGCATTTTCTCACATTTTCCATCAGTTGAATACTCCCAGCCTGATATTCACCCATATGATAACTTTAGAGTTTCTGTGCATGTGTATGTGCAAGTCTTGTGATGTTGTATATTAATGCTTGAATAAGTAAACACAACAACAAGAAGAAACGTTATCCCATTGAGGATTGTATGATGTCATTTTGCTCTATCAATAACCCACTTTTCAGATATACTTGAATAAGTGGATATATGAGAAATATTAATAGGATGTAAATGGGTTACAATGGACATGTGTACAGAAGAAAGAGAAAATTGTCATAAATTGTTTCAGTCATTGCATACCATGATAGGGGCACTGGATACGACCCTCAGTCACAGAACCAAGGTGTAGGGGGCATGCTCTGTGTGCACACGTATTCTGGACGCATCCAGGTTTCCCATCTTTCCCTCTAAAGATAACCCATGGTTCCTCAAAACATTCAATTGGGATCTGAAACAGAAAAGTAGTAACACACTCATGAATAATGAGAATTCACATTTATATTCAGATATCAGAGTCACTAGTGTAAGAAAAAATGGGAAGTTAAAGGAAAAGATTAAAAAGGTACATAAAAGTAAGTGGTGAAATATCTCTTTGGCAATCAGTCAAATTTGCCAACAAAAAGAAAAAGGCATAATAAATCTCCCACAAAAAGTCCACCCGAGAGCTTTATACGGAATAAGGTTAAGGTAGAGATCTTAAGTTCAGCTACAAGCCATGCCAAACATTTATCCTTTAATGATGTAATTTCCTCAAAGACAAGGTTCCACTATCCCATCATTATAGTTTCCAGTTAATCTGAATTGATGGAAGAAGACAAATACCATTAGTAAATGGTATAAAAAGCATTGATGGTACAAGTCCAATGACTTACCATAACATCATCTTTCAGGTCATTGGAGAAAGCAACGGGGTACCAGAAATTCTTCAATTGGGGATGGTAGGATTGAACTGGACCTGATACATTCAAGCTCCTCCGAGGCAGTTTTCCTTTGTTAGTATCAACAGATGGCGCAGAAGTACTAGGAGATGAGGAAGTCTGGTCAACTTGGGTCGTACAATCGCCTTGCAAAAGCCTATCATTCACCAATGCTTCCATGTGAGCTAGTTTATCTAAAGCAGTAGAAACCCTTGCTTCAGATATATGAACCTGTTTTGTCCAATAAGTTAAATGAATATCGTCACAGCTTAATAATTCATAAGCAATTTCACACCTAGTAAGTTGAATGATAGACATCTCAGTTTCATGTTGTGCTAATTAGTCTACAGCTGCTAATGATTTATACCTGTCTATGTGCTTGTGCTAATTCTCCCTGCAAATCTGCTAACTCTTTCTTCATGGTGCCGATTGACTTAAAGTCACGAGCTAGGGGATTAAGGACGTCAACCACCTAAACCCAGTTTCACATAAAAAAGCCAATCAAATGAAATGAAATAAGTATGTTTAAACAATACATATATTCTTCTGACTTCCAATGGCCAACGGCCTTCAACTTCAAAGTGATTAAATCTCAATCAGAAGATAGCGGTGCCCGCTAAAATGTCAAACATGATTTGAAAAAATGAATCATACCAATCAAAAACAGTCAATACCTTTTCGTGGAGGAGCATAATGGTAAGCACATCTTGACGAGCCCGCCAATCACAGTACTGAATATCATATCTAGCCACTTCTAGGGCTTGATATATATCCAAAAACTTTCCTTTATACTGAGGAACTTTAGATCTTGGATCCTCTACATCAAAGAGCGCACCCCATGCATTTTTCTTACATAGATCCTCCTCAAATACGGCGAACACTCTAAATCTTCCTTTTAAACCCTGAAACTCATAATGCCATCCAAAATGTAATTTGTAAGAACTCTGTATTCGTTGAGGTCTGGAAGAAAAAGAAAATGTGGCCTACAAAATAGAAAGTTATGGCTTTCCTAACTATATTAACTGATCATAGCTAAAATCGTGATCAACCGCATAGGAATCAGAACCCACAGCAAATCAATTGATATGATGCCGAACTTGATATTGTCTGCCACAGCTAATCTCAGATAAAAACCATCTATAACACAAATATATCTTGAAAAAATTTAACCTCGTGGAACAGAGAAGAAACCGATTTGAATTCGTGTAAATTATATTATGGTAAAAACAAGTTTCCCTCAAAATTTAGCATGAAGCCAGTATGTTCAGCAGTAAGACAAATAGCAACGTGAATCCACAAACCCCAATATACAACCGAAATCCAGCTTAATGTTACTTTAGCTTGGTTCTCGCTCAAAAACAGCCCAGCAGACCACAGTCCATAGTGGCTAACAAAGAGATGAAACGCGCACCTTTTTGGGATCAAGCTTGGCTGATCTACAAGAAGAAATGGGCAGAGAGAGAGCTACCGCGGTCGCTACGGCGTTCATGGCGGTGCTAAGCTGACGGTATAGAGAGAGCAAGAAGAGAAATTAGCTAAAGAGCAAGAACTTGGACATTTTGTTGATAAGAGGCTGGCGTATCGCGCGATCTCGGCTGGCCTTCTAAGGGGCGCCACGTGGACACAATGACTGCGTACGTGGCAGCTCCCACTTCCACAGGTTCATCAGGATCCCCAGAGACACCAATAGCAGTGGGGCCCCTACATCTAGCCAGCTCGGATTGCAGAAGATATCTTCTCTATCCTCTGCGTGCAGGGTCGTTTGTCATTTTGTGGACCGTTGTGCCGGGAAAAGCTTCATCAGGTTTTGGTTTTGGGGGTATTATGGTAATTTTATCAAGGAGGAAAAATATCAAATGGGAAGGCAGATCAGCCTGGCAATTGTTAGTTACTTACTGTTACACAGTCCAGGGACCGGTTGTAGAGTAGATTTTTGCGGGCATAATATCTTGTATTTTATCACCGTATACTACGACAAATCTACAAAAAGTTTCGATTCATATACTATTATGAACAATGCTATTTTTCTGAAATCTACGGTCCCGTGTCTACAATCTAAATATCAAATTTAAAAATTTTTGCTGCTTTGCTATGTCATGAAATAAGTGCTAAGCGAGTTTTGGCCTCAGGGGACTATGCTTGTTCACATTCTCTTCCCATTGACGATTGACTTATTATCTGCATGTTTGGTTGCTACATTTATCATCTTAAAAATCCCTTTTAAGAAAAACCTATTTTCGCTTAACTTTTGTTTGGCTGAAAACACAGAAGCACGTTTGATAATCTAACTTGCATCTTAAAATGTTGGTTAGGCAAACCCGATTTATGAGTTGCTTTTTGTATTCGAAAAATGGATGCTTAGCATTAACAACGGTCTTGTTCCCATATTACTATTGTTTCATGCAATATCACCCTCGTATTGTCTTCTTCAGTAGCAATATAGCATGCACAGAAAATATATATACACATATATACATATTGCTAATATGCATACAAACCCATCTTTATTTCATTCGGAAGGCCCCACGCAGAGTAACATACCAGTTTAGTGTTAGAACATTAGACCTCCCATCAAATGGGGAGGTAGTGCTTCCCGCCAGGGTAACTTCACGCATCAAATAATCTTTAAATAAGAAGTCACGTAATATCGGTAAATCAAATAAACCATACCTTATATGTATTGAGAAAACTCTGCTTTAAATGTCCTTTAAGAAAAACGTCACTTTCAATGTTGGGTTTCAATGGATCTTCAACCTATGTGTTCTTTAATTTAATTTTTAAAAAAAATCAATTTAGCATTATTAATATATTTTTATCAACATAGTGTTAACAAAACTTATAATCAATTGTTTTTTCCCTCTTGTTCTTGAAAATTTATAATCAAACTATTAAGAAGGTTATGCCTCCCGTTCTTAATATAGGACCTAATTATTAAATTAATTTTGATCCTAAATATAAGACATATTTATCAATTTTTTTTCTAAATTACCTTTATGAATGCTCTCTCAACCATAATTAAGTAAAAAAGAAAGAAAGGATATTAAGGAAGATGATTATAGTGTTTTAAGAAAAAACATGTTATATTTTTTATAATTAACTAACTTACTTAATTTCCTTAATCTAATCAAATTAGTTAAATATGTTTATATATATTTTTTACATTTATTAATTTCAAATATAAAATAAAGAAAATTTAAATTTTATTTGCAAAAAGCTCAAATAAAAATCCCCAACCAATTGCTAGGTAATTAACCCTAATCACCCAAAAAAAAAACCAATGAACCCCAGAGGTTGATGTCCGCACTCTTCGGGTAGTTTCTTCTGAATTCTCACCGAAACAAACAATAGCAACCTTGGGCTTACTTGCAACCTGTAATCGACAGAATCAATTTCAGCCAGCAAGTCAAAACGTCAAATATGAACTTAATGGCTTCGCGTTTAAAGCTGGAACTGCCAACTTCAGAATCTGCCTTCTCCCAGCTTATCGGATGTTGTTTTTAGTTTTTGCGGTGCTAATTCTCCCCAACAAAGAGCGACCCAACCAAAGTCATGGGTAGAAAGAGCACTAGCGGAGATCGCAGCTATGTTGGGGGTTTCTTCTATGCAACTCTGCTTCTTTGGTTAGGCTCTGTTTGGTATTACATACTATTCAACGATCGCCTGGACCTTCTCTTTATCATCGCCGGTTCTCTCTTCTACCAAGCAGCTAATTGGGTCATACGAGTCGTCTTCTCTCGAGACCCTCTTTTCGTTAACACCTCCGTCTCTCTTCTCCATTCCACCGCCACGACGGCTTCAGGTTCCCTTTTCTCCGTTTATTTCCCAAAATTTTCCTACTCGGGGGTTAAGTTGCCTTATTTTTGTAAATTAATTCAATAAATGTTTGCAACTTGTCAAGTAAGTGTTAGACTACTGAATAATTTTGATATTACATGTTTAAACCACTAAATCATGCGGACAGTGTCATGCCCTAGATTTTATGCGATGGTGTCGGCAGTGTTACCAAGAACGTCTCAACAATGTAAGAAACTAAATGGAAAGAGTAACTAATGTTACAAGTGGTCATTGTATTTTATAAGCGTCTTTCCTTATGAATTTTTGAAGGAAAGATCAATGTTAAGGTGCTAGCATATTCTATTTCTACCGATCTTCATTCTCTGTGCATTTTTTCTTTTAAATTATTTTTCATGGGGATTTCGCCGTTTGCTGTCTTCTGCAGTGATGTTTATATTGTTTAGGCAGTGGTCAAAGAATGGGTTAAATGGAATGTTTGAGCATTCACAATTGGTTGAAGGCACATGGCCATGGGCTTACGAAGCATTGTGTTTGTCATGTGGTTACTTTGCATATGATCAGTGGGATATGCTTCGCTACCACTTATATAGTGGTTGGATCCCTTCCATTCTGGTACATCATCTGGTTCTCCTTCTCTGCTTTACACTTGCCCTTTATCGCAATGTCACCATCAACTACCTTATTCTCACCCTTATCTGCGAGGTATGCGTCAGTTGTTTCATAGTTCTTCTCTAAGTTCTTGTCCCACCTAAAAAACTATTTGTCGTGTTTTAAGCCATAATGTTTATTTCATTTCCATGTCAAAATATGTTTAAACTATGGAGGACTTTTTTGTTGTGCAGCTGCATTCCATCTTTCTGCATTTGAGGAAAGTGAGGCGGATGGCTGGTTTTCGGGATGTGAAAAGCAAATATGTTGAGCTGGAATGGTTTCTTAATTGGGGAACCTTCTTTGTGGCGAGGCTTGCACCTCACATTCTGATCACAGCCAAGCTGATAAAAGATGCTCACAAATTTGGAAGGGGCGTGGAGCTACCATTGGCTCTGTTTGGCATGGCTGGCATGAATTTGCTGAATATTGGTCTTGGTATTGATCTTTTCAATGCTTTCAAAAGAGAGAGAAAGTCGCAGGGGACTAATCGGTGTGAATGAGAGTGAAGCTGGGGACAGATAATACCGTCTAATTTGGAGCATTTGCCATTTGTTTTGTTTGTATTAGAATAACCTCACCGGAAAAAAAAAATCATAGCAAATGAAGCCGTATTTGTCAAGAGAAATTAATTTCTTCTGCCCATGTCATTCATTGCCAACGTTTGGTGCAATGCAGTGTCATACCATCTGACTTTCCAAAATTAAATAGGTCCCACCGGGAGTCGAACCCAGGTCGCTGGATTCAAAGTCCAGAGTGCTAACCACTACACCATGGAACCGATTTGCTTCCTCTTTCAGTAGATTTTTCAAAATATTATTTTCGTCCAAGTGGATGTATAATGATCATCAAATCTCATTGATTTGCATGTAACTGCCAAGAAATGTGCACGCAAGTGAATGGCACAGGTGCGTGCCTGTTTCTTTTGTGTGGATACTCATTATATGTTGACCCAAAAGAATGCATAAACAAGTTCACTTAAAGAGGTCCAGTTTCAGACTTTCAGCAAGTGATTGATGAATGCCGATTCATCATTTTATAAGATATTTAGATGATAGTGAAAAACATTCAGGTTTCATTACAACGTTTTTTTTTGGTTACGAGAGGGTATTACCCAAAATAAAGAAGCAGAAACTAAAGCACATGGGAATTGATTTGGTTCAACAAACATAAAAAATTGAATATTTCATAATATTATTTTTACGTGATATTAAATTAAAAATTGATTTCGTTCGACAAAAGTCAAACATTGGTTTAAATTTTAAACAAATTTTTTTAGAAAAATAAAATATTAAAAAGCTTAAATGATATATGAAACAAGAAGCACAATTTCATAAATAATATTGAAAGGTTAGGGGTAAAAAAATAACCGTGCCTGCGCGCGTACTCGGCTAGGGCAGGACGGCAGGTGGAGAATGCGTCGACAACAGCCCAGCCAGGATGCTAGCTCAGCGTAATGTGACCCAACATGCTAGGCAGGACTGGGCCGCCTACTGAGTCACCCATCTTCGCAAACACCCCTAGCAGAAAGGAAAGGCGGAATAGAAAAGGAAAGCTCCCACATTATATTTCGTTGTCCACGGCCGATGAGGATGAAGTAGATCTCCCCCTTAATATGGCCAGTACCAACAGGATATATAACTACTTCTTCAACACAAATGAAGGATTGCGACGAAATATCGTAAACTTTGGCTTTCAAAATTGGCATGACGAAATATCCTAAAGTTTGGCTTTCAAAGTTGGCATGACAAAATATCCTAAAGTTCGGCTTTCAAAGTTGGCCTGGTCAGCTGCAAAGGACAAAAACGTCAATACCTGTCCAGGCACTCAATCAGGATCACAGTTTAAATGTTTCAAGACAGAGACCACACTAGTAAGTAGCAAGCATTTGGAATGAAAGACAACTATATTTTTCCCCAACTAATGGAGTGCCATTAAATTTTCCTCTTTTTTTTTTTTTTTTGGAATGATAACTCAGATGTCTATTCTACACCATGATACATGAATGATATCTAATTTAGTTTGTATCCACCACACTAAATTTCTAGTCGAATTCCACTTTTTGTTCGGGAGAAAAATTTAGCAAAGCCATTTCGACTTCTCTCAGAACTGACACTGGGTAAACTGGCTGATGAAGTTGATAAAGATGAAGGTGGTGAGCCTTCATTTTTGTTCAATGATGGGCTAGAGCTCCCTTCTGCTCCCTTCGAAGAACTGGTTTCTCTTTTAGGCGAGAATGTATCATTAGAATGCAGCTTCCAAGTCTCTCCACCAGCTCGAGCAACGAGTGATGGGCTCGCAGAGAACTCTGGAATGCTAGCAGTGTCAATTAGGAAATCTTCTAGGGTTGCCAGAGATTTCAACTGATTTCCCAAAGATGCGATTGTTTTCTGGCACTCAGCAAGCTTTCCTGCGGCTAATGCTAGGTCCTCCTGACGCAGAAGAAGATCACAAGCATCAAATGAATGCTATAGGTTGTAATTACCTATTACCATATCATCCCTATTGTGTGAAGCAGGATAATCTTTTCGGTATCATGTTGTGTGAAGCAGGATAATTTGTACTTACGAGATCTACACAGGAAAACAGGTTGTAGAGACTAGATTTGGGCATGCACGTCCATTATTTATAAAACATATAAATAAGTCAATGAAGACCAACCTGCTTTATCTTTTTTTCGGTGTATGAGCTAACTGCACACCTGAGGTTCTCTTCTTGCTTCTTCCTTTCCAGTTCTTCTTCTAATTCTTTGCATTTAAGAGCAATTTCAACGAACGTATCCCTCTCACCATCAATATCTACCTCTAAAGAGTAAACCTTGGCAAATATTTTCTGTGCCTCTTCCTCCATGCTCATGAGTTGATTATCTATCATTTCCTTTGATTTGTAAGCAGCTTCTATCTCTCTCTGCATCTCCTCCAATTTCATCTCTGCTTCCCTCAACTGAAGCTGTGATGCCTCAATACAGTCTTCACTTTTCATCAAAGCTATCGCCAGCTCTGCTTTCTCTGCTTCTGCCTTCTCCAACTTCCCTGTTAGTTCAGACATTTGCTGATTCATGTTTTCAAGCTCTGCTCTGAGGGAGCTTTCTTCATAAAGGTGCTGATTTGCAGCAACAGGTTCCTGGCAAGAGCTCTCATTCTTAGTTTCAGACAATGAAGCAAGTCGTTCCATTTCAAGAAAATCGTCCATAAGATCAATTTTGGCTGAACTGGATGAGGGTTGCCGGCACTTTTCATTTTTGAACTGATCAAGCTCAGCAATCAGTGCAGATGCCCATGAGTCAGAACAGCTTGGCTCAGACTTGTTCGATTCTAAGCCATTCATCTTATGGAAATCAATATTCTCTACTGCATTAAGCCTCTCCCCACTGTCAGATTGACTATCTGAGAGAGATTCCACACAAATTGAGGCTGAGGTAATGGATTTATGATCATTAACTGAGGACGTTTTATGAGACATGCTTTTCAATCTCCGGCACTCAGCCTCAAGTTTGGCCACTTTCTTGATGCTTTCCAAGTGTTGCTTGCTGGCTGTCTCAGCTGCTTTAGTGCTCAAGTCCCTTTCAACTGTCCTGATTTTCAGCTCTTCAAGCTGAGCAATAAGATCGTGCTTGAGATTCAAGTTCTCTTTCTCCAAATGGTCAACCTTTTGGCACAGATCATGATCAACCGTTGCAGGAGATTTGGCATTAGAAGCATCTAATTTACTCTGAAGCTCAAGAAGCTGTTTCTCAAGTTTGAGTTTAGCTGATTCCAAGTCATGGGTTTTCTCTACTACAGCATCATGCATATTTTGTTCCTGTTCTTCTCTTGTCTGCCTCAACTGTCTAACACACTCTTTAAGTGCACCATCCAAATGGGTGACTCGATCTTCCAGTGCAGAATTCTTTAACACCGCTGCTTCTAGTTGCTTTTTCAAAACAGCCGCTTCATTTTCAGCCTTTTCCCAGCCTAAAGCATAGAACTAACTTAGAGGAATAACTTGACAAAAAAAAATCAGAGTCATACAAGTTGATTATAATATAATAATGCCAGGATTGGTGCTTGAGCCTTTGGATATATTTCGCATGAAGCCCTGACCGATTTTGGTAAGTCATTGACATAATTTAAATGTATTTAGTGGGGAGGAAACTCTTGTTTTCTTGTTCAATTAGCAGATGAATGGGTTTTCAGACAGAACCACGTAATGTCATTCCATGGCCTAGGATGAATAGAAGGGAAATGCAATGTTAAAAATATTTACCAATCATTAATCCATTAATTACATTAGCAGTACCTGCAATGGCTTCTTCAGCAACTTTGGCATGCTGTTTCACCAAATCTTCTTTGGCACTGACATTCACAAGCGCTGCAGATAGCTTCTCTGACAACTTCTTTAGACCATCATTGACATCATCTTCCTTTACATTTCTGAAATTGTCCTTAGAATCATTGCCATCATCTTCTAACGAATCTTCACTTATTTTGTCTGTAGCAGGTCTAGCTTTTGAGGCGACTTCAGATGCTAGTGCGTCCATAGATAAACTACGGTCAACATCTTCAGAACCAGCTTCTGCTTTTGAGGTGACAACAGGTGATTGATTGCTTCCGTTAGGAGATTCCGTAGAGGCCTCCTGCTTCATGGGTAAAAAATCAAACGCTAAACATCTTTTAGCTCATTACAGCAGACTGGCCACTTCATGCGGAAACTAACAGGACCACAAACAAATCCCCCAAGAGTTAAACATGCGATTTTCATGCTCGATTAAAAACTAATATCAAGTAGAATAGCTTGTGATTTGTATTCATCAAGCAATCAGGGTTCTGGAACCATTTGCAAACTAGCAGCTAAAAATTGTGTTGGAACAAATGACAACTTATACGAGTCACCAGGTGGTACGGGTTAGTCATGAATGGGGAAAAGGATGCCATAACCTCGAACTCTGGACAAGACTTTTCCATTAGATTCATAAATCATGAAACTAGAATACGCACCTGTTCATCCGAGGATCTCTCGGAATGGGATGACACAGATCCTGATCCTTCAGAGCTGCCGGAGCTCTTCTCAGAGGATTTCCGCTTCCATGACCATCTCTTTTTCTCCATCATGGGTTTCGATAATCTCTACATTAGATTCCAAATTGCAGGCGTTTCATCTGCGCACTTTAGACATAACAGAAACTTTTTATAAGCTCATCGAAAACCCCCATCGCTCAAGAAAACAAGAGGAAAACTATGCCCTAACTTCAGAGAGCAGAACATCAAAAAAGATGCTTCCTCTTTAACAGTCTCGGTTGCTTATACAGAAAAGACGACTTAACATTCTAGCCCACCACATACCAACTCAAAAAACAAAGGTTACAATAAGGAAAAAAACAGAGGCTTTAGGATGACTGGATACCAGGTGTTAAACGGAGGAGAAGAATTTTCGAAGCTCCATGAACATAACCTCCCCGCCCAAATTTCCTCAGAAGAAGAAATTTATAATAATACCAATAACCACAACCAAATATACAGAGCATAGATAATAAAACATTTCTAGTGCAGAGAATGGAACAACTTAAGCATATCGGATACCCAAATGCAGAAAATCCCAAATATATGAGTAACTATCACAGCTATACAGCACAATACGCCTCCTTACCGCAGATAAAATAGACAACCAAAAAAATTAGTTCTAGCACGGTTGAGCATTTAAGGCAGATAAATGCGGAACAAACAAAAAGATCAATTCACCTTTGACCGGCAGGAGACCAACCAAACCTGAGCCGCTGGGCGGGAGGCCAATGGGAAGGGTTCAGAGTTCAGCGTGAAGATGAAGAGATTGCGGAAGTAGAGAAAGGGAACATTGGAAGTAATGACGAGTACAAAAAAGCATTAAAAATGAATCGGCAAAAATCTGCAGAGTGTCAGCGGCATTCATATCAACAACTAGGAAAGAAAAGAAGCGGAAGACCGGGAGCAGATACAGATAATGGGGCTTCTATTTCTTGTTTTTAGCCCCTCCTTCCTTTTTAAAACTAAAAGAAAGAATTACAACTAAGAACCAAACGTCAAGAATTTTTAAGCAGGATATGAGTATTTTAAAGTTAGGGTCATGAAGTGCAATTTTGACTATAAAAAAGAGAGCGCCATGTGAGCGTGCATGGAACGGTGCAGTGAAATTGAAGATGGTGCGACCGCCAGCACCTTTTTCAGCTTTTCAGGAAAAAAATGAATTTAAATTTGTAATTTGAAGTTGAGAGTGAGAAGCTCCCGTTCCCGCCCGTGGAAGGCGATTTGAGGATACTGACAGAGATGGCTCCTTTTTTTTTTTTTTTTTTTTTCCGCCAATGGGGATGGCGCTCTTAAATAATGGTAAAAAAAAAAAAACAAAGAAAGCGATCTCCTTCCTTCATTATCATAATTTGCCTCCAACCCATCCTTTTTTCTTCTTTTTTTTCTTTTTCCCTCCCAAGTTTTTTTTTGTTGCTTCCAGTTCACGGAGTTTTTGCTCTGACTACGTCTGAATTTGACCCACATCGCACGTTTGGTTGTAGTGGGTGAGTCTCCTAACGAGGATTTGTACATACGTTGAGGCTTGAACTCGAAACCTTACTTAAGCGATACCAATAGGGGTTGGTCCCTCCCCAGTTTTGTTGTTGGCTTTTGGTTCTACTTTTAGCTACCCACCATTCTTATTTGTCTGAAACATTTGTCTCATTTCCCTTTCAATATGCTTCTTCGTCTGAATATTACTGTAATCTCTTAATTTTCTTTTTTTAAATTTTTCTTGTTTTGAATTTGAAATGATACTCCAATGCAGCAAAGGGCTCCTCGAGAGAAGGCGCCAAACATGTGCCACTGAGTCAGCGTAACACGTACGTATTGCTTGAACTAATAAATCTTTACGAAAATTTGTTCTTTTTGATTGGATGGAATATGATCTGTTCACTCTCGGGTTCGTTAACTGTTTGGTTGACCTGACAAAATTGACCGGCAGTCATGAGATTACCCATTTTCATGCTCTAACACGGCGTCTAATCATAAACGGGGCACAAAATATATAGGCTCATGAATTGGAAGAAATGAAAATTTCATATTGTATTATCCTCGGTACTCTATATACAAGTCTCATGAATTGGTTAAAATACTTTTTTAAGGTTATTAGAACTTAGTTATAATCAATTTCTCCCATGAAACGAAACAAGGGTGTTGATTAGTCAGTAGAGATTTTTTCATTACAAACGAGTCAGTTTCGGTCCAACGGACTGAGTTTAAGAAATCTGTATTATTTTAAAAAGAAAAATAATTACGACCAGGTCTCATTCGACTTCAAAATATTTTCATGGGTTGCTCATAGATAAGTTATTTAGAACTAATAATTTGTCCGTAAAAGTATACGAGTATGCCGCTGAGGGGACCATAATGTCTCTTACTTTTTAGGCCCCTGTGGATCATATCATGAGCAGTGGTGGCGCCATGGCTCACGTGCGACGTCGATGTGGACGATTAAGAAGGATCAGCGCTTCCATATTCATATCCTGGCGACTCAACATTTAAATTCAAGATTTTTTGCAACTTAATGTCATCACAAATGTTTACTTTCTCGTGTATAACCAGAACGATGATAGGTTACATGATCATCTGAAAACAATCTCTTGCTCTTTAGTCTTTAGCATGCATGCTTCTATGTGCTCGCTTTTCTAAATTAATTCAGATGATAAGATAGTGCCTTCCTGCCAATACGAAGTTTTCCAATCCTATGTCTTTTCTTCTTTAATTCACTTCAGTCTGCCTTTGTCGAGTGGTAGCTTGGAGACACATTCTTCCGCTGAAAGGAACTGCTTTTATTTCTCTAACGTGGGTTTGCTAGCCTCCTTGCCGTAAAAGCAACGCATATATTCGAAGCAACATCACTTTTAAAAACAAGATCAGTGAGTGTGATCCCTAGATCACATCATTTCAGTCCACACAAAAGTCCCGTCTCTCGTGCGTTCTGGTATTCTTGTGCTGCCCCGGCTGAAGCAATTGGTAATTCGGGCCAAGTTCTTGTTGGGCCAAGACAACTGGGTCATTTTGGGTTTGGTTCATTAATTATGGATCCGAAGGCCCAGAGTATCGTGCGATTTAGATACTTTGTGCTGCACAAAAAGGGGGACTCTATCCAGAATCTAATCCAAGCACGCTATAGGGACGTGTCAATTATGGATTTGTCATCTTCGGATGAGATAAGCCTAGGGCAGTCCGTGCGACTGTACATACTCCATCATCGGGCTGGTGTCTCCCCAGTTTATTTATTTTTTATTTTTAGGTGAGAGTCTCCCCAGTTTATTTTGCGAAATAAGACTTTTGTAGGTTTTTCATTTACAAGTTAACAATGACCAGCGTCTTTTGTCCCAGAATGCCACCACTTGACCATCAACACGTTCATCACACAAACGCAACATTTTTTTTTTGAAAAAAAGAAAACAAAATCATTTCTATAATAAGAAAATAACTTTAATTAATTCAAATTCAACAGGAAAAAAAGAACGGAAAGAGTACAAACCCAGTCAGTCTCGCCAAGCTTGAGCCAAAACACTGCGAGGGAAAGGAGTGGCCTTAAAAATTATGGCCTGGAAACTAAGAAATTAACATATTATCACCGTTACCACACATGTTAGAGGAACACGTGGTCACTTTGGTTACCTGTCATTAACTTGGACACCCCATCCAACCCTCTCGGAAGTATAGAAGCAGATCTAAATTCACGTTGGTTCATTCCATAACAATCGCTTCCTTGGACATTGGAATTGAAAGCATTTATTCTGAGGGGGAGGCAAATAGGTGTTCATTCTGCCGAAGGAATGGCTCAAACATTGCTGCTCATGTCCAGTGTCGGCACTAATTATTCTGTAGACTTGAAGAGGGACTCATCACTCCAACTTCAAAGGCAAAGACTAAGGCCTAAGTTTTCTCATCTCCTGCTCGACCCAACTCCCTCTGTTTCTCTTTCCTCTTCATCCAGGACACTTAAAACTTTTGCTCTCTTCAAATCGAAGACCAAAGCCCCTTCCAAGGTAGTCTACCTTTCTTTTTAATTTTAATTTTAAATTTTTGTATAATTATTCATGTTGAGCATTCTGATTTTCATTTGGTTACAGGCTGCAAAGCCAGAGCCAAAGCCAAAGGTTGAAGATGGCGTCTTTGGCACCTCCGGAGGATTTGGATTCACCAAGGAAAATGAACTCTTTGTGGGTCGCGTTGCCATGATTGGTTTTGCGGTAAGGAACATTTTAACTTGAGGTTTCTGTCAGCTTCCTCATGATATTTCTCTTTCTGAGTTAGCTTTTCAGTATAATTTAGAATATTGTTGCCTTCCCCAATCGCATAACAAAATTCCGCTAGGATCTCATTGTCACACTTGTTGAGCTACGCTATTTGTGTGTTTAAGCATCAACGCTTGATGATTGCTCGTAAAGAAGAGCACGCCTCACTGATTTATGTGGATTGCAGGCATCATTGTTAGGGGAAGCAGTAACAGGAAAAGGTATCTTAGCACAGTTGAATCTGGAAACTGGAATTCCCATATACGAAGCAGAACCCCTTCTGCTTTTCTTCATCCTTTTCACCCTAGTAGGAGCCATTGGAGGTCTGGGTGACCGTGGTAAATTTGTGGATGACCCCCCCACTGGCCTTGAAGGAGCCGTCATTCCTCCAGGCAAAGGCTTGAGATCGGCTCTGGGCCTCAAAGAAGGAGGCAAGTTCATGAATATCCAAAACCTGGTTTCTGTATAATTAATTTAGAGTATTACTAGGGCTAACAAGTTGCTGTGTTTTGGTATCGCCAGGTCCTCTCTTTGGATTCACGAAATCCAACGAGCTGTTTGTGGGAAGATTGGCTCAACTGGGTTTCGCTTTTTCCTTGATTGGAGAAATCATCACAGGAAAAGGAGCCCTTGCTCAGCTCAACATCGAGACCGGGGTTCCCATCAACGAGATCGAACCACTCGTGCTGTTCAATGTCCTGTTCTTCTTCGTGGCTGCTTTGAATCCTGGAACTGGTAAATTCGTGACAGACGAGGACGAGGAAGAGTAGAGGGTGACGAAAGTTGTACTTTATGAATCTTTGTTCGTCCTCTAAAATCAGTGAATTGGATTTCTGTAAAACATCAGTTGTATATCCCTTTTTTCCTAATCTTGTCCGGAACATTCCATGAAAAATTGCAGCGAGACGGCCATGAGTTCAACTTTGAGGTCTGGAATTCTAGTTTTCGACAGTTTCGTTTCACAGTCGTAGCGTGTGTGGCGTTGGTGTGATTTTGCTGCGGTAACTGTGGGATGCATCACGTGTCATGCTTTTGGGAGGCCAGGTCATGTGTAGGATTAGGATGAAAATGAGGATCCGAGAGCCCAAACTGAAGTCAAGTGGACCCCACGATGGGGAAGCGAACCCCGTGACCTTCGATATTATATTACATTCATACGAAACTAGTTTCAGTATTTCGCCATCTAGTATGATTTTTAATACTTCAGGTTTAAGATTTTCAATCAATGGTTTTCACAAAAAACACTACGGAAAAACGGAGAGAGTGATATTTCATAAAATATACTTCTCGGATCTTAAATATAAAATTTTTTTTGTAACATAAATTATACTATAAAAAGAGTCTTATATTTAAGATCGGAGAGTATTTTATCAGTGTTTAGATATTAAGATATTTGATCATTTTGTATTGACGCTAAACACAGTCACTAAACAGATCTTTTCTCGAGGGCCAACGTGATCCTTAAAAAGACTTGAACCCTAGCTACAGGTTCATATTGCCCACTGTTTCTTTTTCTTGGGCTAGCATTCATTTTTGCCTTGTTTGAAGATTTCTTTCATCCGTTGGCCCAAGAACACGGACATGTCTTTCAGCCGCCCTAAAACTGCGTCGTTTAGACGGGGAACACCGAACACCTTCTTCAGTCATTTTGGGGATGCTATCGCCTATCAGCTCCTCTTCGTCGCTCATCCCCACTAACGTAGTGTTTGGCTGGAGGTTTTATGAGAGGAGGCGCGGGGGTAGGAGGTGAATAAATTTTATTTGGTTCAATAAATTAGAGGGGAGGGGAGGGAAATTCTTTCCTCTCTTTCTGCTCCCCTCCCCTCTTCCCCTTTCCCTCCAAAAATGGAATTTTTTTTGGGGGGAATGAAAAAAAAAAATCTGTCCTAACTTGACAATATTATCCATACTATTGTTTTAACATTTCAAGTCTACCCTTAACAACTTCAACATCCTCTTTTACCTGTTGCTTTGCTTTTGATGATGATGATAATAATATTACTTAGTATTATTATGTATGTTATAATACAATTATAAAGTATAATTACACGTACAAGTATAACTATAATTTATATATATTTTTTGCCAACAGCTATAATTTATATATACTCCTCCGGTCCTAATTATAAGACCCAATTGACTTATTTGAGGAGATTAAAGAAGTAAGTTAAGTTGGTTATTTATAATAAATAAGTATTGTTATTCCTAAAATATCCTTGCTAATTAAGTATATTGGCTAAAACTATCATTATTAGAAGGATTATCTTGGAAAAAAATACATAAATATAAAAGAGAAAATGGATTGGGTCTTATAATTAGGACCAAATAAAAAGTCAAATTGGGTCTTATAATAAGGACCGGAAGAGTATTAAGTATTAATTAGATTTTATACATCATTATACTTTGTTAAGCATCTTATAAAATTTAAAAAAATAACTTAAGATAACATAAGGATAAAATTGTTCACGTAAAAATTTCCCTCCTCCTTTCCATTTCTAAATCAAACAAGATAACATTAACATCTTTTCCCTTTCCTCCCTTCTATTAAAAATTCTTCTTCTCCTTCTCCTACCATTAAAATCCCTCCCTTTCTCTTTTTATTTTTATTTTTTATGGAACCAAACACAAACGGCTTTCAACAGAGATGCTCATCTTATCAGAACCTATTCCGCCTTTTCTTCTTCTCAGATGGGTGTCCAGTGATGGTTCAATCTACTCTCTCTTCATCATATTCTTCTTCGTTTTGGGAGAGGGTTTTAAGGGTAGAAAATAAGGGAGACGAAAATTTCTAGCCGGTCGACCGGCTTCAGAAAGAAAAGTACGTTGACGAAGGAAAAATCAAAAGGGGGAAGTGTTTAGAACCACAGAAGACAAAGCAACTAGCGGAAGGACTCGGAACTGCGAGTTTGTCTTCTGCTGTCTAATGTCACTAGCCGGGCAACCAATTCAGGCTTCCATTAAGCATAACCACTCGGAACAAATATGTGGTCTTTTGCTACCAGAGATCATCATTCCTTCACGGAATCTTTGTCCATAACATACTGACCTTTCAATCTGCACTTGTTAAAATAGAGTTGGCCTGGACTTATTCGGGATCCAGAGCACCTCATCGGGTGTGGTTCTCTGGGCTCCAACTAATTATATCATAGCAAAACAAATACACAAGTCATGTCATTTGGTGGACGTTAAAAAATTCGGAAGTCCGGTTCTTATCCATAGATACAAAACCCAATAGCGGATGATGAACCGTCTCATCTTTTGGGCTGAGCAGCAAAATCCGAACCCTCATAGCGTGTCTTCTTGCTGCACTGTGTCCAAGTCATCCACAATTTGAGAAATGTTTACTGTCCACCCACACACAGCATGCAAGTCTCTTGTTCCCCCCCCCCCCGGTTTTCGGGCCAACAGCATGCAAGTCTCTTTGAAAACCCCACACTCGCTCACTGTAATTCTGCTTCGAATTCGAAATATTGGAGCAAGTGTCATTCATCTCCATTCAATTATCTGCTTCGAAATAATCCTGATTATTCCTGCAAATTAGACTGATTTGGGTGACCGAGGAAAAGAGATGCAATTTTAATTTCTTCGATGAAGTTGGGGTTTATGTGGCATTATATATATATATATATATATATACACACACATACATACATATAGTTTGCCTGGCATTGCATGTTGGGATCTGGATGTGGGCAGACCAATAAGAGGTTAAATAGGAATGAATTGACGGACGTAAATAAAGTGATTAAGAAAAAATATTGTGGCGGTCTCGACGGTTTATTAACACCTGAAATTTCTCCTGAGAGGTGAGAGAATAAGATCAGCAGGGGTTTTGTGTAAATTTTTCTGTCTTCTCCCAGAACAATAGTTAATGATGCCAGACATGAACTTCGGATGTTACGAAACTTTCGGTGCATGGCTTTTTATGAACGAGTATGTTATGCATTTTCTAATGAAAAGCAGAAAAGGTGAAAAAAAAGAAAGAAGAGAAACTGCAGAGTTAAAACCCATTTGGACGAGTCAGGTGAGATGATAATATACTGAGTGGAAAACGAAGAAGAAATAAATCATACTTTTTCTAGTTTGTAATGATATAGAAAGTAGAAACTAGAAAGGAAGTTAGCGAAATAAAGCAGTACTACTCCGGTCCTTAATATAGGACCCAATTGGTGAGTTTTGGTCCTAAATATAAGACCCATCATATATCAATTATCTCTAAATTACCCTATGGATACCCTTTCAACCATAATCAAGTAGAAGAGAAAGATGAGGTATTAAGAAATATGATTATGGTATTTTAGGAAAGTGTATTTCTTATAACTAACTTACCTACTAATCAATCAATTAGATAAATGAGTCTTATATTAAGGACCGGAGGAGTATTATGCATGGGAATAGGTTAGCCAGTTGGGCCCCTAGCTAACTTAGGTAGCCATTAGGATTCGGGCGGTGTTAATCTGCATTATTAATATTTTATTAGGCTGAAACAGAGATATATGGTGATGGATAACTTCACCTTTCCGCTGAGGCTAGCTTGAGGAACAAAAAAATAAAGCGACACTCAAAGGCTGTGTTGACTAAGGATAGGATAGGATAGGGTAGCCTTTAAGGGTCCTCACTTGGCTCTTTCTCTCTATTCCAATCACATCTGCTTTTTCCTGTGTAATGCCCTCCACAATGCTATCCCGGACGGGAGGAGCACATGCAGGCTTTTGAGCAACGGACAATCTATCTCTCTCTCTCTCTCAACCAATAAAAGACAGATACAGCGAACCAGAGATTTTTGCATTAAACGTGAAGGCTGATGTACATATATATCTAAACATGATCACATTCTTGATTGGTCACATACCCTCTTCTTGCACAGAGAATGTGCAATAATGAATATATATATATAAATTGCCATATGACGCAGACGATGACACGGTTGCTGCATCTGCATGTCCCTCTTCTGATACAGTTGTTGATATTAGTTGGGTGGAGATTCGGCTATGTCTTGTCGTTTTCGTCTGCTCCGAATAATCTTTTCTCTTTGGCCGTGGTCCTCTCCCTGTTGTTGCCAATGGGCCTAGTGGGCGGGACGACGCCATTAAAGGTCCTGTGTATAGATATTCGTCACACACACCCATGCTCTGTGCGTTGCACGTGCCAACAGCATAGTTTTGATTCATCATCATCATCATTGAATTGATTAGCGATTCATCTTTAGACTATAACCCATTCCACTCGAGTGATATTTGAAATCTGGACATTCTCGCACTAAGACAACTACAAGACAAGTCCTGTTCCTGTATCCTTCCTTGTTTGTTTCCCATCAGGGGCACCAAATATCGGGTGATTTGGCAGTGCTCGTCAATAGGCAAAGGAATGCTCAAAATGCCTTGTTATCTTATTTTGAAGTATAAACCTTAAAGCCAAAGCAATTTCAACACCTATTTTACAGCCTGTACTGTCTACAACAATGGGAGAAAAGAGAAGAAAAGAATTACAAAGTACCCAAAGCATATAAAAGCTTCTTTTTTTTGCGAACCAAAGCGCACTTTTGAGCGAGCGATAAAGCTATGTTGACTCTACCATATTGTGAACAGTATCTTTATAACTTTACAGTCACACTTAATTGGGCCTGCCCCACAAATGGAGGTGTAGTGCAGAAGAAAAGGGCTTTCAGGCAGTGTTTCTTTTTCTTTTATTCCATGGTCCTTCTCTTTGTTAGCGAAGTCCTCATCCAACCTTTTCTCACCTTCTTCGCACCCTCCACGCTGCTTTTTGTGGGTCTCTTCCATCTCATGAGATGGAAGATGTGGCCTATCTTCCTTCGCCACCTAAGCGTGTCACGTGACTTCCCATGCTCTATTACGCTCCTTGTGGTCTCTAAGGGCACCTTGTTTTTAGACTCTGTAGTGGTGGTGGTTGTAGTACTGTTCTTTTCCCAAGAGGCCATCCCATTCTTTTCGAATTTGATTGATATGAACGACTCTGCAAAAGCAAATTTTTGAATGTCATTGTGGGTACCAAGAAGCAAAAAGAAACAAATAAAAATTGACAGAGATGAGAGAAACAAAGAAGTGAAGTTAACAGAGGAGTCAATTGGATGGATCTGCTTTTTGGTTTAGACTTTAAATCAAGCAGGATAGTTGCACCTAACCACACTGTTCGTGTTAGGTGTATAGAAGATGATATAAAATGTGCTCCATTGATATCTTAACTCTATTGATTTGAACTTGAGCAAGGCAATACACACCCACTTGTCCAAAGTCTGGCCAAAAGATAAAATAAAAAATGGGCTTATTTGGACTTTAAACTCCGTTGATCAGGAAGATTAGACAGAAGAACATATAAATCAGGTAGATATATTGAATAACTGAATAAATTAATAAGATATTTCTGTGCCCTAATTCCCCACAATATCCATGATCCTACAAGATATACGATCAGTTGAGCACCATAATGGTCTTGGCATCTGAAACTCGCACGCCACGCCAAACAGACAAAGAATGAATGAAAGGAAAACCTTCATTTCTTGTCTGTCTTACCAATCCTATCTTAGCAACTACGCATTTTTTGACCTTAATACTGTCATCAACACAACAATCTAATCTTGCACATAAAGACACGCGCGCACATGCGCACCACGTTAATTCTCCTCTAATAACGATGGAAGCGATTGCAGGAACACCATGATGGACATTTTTCTCTTAGAAAAAAATCGGTAATAAAAACAAAGATTAGTGTAAGATAAAGGATCACCTTCTGGGCTAGGAGAGGAATCATCATACTGATAGGTCTGAGATTTCCAGTGCTGGGAATCTGGACGGCTGAACAGAGACCCGAAAGCAAAGATCTTGTGAATAGAAGAAGCTTGCGGCTTTCTGTGTGAGGAAGTTTGAAGCTTGCTCGTGGAGATAGAGGGATTAAGGTTCTGTTTGGTAGCCAATACGAGAAGCCTCTCGTTTAAACATAAGGGACAAACCCCAACAACTACCTGTCTGGGGTGGAAGTAGCAGCATGACTTTTCATCTTTGTGTCCATTTTTGTTCATGATATGGTTTGCAGAAGAAGAGAACAGGGTGAAGAGGAAGAGGAGGAGGAAGAAGGAGAAGGATGTCAAGGGAAAAAGGAAAACCCAACTCTGGGATATGAGCTAGAAAAAGGAAGGAATTTATTCTTGAAAATATATATGGTGGGAAACCAGATGCAAGATCATGAGCAGGACCCACCAAATATGACAATACGAGCAAAATGCAAAATGGTCATGTCGGAGGAGATAACATTTTGGGTTTCATTTTTCAGATATTCTAAAAATATGATCTTTCATTTTGAGTCAAGTGCGCGTTTAAAATTGCTCGATAAAACTCAGCTTAGACAGGGTCCAAGAATACCTTTATTTTTATAATTAAAAAAAATTGTAATGTTGAGATTCTTAGTTAGATAAATAAAAAAGATGGTATTGTAACTGACTGGTTTTGTTTGAGAGTTTTTTCTGTTCATCTTTTACCCTTTTGGTTGTTAGTCACGATGACATATTTCGCTCCGCAACTAGCGATGATCTTATGCTGTGATTTGGAGTTTGAAATTTAAATTAAAATTAATAAATTGAAGCTGTGAATATTGAAAGTTAATTTGGATTGGGCTTACTTATAAGCTGTATAAGTATATCGGTACTTCACTACTACTTTTAATTCTATAACATGTGCCCATTGTCACTGAGCTAGTGTAGGAATGCTGAGTATTTATAATGAATAAAAATAAAAATTGAAATACGTCAGGCTTTGAGAAAATGCAGCGTCTCTGTGTGGCAAGATGCAGATGCAAGGAGGACAATAGTCAATAAGTTAGTGATGGGGTTGACAAAAGGAGGTCTTGGGAAATGAATGAAGGGTGAAGGAGTGTATCAAAATCAAAGCAGTTGTGCACGGGGTCAATCGTAATAAATCCCACGCGTTTAGTTGGTTTCTTTTATATTAGACCCCGTCACATATGCATGCGTGTATGCATAGATGACAATATATTGAAGTGAATACAAATATTTTTGGCATGAATGACTAGGGGATAAGGTCAACATTTGCGACTCCCCCTTCATTCTGTAAAATGCACAAATAAAAGGGCAGCTTAACCGGACTGCCCCCTTCACACCGGCATGCACATGCAAATGGTACTCGCATATTCATATTTGCCCTCTTTGTAACGTTTTTTCTGTTTCTTCTCGTAATTATTTTAATTATTTTATCACGGGTGGCTTCTTTTGTTTGAGTTTCTTTTTTTTTTGGGGTTAAAAAACAACCCGCAAATGCAATTAAGCAAGACTCGTTTAATTTTAAAATTTTGCGAACGTACGAGTTAACTTCTAAAATTTTTTTCCTAAAAGGTCAGAAAAAAAAAATTTGTCAGCTTGATAATTTTTGAGAGCTAAAACTGAGTTTAACATTTGTTGTACCAAATTGTTGGTTTTAATTCGACCAAGTAAACTTGAGATGGAAACAAGAGTCATATGTATGCAAGCAAATTCTCTGATGAACCTCTACGAGTGACAAAGGTAAGTCAAAAAGAAGGGATACAAAACCTTCTTCCCTGCTCCTGCCACTATCACCCCTCCCCTTCGAAGAAAAGGAAGGGGAGGAATTAAGATAAAACCAAAAAGATCAGCTCATTGGAATGAAGAGTATAACTTCGCCAGCTCATGAAGAATATAATTTCTCCAGTTCCTCAGCGAAGGCTTTTCTGATGGCTTCTCTTTTGATCTTGAGAGCTGCAGTCACTAGGCCAGATTCAGGAGTCCAGGGGTCTGAAAGCAGCCTAATTTTTCTAGGAATTTCAAATTTCTCCAAGCGAGCCTTCTTAGCTTCCTGCAATTTTGTTTCATATTCATCATTAAAAAGAAGAAAGGGCTTTTATCACCATTTTTCTTTTTTAAATAGGCAACCCACTTGTTTCTAAGGAGCCATGGAAGCGACAGATTTCAATTTCCAAGATCAAAGTAAATCAGTTGGATCATTCTCATGTGATCGTCAGAACACAACTATATTCCCGACTAGATATATCTTTCAAAAGTTAAGAAGTTCAATCCCCAAATATCATGACTGTCAGTAGTTAAGAGGAGTTTGACAAGAATATATATACCTTTACAAGGGATGCTTCTACTTCCCGAACAGTTTCTTCTTTCCTGCACAATTCCGAGAAATCAGAATAAGCAATGCCTTGCCTTGAAACCCATTCTTCCACTGCAGACTGAGAAGCCACGACAAGTGCCACACAGTAACTGTGAAAAGGATCAACATACAACATAATATTGTCTACGTAGGGGCTGACACTAAGAGCTGCCTCAACCTGCAAGTTTTTTTTGAAAAAAAAAAAAAAAGTCACGAGGGAAATATTTGAAAATAGTGCATTTCCCCAACCAGTTGCCATACCTTTCCTAGGGAGACATATTCACCATGCTGGAGTTTAACTATGTCCTTTTTACGATCAATAATCTCAAGGCAACCGTCTGGATGGAACCTCCCTATGTCACCAGTGTAGAACCATCTCATTCCTCTTTCATCAACCTTTACAACAAAAGAATAGAAGATATAAAAGTAAATACACCTTATGAGAAATGAATAACTTTACTAAGCAGAATGATTTCAGCAATGGTGGAAAACTAAAGAACAGTGATAATTCATCCTTTCTCATCCCCAAGCAAAATGAAAGAAGAAATTGGCATCATACCTTGTAAGACTCTCGTGTCTTTTCTTCATTTTTGAAGTATCCAAGAGTGACATTTGGACCACCAATCACAATTTCACCACGGGGCATTGGTAAATCATCAGTCAAATATCCACCATCAGGCCAATTGATTAGCTGAATAGAGAAAATTTAACGTTAACATAGAATAATATTTCGAAATGCAGTACAAAAAGTAAACTACCATTACAAGATAATAATAGCTTAAAAGCTCACAACTTAGTCTTGAATCCTCTCATTGAACAACCCCTCCTTTCCCCCAACAAAAGAAAAAAAAAACACACACACACACACACACAACCCTCTTATATCTTAGTGTCATAAGTGATGAATCAATAATGATCCCAAATAAGACATAAAATCTAAAGTTAAGACTGATAAATTTGGAACAAATTTACCATGAAGATGAATATCAACCAACAGTATTCTCACTGAAAATGACATGAAACAACATATAGAAGACCATATTGAATGGTTGCTTTGCATTATTTACATCCAATCCCACTGCTCCATACGCCTTCTAGTATATAATTACCTTGATAAAAGAGCAAGGAAGAGGTGGTCCCACACGACCAACCGATGTATCATCAAAATCAGAGAATGTCCCACCAGCACAAGTTTCTGTGAGACCATATCCTTGACCAATCGGAGCACTGGAGAAATGCAATCCAATAAAAGATTGACAGAGGAAACAATAAAGGGAGGGCCAAAGCCAAAGAAGAAAAGAGCACAAGATTGAATCTAGTTCTATTTCCTTTGGCGAGCCATATTAACCATGACAAATATAGTACATAAAAAAATGAGATCCACGGGAGATTTTTAATTAATTTTTGACATCAGATCTAGCTAAATTGTGGCATATTATTTACGGGTGGAATAGCCTTGTGTGTGAGTCTTTTTTTTTTTTTGGGCATGGCTGGGGCGGGGGGGGGGGGTATTGCCTTTGAACTTTTAGTAGCATGCATCCTATCTCATTGCCTCCAGGTCGTACTGCAATATCTCAACTGTACAAGATGAGCGTGTGAGGCATCTGTCCTTGTTTGCAATTGCACTAATGAAAACTTAAATCATCATCCAGAGTTGAACGGAACAACCAGTGTGGAATTCTTAAGTCACTCTTAATTCTTAAATAAAATAAAAATTGTTACTAAGCAGTCATTTCAATTAGATTTGTCACAGTCAGGCAGTACTGACCCAAGACAAATATTGATGAATCTTTGGGTATCACTTGAAAGGGGAGCCCCGCCAGAGAGTATAAAACGGATACGACCCCCCAGGATTGCTCTGACCTTATTGAACACTAAACCATCCCAGAGAGCCTTTTCCAAGCCCCAAGCTCCAAACCAGCTACCATTAATTGAATTCAACCTGCGAGAATAGGCTAAATCAAACATTTTCTTGGACAATCCTCCTGTTGCATTTACCTGCATTGTGAAGCTTAGCCTTGGTTACTGACTGAGATATAAAAGGAGGGTTTCAGGGATAAGCCCAGAAACACATGCACAGTACAGTTGATGTATTATATGCAAGCATGTATTCAAATTCCAAAACTCATAGTACCTTCTTGAGCACTCCATCACGAACACGATCAAGAATAGCTGGTACAGCTGCCATTAAAGTTGGCATCAATACAGTGGCATCCCCCTTCGTTCCCCTTTTTATCTTGCTTGATGTATCAGTTAGAGTCAAAGGAGATCCATATCCTATGGCACTTCCAACAGCTGCAATCAAATTCTGAAACAAGCAGTAAATTTTGTTATGAAATGCCGTAGAGAAAAGGAGCTTTTGAAAAAAGAAAAAAGAAAAAAGAATGCCTCACAAATGGAGATATTTATTCAATCCCCTTGATGGTATAGATAATTGCAGCTCATACCTCAGCCGCTAATTCAAGAATATGGGCCATTGGTAAGTATGCCAGGTAAACATCCTTTTTCCCAAGGTCAGGAACAATTGTCATGACAGCAGAGACTGTTGCCAAGACATTACCATGTGTCATCATCACTCCCTATAACAAATAATAAAAGAATAAAGTAAAGAAAATAATAATGATAATACAAGAAACTAAGTACATTTCAATTGTCAATAGTAATATTTCTTCTAACATACATTTGATAATCAAAGGAAACACAGTAGACCAGGCTATGACAGAAACTAAGTACATTTCAATTGTCAATAGTAATATTTCTTCTAACATACATTTGATAATCAAAGGAAACACAGTAGACCAGGCTATGACCTTATCAAGATTAATATTTAGGATTCCCAATATAGCTGAAGGGGAGGAAAGAAAAGATAGGAAGAAACACTTAGTTCAAAAGTACTCCTAACCTTGGGCAATCCCGTACTTCCACTGGTGTACATTATAACTGCAACATCTGCCGGAAGAGGTAAATCAGCATCAACAGGATTTTCTCTACCGAGTCTCTCAACATTGGCAAAGGAAGTGATTGTCCAGCCATGCTCAACAGATGAGGTGTCAGGGGGGATATCATCATCCATGCATATGACACGTTTAACGGTGTCAAGTTGTCCACTTATGTGTACCAACTTCTTCAGTTCTTTTTGCCCACAAATTACAGTCGTAACCTCAGTCTGGCAAAGATTTGTAATCTCATCACATAAACTCAGGAACTAAAATGACCATGAACATGTGCGAAGTCCAATGGTCCACACCACACTCGGACCATGAAAGATTTCTAGAAGTTAAATAGCCATACCAAGAACAAGCTACAAGCTAAATAGGCAACTACGCAAAACAGAATATTGGCAGGTAACCGAAATTTAAATTGCAGAAATTTTCATTTAAGTAGTTGGGCGATGATTGGATTTACAAGCAAGGGGAGAAGAAAGAAAAGGAAGGAAAAGAGAGCGGGACTAAAATCAAGGATCTCATTGGAAGATATGGGAAAGTTACATAAAAGTTCCCCCTTAATTTTTTCTTTTTATATTATAAAAATAATATATTCACTTCATAGCTAGTCAGAAGAGAAAAAATGTCACCAGAGGTGCCACGAAAGTGATGCCCACGAACTAACATCGATATGCCAAGAAAGTACTGAATACTTATATAAGGCTTGATCATCTTTGACAGAATGGCGGACGGAGTATGAGGAGGGTGACACTATCCTTCAAGGAAGATAAGAATTGATAATTCATAAATGCAAAAATTCAAGAGACATAGAGAGTATACCTCATTTAACGAATGACATAAAGCTTCATCTCCCAGTGATGCATATATAGTCACAACAGTAACATTGCGTCTAAAGCAACCCTGAAAGAACAAAAGAAGAAAAGATCACCCATATCTTAGCGAAAAATAAATCAGCAGTAGATAACAATCTAGGAAAGCATGGACATAGATACGGAACACAGAAATGGGAAAAAATCTGAGGCGTTGTCATTTAGCGTCAAATGTTGCCACTCCCTTTTTCAAGTAACCATACTTCTAACTTCATAGACTAGGAACATACTAAACTGATAACACGTCCGCTGGATCGCAATTTCCAGACAACTCAAAATGTACTCATTGAGAGTAAAACGGAAGATATAAGGGGAAGAGAGTCAGCCGTTAGTGAGTGGTTAAGACAAACACCTGTAATGCAATAAACCATTCTTCCCTTGTGTCAGCAAAGATTGCGGCTCGTTCTTCCTTCACATGCCCAATTTTTGCTAGACCAGAGGCAAAGTTACAGACAGCCTCGAACGTTTTCCCATATGTCAACCATTCATAGTCTCCCAAGGACAGCTTCTCAAAAGACCTTCCATCATCAGTTATTTCAACCTCCCTCGAGATCAAAGTGCGGGTCCCAAGCAAAAACCTGTCTCGATGCTGCTTACAAGCGAGCTCAAAAAGGTCTGCAAGAGTTGTTACACCCTTCCATGCCGTACTGACCGGGGAAGGAAACCGATGATTCCGAATTGCAAACCCAGGTTCACCACCAACATCGGCGGGGAACACCACGTTTTTTCACATTCCTGGAATTCCGGAATAGTATGGTAACTATGAGAGGAACAAGGACACCAACAATATAGGCACTCATTTCCAGGACGGAATGACCACTCTGTAATATACCAACTCAATCCCTGAAATTGAAAATTATATTAACATAAGTTAAGACTTTCTTCCCCAATTATCGGTACGAAAGATGGCAAAGATGGGCAAACGGGACAACGGAAGCCACAACTTGAGCTAATTTCATACTAAATTAAAAGGCATGCACAAAACAATAACGGAGCAACAAATATATTGATAAGGTTACTAGGCAAAAGAGCTGTGGCAATTCCAAAAAAAGAAAGAAAGCAAAGAACAGGCCATCATAAGCAAGCAAATTAGACATGCAGTTACTCTTGCGAAATCAGTAAGAATACGGAAGCGGCATAATCTAAAGAAACCCAAGAAGAACAGGAAAAACACGTAAGAATTCAAAACAGGAATCCAGAAAGACCTTCAGTAGCTGATAAGAAGCAAAGACAGGAGGCTGAGAAAGAGCAGCAAGCAGCGAGGGGGGTTGGAAAGAAAAGTCCGAAGAGAAGAGAAGAGAAGAGAAGAGGAGAAAGGAAATATGGGAGGGAGGAGAGAGGGAGGTCAGAGGAGTTATATAACGGAGGTTGGGGGGGCGGAGAGATCGAGGGAGAAGGAGGTTGGAGTTTCAGAAAGTTCCGCAGCTCGCTAAGAGTGTCTTGTGAAGAAGCTCACCTTTTTGCCAGCTACCCAGAAACAACGGCAAGGGGCAGTTGGGGACCCAAATAACGAAAGTGAACCGTCAAAAAAAAGGGGGGAATTAAAACGGATTAAAGGTCCTGGGGTCACACACACGTGGCGGGGGCCGAAGAGATTAGGGTTTTATTGCGGGCCGTGAAATCTGGGTTACGTAGGCACACGGATGGGGTGCGTGAGGCCCATGTTGCATGTTGATTGTAACGTCATTGGCTCCCGTGATCTTGCTTGAGTAATTTCTTATTTGACCAATAAATTAAAAAGGAAAAATGGAGATAGGCGCCGGAACTGGATGAACAAATCCATGGAAATGGGACCACAGGCCACAGCAGGGGCTCAATCCAGGAGACGAGCAGCCACCAGACCACATCCACCTCAAACTGCAATAACTAGCAATCGCAGCTGGGGTGGGGGCCCCACAATGATCCCTCTTGTCCTGCGTCTCCGATTAACCCCGCAGTCTGTCACGAAATGTCACCACCAAAGCTCATGAATTCCGGTTTTACTGACTTTATTCCCTAATTAAAGCTAAATTTATTCCGTTAAATTTCTTTCTTGTTCTTTTCAAATTCCGAACAAACCCCACCCCCAAAAAAAACAAAAATCACAGCTAAACTATGAATGACGCTCTTAGCAGATTAGACGCGGAAAATCCATTACTACAGCTATGGCTTGATGAAGTACTAGCAAATGAGCGAGCGACAGCTAGCAACATATTTTGCCTCCCCTTTTTTCTTTTTCGCAAAAGAAGGGGCCCCAGAGACCAAGACGTCAAAAGCGGACGCTGTAAGACCATTTAAATTGAAGAGAAAAATATTTTACAAGGCTGATGATTTGCAGTCCCAGCACTAAGCATGCTAGAAGTAAAACTGACTACTGCCTAGTTTGGCGCAGTTCTTCCGTTGGAGTGATCTTGTGGCTGCTCGCGGCCTGGAGGCGCTGCCCCAGATAACACTTCCATCACAGACCTGAAAGCGCCCGTCAAATCTTCGGGCATTTGGTTCAAGTTTAAATTAATATTGCTCCCGATTCTTATTTCAGGTTCATTAGATGAATTGGTGCTGCTATCTTCTCCTTGCCGCTCCTGGGGATGCTGTCCTTGATACGCATTGGCAGTGTTTGCGGCTATGTTCATAAACATGCTTGCAAGATCGTTGGCATTAAAAGGCATCGAGTCAAATGGTGATGGAGCTGCATTACCTCTTGACCCTCGTGCGGACTGGTTCTGAGACTCCTGAGATGATCTTGAATTCTGTACGGTAAAATGGTTAGCTCTGCGCATAGGATGCCACGATTAAAAATGGCTATAATCTTTTATAATGGAAAAAGGACAGGGAGTAAGATGCCAAATGCCTTTTTGGAAGGCATTCAATACACTCATCTTTGAGATATATAGAATGCCTGCATTTGAAACACTTGTCTCCAATGTCAGGAATGTATAGAATGTCTCCATCTCATTGGTAACCTCATCCTACCACTAAACAACAGCGGATTTCACACGCTTGAGTTTTTGGCTTCATCAATTTTCATAAAAACATAAAATGTATCTTTTCTTTGATCACATTTTCCTAATCACAAACATGAGAATCTAAAATACCAAGCTATCTTGCATATGGCATACAACATCCCAAGAGGCGTACTAAAGTATTTCAGTGAAAGGATTACAACCTCCTAAAGCTTCATCATTTAGGGGAGGTAAAACAAACAAAGATTTGCAAAAGAAACAGACCATCACCCCTCAGACACGAGGGAATTTAAACGTTATTGCATTCCTACCCAACATGCGTACGTAATTAATGCAAAAGGCAATAATTTCAGTCAAGTCGCACATTAATAGTTGGCCCAAAAAAAAAAAAAAGTCGCACGTTAATAAAATCAACTGAGAATGAAAAATGGGATTCATAAAAAATTCAATATCCAGGAGAAAATAATATAACCATGATTTGATTTCTAGAGATATCATCTACGAGAAGAATTACCACTAATCATGTATTTGATCTGATGAAGTATTATGTGGTTGCTCTACAACTAATAATCAACAATAATTCCATTTTCAAAAAAAAATTCAAGAAAAATAAACTCAAAAATTACTAATGGTGCAAGATATTCCTGAACCACAGTATAGAATGCAAAATTAAAAACCCAAGAATAGTTGATGAAGCATTAAAGATTGAAATATAAATAATACCTGACTGTGATCTGCACGATGTTGCTCTTCTATCAATTTTTGCTCAGCAACCTGTGGTTAATTAACATCATAATGAATAACAAGATAAGAAAGAAGATAATATAGAAGAATATTTTAGGCAAAAACTAATAATGAAGAAATTCACTAACACACCCGTATATTTTCTTTAATCGACTCATTACTTGGATCCAACAGCAAGGCTGCAGAGACATAAAACATCAAAATTAACAGAAACAATAGTTACCAATTTAACAAGTATGGGGTCAGAAATCATGAAGCTTTAATAATGAATAAAAGTTCAAAGATTGAGATCCGTCTTACTACTAATTATTAATATACTGTTATTATTATTATTTGGTTTACATTAGGAGGTTTTAAATCATCAGGCTTCTATCCACACCCCACCTCACCCTTGCCACCAGTGCTTTACTCTCATTCCAATTAAATCAACAAGAAGCCCTATGTTACTAGGTAGGATAGGCTAAACAGCCATTAAGCTCTATTAACAACCAAATCTTTAAATAGATTATTAACCAAAAAATTATATGTAAGATCATTAACGCCATTGAGCATTGCTTGAGTATTTGAATCAATGTCTGTAGAAATAATAAATTTGCATGTATTGTAAATAGTCAAACATCAGAGGTTCTACAATATCACAGATTATGCAACCTTAATTGGAGAGATGAAAGGCTAATCATAGGCATTATTTTTTATTTTGTGTCCTAACTCTGACGCCCCCAATCTCTACATATATTTTTGACTCCCTGCACAGGATACCCACTAAAATATTGTTTTTGGAGCTACAAGTCCACGATGTTATATTTTTAACAGTGGATAGCAATGAATTTCCTGAAATCAACAGCTTCGTAGCATTCAAAGAACTTTGCTCTCAAGGTAAAGCCCTTGTTCTTTTGAGTCCAAAATAAATACATGGTATGGCTGACAAGGGAAAAGTGAAAAGAGAAATAAAATAGTATACCAACCTTTCCTAAACCCTTTATCAATGGCATCTCTGTAGTTTCCCTGAGCATAATACGCTAAACCCAGTCGACTGTATGCCTTGCTATAGTTCGGGTCAATCTCAATAGACTTAAGACAGTCTTGGATTGCTTCTGTGTATTTGTGGACCTGAGTGTAAGCAGCTGCCCTGATACATGATAACGAAGAATATATTACATATTCAGCGCACCATAAGAATAAGATAAGGCCTTAAGGTGTTCTCAAGCAAACCATCGCACAAGAACAAATTTTTCATCCAAACCAGATAAAGAATAATAGCTTTCTTCTCTGGATAAAAGATCATGTAGATAGAGAGAAAAATGGGTACAAATAGAGGCAAAGGATAGGGTATCTTACTCCACAAAGGCAGAGAGAATAAGCAGGAAAGAAAACGGTCATTAATACAGCATAGACCCCAAATCCCTCTGCATTTGTGAAAGGTTCCCTCGTAGAGAGAATGATCAAACACCAGAAAAGGCTACAAGGAGAACGCCTGTCCTAAGTAATAGGATTAGGAAAGGCTGAAATTATAAGTAATGGGATTGGGGAAATGCTGAAATTATCAGGATGCTGGATTAGAAAACAATGTGGTTATGCTGGAAAAATAAAAGTTGAGACACTAAAGTATTTTTCAGGTAGCATCGATACCAAAAATTTACATTCATGCACTTCACGTCTACAGAGGAAAAAGATTCGATAGTTGAGAATTCAGTATAATCATCTTTACCTGTTGCAGTAGTAAACAGCATTCTCTTCACAAAGTGCAATTGCACAAGTATACAAATCAATTGCATCAGGGTATTTCTTCAATTGCATTGCCTTATTACCTAACATAAAAACCAAAAATGAAATACTACAACAGACCGCAAAGATTCACTGTTTAGTTATTCTTCAACAATACTTCAGATGCTTAAATTTAAGTTGATTTTATGATCCCAATCAATAGCCCAATATACAGGCATTTTTTGGCCATAAGACAGTGCAGACAGATAATGGAAATGCGTTGCAACGTTTTCATTTTTAATAAAGAAATTATCTTGCATGTCAATGGCAAGGAAGAGTTACAGATGCATGTTATTACATTGTGTTTGTGTGTGCACGTGTGGACACCACGTGAGTGAAACAAAGAAGAGTAAATTTTAATCCCTCCACACAAGAGCATAAAGTCAAATCCAGCTTCCCTAAGTCAAACTCCCTTATCATACCTTGTGATTTCAGCAATTCAGCCAAGTTCTTTAGACCAAACTCCTGGCATTCAGATCTCTCCATCTCCTACACAGCAGAGAAAATTCTCTAATCAGAATCAAATAGACCAGTAGAAAGAACTTAAAAGGTAGTAAATTCAGATCTTTCCATCTCCCACACAGCAGAGGAAATTCTCTAATCAGAATCGAATAGACCAGTAGGAAGAACTTAAAAGGTAGTAAAATACTCCCTCCAGTCCTATATATAAGCTTCACTTTTGGAGAAGGGTCTGATCCAAAATACAAACTTTATTTTTGAGTTTGTCTGATCGTTTATTACTTTTTTTTTTCCTATTTTGCTCTTAGTTGACTGTATTTAGTACTCTCTCTCTCTCTCTCATATTAATATTACCCCCATATATTCTCTTTCATCATTTTTTCATGTATTGCCTCTCTCATTTACTCTCAATAAATAAGGGCAAATTTTGGGGAAAAAAGCATTTTTGACATATTTATTATTTTTAATTAATTTTAACTACTAGTTTGTCAAATGTGATTCGGTTAGTTGAAGCTTATATATAGGACCGAAGGGAGTAATATAATAACCTGTATTCCATCAACTTAAATACCATCAGCCTTAAGCATTACACGGAATAAAAGCCTATCTCAGTATAAAACAGCCAAGAGCAGAACTAAGTTCCCACATAATTTGACTGTACATACATCATATACAAGTAAAGGCAAACAACCAGTTAGCTTCTTCTCAGATTACATATACCAAATTTAAAGCCCAAGGATCAGCCCAATGTTCACGTTGGTGGCATACTTGTCCACCATCTACAAGCAGTTATTAACTAGGTGAAATGGGTTTTGGTGTTTGCATTGATTACTTAGGAGTTAGAACTCAAATTTTCAAACCAAAAAAAAAAAAATCCTTCTTTGTGGTCGATAACCATGAACTCTGACTTCTCAATTTTAAATAATTGATAATAATGGTACAACTTGACCACACTATTAAACTACAATATTTAGAGAAGTAAATAACTTATTAATGCCATTATTATTGCTATTACAATATTAGAAAAATAATATATGCAAGAGCATGAACAAAGAAAAGTGGCGCATAAAAACCAATGAACAAAGAACACTTGGTTGACATCAGCGTTTTGGGTTTTAGATCTTCCAAATCATTCCCTAAAGTTTTAACATCAACAATCATATGAAAATTCATGATATAGTATGTCATACCGTTGCAGCATCATTAAATATACGAGATGCTTTCTCCAGTTGCACTGAGTCATCAGTTCCATCAGGATTTGTCCTAAAGAAGTGGACTTTCTCCAGAGCATCAAAGAATTGCCCACACAGTTCATCTTTGGAAACTCCTGTCAAAGGTTGAGAAAATATCTATGTATATTTATTATTTTATACCTTTTAAGCATACAGCCACTAGCTCAATGATGTTCAAGTATGATAAATCCAAATCCCCACTTGGGCAAGATCTAAAATGAAGTGTAAGTGAACAGTTTAAGACTATCAGCAGCAAAATGAAACACTCCATTTATAAAAATTTACAAAACACTGTGGTGATTATACGGGAAAGCCAGACCAACATTATTGGACAACAGCAGAAACCACAGAGCAAAAATAATGGAATAGCATGATCATAATCTGAAAACTTATGATTTCACTGCCTTCATTTTTTTATTTCCCATTCCCCCTGCTCTAGTCGTTTCTATCTCATTTTTCAAAATTAAGTGAAAGAATCGTCCTCTGTGGACTTTGAGCCAATGATCTACAATCATCCCCATGACTTCGAACAGGTTAGAAAAATTGTGACCAGTTTCAACCCATAGTAGCCTAAACAAATAAATGCAAAAAACGGAAGGAAATAATGGCATGCACAAAGTAATTGTATCCAATAGAGATACAGCTAAAAGAATCAAGTATTGTGCCTTCTTAAGTCTGAACCCAAGAGGTTGTCTAAGTTAGAATAGATCATAGTAGAAGTGTATGCATTAGGAAGAATAAATTTATACTGCAAGAAATTTTGTCATATCGAGATCATCACTCATTTGAAAACATACTCTAATTAAATACATAGGCATAACAGATAATATATAATATAGAGGAAAAAAGATTAACCTACCAACTGTGCGAGACCCTCGTGTCCAATCTTCATCCTAATAAATTACACATTACTTAACAGAATCAGAACTAAAAGTCAAAGTTTCATCGACATGCACTGTGGCGTCTTGCAAAGGAAAATTAAAAGTGTCATTACATGACCAAAAAAATTAATTGAGATGACATGCAGTTGCTTACTATTCGCAAAATGTTATGGCAAAACACTAATTTAAATTGCTTAACCGGGCTTTCAAGGTTCCCAATCAATTTAGTTCTCTAATGGTAAAAAAGCATATGAAGCTATAAACTGCAGGCACTATAACCAGAATGGAATGGGAGACAATATAGTTCACAGACTAAAAACCCTGTCAATGGAAAGAAAAGCTCACTGTTGTAGTTAGTGGCTCCAATGTGTTTTTTAGTTATAAAATTCTTTTTTGAGCATAGCCTTCTTAGTTCTCACCTAAATGGGCAACCCTATTTCCATAAGCATATTCTCTCGCCAGTTAATTAGTGATCTTGCAATACAACCGCCATAATTTCAACACTCATGGCTGCCACGATAACTGTTCATATCCTTCAACACAAGACGATGCATGAGGATAACTATCCTAAATTTCCCATCCAAAAGAAAATAACAGAAAGTGTGGAGTGTGAAGAAATAGGAATAATAATAAAATAACTCTATCAACAGATAACCAAATTGAAGTGCTGCCCAATTAATAGAAGTTTAATGCCTACAATGAACATCAGTCCATTCATGTAAAATGGGCTAGCGGCCTAGCGCTAACCCATTATATTCTCGCATTACAATAACTCCCTGTGGTTGGGACCTGGCTTCTCTCCGCTGCCAGGTCCCTCCGCTGCCTCCTCTACCCAAAACACTGCCGTTTTGGATGCAAAATGAGGGGGCCTGATGTCTTTTCTTTTTTTTTTTTTTTGGTATTTTGAATTTCCGCTGCCTGGTCCCTCCGCTGCCCCTCCTCTACCCAAAACACTGCCGTTTTGGGTGCAAAATGAGGGGACTGACTCTTTTTTTTTTTTTAGAAGTTTTTTTAAGTAGCATCTGATATTCTAAAATAATTTTGATATACTTAACGCATTAAAATATTTTTTATAAGCACCTTTCATTTTTTTTAAAACTCAGTATCTTAAATTATTTTTTCAGTAGTACATGGTGTTTTGCAATAATTTCTTGTATACTCAATATTTTAAAATATTTTTTCAGTAACATTTAGTATCTTAAATATTGTTGCTATTTCACAAACACTTTTGAGGTAAAAACTATTTTATGATATTGGATGTCACTAAAAGAATATTTTGTAATACTGGGTGTAACAAAAATTATTTTAGAACATTGGATGCTTATAAAAAAAGATATTAGATGCTACTTAAAAAATTTCCAAATACCAAAAAAAAAAAAGACAATCAGGCCCCTCTCATTTTGCACCCAAACGGCAATGTTTTGGGTAGAGGAGGGCAGCGGAGGGACCTGGCAGCCAGGTCCCTGTGGTTAGGGGTGGAAACAGGCCAGGTCAGGCCAGGCTTTGCTTTTAACAGGCCAGGCCTGTTTTGGAGCCTATTAGCCTGAACCTGGCCTGTGGCCTGTTACAGGCTTACTTTTCAGCCTGAGCCTGGCCTGTATAAAGGCCTGGCCTGGCCTGATGAAGCCTGTTAAAAGGCCTGTATTTTTAAAAAATTCAAATTATAATAATTAATTTTTAAAAAAAGCTAAGATAAAAAAAACATACATAATAATTAATTTTTAGTCTTGTCTTTTATTTAAATTTTAGTATCATAAGTACTATTTTAAATCTTAATTATAATTTATAAGAATATTATTGAAAACTAATGTAATTATATGTTAAAATTTGGAATAAGACTACGTTTAAGTACACACAAAAAAATTAAAATTAAGACAAATAATAGAGGAAAAAAATACTAATTTTATAATGAATAAAGAGGGTATCATACTTAATTAAATAATACGTAAGTTAGTTAATTTATCATTCTTGGAACAAAATTTTTCTTTCCTATTTCTTTATATTTTTAAGATTTAAAAATCACATTATTTATTAATATTATTATTTTAAATTATATTTTATCTTCACTTGTCATCTAAACTTCAAAATCTAAGAAAAGATTAAGCTATTAACTAATATTAAAATTAAAAATAAATTAAAAGAGTACATTAACAATAATAGCATTAATTAATTTTTTATATATTATTATTATAAATTCCTGACAGGCCCAGGCCGGCCTAACAGGCTTAACAGGCTTTTTAAAAAGCCTAAGCCTGGCCTGTTTAACTAAACAGGTCTTCAAACAGGCCTGAGCCTGTCTTTTTTGAGAAACAGGCCAGGTCAGGCCAGGCCAAATGCAGGCCAGGCCATAGGCCCCTAACAAGCCGCCTGGCCTGTTTCCACCCCTACCTGTGGTTGCGGGGATTTCAAACATTGGGCACGAAAATCAAAACTTTTCGTTGATCCAACACAAAAATGTAAAATTAAATAATTAAAAAACATTTAAATTACTAGTTCTATTTGGATTTTCTGCTCATCTCATGAGATCGACAAGCTGCCCATCTCTAATTTTTTTGTTTGATGGGTATTCTTCTGCAAATAATTTTCTAATTAATTTGTAAATAAAACGAGAGATATTATGATATTTTTCAGCCTTTAAACAGTGTAGCCTTTCTTTAATGATTTTTCAAGATCAAAAAAATTAAAACATCATCTTTCATAAAATTAGAAGTTCGGATTAAAGTTTGATGACTTCTATTATGGCATGGGCACCCTATCCATTTTTTGAGATGGGCAAAAAGTTCAATTCTGACCAACTGAATACTTATATTTCGAAATACCGTCATTAAAAACACTAAACAAAATAAAAATAAATATTCTTAAATTAAAATAGTTATTCAAAATTTAACAATACAATATAATTCTTATGTTCATTGACATTTAAATCTCATTTTATACCAATAATTTCATCGTCTATCTCAATATCCTCATCTTATTATGCAAATCAATATTTCCTACCACTTGGACAAAGATTTATGAGCCAAAATATGAAATACGGATGGAATTTTGAGAATTTTAGGAAACATCGAATTTTGAGTTTTTATTTCCCAAACAATCCTGGTACCGTGATTTATAAAGAGAATAACCATCTATTTTATAAGTTAATAAACTTATTTGTGGCAGCATTATCCCCCCTAATCATATGCGTTTATTTATCCAAAAGCTGTTAGACACGCCCATTAAAAGAATTCCAAAGAAAACTCCAGTCAGACTCACCGGGTTTTGGAACACCGATTAAAAAAAAAGTTCACAAATCAAAATAAACTCTTCGTGTAAATCATAATTTGATTTCTATTCAAATACCTCTAAATTGATTGTTTAAAAAAGTTGACCCATAGATCTTATGTTTAAGCATTATTCTTGCATATAGTTACTAGTAATTATAAATTTACTCCGTAAATAGTATGTTAAATAACAAAAAAATTTTCTGCCGAAAAAAATATAAGAAAAATCACAAATAAAGATCTTAAAAATTAAAAAATTATATATAAAAACCCATTCACAAAAATTGTTACTATTTGCTTAGCAATTATTAACAAAACTAATACTAATATTGAACGGGTCCTCTCGACAACTTTTCTACTTCCAAAGTCTTGTTTTACAATTTTCTCAAAAATATACAATATTTTAATAAACAAAATAAAATATGTATTAATTAATTTGATCTTTTACTATCAATAAGACATACGGATAAAACAAATTCAGTGCCCTCGAGGCAATTTGATCTTTTAACTTTGTACTAAGTTTTAATTTGGTTCTTAACTTTAAAAAGCATACATTTTGTCTTTTAACCCTAAAGCATTGGACTTCAATGATATTTTTTATAACAATCATAAATATTTTGAAAATTAAATTTAATATATTAACATTTGGAAATATTTTACCAACATCTAAGATCTTAATGTCATCATTTAAAAAAATTTAGGGTTAAAGGATTAAAAGTATATTTTTTAAAGTTAAGGAACCAAATTAAAACCTTGTACAAAATAAAAGACTAATATATATTTTAATTTTTATAAATGTCCTTCAACCAAGATTTAATTCATGAACCTTGAACGGCAATTTTAATCGGTTCAATAACTTGCTCGATTTTCAAAACATTGATTATTAGCCCTATTCATTTCCCCAGATAGCCTTTAACGCGGGATTCTATTGCCGTTTTTAGGCCCGTTTGGTATAGCGTAAGGGGACTACATTGTGAGTGTGGAAGGGTGAAAAGTGTGTGTGTTTGGCGCGTTGGAATCCTCTTCACCGTCACTGCGAAAGTGACTTTCATGGAAGCTAATTCTTAGACCACTTTGCCCTGGGAGATCTAGCTATGGTGAGGATGGCAGAGAGAGACGACACTCTATGTCTTCAAATCTCCGTCTTTCTTCTTCAAATAGAGACAACAAACAGCTCCATCTCCTCCGTCCGTCCGTCCGTCCTTCTTCATCGCGTATTCCAGAACAATTCTTCTCTCCCCTCGACTTGTCATCGACATCACTCTCTAACTATGATAAAGGTGGCGATTTCAACTTCAATTTTTTTTTAATGGTTGATTTTTTTGGTTAGATCTGAAGCTTGGCTGCCTATTTGCATTGGGGACTTCCAATTTGCAATTTTTTCCCTTCGATGATCGATTTCTCCCACGATGGTTAAGCAAGCACGGATGGTTTTCTTGCCAAGCCTTAGTCAGTCTTTTATACACCTATACATTTCTATTAAAATCATTTCCAACTAACATATACTAATCCAAACATACTTTAACATTCCATTTTCAATTCATATCTACTTCCATTTCTGCCCTCATTCTCACTTCAACTTTCCTCAGTCTTCCAGATTACCCCCCCCCCCAGGGGGGGGGTGTTTGTAATCTACACGATTACATGACTAGCTGTTATGAAATGTGCCACATTAATACCATTTCCAAGGAATGTGTAACGAGGCACTCATTATGCGAGCACAAAAAGCTTTTGCTACGTGAACTACTTGCAGCTAACCTAACTAATTTAAACAGAAAAATCATGGCAGGCGATTATAATTTACAGACTTAACGAGGCTTGATAGTTGAAACGGGACTAATTATTATCAACACACGTAATATAAGTCGCCAAGGTCAACTTCAAAAATCTTATTCTATCGCTGTCCTTTTCGTCTTGACCAGGATATCGGATACCTGCAAATACGAATAGATTTTAAACAGGTTCAACATCCAAGAAAGTGAAGGCAGGCAAGCGTCATTGCCGGTCAAGATTTCCATGAAAACAGGATTTACAGGAGGCAGTGTAAAGATACCAAGTGACTCGTAGCCTTTTCATTTGTATCTACAACTTCTGATTCTGAAGTCCCCGTAGATTTTCCCCTTACGTTCTCATTCACTGCAAAAAGGCATTCAGTATCATTACAAGAATTTCTGGATGATTAGAATATTTGTGTGAAAAAAAAGGAAAATAATTTGACTTGATTTACTTCTGTACAACGTTAACAAGAGAAAAATAGAAAAGGAAAAAAATTAGGGCAGGATATCATTCCAAGTTGGTAGCCCCTTACAATTACGATGTCAACATGAACCCCACGATCTGATACTAAAAATAATACGCATATACAAGTCCAAGTGCACGAATGAAGGCTTCTTAAGATCTTAATGAAAGTAAAATCGATGCATCTAAACTTTTTCTTGGAACTTTTGCATCTCAACTTGATAGTATGCTTTTTGTTATCTCATACTAAAGTAGAGGATATCATTATAATATGAAAATTTCAATCGTTCCGGCTAATGTTAAGTGAGGTCAAATTCATTTGCTTACATTACCCACCATTTTCTTGGTTAAGGTTGGCTACTTTGCTTCCTGTCGTGGCATTAGTTTTCTTTGATCTGCCACGCTGAGAATGTTTACCCGGGTCACTGCAAAATGAAATAGGCATTCCCATGTAAAACAGGCCCAAAGAAAAACATATCGATGAAAAATGTCAAGACTTCATAGTAAAAAGCCTCAAGGCATAATAATAAAATAAATATCAAATTGCATCAGATGCCAATACTAGCGCAAAAGTGCAGATAAATGGGAACAGTAGCCTATAGACAACAGCAAAATGTTATTTAGTAGCCAGATTTCAATGAAGAGGTATGATGCCCGCCAAAGTTTTAAACCAAATTAAAGAGTCCTTCAAACCTGAAGGCATCAAATCCATTTGTGCCCATAATTATAAAACAAAAAAAAAAAAAAAACAATCATATTCATAATCATGTTTAAAAGTTTATACGGGTATGGTAGTTTTTCATATGAAATCATGTACCGAGTACAAGAGATTTGCGAGGAGTATGCAACTAATGGTGAAGTGCTACAAGTATTTAATTATAAAGTTACCTACGCTGAGAATAGCAGGGGAAGGTATCAAAGATTACATCTCATAGACAGGTAACGATGATGCATAAATGCACATAGCAGAAATCCAATGCAGTGAATACTTGGTAAGCGTCCATTAGTGTGTGGTGAAGAGGACAGATAAGTATGCTATAATTTGCTTGGTGAAGCATCTCTTCTGAAAGATAATAGGCCAGAGTCAAAGTGGATGATTAATGATATGCCTCTGCTCTGCATTTAACTTGCTAGCTAAACGAAAATCGATGACAAGCAAGTGAAATCTAATAACTTCACTAGCTAAGGAAAGAACAGAAAGGGGAATTGAAGAGGAGAAATACAAGGGACTATGGGCTAATAACCTAAACCGTAAGAAAACAGAAAAAAAAAAAAAAAAAAGGTTACTCAAGGTTCGCAAAAGAGAGATTTACGGGGAAGATCATATTTTTTTAAGGATTTAGTTCTAGCTTACAATGATAATTATCGCTTGCATCATTAGCGTCAGTCATCGAAGAAGTCTGTTTTTTAATCACATATTTTGAAATGGGTCTTGTATTACATTTTATCAGCATAACACCGCACAATAAGTCATGTAAAATGAACACTATGAGGATACAGTCACATAATAAGCATTATGAGGATACTCCGATTTGTAACTCTTTCCTAAAAATGAACAAATTGATAATGAAGTAAAAGTTCAGAAACTAAACTCACCAGTGCCATAAGTGACGTTGATTTGAACGGTCTGCCAGCACATCTTCCTTCTAAGAAAAATTGCCAATGTCATTCATTTGTTTCAATAAATGAACATCTTTAAACAGCACAGTAATATTAAAAGGGATAGAAACTTCCAGTCAAAAGAGGGGTGGGGATAGAAACCAAATCTCAGACCAAGACATACATTAAAGGTGAAGATCTATAGAGGAAGCCATACATATTGGGTATTCCAAAATAAGTATCATGTAATAATTTTTTAATAGTTTGATTTCAATAGATTGGGTAAATTGCAGTTTTGCTTACAAACTGTTTGACTCTTGATCTTTGAGATCTGAAATTATATATATTTGATATCATAGATCATCGCGGCTACCTTTTTTGGGAATTTATATAAACTTCAAAATTAGAATAAGAAATTTTATTTCTATTTTGATTTGTAATATATAATTCTTCATTATCTATTTTTATTTAGGATAAGGTGTTTAAAACTTGGAAGTATACACAAAGAAGCACCAGTACCTATAAGTATATTTTAACGCTTATATGTCCTGAAAGTTCTATTTCGTAGCATTTCTGCCCGAAGTTTTATCCATAGTTAAATTTGACTATTAAAGACAGTCAAACTTAACAGTGAATATAGTTAGGATATTTTTGTTACAAAAATAAACTTCCAGCACATGTAAAAGTGGGGAAAAAAACTTTCAGGTGCCAAGTACTCCTTTATGAATACTTTCAGAGTATTTAAGTAACTTATCTTTTTTTATTTTAGTAGGAATTGTCATTCGTTATGAGAAATTCTTTATTTAATTAGTACATGATGGTATTTTTAAAATTCTCTACAATTGTTCATTGTCTAGTAGGCATGCTCGAATAACGGATAGAGGAAGCTAATATTGTTGCAAAAGCTAATTTTGCCCCTGCCAGACTAATTTTCCATCACTTGAAATATTTCCAGTAAACTACAGATATCAAAAATAATATTCATTGATTTAACTTCTTGACATTTGAATGAATTTCCAACAAACCTTTGTGCCACAAGAATCGCTGAGGTTGGTTCTGGGGCGCTTCGAAGGTTGACCAGTGCATTTTCCGCTTCTCACGGCATTCTCTATCAAAGAAGCAGCAATCCTTTTTGACTTGCGGGTTGCAACATGCGATTCGACTAGAGAACTCACGGAACCACAAGATGAAAGTTGGTTCCCTTCCAGCGTTCTTTCACAAGGTTCAGATGCATTCTGTAGCCTATGAATAGTGGAACACTCATGCAAACAAACTGGCCCAGAGTTGGCGGAAGACTCGGCATTTTTCCTCCTTTTCCCTGAAGGGATATCAGGCCTTACGGTTTTCACATGTGTCGTTTCCCTCCATAACAAATCATCTGGTTTGCTAGATGCCAAATTGGATGTAATGCATTTGTTAATATTGCACTTTGGAACATCCTCTTGACACTTGCGACCATATTTAAGAGTTCTGAGAGGCTGATAACGGGGAGAGAAACAAACACATGAAATTATATTCATAAACAAAAAAGAAGGAACATTTGAGGCCTACAGTGGCCACGTGAAACATACCTTTTGAACACATGCCTGAGGGACGTATGATCTAAGTTTTTGCAAGACGCCACTCAGAAAGCATTCATCGAAATAGAAATTTCTGAGATTAGCCTGCAGTTCACGAATATATCACAAAAACTTGCAATAAAAGTCACATAAACAAGCCTCCATAAATAGTACAAAAATGTTACAGTGTCATCCCCCCCCCCTTTTTTTTTGGTGAAACGAAGACAAGCGCTCCAGAAAACTTACACTGTTCTTAGCAAAACTCATTTTATATAACGATGAAGGCAGCAAAATTTGTCCCGGGGCTTGCGATGCAGAAATTTCGCCGTGTTTTAATGCATTCAAAATAAATATACCAATGTCAGCCAGCATATGCAGCTTCTGCAATATTATGAACCACAATAAGCATAACACACGGCTGAGATAGGAATTAATTAATGGCGAAAATATTAAAAAATATTTTACAGTAGTCATCTGCACATCCACAGCATCCTCGGCTTTTCTGATAGCTCGTAAAATACTAAAAAGATATAACACAGCATCATTTACAAGGTCCTGGTCTCCATCAACAATATTTGAATTGACTAATGCCTGCATAAAAATATAGAGGGGACTGCAAAGGAGCAGATTCCATGTATCACCAACTTTTGGACTAACATTCATGTGCCATAATTAGTACAACAGAAATGCAACAGGATAAAGGATACATTACCTACAGAGGTCAGCACACAATTGTTCATCTTGACGGCCTCCGGATGGAAAATCAGCATCACGAGAAAGAACATGAATCAGAAAGACTACAACGTATGCTGGATAACAAAAAACTACTCCTTGCGCAGAAGAAATTTGCTGTGTTCGAGCTACTATACTATAATCCTTGATAAATTCTGCCAAAAATTTAGAGCTCTGAAATGAACAGTATTAGTAGCATGATTAGTAAAACGTAGCATTAAAAGTTAGTTCAGAAAAAATTCAACAGGGAAGATAGAACAATTACAAACAAATTGCGAATTTTTTTTTCCCTGAAGTTATCATGGGGAAATGAAATCCACATTCATCTTATCAGAGATTTGTGTTTGTTTGGCCCAACTATGAAAGAAACTTTGAAGGCTTATAGTTATTTATTCCTCCGCTAGTTTCTAGTCATTTATCTTAAGTAAAAACATTATTACTCTGAATAAATACAAATAGAAAGAAATAAAGGATGAAATGCACTTCAATTTTGCATTTAATAAAAGAGCATAATATATGAACTTGTAAATTTCGGTGTAACTGAAATGACATAGAAAGTTAAATGAACTCACAGTCTCATTTTAAGACATGTTAGGGAAATACAAATTCGGACAATAACTTTCAAATGCATCAACAGCCAATGGAGCACAGACACAAGATACAAAGAGTGAGAAACGCGCCCAAGCAAGGCAAAGCATGAATGCCAAGAAATCTATAAATGAACATGATAGTGCTAATGGTTGTACTACCAAGAGTAATAAGCTGACAATGTCTGAAAAGAAACAAGAAAAATAAAATAGTGAAAATAGAAGTAGAACTCCCTCTATTGTGTGAAAAAAGTACTGGCTCAGCCAATTTATTTGAGGGAAGAATTTACAGACAGAATAATCATCTACGCAATCGAAGGCAAACCTACATGGTCTCGCAGATCCTCAGTCCCATCCATCACCGCCAATGGAAAAGCGCATGCATATCTAATAGGTAGCCTACGCTCCTTCAACATTTTGTGTATTTTATTTAGAAATAATCTCCTAATAGAAGGTGACGAGTCCTGTAATATGAAAGCGGACTATTAAAAACTGATAATCATGGTAATGAAATAGAATGAACCGATGGCCGAAAAAGAAAAAAGAAACAGAATGGACCAATCAATGAACAATTGATAGTAAAAGTTTGGGCCTCAAAAAATAATGAGGGGGCATCAAAATGAATTGCAGATGTTTGCTTCCCTTAAACGGAAATTTGCAACTTTTTCCTGTTCTGCAAACTTAGCATCTGACATTTCCCTGGCTTCTCTATATTTGAAGTTTGTATTTCAATGAACAAATATGTATATAACTATTGCAACAAAATATAACCTACAAAAGAAAAGACTAACCAAAGTAGAATAAACTAAGGAATAAATCCATAATAATAATTGTTTAAAAATATATATTCGAAAATGGTATCACAAAAAAGTGAAGTGGATTTGAAAAATAATAACCAAATTGATAGAAACAAGGGGAAGGATATTTTAAAAAAAAATTATTAGCAGTAGGGGGTAAAACACAACTTGAAATTGAAGATAAAAACAAAAATGGATACACTGAAATTCTTCCTGACAGAACAAATGCGCTTTGTGATACCGCTTGAAACTACCACACCAACCATCATTTGCTGACAGCACAAATTTCAAAATTTCTTCAACTTATACTGTTTAAAATATACGAGATATGCTATCCTTCTAAGTATTTCATATTAACCTAAAATTGCTAATGTGATTGTTCCCTCAGAAACCATTAGTTATGTTAACAGTATATCTACCTCTACTTTCTTTAGCAGCTGATCTAAGTGAAATGCATAGTCGGCCGAACATACCTTTGCAATCAAAATAGTGAAGCGAAAAATCTCCGGAGATATATGCTGATCCCACCTCCTAGACAGCCGGAGAACTGACTTTGCAGCAGCTAATCTGGTACAAGCCACATCACTTTCACTGCAAACAAATTTGCCAGGCAAAATGAATCAGTTAACTTATGAGGTGCAAATTAAAACAGTTGGTACACTTACACATAGATAATCAACCAAGACAATTTTCCAAAGATATTTCACATGATTCCTTTGTTCCATGTTTGTTCTCCAGCTTGTAGAATGATATTATTGTCAAAAATTTGATACCTTAGTCTGGTCCCTGAACTCTCTTAAGGAGTAAGGAGACAGGCACCTAACCGTTGAAGCATTTTACAACTATCAACAATAACATATCTCACTAATCCAATGGAATAATTGTAACGCAATATGTCTTATCTAATCGGTAATCTCCTGTACATCTGAACCTGATCCGTTCCCAACACAACGGAGACACCCAACCAACCACACACACACACACACGTCCAGGAAAAGAAAGCTTGTCACGATGGCAGATCCACATAAAAAGATGCAAAATTTGAATCGGTAAATACATACAATTAGACATTTCTTCTACAAACATTGAGAATTCAAACACCATTAACGACTTCATATAAAAGGAAGCACTAAACAGACTAAGGATATGAAACATTCATTCTAAAATTTAATTCTACACCAAGCTGCTAACTCTTCTGAAATCCACGTCAAAAGAAAGGCATGATACTGACATTTCATAAAAGAAGCAAAAGAACATGATGCAAACATGGACAAGAGCATATCAATGATTTAGCCATAAGCCGCCCAGATTTTTCAAACCACGTTAACCGGGAAAGAGTCTCATTTGGCATTTTGTGTGCCCATATATGTCACGCGTCCAGGTATTCGGTTAATTATCAGTTTGATAAGAGGGGGGGGGGGGGAGGAAAAGAAAAAAGAAAAAGCATTGTTGCCTGTTTAAGGCGCGTCTTCCTTGTTATTATTTTATTTATTAAGCCTATTGTACACAAGTTAAATCCGTGGGGGCTGGGGCACTACTGGAGATTCCACTTAGCACTAGGGGTATCACTGGAAATTCCCTTATTCCTTGAACCCATAATATGGTCTCTCCTAATTTGCAAAAAAATTTAGTCAGAAAAAGAAAAAAAAAACACTTAGTTTAGCACTCATACCTAGAATTCAAACCGATAAGATGATCACTCTGCCGCAACATTCTTATCAAAATGTCCAACAAACCAGTAATATTCCGTTTCACACAATTCCCTTGCTCTGGCAGATGACTCTTCACCAGTGTTTTTAGCCCATAAATCTGCATTAGTACGTGTTAGAATGATTGCAAAGCCAATGCGAAGGATAGCAGATTGCAGCATCCGGAAGTTGATGAATAACACTGAAAGTTGTTGGAGCTCGCTCATATTTTATCATCTAGTAGGTTTAGAAAGACTTGTCATTGAGAAAGAAAAGCAGTTCCAAGTTGAAACTTATCTCATACATACAGACAGACAGACATAACACACACACATAAAATCAACAAGAGCCCAGTTTTTGTATATCATTACTCATGCAAGAGCACTTTTTAATTGAAACTAGAATAATGTCTCAAGCGTTGGACAGGAAGTTGTGATAATATGCGAAAATAAATTAGTGAATTTTGAAAATTGCATAATTTAATAATTAATTTGCCTAAGCTCATGGGCCCCATAAAATTAAATTAAATAAAAAAAGACATAAAATATAACGGAAGAAAAGGGTAAAATACAAGGCCTAATAAAAGTCAAATATCTCAAATTAGAACGCTATTTATAAGCCAAATTCACAAAACGACTTCCTACATATCTAAACATCTAGTTTACTCTAGAAAGATAAAATCCATAAGATGTCACACTGAGTTATAAATAATGCAACTTACTCCAATGTCTAAGCAAATTTTTTTTGGGGGAAAAATTGGGAATAAATCCCTCATTGAAAAATTAATTAGCAAATAGGACCTAAGGACGTTGTGCAATTTAACTTCTATTGTGTGCAACTTAACTTTTTTTATATGCAATTTATCTTCCCTTGTGTGTAATAATCTTCCTTTGTGCGATGTGCAACCCAATTTCCCTTTGTACAGATAGAATGCTCTTATGTGCATGTCATCTTTTTTATGTGCAAACTAATCCCTTTTATCTAAATAGTTTTGTGCAAATCATCTTCCTTTTGTGCAATTTACCTTACTTTGTGTGCAACTAATCTTTCCTTATGCAATCAATCATCTTAAGAACCATTTGCCAATTAAACTTGTAACGAGGGATTTATCCCCAATTTTCCCTCCTTTTTTTTTGCCAGTAAATGTCTAAGCAAAATACGGGACCGCATTTTTTGTTTATATGTATGGTTATTGTTATAGATACATTAAGAGATTATTAATTATCAATATTCAATTTGAAATTTATAATTATACTATACACAAATTGGTAACAGCATAACTTATTATCGAGACTTTATGGAATGCATGAACCCACCTAATTTTTAGCCAAAAAAAAAATTATCAATGTGAATCACGGCACTATTTCTCTCTTTTTGACATCTGTAACTGCAGCTTTATCGGAATTATTGAATGCTGAATTCAAATGCAGTAGCTGATCTCCCACACTAACCTTCAATTGGCAGCAATCGCTACACCCGAAAGAATCGCTACACCCGAAAGAACCCCCTGACGAAGCTGCATTGTGAACGTCATCCAAGTGCTCCGCCTAAACAAAGAAATAACCAACCTGTCAGAGAAACCCCACCACATCAAACTTGTCCCGGCATAAAAAGATTAAACAAGCAAGAACTTGATAACGGTGCTTTTACTTGAACAATCCTCTGAGAAATATATGATGTAATTTCCGCAAGTCGAGTATCAAAAGTTGAAATAGAGTATTGTGCAACGCATCCCAAAGACTGCAAAACTGTCGGAACATTGCGCTGGCTATAAAGAGAATCAATAAGTTCCTGTACAGCAAGAGAGACAGAGAGATTGATAAAGTCAACATATTTAAAAATACCTATAAGAGGCAACATAGGCAGAACCAAGCAAAAGGCAACAATCCTTTCTGAGCAACCAGGGAGTTGACTTCTAGTTCCTACCTTTTTGGAGAAAGTAGCACACTCTAATGTCTTTTAGGTCTGTGTACTAGGTTACTGTATTTTGGGAGACTGTGCTGTTTACTTTTGACTATATTAGCCGTTGTATCTTGAGCAGGGGGGTAAGGATATTTTGAAGAGAGTATTTTGAGGAGAGAACTGACCTCTCGAATGTTAGGTTTATTGTATGAGCTGTGAGTGTGTAAACTATTTTGTAACGTCCTATCTCCCACTGAGTAGGAAGATTATTAATGCTTAATTGTATTCAGAGTATTGCATTCCATTGTTAGATCCACCTACTGTTTTATTCTTATATATTGCAGGTTTCTGCTCTTGGTCCTTATCAGAGACCAAGGCAATTTTTCACTCCTAAGAAGAGTTCATATAAATTAAAGAATCCCTTTTTTGTACAGAATATTCAGAACACGGTAGAATCATGTAATAAGTGATACTCCGTTTTTTCATGAGAGAATTAGCCAAATTCCATTATTCGAAATGTTAGTTAAAATTAAAGATTCCTAAGAAAAGTCCATGATATTTCAATCCAGATTTTTTTTTTTTTTGGCCAACAATCCAGATAACTTATACATCAACTATTTTGAAATAGTTATTTTCTCGCTAAAAGAATATAAAAATGAGAGGATTCGCATCCCGCAAATAACGGTACCTTGTAGAGATCTGAGAAAAATGATTGGTCAGAACTCAAGGCAGCCATTGCCGAGACCGCAAATTTAGCCTGTGTGCGAGTTCCCTCCATGCACATTCTTTGAAGAAATGGGTAGATATCACTGTAAACCAAAAACAAAATGAGGCTAAACAAAAAGGGAGATCAAACATCTGAGAGGAAACTATTGTGAGCTCCTTGGGTTGAACTAGGCACGGTTTTCATATTATTTAAGCCTTTTTTAATGTATTCTCCTTTTGTTTCCATTGGAAGAATTTTCTCTTCAACCACTACTTGCCACATTTCGATGGTTAGTTGCTGGGCTGCTAATCAAATTGAGGCCGAATTCATTACTCATCTAAGTACTAATCTTCAAAACCCACCATTGATTATTAGGAAACAATGAAAAGGGCAACGGATAGTGAATTTTGTTAAACCGGAGATTTTATGATGCTTGCCAGAACCATGGTTTTGACATCTATACAAACACAAAGCAGAGGTAGAGGTGACCTGAGTTTGATCGAAATGTGAGAGCCTGCTTTTGCTAAGACCTCAATCAGCTTGTCATTTACTGCGCTCTTCTGCCCCAGCAACATTTGGAACTGCTTTTCGGAGCCTCTCAGGATTGCAGGAAAAGTTCTCACAATGGCCTAGTTGAAGTAAATTGACGGAATGATTTATCAGGTGGAATCCGCATCAAACAATAATTAAGCGATCACGTGAGTAGCAAGGATTGGTCAATTTCTCAACAAAGGCATACTACAAATAATAGTCATATTAACAATTAACATCCAGAATGCGCTCAATTCTTATTTTAAAGGAGAAAAACTTTTTTTGTTTTCAGTGCTTATTATGTCAACAGCAAAGATTAGATAATGACTGTGTGTGTGTGTCAAAACCATTCCTGGACCTTCCCTTAATTAGTTCTTTGTAAGTTACTCGACAAAACATAGTAAAAAGTACCATCTTTACCACATCAAATCCACCAAAGGGGAAACCAAATAGATTTCCCATCATGATTAACCTTAGATTGACGTAATTCCTCTCGTAATGCTTAATTGTTAAAAACAGATGCGTCAGATTTGGTGTCGAGGAGCATTATACATGCACTAGTGCCTACATTTCTTTGCCAAAAGGTTCTCCGCAATAAAAAAGAAATGCCGAAAAGAATGCACCATAAATATCTATTGAGCAGCAAGATCTGTTACCAGGAGAAGCTTTATAGAAGAATCCTCCAAGCGCTTGCTTCCGACTGTGGAATTGGAAAGATAATTTACAATATAATGGACGTGCTCTGAGCTGAAAATATCGTATGAGCATTTAGAGAAGAGTGAACGTAGAAACTCAAAATATGGATTGCTCTCCCCAACCATTTGCAGAAGCTTATCCTAAGAGAAAACAAAAGGGTCATATAAAATCAGAAACAATGGACAAGTTTACAAAGATGAGTTGCATCACATGGGATAAGATAAATATGAAAGATATTACAGCGTCACATGGCAAAAGATTTATTGCAAAGTCTTCAAAACCCCACATCAGATTTCCTCATGAGAAAAAGTTGCCTATCCTAAAGGTTAACTGCCATGTACATTCACTAGTTTCTCGTAGATTTAAAGTAAGATACAGATCCAGTCCAAGTTCATGCAACACATGCCTAAGCCACTTTCAGTAACATCAGTTCATCCAGCTCCTGTCATCACCACAGAATTTACTTGCCATGCAAGAGAAAACAGAGCTATTTTAACTTCTGCAGAGTCGTAGTGAAAGAGATCAAAGTAGTAGGAGAGGCCTGATCTATATTGAGTAGTCCAACCTGGAACATGAAATATTTAACTGCATAGAATTTTCCGCCTCAGTAGGTGGCCACATCTCAAGATCAGCATGAAATTAAAAAAAAAAAAAAAAAACAGAGCTAAGACAGTCATTTATCAGCCACCCGAGTTATGGAAGAATTATAGACTGTGTACTACAAATGTGGAACAGAATAATGCATGGAGCGCACTTCCTCACACAAGAAAAAGCAACAGATTCAAATAAAATCAAGAAGGGCAACGGTTAATATGTGATTTTTTTTCCCCCGGGGGGGGGACATACTTCGATGATTTTTGTGGTTGTAAAAGTCTGCTCCTCCAACAATTGTTTGAGTGAGTTAAATAAATTATTATCTTTAAGCTGGTTCACTTTAAGTAACCACTCTTCTGCTTTAGGAGGATCTGGAAAAAATGAGGCCATTTTTGTGAACATATTTTCAGTAGTCTTCTGTAAATCTTCAGACCAATTTTCCTGAAAAGAAGATTTAAACTCCATTATTTCCCAATAATCAAATCATGATCGGAAAGCACGAAGATAATATTTGCAAAATGATAAAACCAAAGAGTGTGTGTGTGTGTGTGAGCGAGAGAGAGAGAGAGAGAGAGAGAGAGAGAGAGAGAGAGAGAGAGAGAGGAGAGGGGGGGGAAGATACAAGCTAAAGAAAACGAAAGGACAGCAATATGAAGTAAAAACCAAGAACAAATGAATCTCAAAGGCATCTTCAAAATTTAGGAAAATTACGGAATCATCAAATGAAATCAAGTAACCAAGATTGTGATATTTTTTCAGGAAGAAGGAAACTTAGGACACTGCATTTTTTGAAGAAATCTACCCTTAACATTGTACTCAAAAGCACCGTGCAATACATCAAACACAAGAACTTTTGAAGCCACTGAGCTACGCATTTCAACTTCCACCCAGAGTTTCTGTCCAGCTTCAACAACCAAATACGTTCAAAAGACCCTAAAAGTATAATGGGTCACCTAAAGCTTCCATAGGAAACCAGATAGCATTCTTTTTTTTGTTTTTTTTTTTTTTTGGGTGCAACCACATGGCATTCATAATGTTTACTACGCATCAATTCTTATTTTCATGAAAGGCCAAATTTAAAACAGTGCATAGTTGTTCAATAGAAAATGGCATAAGTAGAATCTGAACACTGGAAAGACTTCACCATCTTATGTACTGGTAAGTTGATGAAAAGGCTTCACCAAGTTATGATTAAAAAGAAAAAGAAAAACTCAATTCCGGTACCTTCAATTGCTTCCGCAAGGCCAAATAGTTTTTAACCTCACTTTGCAACCTGAAAACAGGAACGACTTGCAATAAATAATCTATTAATATTCTTACCCCATATTCATAGCATATCAGTACCACTACCTTCTCTTCTGAGATAAAATAGTATGTAATGCCTTTTCATGAAGAGGACCGAAAAGAGAAAATATGTGTATCCAGTGATTTGTCCTTTCCTCAATGGAAAGATGCTCCGGAAATAAATCATTCGCAAGAACCAATTCCATGTTGTGTGAACTGAAAAAATTTAACATAAAATAAATATTATTAAGTCTTATATCTTCGAAAGAACTCTTGCTTTGGTTCAACTAGCAATACAGAGTAGACGATCTCACCTGAACTCCTTACAATCCTTATCAAAGCAAAGCATCAAAATTTTACATGGAATCTCTTCAAAGTGATCACCAGCTGTCATGCTGCCTTCACAACACTTCTTGCAGTATTCTTGATATACTTCCATAAGCTTTTGCAAGGCCTTCTTTCTAACAGATATCTGGAGAAGATTAGAAAAAACATATCAAAAGAAAGAAGAGAAGGGATATCTGAGAAAAAAGATATTTTGAATCACTTGAATTCTGCTGCGTCCTGCAGTAGGCAAAAGAACCAAAAGCACGTGCCTTTTTATCCCGAATTCTTTCAGTGACTTGAGATATTAGTTTGGATGGTACAAGTTGCAGGTTTGACTTGGAAAGATCACAGGCAACAAGAATTGCCTGCATTCTTACCCTGTCATCAAAGTCTAGTAAACGATCTTCAACAGCACCTGCTCAATTTATAGGATGCCATGAGTCACTTGCAAGAAACCATGAGGGACTGCGAATCAGGAGGCAAGCAGCATACAAAAAATAGGAGTTATCCCAATGACAAGAAAAGTGCTGAGAAGCTTACAGATAATTTCATGAAACTGTTTCCCTGATGGATTTGCCATATAAAAAGCTTTAGCACATTGCAAGGCACTAATTCTAACATCCACAGACTTGTCAGAAAATCTCTTCAAAAATTCCACAAAAAGATCATGATATTTCCGTGCTGCATGATGTTCGGGAAGTGCAAAGAGCTTCCCAACCAAATTAACAGCTTTTATACGAACATCAACCTGATCAGCCTGTAAACAGGATCTCAAATGTAATAAATGTGAGAAGAGATACATTTCTAAAAGAAAATATCAATTTCAATAAATTTTTTCGTTCAACCATTAAAGCATTTAAACAATAAAAGGGAAAAGAGAATGTACCAACAACTCTCCAATCAAGCTTGGGATAACAGCAAGAAGCATCTCGGGAGCACATTGGAATATTCTAAATATAATTTCATGGTAAAATTCTTTCAGCCCGGAGCTCACAGCATCCCTGTCATTTATGCAAGAAGTTAAAAACCAAGAAACAAGGGGCTTCAGCTCTTTCTCATCTGCACGACTGATGACAGATGCAGCTAGTTGAGAAGCAGCACAGGTTGCATCCTGTAATTCATTCAGAAACAGCTAAGTGGAACTTTAAAGGCACTTAACCTCAACTTCTTCGTATACGAATTTGAAAATTAAATAAAAAACATAAAAATAATAATTGTGTGTGTGTGTGTGATCACACGAAAATATAAAGAGGCCTTACTTTTCTGCCCTTTATAAGATTTTGAAATATCACTTCCAAGAGTTTCTGAGAAGCTCCTACGTTTAATATATCTATCATTATAGAAGACATAGCATCGGTCAAACTTGCATGGTGGTCATCTCTGAAAAAACGGGGAGAAGAGAGATTGAATGTCTTGCGTCGTTATCGTCATAAAAATTAAACTGGAATAATGGGGGACTGGCATCTCAGCCAAAAGTAATAACAGTCAAGTAATACGTTGCCTCAAAAAGTGGTGTCCAAGTCTATCACTTACCGATATGATTAGGGATGATGGAAAACATACAGAGACATCAGTGAAAGCTTAAAAAATGTAAACCTACTATGAATCTGACAGAATTTGAAAGGTTTCTATTTCCATGGGAATCGAGACAATGCAACCTGAAGAAATTACCACACAAGCACATTTCTTACATACAAAATATAGGACACAATTGCCAGAGGTTTGACTTATAAAAAATCATCATATGTGCATTTGCAATCACATAAACTGAGACTTCTTTAAAGTCCTTATGAGATAATATGAGTAGTTAAGACACGGGACTAATGAATTTGTCCAATCAAATAACAATCATGAAAACAAAGGAAAACATTTTAGCCACAAAAAGAGGGGGAGAGATATAGACCTTACAACAGAGAAAAAAATTCTGAACATCTCGACAATCAAATCTTCAGAGTCAATATCCAGCATTATCACGCAGCATTTTAACCGAGCCACAGTTTCCAATATCTTCACCCTTTTCGAGAACAGTGGGCTTGAGGTATCAGCTAGATCCGCAAAGATGCTGATGATAAGTTTAAATACACCCTGAATTAAAAGCATGTCTCTCAAATTAGCATAGAAGTGGACATAAAACAGGCAAGCTAAAAAAAGTTTCAGTTATGATGCTTACCTTTAAATCTTTGCCCTCAAAAGGTGGTTCTGGTGCCCTGACCCTAAAAATTTCAGTGGCACATATGGCAACTAGCAGTTTAACATCTTTATCTGCATGTTGAAGCAGATCACTAGCGATCGCATGTTCCAGGGTCTTTAACGAATCAACTCGATTTTGGGAAGCTTCTTGCTTTCTGAGACCTTCCTTTTGTTATTATTAGCTCGTGCTTCATTAGTGGTTTCAATTAGAGAGAACTGTTCTAACTGAGACAAAGCACTTACAGCTTGCTGCAGAAGAGTTAGTGATAATAGGATCACAGTTAGCATCCCATAATATTATATAAACAATTAGCAATTACCAAATTAAGTAAATGAACTTATCACAAATAGCTTTGAAGCAGATGATAAGTCAAAACAACAGAATTCCAGCAAACTATTTAAGCGTCTGAAATGACCATGAACAAGTCCTTAAATGTAGACTATGCACCTCTCCAGTCCCCACCCCCCAAAGAGAGCCAAACAACACAAACAATTTTCAAATCACTCGCTTAATTATAAACACTGGCGAGCTGAGACTGAAATTCAACCGATTCTTTCTTCGGTATGATGTGGAGAGGGCAAATGCAAGAGAGCCTACATTAAGTTTTCTGGTCGCGCTCTTTGGCCATGCACAGGATGCAGAGACGACATGATGATCGCCAAAACACAACGTAAATGGGCTAAATGGAAGCGGAATGCAGATACAGTTATATTCATCTTAATAGATGTTCTACTTCGACAACTTAGAGGGCCTGAAAATTATAGCCCCCACAACGATTCACTTCCCACTTTCTGTGAACAGCACGGAACGTAAATTTTTAGGTCCAACTTATAAAGCCTGCTGTAAACTCGCAAATGAGCGACGGCGTGCAAAGGAACTGGAGGAGAGTAATGAAACACAGACAGCACTTTTACTTGCGAACCCAAGTAACTTAATGGCTCGTTAAAAAATTAGCGCAGATTGCTAGCGACTGCATGCTAGCTTCCTTCTCTAAATTCATCAACATCGACAATTAGCATTCACACTTGCACCCAAAAAAAAAAGAAGCTAAAAACACTTTCATATTAGTCTGATAATGTGAGCCATTGTGGTGAAGCTTGAGAACAAGCGGAAAGTTGTCATGAGATGGCCCCGTTGTTGAAAACAAAACATGTAAAGGGGCGGAGGAAGGAAGGTAACGCTTACTCGCAGGGATTTGACAATGAAATCCTTGGTAGGACGGCTTCGCTCGCCGAGACGTGCTCCAATTTCGGAGATGAGTTGCAGCACGGATGCATCCATGAAGGCAGCAACGAGCGGTTAGCCAGAATCGGATAATTTGGGATCAGCGTGGGTTTGAAGCATGTGAAGATCGATGAAAGAAGGAGAGGCGCGGTTTATGCTTTTGTTTTGTTTTCTGGGACTGATGTCTCCCGCCTCCTTGCATCGCGTGATGTCAACGCGCCTCTATTTTGAGCTCTTTTTGGCGGTCAGGAAGCTGGAGGATCGGCGGAATAAGAAATTCAAAAATCAATAAACACGAGCCTCCCTGCATCGTCGGTGGGTTTGAATGTGTTTAATCGTGGTTCATGGACAATAGATATTGAAGGTCAAAAAAATGGACAGTAAAATATAAGAGAAAAATTAATATGGAGGTCTTTATAATTTCATTTCATTTTTTTCGGGTTCTTGTAATTTTTTAATTATAAATAATTGAGTATTGTACGCATAATTTATTATTTATAAAAGAGGTAATATTAATAATCAATGACGTGTTTGTCACATAATATATACTTAATTTTATTATATAAATCCAGATAAAATTAATGGAAAAATCTAGATGAAATTAAAGTCAACCAAATCTAAACACAATAGAAAGGTTATAAGCAATATACCAATTCTGTATTTTTAATGTCAATTCATTTGATCACACAATATCATAAGTCAGAATTTAAAGTCCTTGCAAAACACTCAGTATTCCATTCATAAGTTACTTTTAACATGTTTTGCTATGATTAGGGGAAAAAACCATATTAACTTATTTTAAAATTTAATAACTTTTTAACTTTATCTCAATTTAATACATATACTTTATAATAAAATAATGATCTACAAAATAGTAAATAAAAGGTTAAATGACACATTCATATTAAAAATTAATGATATAGTTTATAAATAGCGTTTAAAAAAATATTTTCTCTCTGCCTTGCATATATGACCAAAAGAGCAATGATGAAGGGTACTCCTCATCAAGGACGATCATACCATCTTGTTAATTTGAGAGTCTATCGGGTTTAAGGGGTAGGAGGGATTTTAAATCTTGCTTTGACAGGTTGGGAAGGAGGGAATTCCCGCCCCTGGGGGGGGGGGAGGAGAAAACGGACGGGGCTAAGTAGTATGAAACGTTCTAAAATATTTGCTTTCCAATAATACTTAATACTACATCCAATCATAATTATAAGAATTAGTTGGCTAATTTGAGGAGATTAAAAAAAGAAGTTAAGTTAGTTATTTGTAATAAATAAATGTTATCCTTCTAAAAATATCCTTACTAATCAAATGTATTGGTTATAACTACTATTGTTAAAATGATTAACTTGAAAAAAAATACATAAATATAAGAGACAAATTGGATTAGGATCTTATATCTAAGACCAAAATAAAAACCAAACAAGGTTTTATATTAAGGATCGGAGGTAGAACTACATACCAGTCTTTTCTCCCCTTTTTTTAGATATATTGTTTGGCAAAAAGATGTTACTACCTTTTATCCTAGTTTGATATTTAGTTTAATCCTAAATATAAAACTCCAATTGATTTTGTCTCAAATATTTATCTATTTTGCTCTCACGTAATCCCTATAATAATTATGTATATGTTAAGGAGTTACTATTAATGGGTAGTTCAAACACACATGATTATTAATAATATTTTAAAGAATAAATATTTATTTATTATAGATAATTAACCTAACTAATTTTTATAATCTTCTCGAAATTAGTTAACTAAGCTGTATATTAATCAGGGGAGGTAATATAAACTAATCGATATATATACGGGCACTTTAAAGTAATTTTTAATAATATTTAGAATTGCATTTTTATTTTATTTTTTATTTTGCATTTAACACGGTTGAGTACTTTTTCATCATGTATCAACCCTCTTGGTTCGTGGCGTGTGGGCTTTTAATCAAAACTTGGATCCATTCCGAGCAACCGCATCCGGGGTTATTCACGCCTCACACGCGGCTCAACTCTTTGTTGTGCAGTACCAGAGGACATAAAATTGGTGGCGAGTTGGATGTATTCTATGACCCAGCTGGAGCAGGTAATCTCGTTTCATTAGATGACTAAGAGCTTATTTAAAATGACTTATAAGTCGTTTTTCAAATGTGATTTGCGAAACAAAAAATAAATATGTAAAAAGAGTTTTGTCTCAATTTGTGTGAAAGTGTTTATAAGTATTATTGCAATGTTGATCCAAAAAAATCCTAAAAAGGGAGGCAGGGCAACGAATTCGGATTTCGGAAGCTAATGCCGGAAGGGATATACTACTATATATTCCGCGCAGCGATCATGGGAACTTATTCGCTGTGCTAACTGGCTAGCAAAGAGGCAAGGTCAACCCGGATTTCGAACACGAATTATCAATTGCAAGATGTTCCTCATGGCTGCAAAATCTTTCTTTGATGCTGCAAAATTATGCTTAGCGGAAGGAATATATTTATATACCTTCAACACAGACACGTACTTCGAATTCGCGACTCCATTAAAAAATATAGCTAGTACGTATTACCGAGTGCTGATAACAACAACGTCATGGGCATTCTAAGATTGGTGCCTGGATCCCCTCATCTTGTTCAAGCGACCAACCCAGATGGACTTCCAGGCGTTTTTTATTCGATTTCTTTAACTAGTCAACGCACATATATATATTGGCTGGTCCTAGCCACGGGCCACGAGCATCAGTTAAAAGTCCGCATCATATTGTTATCGTGGATCGTTTGATTGGTAACTTATTTAGCAATTCCACGTGCCCTGCTCTGGCAAACTTGCTCCAAACTTTGTCATTTCGTGTTAAATATGTTGGATGCCGTGGAGATACTGAAGATAAGGCAATAGATAGCAAAACAGGTACAAGTCCTTTTTTTTACTCTGTAAATACACGGCTCGGCACAGATCGTTGCATCTGCGGAGGCAATTTTGGTTTTTGTCACCTTTAATTTACTTTCTCGGAGGCTTGGGCGAAGCAGGCTAGCTCCATATATATGTCCTCTTAGACATAAAACAAATTCAATGAACGTTTTCAGAGCATATGCAACTCGAATGCAAATAAAAGAGGTGGATCTTGTCGCTTTGAAGAAACAGGCAGGGCGAGGAAACAGCCTTCGTTTCCCCCCTTTTTGAGGAAATCATTCTATATTTAGCGGCACAGAAAGATTATACTGGTATTATTTATACTTTATATTTATGAGCAGCACTGGGTTGGATTTCGGATTTCGAGTTTCGACACTCATTTTGTAGCTGTGAGAGTGGGTAGTTGTTCATATATACATACACACCTGTGTCGTCTCTGTGCAGCAATCGCCATGCATGACACGCGCGCGCGCGCGCACACACACTTGCCCATATATATAGTTCGCCTCTGACGCCTGCTTGGTAAATTTCCTCAGTCGATTCGTTTGGACGTGTGTTTATAGTTTTGATCCATTAATTGGCTGTTATCGGCAAAAGCAAAAACCAGCATTTTAGAGAGAGGATGTGTTAATGGAAATATATTAATGAATGACCATTCATTAATAATCAATGCATTAGCCATTCAAATACTGGATACCAAACTAATGTCACCTGCAGGTCCACCAGCTCATCCCTTTTTATTCAAAATTATTTCCCAAGTGTTTGTTTACGATGACACGCACACCGTACTTCGTTAGGATGAATACACATGTTATGATCTTTTTTGGTCAGATATTAAATTGGTGATTTGAATGCACGGCATGGCAATGAAACAAATCACATAAATTTTCACCAAAAAAATTCACACATACAGACACGTCACCCTTGAGTTTCTATCTCGAATATGCCTGACGAATACATAATTTTGTGAAAAAACGTATTGCTGTTCTGTGATCACCTGGTAATACAAGTCACTGGAAGATCAATTAAAAACATTTTAATTAAGTACCATATTGTCACAAACTCTCATTTATTCATCATCGCATCACGCGTAACGATTTAAAATAATATGCTTTAATCTCTATGTACAGTAGCCATGACAAATTTTAGTAGGAAAAACTCATTATAACATTAAAAAAAAAATTATGGTCAATGGAAAAATCAAGGGCTGCGTACATTGAATGGCTGTGATTTTCTAACCCAACTGACTCCGCCCAAGCCCAAACCTTGGACGGAGAACCCCATGCCGCGGGACCCACAGTCCCCCAAAGATGAATGCCAGCGAGAAAGCGGAATGGGACTTGGCCTCCAAAGGCAACGTCAGAAACATAATTTTCATCTCCATGGCGTGATATGTTGAATCAAGAGAGATAAAGAGAGGCAAAGAAAAACACGTTAGAATTTGCCTTACGGAGTGGCAGGGACACAAATCACATGTGATTAGAGTGGCAGAGATATCCTTATAGTCACAGTTTCCAGCTCTCTTCCGTCCCTAGCCTTCCCTTGTCTCTCTCTAAATTGTCCTGGTGGAACTCGCAGCTGTTGCTCTCCATCAGAGACTCATCGAACGGGCTCCGAAATTCACTCGGGCCTGTTAAAATCCTGGGTTGAGTTGTTTGATATGTTTTGGGCTATTGGACGAGGGGATGGAAGAGAGCCTAGTTTGTCAGTGGAGCGTGATCAGATCCCTCTTGGCAATTCTTCAATGGTGGACTTTCAATGTCACTGTAATTATCGTTAACAAATGGATCTTCCAGGTCTGTATCTCGTTCATCTGATTGTTGATCTACAATCCTTCCATTCGCCCATCGAATTTCGTGGAGCGCCATATGCCTCTATTCCCCTTTATTTTGGTTTTAAATTTTGAGTTTTATGTGATGTTGGCATCTTTTGGTTATCGCGTTCAATTCTCATGTCCCAATTAATTGCAAATCTTAAGCTGTTTATTTGGTCTAATTCGAGAGCAATGAGGAATACTACGTTTGTCTTGCCAATTGAGAAAGATTTGTCACTTCTGTTCCATGTGGGTTATATGTAAACCTGCAAAGCTGTATGAGGCAAACTTTTGACTCGTAGTCCCCCTCCCCCCCCGGGGGCACAGCTGCTCTTTTTTGTCATCGAACTAGACATGCTTCAAAATTGCGTTTTCTTAAGTGGCCTAGTGCTGTTGCGGCCCTTCAAAAACATACTGTTCATTAATTTTAAACGCTTAATCTATTTTTATTTGGCAGTACTTACTGAACGGGAATTTGTATTTCTTGAATCTGACTTCCTCCCCGGACTATTTCAATTTGTGATCATAAACTCTATTCTTCTGGCCGGCATCTGAGATACATACAAAGAGTTTAAACAATTACTCAAAATATGCTGAAGGACTCAATGCATCGTCCCCCCCCCCCCCTCCGGGTGATACAATGTACCTGTTTAAGATTAGGAAGTTATTTTGGGAGACTTCAAAATGTGATGAACTTACTAAGAATAGTGGCATACCTGTTTAAATTTGAACGAGTTTTGGTTTGTCTTTAAAACTTCTTGAAGAGGGCCGTTTTCTTAACGAAGCTTGGACACTCCCCCGGCAAATCATCCACAAACTTGGTTCCATTTTATGTTGATCTCTTAACTTCATCTGATATTCTTAACCTGCATTCATTACTTCATATGTCTAGAATATCTGAGAAAGACGTTAATGATCGATCCAGCCGATTATTAAATTTCTTCATATTTTGTTCTGTCTACATGAGGAAAAAAAAATGTTCTTCAATTTTTATTGTTTCTTCCACATCTTTAGGCTATTGGTATCCTTATTGTTCACACTGGCCCCTAGTTGTCATATTAAACCTGTATGAGTGACGGCAACTACTATGAGTCTAAAATTTCCTTCTTTTGCAGAAATTGGATTTCAAGTTTCCCTTATCAGTATCCTGTGTCCACTTCATCTGCTCAGCCATTGGAGCATACATAGCTATCAAGGTGCTGAAACTTAAACCACTTATAGCTGTTGACCCGGAAGATCGCTGGAAAAGAATCTTTCCAATGTCATTTGTGTTCTGTATTAACATAGTTTTGGGGAATGTAAGCTTGCGATACATTCCAGTATCTTTTATGCAGACAATAAAATCATTCACGCCTGCAACGACAGGTGAGGCTCAATTATTGTGTAATCTTACCTTCACCTGCTTCATCTCAAACTTATTAAGGATAAATTCATCTGATTTTTATGGACTTTCACAGTTGTGTTGCAATGGCTAGTTTGGAGAAAATATTTTGATTGGCGTATCTGGGCTTCTCTCGTGCCCATTGTTGGAGGAATTCTTCTCACATCTATTACAGAGCTTAGTTTTAATATGTTCGGATTCTGTGCTGCCTTATTTGGCTGTTTGGCTACATCCACCAAGACTATTCTTGCGGAGTCTCTGCTGCATGGATATAAATTTGACAGGTAGGGTCATTATGCTTGTCTCTTCCTTGTATTTTATTTTTTCCTTTCCCATACTCGCCAGTTATCGATGAGATTAAATTATCCAATACTTACACCTTCTGTTCATCAATGAATTTTCAATCCCTACAAACACTTTACTGATCCAATTTTCTGAAGAACCCTTTCCCTAATAGAGTGATAGAAAATTTTGCATATTGGAGCTAAATAAATTTTGGGTGCTAACAAATTTGATCACAGCGCCTGCTACCATCATCTATCAGGCATGAAAAACTGATGGGTATTGGTCAAGCAGCAATTTGCACCAAAAAGAGCAAGTGTTGCCACTGGGTAACTTGATATCTTTCTCACACACGTTACTGTGATAACCTGTAGCTGCCTCGTGCCTCCTATACCTTCTGTTCTGTGCATATATGTAGCGTGGCATTAGTGCAATGCATATGCTGAATTTTTTTTTTTTTTTGGGTGTGCATCTTTAGCATCAATACAGTTTATTATATGGCACCATTTGCAACCATGATCTTGGCGGCACCTGCAATGTTGCTTGAAGGCAATGGAATTCTGGAGTGGCTTGGCTCTCATCCATATCCTTGGACAGCCCTCATCATTATTTTGAGTTCGGGGATTTTGGCTTTCTGCCTTAACTTCTCCATTTTCTATGTGATTCACTCGACCACTGCTGTAACGTTTAATGTTGCTGGTAACCTTAAGGTGAGATATCGATCAGAATTAGATACATTGTCCTACGATACTTTTAGGTCATGTTTAAACTCATAACTGTCATTGTCAATTGGCTATATATATGTATTAGCTGAAAATTGTTATTCTTTTCTATTCAATACCTGGAAAAAATGTAGTCAATCTCATGTTCAACATTCTTAATAAAAGAATGCCACTCCTCCACCACCTCCACATCTTTCTCATCATATTTCCCTGCTCCCAATTGTCGTTGAAATTTCTGTTCTTCGGTTTTACATGATTGTCACTTATGTCAGGGTAGTATAACCTGTTGTTAAATGTTGGACCAGAAATGTCATGTTGTCTACAGTCATGGTGATTTTCATTTTCTAATTAATGAGAATTATGCTTTTTATGCAGGTTGCTGCCGCTGTCCTCGTTTCTTGGCTGATATTTAGAAACCCAATTTCACCTATGAATGCTGTTGGCTGTGCAGTGACTCTCGGGGGATGTACATTCTATGGATATGTAAGGAATGTGCTCTCCCAACAGCCACCTGTTCCGGGCACACCTCGAACGCCCCGAACGCCTCGAAATAAATTGGAGATGGCTCCTCTTGTAAATGATAAATTAGATGATAAAGTCTAATTGGTTTAGGCATGTATCAGGTTTCCGCCGTTTGGAAGGCAGTAATAGCAAGAGATACAAAAAGGGGAAAAAATTGATTTGAGTAATTTCTGTTCTTATATCGCCCGCGGCTTCTAGTATACATCGCCTACCCCAAACCCTGTTAGTGTTACGCTTTCTGGATTGAATGTTAGTACAGTTCTTTTACCTTATTTTTCAAATTTTTAGTAATTACATGTATTCTTATTTGTGCAAACGAGTTGAATGATCCCAACATCCGGTTTCTGTTTTTTGGTTATTGTCTTGTTTAATTAGGTTTTCGTAAATAAACTTGTATGCTTTTTTGAGTTTTTCGAGGGGTGGAGTAGGGTAGGGGTAGGAGGGAAATCAATGATGGAGCATTGAAGAATGTGTCGACAGGGTCACCCGTTTCCGGCTCACCGCGAACAATGTTTGCACACGTACTCTAGTTTTTCTTTGACGGAACAATGAGTTCCTGGTCCTGGGTATTGGTCCGTCGTTGAAATCCGTGGTCTCTAGTCCTCAATAGATTAATGAAGTCCGTATAACTCAAAACACAGCAGATGGGATGGATTACACCAAATTTTACACGCATTCTTTTCTCTATAGTAAGCAGAGCAGTTACTATGTATTTACACAAATTTTAATAAGTCGAAATTTTCGTTAATTACAAAAAATATTATTTCCTACAACTCGCTGTTTATATTGATAAGCATGTCTATGGTTCCATACAGAAATAGTTCAGAATCGTTTCCCGAAGTCGTACAGAATCAAGGACTACCCCAACAAGTAACTTCATTAGTACGAGGGAGGAAGATGTTAATAGTTACTGAGTGATAGAAATGAGATATATTAAGTTAATCTTCTCATGTATGCCTTGCGATGTGGTAAGTGGCAACTAAGTCGACAAACCTAAGCCAGAAGCCAGAAGTTCTTCTGCCACTTTGTGCTGATGAGGTACCCATTCGTACCTTGGCTTCGTTTCCTCACTCCTATTGTCAAGCACTCTACATTGTGGATGCAATGTTCCACAAACTCCTCTGCGCTGCTGCTTCCACATAGGCTGTCCGCAAAGGAAAACGGGATATCAAAAGCACAATCGTTTACACAGACACAATTGCTGATTAGTGAGAAAACCATGTTAAGGCTGAGATCAAAGGCTGGACTGAAGTCTAACCAGTTGAACAGAAGAGATGGCTTCTTTTGGCCCAACACCAAGACCGAGACCTCCAGCTTCTTCACCTGGCTCGTCACGGTGCTCAGTTTTGGTCCTTCAATTACGAGTGCCTCCACTTCCGCCTATGTCACGCACACACGCGCATAACAACACAAGATTCCATTAACAAACTCTGGAAAGCAGAGGACCTTCTTTCTTTCTTTAATGAAAACTGAAAACTACATTCAGCAGGGACCTTATTTTCACTTCTATCTCTCTTTCACCTTTTTTTCCCCTTTCCTGTTTTTTTTTTTAACTTCACTGTGAAGGGGGAGGAATGGGATGGGGAACTGGGGGACAAAGGGGCAACTCGAAAAAGAAAAGGCTGACGCAGCTGAGCAATGCCCATGATTTCCCTCTGGAAAGTAAACAGAGTGAAGGGAATATTTCTGAAGAAATGTGGAGAAAGTATTCATGGAAAAAGAAATAATTATATCAGAAAAGGAACTCCAACTTCTGGTTCCAATATCATAGAATTACCATAGACCAACTAGAATCTAGATCTAACCTGCGCAATAACCATCCCTGGCCTCTCCCTGGACGCATATGGGAACACGAAAAACTCCTTGTTTACCCTCAAGATTCGAAGAGAAGAATGATTACAAATTCAAACAAACATACCTCGGGCCTGCAATCTTTACAGAGGGAAAGAAGATAGTTGAGGAGATAGGTGGAAGAAGAAGAATGAGAAGGCGTGTGTGGAGGGACGACGTGAAGCAGAGTGAGCAAATCAGCCTTATTAGCGACATGGGTGATTGCCCATATGAGTGCATGCTTGGAATGCGACGAGTGATCAACCACCACCATCACTCTCTTTCTCGCTGCCGTCTTATTGCCCTCATTTCCACACATTTGATTCAGGCTGGCCTCCACGCTCATGCCCCCGCTACCTCTGCCATGCTTGTTTTTCCCACTCCATCTCTTCGACGTCGATTTCCAGGCCTCCTTCCCATTCACCTGTCTCGAGAACGATCCTGAACTGGCCATTCTCTCTTACGCAAACAACCACTAATGAAAATGTAATGTGCGATTATTACCAACAGAGAAACAAGAGGGATATATGAAGGGCTTTGCAGTTGAGGACTTGGGGCTGAAGCGAGAGCTGGGTTATCTCTGCGCAGTTTAAAAGCGTCAACTGTCACGGGAATCTCTGGCCTGACGCGGCAAAAGTTAATATCTAAGGAAAAACTAAAGTAATATTAAAATTGGTTCGCAGCAGAAATATGTTAATCGTGTAATAAAATATTTTTCATAACGGGAATATTATTCTAATAGTAACCGAAACAAAAAAAGAAACCGCTATGATTAGTTTCGATGATGAGGTTGAGGATCTTTGGTGCGATATCTTTTATCTAAATTTGAGAGCTCCGTCTTTTTATCATCATTAGGAGACTCTGAAAATTGGCAGTGTTAGTTAGTAACATAAAAACAAAATTACCGACCGCATATGATGAGTTAGTTGCTTCATAACACTAGAGATAAAGTGGTTCGTCTTTAAAGGGAACCCAATTATGTGGCCTGTGCAGGGGACCCCCTTGGCTGCCATTTTATCCATAAATGCGGAATGGTGGGACGATGGTATCTGCATATCGTGGCAGCTTCAAACCAGCAAATTAAGTGATCTTACTAAAAGATCGGGCTGCAAATATTAACTGGGTTCATTAACCTTAATAGGAGATCAAGTTGGAAATATTATGACTTCAGACCTAGCAGGAAGCTTCAGGGGCCTCACCTCGTCTCATATTCTAGATAAAAGGAGTCAACATTGTTATAGAGATCTGAGCTGATTGGAATTGGAGGCTATTAATGAGACATAGTTGGCGTTTGGCGTGGCATAGGAAATATTCTGGAGAAATGCATAAAATAAATCAGCGTCAATATAATAATGAAGAGATTCAGAAAATTATTACATTTCATTTGACCCCATATTCCTCCATGCATCTTTCCTCTATTTGGTTTCTGTTTTACCGAATAAATTTATGTTCCCTCTTCTCATGATGCTTTTTTCTTTGATATCGAGGGAGATCCGAGGGAATATTGCTCAGGCAATAAAATATTGAGACCAACGCTTTTTCATGAGAAAAGATCGACGTACCCAGAAGCAACAAAAATGGCTCTTTTAATTTAATTCTCTTTCACTGATGCCTGGTCAGGCGTCATTGAGGAATCCTGACCAGACAGCAAATAGCAATACCAATCCTGAAAATATTTGGCTTCTTAGACTCATGTTTTATTGAAATGGCTAGGGATGATTGAATTAATTGTTATTTTCAGTAAAAATGATACTATAAAATAAAGGCCGACCAGCTAAATGAATACGTGATGATTACATATACGTAGCGTGGAAGGGGACACGATGCAGGTACAGTGCTCATAAATGATTTCTCAATTCGCAGCTGCGGCAATCTCACTCTGCTCCTCTAAAGCTGCAGCTGGATTCTTTAAACTCGGATGCAGAAATGCTGCAATGTGTTCATTAATTGTTACCATAAAAAGATGCAGATATTATTGATTCATTTTTAATATACATATGCTCATTCTTTTTTTTTTTTAAAGTAAATAAATGGAATGTGGAGGGGCAATTAAAAAAGGAACATTGAGAAAAGAAAAGAAAGAAAAGGAGCATAGACACAAATGAAATGGACAGTGCACATATATGTGATGGCAAGTACGCAGCAGTGAAGCGGTTTGATTGCAAATGCTAGACGACGAAGACTGTCTCCTTCCTGGCGGGGGGCTCGGGGGCTGTTTCCTACCTAGTGATCAACTTGATTTACATTTATCTCAAAATATTAATGTAAGAATGTGAAAAGTTCAAATAATTGACAGGGTTGATGCAATTGTGAGTGAATTTTGTGGCAGTAGCGCGTGAAGGGCAGGGCTTCAAGAGCGGAAGAAAAACTCAACAAGCAAGAGCCGGATGGTCCTAATGCGAATCATGGGCCTGCCTCTCCTGCCTGTCCAGTTTTCCCGTGTCAATTGGGCTGGGCCGCCCTCGTAATATAATAGCTACGACCATCTCACTTAACTCAAAAAGGACGGCATTTGAAGTGTCGAAAATTGAATCAGAAGGAGTTTGTTGTTTAAGATTAATTAGACTAAAATAAACATGAAAATATGTTGGGAATAACATCATTATTTAATATAAACTACTTTAAAATTTTAAATGCAATTAAATATTAACAGGATTTAAAAACCAAGTCTTCACAAATTTTAGAACATTTAATTAAAATTGAGATTTATATTATAAAGTTCTTAATCAATATATGTAATAATTTTTTCAGTTTAGCTAAACTGTGTGTTTTTTTTGGGACTGAAAAATGATACTTATATATATAACATCAAAAGTCACAGCAAGGTTAACCAATACCCTCCTTACAATGTTAGCTAAACTGTGTTTTTTCTTTATTTTTGGGGCTCTCGTCCTTTTTTTTTTGTTGATTTGTCTTTTTCATAATAAGATTAAGACCAACACCTTATATAAAAACACAATCCTCTTTCGATACTTAATTATGATTAATTGTAGGATAAAATTGTTTAAACTGCGTATCGTATAAAACATTTCTAAACATAGGTTATAATAGCGTAATTTGTTAAAAAAATTTGTGCTACATATTTTGATTAAAAAACAGTGAACATAGGACGCGAGGACCACTGGACCAACCATCCAGCAAGACACTGATGTCACGAGACTCCAAGATCGAGAATCGGCTTTACTTTCTTGGGGTATTATAGTGGCTCTGCTCCCTACTGTCCCTCACTGCTTCTCGCTCCCTCGCTGCTCCTTGTTCTCAAACTTTTCCTTTTCCCCCTAGCCTCCCCTCGGCTTCCCCTTCTGGGCAGGGGCCTGAACAAACCCTAGACACCCTTCTCTTGACGTGTTCTTCAACGAGTAGAGAATCACGCTCTTTATGTTCAAACTCTTACCTCCTTATACTTCGCTCGCTATATCTTCCATCGTCTTCCATGGAATATCCGCTACGTAGGCATCACTCTACTCAGTAAAGTAAGTCCTCCCTGAACCCACTAGTTCCTTTTTGAAGTCGCGAGTGAACTCATTCTTGCGTGAGTGAAGTGAAGCTTCATTTAGCCTCTTCCAACGATATTCGACGCGTATCCTGTAGCCTCTGCAAAAAGAGTTCAGGTTATTCTTAAGGACTAGTCTGGCAGCAAAAGCTATAGCCAGAATGCTGCATCAGAAGCCCATTTTGCGAAGCTCTTTCCTTTTGTTACTTTTACAGGTCTTAATCAAAGTTGCTCTCGTGAGTTCCAAATCTACTATCGAGCCTTGCTCAAACTCCGACTCCTGTAATGCCCTGCTTGGCTACACTGTTTACACTGATCTAAGGTCTCTGAGCTGGCTTCCCTCTTTCAAATCGACCCCATTGCTCTTCTCACCGCCAATGCCATCGACATTTCGTACCCTGACGTAGAGCACCACATTCTTCCTTCCCAACTCTTCCTTAAAATCCCCATTACCTGTTCGTGCGTTGACGGAATTCGTAAATCAGTGTCGACCCATTACAGAACTCGGCCCTCTGATACTCTTTCATCGATTGCAGACTCTATATATGGTGGTCTGGTGTCTGCTGACCAGCTTAGGGAGGCGAACTCCATAACCGACCCTTCAGTACTGGATGTGGGTCAGAGCCTTGTGGTGCCTCTTCCATGCACTTGCTTCAATGGGACCGATAACTCTTTGCCTGCAATTTACCTGTCGTACGTGGTGCAGCCCATCGACACTTTGGCTGCGATTGCTGCACGGTATTCCACCACTCTTACTGATTTGATGGATGTTAACGCCTTGGGGAGCACGGCTATCAGCGACGGCGATATTCTTGCTATTCCTATCCCAGGTAATTTCTGGGTCCTTTTTGCCACATGACGCGCACTACCGCAATGAATGGGTTTTTGTCATTTCTTTGATCAAGCTTTTTTTCATCTTGTTATTAGTTGATGCTAATACTTATATTGCTTTTATATTGTGATATCGCTTTTTAATTGAGAAATATAATAACCTCCAACTCGAGTATTAACAATGTTGTTGATGTTATTATTGCTTCATTGTCTAGTGTGCTTTAACGAAATATGTGATTTTTTTTATGTTTCTCATTTTTGCAGCCTGCGCATCAAATTTTCCAAATTATTCCGCTGATTATGGTTTGCTTGTCCCCAATGGAAGTTATGCGATTACAGCGAGCCACTGTATGCAGTGTAGCTGTGGACCACAAAATCTGAAGTACTAGGAAACCCTTCGTTTTCTGTTTCCTTCTATTCTTTCTCCAAGTTTAAAAGACAGATTCTTTTCTATTTCTAGTTTTTGGTAGAGGAAGGTCTATTCCTACTTGCTAACCTTGGGTTTATTCTCTGCAGTTTGTACTGTATGCCTGCTTCTCTGGCCGTTTCTTGTTCTAGCATGCAATGTAAAAACAGCAACCTTATGGTTGGGAATGTTACAGCACAACAAAGTAGTGCTGGCTGCAATGTTACTTCTTGTAGTTATGATGGTTTTGTAAATGGCACAATTATAACAGCGTATGTTTATCCTATACGCCCTATTTCTTTTCTACGAAGACATTGAAAAGGTGTCCCTTTAGCTTAATTTACTGAATTTTGAGCTTATTCAATTGTTCTATGCTACGCTGCAGATTGACCACTTCTCTTCAGCCTCGATGCCCAGGTCAGAGCCAACTAATTGCTCATACTTTTTATATGTTGATTCTGAAATCTAAATGCATGTTAGGGATGTAATTCTCTCCCCCTCGGCTTGATGGCCTAGCAGTTCACTGGCATGCTGCTAATGCTTTTCGCTCTAACTTCTGTCTGAATCATTTCTAAAAGCCTTAGTGGGGTTAAGTGTAGGAGTTGTTTGCAGTTTGGAGCATTCTTATTTCTCTGTTTTGTCCAAGGGGTATGCTTCTTAAATGGTTCAATGATAGGAGAAAAGGAAAATGCTCAAATTCTTCATGTTCCACTTATGTTTCCCCCCTTTCCTTTTGGGATATTA